GGAGATCCACCATTCTGCACCTCGGCCACACCGTCCCCATGGCTGGCCACATGGGACAGGCGAAGACATCCCAGAGGATTCTTCTCCGTTTCTGGTGGCCGACGATTCTTCAAGATGTCGCACAGTATTGTTCCGCCTGTGAACCATGTCAGCGCACCGCCCGTGTTCTGCGTCATGATCGGGCACCACTTATTCCTCTTCCTGTTATTGGCGAGCCCTTCCGGGTGGTAGCTATTGACATTATCGGCCCATTGCAGCGTACGCAGTCCGGCAAGAAGTACATCCTCACCTTGGTGGATTATGCAACCCGCTATCCGGAGGCAGTCGCTCTTTCCAATATTGAGTCGACTACCGTGGCTGATGCGTTGATATCCATCTTTTCCAGAGTAGGACTGCCAGACAAAATCCTCTCCGACCAAGGCTCCAACTTTACGTCGGACGTCCTCCGACAAGTTGCTGCTTTACTCCGTATCCAGCTTACCACATCCACTCCGTACCATCAACAGACCAATGGCCTCGTCGAACGGTTCAATGGTACCCTCAAGGGTATGCTTCGTCGGTTTGCTGCTGATGCGCCACGAAGTTGGGACGAGGTGCTCCCATATGCTTTATTTGCGTATCGAGAGGTGCCTCAAGCCAGCACTGGTTTCTCACCATTTGAGCTTCTGTACGGCCGCCATGTCCGCGGCCCGCTGGATCTCGTGCGCGATGCTTGGGCTCAGCCAACGGAGGAGCTCCGGACCACTACTGCCCAGTTCGTCCTCACCATGCGGGACCGGCTTGAACGCATATCGACTGAGGCTGGCTCCCACCTTGCCACCGCGCAGCAACGGCAGAAGGCCTACTATGACCGCCAGAGTCGGGAACGCACATTTGCTCCGGGAGACGAGGTACTGCTCTTGCTTCCGGCTTCGGCTCGCAAAATGGAAGCCGTGTGGCAAGGCCCTTACCCTATTCGGCGTAAGGTCGACAAGGTCAATTATGAGATTGACATGGGACCCCACCGCACGAAGCGATATCGGGTTTTCCACATCAACCTCCTGCGGCGGTTTCGCCGGCCCCAGCTCGCGGCCTTCACCGTTCCTATGGCGGAGGACGACCCAGACACGGAGCTGCTGCTTGACGACTGCTCCCCTCTACACGTTGATGGTGGCCGTCCTACCATTAACCCCGACCTTTCGCCGGACCAGCGGCAACAGCTCGACATGCTGCTATCGGAGTTTGAGGATACCCTCTCACCCCAGCCTGGCCAGACGACCGTGGTGGCTCACTCCATCCACACTGGCGACGCCACACCCATTCGCTCCCGGCCATATCGTCTTGCCGCTGCGCACCATTCTGTTGTCCGCGATGCCGTCGACGAAATGCTGGACATGGGCGTCATACGCGCATCCCGCAGTCCGTGGTCTTCACCCGTTGTGCTTGTGCCGAAGAAGGACGCCTCGATCCGCTTCTGTGTCGACTACCGTGCCCTTAATCAGGTGGCCCAGTTCGACTGTTACCCGATGCCGCGGGTGGACGAGATCCTCGACTCTGTCGGGTCTGCCCAGTTTCTCTCCACCCTTGACCTGTCCAGGGGGTATTGGCAGATCCCTCTGGCAGAGGATGCGTGTGCCAAGACGGCCTTCACCACACCGTTTGGCCTGTACGAGTTCACTATGATGCCATTCGGGCTCCATGGAGCGCCTGCAACATTTCAGCGTTGCATGGATACCGTCTTGGCTGGTCTCCCGTTTGTCCTGGCGTATTTGGACGATGTCGTCATCTTCAGTCCGACTTTTGAGGACCATCTTGTCCAGCTCCGCCACGTTCTTGGTCGCCTTCACGACGCTGGGCTCACTGTGAAGCCGAAGAAGTGTTTATTGGGTATGGTCGAAACTCCCTTCCTTGGCCATGTGATTGGTCATGGTCGGGTGCGTGCGGACCCTGGCAAGTTGCAAGCCATCGACGATTGGCGACAGCCCACGACCAAGAAGGCCCTGCGTTCCTTCCTGGGGTTGTGCGGCTACTATCGTCGCCTCATTCCTCACTTTTCAACCATCGCGGAGCCCTTGGTAGCCATGACGTCGAAGGGCCACCCCAACACCCTCCACTGGACGACCTCAGTTGCACAGGCCTTCGTTCAATTGAAAGGCCTCCTTGTCTCCGACCCGGTCATTGTTGCGCCGAACTTTGCTGCGGAGTTCTACCTGCACACGGACGCGTCCGATGTTGGTTTGGGCGCTGTCCTGACCCAGCGTGATGCCCAGGGCACCGAACACCCCGTAGCATATGCCAGTCGCAAGCTCCTCGACCGTGAACGCCGTTATGCCACCATCGAGAAGGAGTGTCTCGCCCTCAAGTGGGCCATTCTCAAATTCGCTCCGTATCTCCTCGGCAGACGCTTCACCTTGATTACCGACCACCGCCCTCTTCAATGGATCGCTCAGCATCATAGTGGCAATGCTCGGGTGGCCCGATGGGCCATTGCTCTGCAGCCGTTCGCTTTCACCGTTGTGCACCGGCCTGGCGCTCTCAATGGCAACGCCGATGCATTGTCCCGCCAGATGTGACTTTCTTCTCCTGCTGTGTTGCTCCTAGCTTCTTCATCTATTGTTTCTCTCTTCATTTAGTCATTGTCCCAGATGGTATCTCGGACCGGAGAAGGGGAATGGTGTGATGATATTGTACCTTTATATCCTTTAGTGCCGTTACATCCTATATCTATTGTTTCTCGTTTAGTCAATGTCACAGATGGTATCTGTGACCGGAGAAGGGGAATGGTGTGATGATATTGGAACTATATCATTTGGTGCCATTAAATATCCCTATACATATACATATACAGTAACTATAACCTTCACATCCTCATATTTACACCTGTCCATATATGACATTAGAATAGCATGCTGCGTACTACTTCCCGTACTACCGGTACCTTTTCTAGTACTCACATATTGTACAACTTTACACACCAAGATAAAATAACAAGGATGACAGCCCTTCAGGGTTAGTTGTCGGTTAGCCGGACAAGAGTGGGTTGTTGGTGTGTCCTCCCCTAGGCCCTTCACACCACCATTCTAAGAACATAATAATTATTATGATCGGCTGCTTCTGCTATCGTTGAACTCATAATATCACTGAAACCGGCGACGGTTGAGGTTCAAACTTTCAAACGGTTGACAGAAGTGAAGTCAGTGCACGCAGTCTTCATCGCAGGCTAGAAGCGCAGATGAACGTATGCACGCGAGGAAGTACACACATGATGTGAGCATGTGACTCCCGGCGTTCCGACAAGTACAAAATAATGTAACATGTTGTGTGGAGTGCAGCCAATCCTGGCGTACAGTGAAGTGGGCAAGTGCAGCATGTGAACTGGTGAATACCCGTCCGACGTACGTGCGCTACCGGTCTGAACTGTGCATGTGCACGATTTCGAAATTTTGACCTTCCTTTGAGTTCTAGCGAAGGTTCGCTGAAAATTCTAATGAAGACCTTGCAAAGCTTTGAAAGCTTTGTTTCACCCCTAATGTAGAAGCATGGCAAGCGCAAGCTGAGCTATGAATGTCCCCGCGCCAAAAGTGAGTGCATGCCATGCTTTGACTACATGTAGCACAAAATAGCATGCCGTGGTACAAGTCCCACATGTTTTCCACTAGCAAATCCAGCCACCGACAAGCAGGTGAATGTAAAAAAAACACAACACAAGCGATGTACACGGCAGTACATTGGCACTAGTACTCAAAAACGCTGCAAAATACGGAAAATCAGAAGTTACGGTATGTAAAGCAGACCCAGCTGGTTGGCAGCACTGCGTTCAACATTTTCTTCAGACTTCGAGACTTCCTCATGCATGGTAGTAGGACACAGTTCCCACTGTAACCCACACGCTCCACACACACACACACACACGCGCGCGCACACGCACACACACACACACACCTGTCCTGTCCTGTTGACCCACTGCCGTAAAGGTTACGTGGTCCCATTGCGGGAGGAGGGAGAGGAGCAAACACGCCGGTGCCGGGTCAGGTCCCTGGACTGCCGAAATCTCCGAGAGCAGTGCTGACACAGTAGTGGAAACTTGGCACGTTCATCCGTTGTTGGGCGGTTCTGGCGAGGTCTACAAGGAGCGGGAGCGGGCTGGCTAGCGATTGAGGTAGGCTGACACCTGTGCACAGTGAGTCCACCCCTGCTACGATACCATTTCCCACAATCTGTGCATTAACATGCACCACGCTGCTGTTGGACTGGCTTGCGACGCTCCGCTGTGCACTTGTGGCGCTTAAGGTCGCTTGGTCTAGAGCAGACCTTTCCACAGATGGGGCACTCAACGGGGGCTGCTGCAGCCAGTTCCTTATTGTGGTCTTGGTATCTACATCGCCATTCCATGCGAGATGTGTTAGCGGTCTGGTACCAGTTCACAATTAGGTTATGGCGAAGATCGACCGACACGCAGTCCTTCCACCGTTTCCTTGGTCCATGGGCATGTCTGACAGGTGGGAGCTGGCCAAACAAAAGGCACTTCGGCGTGCGGGTGTCATCCATGCGCGCCAGGTGACCTAGCCACTCTAGCCGACGATGCCGAAGCTTACAGGTGATGGTCTCCTGATCGCCCCACATACACACACACGCACCCCCCCCCCCCCCCACACACACACAAACTAGTACCCGGGGAATCCTGTTATTTGGTTCCTGTTTTCCACCAGGTTCGTAAGAACAAGGGCGGGTAAATGATACAGGAGGCCCATGCCAGCGATATAATAATATGTTGATGATTGATGGGCCCCTTAGTCACCCCGTTAGTCCGGCTCAGACCACTGAGACACACACTATTGAGCATAGGCCTCATGTATTTGAGTGAGTGCTTCAAGTGCGCATCCACCCTTATACTTGTAATTATAAGCACGATCCAAGTTGGTTTGTTAAAAACGTTTCAGGTGGGTGATGTTACGATGTACCACAGGTCCTATAGGCGTCAACAATGAAAGTGACTATAGCTGTCAGCTGAATCCACTTACCTGGGATAATGTAACCTGGTAGAAGATAGTCGATACAATGACGGAGACAACGGCCAGGAAGTTCTGTACATAGGCCACATTGTTGCGTGTGTATCGGCCATCAGGGAGAGATTGAACTGCACGCATCACCCACGAACCTGTCGGCTGGAAGTCATTGGCGAAGAGCCAGTTTCTGCTCCCCTCTCCGCGGGGTGTCTTCTTGACGCGCCTGGCTTGTTTCATAATCTGCCAGACATCCGACAGCGGGCAGGGCTTGCGGGGTGTCACAACGTGGAGACGCTTGCGACATCGCAGCAAGACAATGATCGAGACGCCATAGAAGACTACTGGGATTGCAAAGCCGACGCCGAACAAGAAATTGTACTGGACAATGGAGACGGCCGTGAGCGCCACAAGACCGCCGGCATTCGCGCAGAAATACTGCTTGGGAAAGAACTTGCATGCCTGGGAGTAGCTTTGTCTCTGCTCAGCATACTGATCCAAACCCAGCGGAATCTCAGTGCCCATTGCCATGGCAATGCCTATTCCAAAACTGACCAGTCCCGTCAGGATAAGGAAGGAGTGCAGAACGTCCAGCCGATGGTCGCCGGAACAGTACTCAGAAAATGAAGCCGTCATCAGACAAACGCTTCCAAACAGCTGCGCGCACAGAGCGGCCACCAGCATACGATACCGGCCTACCCGCGTGTCTGCGATGAATCCCGTCAGGAACGCTCCCAGCTTGGGAAGACACGAGCAGAGCAAAGCTGCTGTGGTGGCAGTCGTGGTACTCCAGTCCAGGAAATTCCTATACTCCAGAAACTGCACCAAGTTTCCTGTGACACTGTAGGCTGCTAAGCGTTCCAGCAGAATAACAACAAGGACTATGTCAGACTGGTGGAACTTGCATGCTGGACTGCATCTTCTGACGGAGGAGCCGTGTGCTGCCGCGCGCCGTCTAACGTTAGGACTTAAAAGAGGAGCCGCTTCACCGTCCATCAGCCTGGATGTATACTTTGTGCTAGTACATGTATTTACACCTGATTAACTTACATGTAGCCGCAGAGCGAAGCCCAGAGAACGCGGCCCAAGGTCATGAATCAGTTAGCCATGCCAATCCACGATTGTGCATCCAGCAATCAGCATACGAGTCGTACTCTTGTGCTGCACTTTGAACAGTTATGCACTCATTAGAAACATATTCGTTCTATCAAACCTTAGGCGATCACGGAAGAAAACTAAGAACTTCAAATGATTACAAGTCACTGGTGGTCGCTCTTGACCATACGAGCATAGACCACAGCGGAAAATAGCGACTTGTTTCCGTCCGGGAAAGTGATTTGTAGGCACACGGACGCGTGACGGAGCTACTCGTTTACCATGCTTCACAGCTTCAATAAAATGTTCACGCGCGATCTGGCATTGGCATACTACCAGTACTAGTACTAGTAGTAGTAGTGATCAAGACCTACAACAATCATTATCTACAGACTCAGTGCCGCTTGCTGGCACTGCTGACTGTACTGGCACTACTGCCGTACAGGTCATGTCACCTGGTCACTGTGCCTTTACTAGCGTTACTTGTCTTTACTCACCCGGACAAACATACAACCACTGTGACTCGTTGGTGCTTCATAAATATCCCAAACCTGTGTGCGTGTCCTTTGCGTTACGTGTTTGAGGGGTTGTTGTGACATTCTGGTCGATGGTCCTGCACTTTGAACCCCATTAATGGCATTATATGCATAGCGCAGTGCGATTCATGCATCCGCTAACGTGACACATGTCATGAGTCGCGTGGATCCTGTTGATATCACTACAATGAGTTCTGTACTGATAATGGACAGTGCTGGCAACTGAAATCCGACCCTTTGAGCGGTGGGTTCACATTCTAGCGGTCTCTGTTTCGTAGTTTTACCATCCCGTGTTGAGTCTTTGCGATGTGAGCGCACCGCTCAGGGGTCGGATTTCAGTTGCCAGCACTGCCGTACTAGTATTATGATCTTTACATGTAATGTATCACTCCCTCAGACTCCCATAGATTTTTGCGGTGAGTATACCTAAGCAGTCAAATATTCCTGCATATTTCACCCCTTAGGGCTGTATTGACTGCTTACATGTATATTTGACTCCTTTTTAGGGACTGAACACATGCTTTGGTTAGTCGTGATAAATCCAATATTGGCTTAGTACGGGGCAATTTCTGGCTAACCACTCCCAGTTACCACGGTTGCCCCCTAGGCCTAGAGCCTCGGCAGACAAATAATAGAATTGGGTACTTTTTCCGGTATGTTTCATGCATGTTTGGTATGTGGATAGCCCTTTCCCAAAGGTGCTCTTTTAATTCGCACTTAGTGCTTTTCGCGTCCCTCAAAATATGCTGATTTTTCTTTGAAGCATATAGCCCCTTCCCAAAGGTGCTCTTTTTATTTTTTTTAGTGTTTATTTGAATTCGGATAGCTCAACAGTACAGAAGTACAACTACAAAGAGTACCGAATAGAAGGCCCCGAGAACGGGAAACCAAAAAACAAAACAAAAACAGCAACATCAATTTACTGATTATGCACATTGCTTGAAAGCAAATCACAACAATGATTAAGAGTTAAGCTGTCTTTTAGCCAAAATTAATAGCCAATTTGACGCGGAAATCTGCGATAGTAGTGCAGGACTTCAGGTCGTCTGGTAAATAATTCCAAACAAGAGCCGATTTTGTGAAAAGAAGAAGGACAAAATGTTACGAGTTATGACTAACTGTCCACCAACGTAACCAGATCTTATACAGTCAGAGTTGCGCTTTCCTTCCCCTCTTGGACCTTTCCGAACCTGAGCCTTCCAAGTTAGGCCTTGACGGATTATGCTAGCATAATTTTTCGCATAATTCCTACCAAAATCGAATAATCGCATAATTCGAGGCAAATTGCATACGAATCGCATAAAATTGGAATAATCCGCCTGTTCGCACCAAATTCCATACAGTTGTACATGTTCTACAAGTACAAGTACAAGTAGATGCACTAGGAAGTTGTGGGTTTACGACTTCCTTGGTAACATGTCCAGTCCACTACAATCAGTGATGGTCGTAGCTAGGTCGGACGGTGCGTTGACCCCGTTGAACTTTTGCTATTACAGTACAACGCCCTCTACAAAAAAAATCCCCTGTTATTTTGCACAGAACCATTATGCATTAGCAGCATATGTGAGCATAATGCGGCATAATATGCTAACTTTTAGCATAAAAATAGCATAATTCTGCAATTTTTTCAGCAATGCGAAAAGCATAATTTCACGAAAATATTAGCATAATCCGTCAAGGCCTATTCCAAGTTGGAAGGTTGTTGGTTTGCGCCTTGGAGAAGTGTTGGAGCTAGGTGTCAGGTCGCCGAATGTCTCAGTACTCCTTGTCAGTTTTGTGCCATTTTGTTGCACTCGCTGACTGTATAAGATCTGGTTACGTTGGTGGACAGTTAGTCATAACTCGTAACATTTTGTCCTTCTTCTTTTCACAATTATTTAATTGGCTCACCATCAAGAGCCGATTTACTTGAAAAGGACAGAAAGCCAGACATACATCTATAGCGATTGATACTCATGTTATGAGTTGTTGATAGGCCTTGACGGATTATGCTAGCATAATTTTTCGCATAATTCCTACCAAAATCGAATAATCGCATAATTCGAGGCAAATTGCATACGAATCGCATAAAATTGTAATAATCCGCCTGTTCGCATCAAATTCCATACAGTTGTACATGTTCTACAAGTACAAGTAGATGCACTAGGAAGTTGTAGGTTTACGACTCCCTTGATAACATGTCCAGTCCACTACAATCAGTGATGGTCGTAGGTAGGTCGGACGGTGCGTTGACCCCGTTGAACTTTTGCTACTACAGTACAACGCCCTCTACAAAAAAATTCCTCTGTTATTTTGACCAGACCCATTATGCATTAGCAGCATATGTGAGCATAATGCGGCATAATATGATAACTTTTAGCATAAAAATAGCATAATTCTGCAATTTTTTCAGCAATGCGAAAAGCATAATTTCACGAAAATATTAGCATAATCCGTCAAGGCCTAGTTGTTGAGCCGCGAGTAGTTCGGGTAGACGTACAGATGGGAAAGAGGGACTGCAAGCAAACAGCCGGCTTAATACAGTAACAGTGGAAAATGAATACAAGGAACAAAAATACTGATCGATATTGGAAAGAGGAAACATTGAGGTGGTGAAGAAGTGGCGTAATATTAGCTTGGGGTGATGCGCCACAAGCAACTCGTACAGCGCGCCGGTGGAGTAAGGCTAGCTTGTTTCTATTTTTAGCGGATATAAACGAAAGGTATACAGGGAGAGCATATTCTAGATCCGGCTGAATAACACCGACAACGAAAGTACGGCGGGCAAACAGGTTCATCTGGCGGAAAGATCGGCGCAGTACACCAATCTTCCGTGAGGGTTTCCGGACGACATTGTTAATGTGTTGGTCAAAGGACAGCTTATTGTCAGCAACGGCTCCTAGGCATCTGGTGCTTTCCACTTCCCCTAGCGTAACATTTGCCAAGGTGATTTGCAGTTGTTGCCTTTGTTGTTGTTGCTGACTCCCTGTGGCACGTTTGGGATGGATTTGCATGACAACGGTTTTGTCGGTATTTATCTGCATGCCAAGGGAGCCAAGGTGGTTGTTTAGTATCTCCAGTGCCGATGACAACTTGGCTTCGGAACGCGCCTTCGACGGATCACTAGAGTAGACTGTCTTGTCATCTGCGAACATCAGTAATTTTGAACCCGCTGTCTCCGCAAGCCGGGGAAGGTCCCTCAGGTAGACATTAAAAAGGGTAGGGCCTAAAATACTTCCCTGAGGAACTCCTCGAGACACTGCAAGACTTGAAGACTGGCTGGCTTGCGTGACGACACGCTGAGATCTCCCGGCGAGGTACGACGCAAACCAACGCAGGGCGCTTGCATGAACACCCATGCCATGGAGCGCAACGAGTAACTGTTGATGCTGGACGCGATCAAACGCCTTGCTGAGGTCGACAAAGGCTACACTGGTAGTCTCTCCGCGGTCCTGGGCCAGTTTCCAATCATTTACAGCAAGTGTGAGCAGTTGTGTCGTGGAACGAGCTGGTCGGAACCCAAATTGGTGATCGTGGAGGTGATTTTCGATGGTCAAACTGTCACATACCTGATTTAGAACCAGGCGCTCCAGAGTTTTAGCCAGAATCGACGTGAGTGACACAGGACGATAGTTCGAAGGACAAGTAGGATCGCCCATACGGGATTTCAATATCGGCGTGACATTAGCCAACTTGAATTGTGTCGGGAACACAGCAGTGCACAAAGAGGTATTAAATATTAGGGTGAGGGAGAAGGCGATAACTGGTGCAACGGCCTTCAGGATGCTCGGGAGGAGACCATCTGGCCCACGCGATTTCGTACCGTCGAGTTTCTGAAGGTGCCGAAGTACCTCATCCTCAGAAATAGGGCGAAACTCGTGCAAGTCACACGGTCTTGAGGTACCACTTGGAACAACATAAGCCGGGTTCGGATCTGACACAATACTATGGAAATGCCTGTTCAAGGTATCTGCCTGGACGAGAGGCTCAGTTCTTGGGGTTGTGCGCCGGGTGACTGAGTTGATGGTGCTCCAAAGACGCCTAGGATCTCGCCGGTAATCGTCACAGATGGAGCGGAAGTGGGCATTTCGGAGTTGGCGATAAAGGTTATTGCATTTGCTGCGCAAAACTTTGAACTCCTTCTGTAGAACTGTACTACTGCAGTCAGACGAGCGGTACTTTCTGTAGACGGTTTTACGTCGCCTAATGAGAGCTAGTAATTCCGGTGTCATGAATGGGCACTTCTTCCTTTTTCCAGGGGATTGTCTCCGTGATGTTATGTAGGGTGCAACCACATCCAAGGCGTTTTCAAATTTTCCTTGCCACTCTTCTAGCATTACATCGACCGACGGGGACGAGAAGGATCCGAGATCAGAAATTGACAATAAATGAGAGAGATCAGAGACAGAGGCCTTACTGTAATCACGGCGGCGGGATCGATAATAATTGTCCTTGTGTTGGAATTGACTTCGGAAAAATAATGCTGGTGTGAACAAAATCATGATCGGTGAACTCACAGGAGTGAACGCTTCCGTGCTCAACACAATCCATGTTGGTTAGTACACAGTCGAGAAGTGTTTTGATGTAGGTGTGATCCGTGTAGGGTGCGTAATCATATTCTTCAGATCAAGGGGAAGTAGCAGGTATGTGTTTAAATTGTCAAAATGATGCGTTTGAGGGGACAATAAATCAACATTTAAGTCGCCCATCAGAATGAGATCTTCGCCCTGAATGTCATACATGACTTGCTGTAAAGATTGCCAAAAAGCCGCCGGTGCGGACGGTGGCCTGTAGAGACAGCCAATGAGGAATGATTCACCTGCTTCTCGTTTTTTGGAACGCAACCAAACCATTTCCAGGTCGATGTGCTGAATCAACATCCGCTTAAACCTAAGTTGCAACCTGCTGTAAATCACTACACCGCCGCGCTTCTGGCAAGGTGTTCCATTTGTACAGGAGCAGTTGTAATTGCACTTTCTGTCGAGACGGTGCATTGAGAACCCCCGGATGTCGACTTCTGAGTCCGAGATGCTGTTGTCGAGCTTTTTTAATTCGCACTTAGTGCTTTTCGCGTCCCTCAAAATATGCTGAAAAAGTGCTCTTTTTTTCAGTGAAAACAGGCAAAAGTGCTCTTTTTTCAGTGAAGCATAGCCATGAAAGGCCCATGATACATGTTCAGATATGAACCCAAGGCCAAGCTGAGAAATGAATACGCACTCTTCGAAAGGCAAAACAGGAAGTAAAGCTAAAAAAACACCACTTTATACAGCATTGTGTACACCGGGTACAAGCTTCACCAACTTGTTGCCCCCCCCCCCCAAAAAAGGCGTCGTGCCAAGGCCCATCGAGCACTCGGAAACTGTGATCGCATGCATGAGCAAACAGATTTTAGCACTTTTTCAGCTCAAAAAGCTCAAAAAGGGCGATATTCACCAAAAAACGCAATAAGGGGCGAAAGAAACGGGCTTTTCCAAAAAGGGCCAAAAAGGGCGAAAAAAGGGCGAGCACCTTTGGGAAAGGGCTATACATGTATGTGGATGAAGAAATGGAGCAGAATTCAAGGAAGTGCCTGCCATACATGTACGTTTTGTATAATTCATTAATTCTGCAAAATTTTCCAGCATTATCCGCCAAGGGCTACTCCCAGTGGAGAAACGATTAGTTTTTTTTCTACAAAGAACACAAACCCGGTTCGAGACAAAAATAAGATCAAGAAAGATAACAAAGTTGCATGCAGGGAGAACGAAGAAACGACTAGAACACAGAAGTTGTGGGTTGACAGAACAAACAACTATTGAGTCGGGGCTGACTAGTTATCGTCAACTTGAGACTAAGAGCAGCTCGCTGTGGAGGGGGGGGGGGCAAGGACCGTAATTTTTGACATGTTACAGTTGGAGATCCTTTACCCTTAGTTACAGCCTTGCAGATGCACAACTACCCAAGCCACAAGCGCTTCTTCCTGTCGATATGACTTGACGCTTTACTGTCATCCAGAGCACACGGAAATTTCCGAGGTGGATACGATAATTATTATGAATGATGTAAAACAGCAGAAAAATAATAGTAGACAAACTCAGTAGAACTAGAAGACAACGATTCATTCTCTTCTTTTACTCATCCACCAGAAATAGTAACTGATGGAGTCTGGAGAAAAAAACATTTCTGTCCAAATGAATCGGTCTTTTCCCTCCAATCCTGTTAGAACTGAGGAGCGAAAGGGTGGCGAGACCTGGTGGACTTGGCCGACCTGAGGTCTCGGCTAAGAGTCGGCTTCATAGTGTCTGCTGGTTGTAGATTGGTTGTGGTTCCTTTGACTATTTTGAGGTGGCCGTAGCAAGGTTGGACGGGGGCGTTGTGTTGGTGATCATAAGTTATGACTGACACCAATCTTTACCTTTCGCCCCAAAACTCAAAGCTGAAGGTGCCTAGCGCACCTGTACATGTACATTAGGCCTTGACAGATTATGCTGGCATAATATTTCGCATAATTCCTACCAAAATCGAATAATCGCATAATTCGAGGCAAATTGCATACGAATCGCATAAAATTCGAATACTCCGCCTGTTCGCATCAAATAATGATTCCATACAGTTGTACAGTCATGTTCTACAAGTAGAAGTACAAGTAGATGCACCAGGAAGTCGTAGGTTTACGACTCCCTTGAGAACATGTCCAGTCCACTACAATCAGTGACGGTCGTAGCTAGTCGGCCGGTGCGTTGAGCCCGTTGAACTTTTGCTACTACATGTATACAGTACAACGCCCTCTACAAAAAAATTCCCCTGTTATTTTGCGCAGAACCATTATACATTAGCAGCATATATGTGAGCATAATGCGGCATAATATGATAACTTTTAGCATAAAAATAGCATAATTCTGAAATTTTTTCAGCAATGCGAAAAGCATAATTTCACGAAGATATTAGCATAATCTGTCAAGGCCTAATGTACATGCACATGCAATCCTTGAAGTCATTCATGAAAATAGCGTCTAGTCTTGAGACAAGACATTATTTGTCATTAGTACAAAATAGTAGAGTGGCACGGCGCCACTACTTGTCGACCTGTGACGTCTATCACCAGGGCTGCACACGCAGATGACGCTAAGAATGACAACGATCCTACTCAGAACATGTAGCTACAGCACTCAGCAGTACACGACTAGGCCGGTACATTACACATGTATGTGACTAGTGTAAGACAGACTGTCACTGTCTGTCTGGACTGGAGTCGTGTTGCCGTATGACAACGTTAGAGAGGCGTTCTGGGGAGGTGAGAGGCGCAGTTTGATATCGGGTGCGAGGCTTGTGAAATACCAGTGCTGAATAGGACATAATTGTACTAGTCACGGACGTCATTGCAATATTCACACTCAGTCCGTGAATACAGCATCCTTGCTTTTTCATCTCGAACACGAACGCAATCCACAACAGATCATCTTCAACTACTGCTGCGCAGCGTTTTGGTTGTTTGCCTCTTGCCTTTCGTTCGCGTCACAGCCAAGATGTGTCGATTCGGTTGTAGCACAGCCAATCAGGTACGCGAAACGGCCAGTGCATGTTTCCATCTGTCTGTGTCTGCTGATCACAAGTCACACTGGTTGCTGCTGCTGCTGCTGCTCCTGCTGCTGCTGCTGCTGCTGCTGATATGCGTTGAGTAACTGCACACTGTATTTTGGAATTCTGTGGAGATTATCCCGCGACAGTGTCAGCGGGGAATAATTACTACAATTGTGAAGAGATTACCAGAACAGTCATGTGCAATGTAACAGCACGCTGGTGTGATCGTCCTGGAATACCTACATGTGCAGCTCGTATTCATCTCTCTGTGACATTCTCCAACGCAGTGGGTTTTCCACACGCTTCTTCTGTTGAATTGGTACATGCACCTGTAACCATAATCGAGCCAACAATACCTTATAGGAGAGATTTCGCGTTTGTTATGGGTCTTTAACATTACACTGTGCATGTACGGTGCATGTTATTAGGTCGGATTCGTAATCGCTGTATCGGCCAGTGTGTCGGTCACTTTTTTTTATCAATATCAACAAGAGCCCACCAGGGTTATGTATTCAGACCAAGGGATATTGGCTTTCCCGTCCCATTCTTATCATGTACATTGTGCATGTACGTGACGGTGTCTGGTTTTTTGCAGATGTACAAGTGCCGGCATTGCAGTGCTGTGTACTGCGCATCGTGCAAGAAGGGCGAGTTCGGTGGCACCATGCGCGCCGCCAATGTATGTGGAAAGTGTAACAAGGTGGGTATAGGCACTATAATCAGATATTAATCAGAATAGTATTGTAATCAGAATAGCATTGTAATCAGAATAGTATTGTGCTAAAGCTGGTTTGCTTTTTTACAAGATACATGTAGCCACAAGTCATCAATGATGGCTTGTGGCTCGTGGGGCAAGTGCCAGCAGGAAATCGCAGGGAGGCACAGAGCGATAGCATCCCAAGCAGTGGGGGCGGGGCGGGAGCAGCTAAACCGACCAAGGGTCTCGCGAGGCATTAACAGTAGTGTTCTCTCTCTCTCTCTCTCTCTCTCTCTCTCTCTCTCTCTCTCCCCTGAAGAAGGATGGGCAAGTTGGTCATGGAAATCAGCTGTGCAGTGGCTGTGCAGGGTTACAAGTGAACAGTAGCCCAGAACTAGTCAGCAGACTGTAGGTACATGTGCTTGTGAACTCGTTTCTTGAATAGCTGACGGGAGTGTGCCATAATTATTATACATCAGAGGCGAGGCAGTGCAGGTGGTGTTAGTAAAAACTCGTGAGGAAACGATTTCACTCCTCGATGATTGCTGAAGGGAATGAATGATCTTTGTACACCGGAGTGGCGGTTGTGGAGTGGGGCAAAAGGCAAAAATGCCATCCATTGACTAAGCTGGCTCTGCTGCCCAGTGCAAGGATGTCCTTGCAGCTCTGGTGCGGAGGCAGGGATCATTACTCGTAGTAGACTGACGTAGAACCATGACGATTTTATCGTTAGGGTGAAAACAGTTTAATTAAACTTGTAAATGGCTGCAATGGAGTTTGTGAATGCTTAGAAAAAATGCACAGTGACGTATTATGATTACAAACACATCATACCTTACCCAGCTATAGGCGGAGAGGCTGAAAGGTCAGTTCCAGTAGATGGCCCGATCCCTACACCAGCCTCTGACATGATAAATGCGTAGAATGTAGAATTTCGGGTTTCCTAGTACCGGTAATTGTTTGAGACACAGTTCGTTGCAATCATATCGATTATACAGTATCAGCTGGCAGCATCTGTTTCATGTAATTACATGCATACATCCGAAAGTATGTGCATCAAGTAATGCCAGTCGGTCTGATGCATGATGCTACACCATAGCCTAGTTCGTTTTGCAGTCTTCTCTTCATTATTTTTTTAAACCACTGTGCAGCCTGGGATTAGACTCGGATGGAGTTGGAAACTTGTAAACTTATGGTCCTCTCTTTTTTTATGCACTGTACTTGTACATGTACAACTGTACATGTTATACTCAGTACATCATGTGCTGAAGTACATGTGTCATGTACATGTATGGCACAGAGAGCGGAGTCCACGTACATGTACATGTACATGTACATGTGCATATAGCACCCCATTAACGTTGTACTACTACTACTATCATTCTCTTGGTCTACTTTCCTATGCGCACGCTTTTTTTTGCTACAGAGCCAGCACCGGGGCGACAAGGTACCCAAGTGAATAATCAAATGCAATGGTGAAGCGTTGTACATCGCTGGAAGTTTCTACAGCCACAGAGCAAACTGTCCTGTGGCCGACCCGTCGGGTTTCAGACTTGTTTGAGACACAGTGTGTTGCAATCATATCAGCTGCTCAAACATGATCATGATTTTGTTTTTGCTCTCTGTCATGTCTACTTCGAAGAAGTACATGTATTAGTTCTCTAAAATATAGGCAAAGTATTACAATATAGAACCTTAGAAAGAACCACCCAATCATTGAATTTTAAACGTGCATGTACTAGTACCTTCCACACTGATCTATCTAGTACAGCAGTAGCCATCTCATTTACAATTTTGTTTTAATGATCGTCAGAAAAAATGACAAAATGACGTAGCGTGGTGAAACCTACATGTACATGTACATGTAGAATTGTAGATCAGTCGAGCAAGCTGTTGAGTAGACCTGCTGAGCGTCCCTGCGGCAGTTTGATCACTTCATAACATACCACATGAAGAGAGCTTTGTGGGCACTGTACTGGTCTATGTATTTGTGGGCACTGGTCTATGTACATGTATTTGTGGGCGTATTCTTTAGTGGGGCTCCGGGAAATATGGTATATGTACATTAAATTTTGGTGAGCTCAAGCTAGCCATTGGCGGACTATGCTCGGCCAATCGTCAAATTATGCTTTTGATTATGTCACAATTATGCCAACAAATATGCTGAATTATGCTGAATTATGCTCGGTTCCACTATGTATTCACGCTGTACATAGAGGATTGAGAAACCACGCATACATGTACATGTACACGCACGGCCATGCCCTAAGCATAATTTTTGTCTAAACCGAAAGATTATGCTGACCTTACACGTTAAAATCCGTATATTATGCCGGAGCATAAATTTTTGACGAAATCCCAAGATTATTATTACAGGGTGCGACAGAGCTCTCGGTCATTGAAGAAAATGTTGAGTTACCTCCACCATTACACTGCGCTCTTTAATGGTGATGGTTGTGTGCAGGAGGGTCTAGTCGGCTAAAGAGCGCATTGTAATGGTGGAGGTGACTCGAAATCCCAAGATTATGCCAAATATTATGCCGGCATAATCCTCCAATGGCTATGACAAGGAGTCGTAACTGGGGTATTTAAAAAAAAAAACATCTGCAGGCTTTCTGACAAAGCTGTATTATGCCCCTAAGCTGACCCTCCAGGAAATCGCGATTCCACGGATGCAACAAATTTCGCGATTTTGGCCCAAACCCGCGATTTTCAGCAAAATCTGCTATTTCCCGCGTTTTTTGTTGTTTTCTGTACTACAGTACATGTATATCTCACATTTGTATGCACTTTTCCGACGCAGTTCTTTCCATGATTATCTACCAGTTAGAGTGCGGATGCAGTTTTAGGAGCTCCGCTCCTATCAGCCTTTCCGAGTCTGTAACTGTAACCTACAGGAGCTGTGACTTGTACTGCGGACTATGGCCACCAATGAGCATGTCGACCTGGCCCTTCTGACGTTCGACTGTCTACAAAACCTGGCCACCCGGACTGGCATCCCGAAAGCGGACTCCTTCTCACGGCCCGACCTGGTGGGAGCGCTCCGGAAGGAGGGGATTGGGTCCCACCCCATCCTGGAAGGTATGACCGGTATAGGACATGTCACGACTGCTTTGGCCGCATTGTCCTCGACAATAATGGACCTGAATAAAGAAATAGTGGCAATTAGGGTGGGAAGAGATGATGAAATTGCTTCCTTGAAGCTTGAAATTCAACAGCTGAGGCGGGAAATGGCTGACCTGCGAGATACTAGCGTACACACACAGCACGCCATGCCACACCAGTACAGCGACGTAGTACTAGGAACCGCCACACAAACTGCAAGTGCACGTGCGAGGCTCAGCACCACAACGGGCAGGTCTGTACAAACGTACGGTACACACGCCGGCAGTGGCAGCCTGCCAGGAGAAACGCGTGTGCAACAACCCAACACTAGTACTACAAGTCGTAGTTCCAGCCCCGCAGCAGGCGTGCATGCATCTCGTAGGTCCAGCACTACTACAAGTCGTAGCTCCAGCCCCGCAGCAGGCCTGGATGCATCCCGTAGGTCCACCGATACTGAACAACAAGTACATGAATGGCAGGAACACCAGGGCAGACGCACTCGAGCCGCCCAGAGACAAAGGCACGCGGCAGATACTAGTAGTCAGTCCCAGCTAGCTCAAAGCATAACAAGGCGGGTGGAAACATCCCGCTACACCAAGCCGGCTCGTGATAGCGAGCCGGCAGTAGACCTCACGGCATCACCCCGGGCCAAACGCAAAGTGTTTTACGTTGGCAACGTGCAGCCACACTGCTCCGCATCATCAATTGCTGAATGGTGCTCTGCCCGAGGAGTGCAGATTCAGGAAGGTGTCATATTTGCATCCAAGCACTTCAGAACTGCCTACGCACGGGTGACCGTCGAGGCAGCTGATGAGAACACAGTCGGTGACAAAGGGTTCTGGCCGGATGCTCTTTCGCACACGGTTAGGCCCTGGCGTTTTGCCGCGGACAGTTTTGACACCAGCAATGCCAACCAGGCAAACAACGTCCTCTCCTCAGGCTCAGCATGATGGCGCGACCACAGCTGAATCCACTGGCTCGGCCCTACTTCCCCCCTTGCCAGGGTAAACTGACCTTGCTTTCCGTAAATTGCCGCTCAATCGTTAACAAATCTGCCGAACTGTCTGTCATTGCTGATTTCAACAAACCTGATGTCATCTGTCTAAATGAAACATGGCTAAATCCAAGCATAGCGCTCACCATCTCCGGTTATACCACATTTCGTCGCGACCGACCACCTCATGATAACAAATCCGGTACGGCAACCAGAGGATATGGTGGAGTTGCGATTCTTGTCCGGCAAAATCGCTTCGGAAGAGTCCAAGTTCGCGACGACCTTGCTCGTCCGACCTGTGAATCCGTATGGGTTGAGCTTCACCCAATCTTAGGCTCCCCGACACCCATCCTCGTCTGCTGTACCTACCGTCCGCCCTCAGTCAAAACCACGGAAATAGACCACTTCTGTGATATGCTAGCTAGTGCTTTGGTAACCGTTCCCATGTCATCGTACCATGTCATAATGGCTGGGGACTTCAACAGTAAGCACAAACGGTGGTGCCCATCGGATTTAACGTGTCCTGCTGGGGCGGCACTTTTTCGCACCCTTACCTGCTTCGGTTTGGATCAGCTGGTGCAGAGTCCAACGCACACAACATCTTCCGGAACACAGTCATGTCTAGACCTTGTCTTCACAAACCAACCCCTGCTGGCGACGGACGTTCACACAGCTTGCGCTCTTGGCTCCTCGGACCATCTCATGGTTTCATGCCAGTTCGCCGTCTCATTGCCCTCGGACCCAGACCTGCCACTTCCTTCTCGCAAACCGTTCCCATATCGCTTCCGTCGAGTTCCCTCTCAGTGCTGGGACTCTATGAACGCTGATTTCTCCTGCCACGACTGGTCGTTTCTGCAACCAGAAGGCTCTCCAACTGTTGACGCCGCGGTAGATCACTTTGCAGCCGTCCTTGAACGAGGGTTCCAACAGCACCTCTCTAACTTTGCTATCGGCTACAACAACCGGAAACATTCCAACCCAACATCCTCGACATCTAGTCCCCCATGGGTGACACGGTCCCTCGTATCTGAAGTGAAGCGCAAGCGTGATCTTTTCAGCATCTACAAGAAATTCCCAACGCCGGTTAACCGGGAGGCTTACCGAGTTCAACGCAACTTCGTCAAGCACCTTTCTCGTACCTCACACCGCTCCTTTCTAAACTCTCTTTCTGCAACACTCTCCTCCCCCGATCGCCCATCACTCCACCAATTCATTCGCAACCAGTGCCGCGGGACCTCCCGCGCGCCAATCCAGTACCTGACGGACTCCAATGGCAACCGCCAGCACGATGTGAAGGCGATTGCAGACACACTGAACAAGCAGTTTGTTTCATCCGGCATTCCGGAGGATCCGAATTGGGACATTCCATCGCTGTCCCCAGCCCCTGAACTTAGCGCACCACTCACACGCGTCGTTACCACGACTGCTACCGTCTGTAAGCACCTCAAACTCCTGAAGAATTGTAAGTCCCCTGGCGAAGATGGCATACCCAATGAGGTTCTCAAATGGCTTGCGCCATCTCTGTCCTATCCCTTGTGCCTGCTCTTTAACATGTCATATCGTACAGGAGTATTTCCGTCCGTCTGGAAATCTGCTGTTATCGTCCCGATCTATAAGAAAGGCCAACGCTCTCAGGCTGGCAACTACAGACCAATCTCTCTCCTTCCCGCTGTGTCAAAGGTCTGTGAACGTATTTTCTTTGAGTCTCTGTACTGCCACGTCACCCCAGCGCTTTCACCATCTCAATCCGGTTTCTGCCGTGGAGACTCCACAACTTTCCAACTAACACGTCTAGTACAAGACATCTACACCCAGCGGAACCTCAGGCGGCATGTTGGCATCGTGTTCTTTGACCTAGCGAAAGCTTTCGACACCGTCTGGCATCGTGGTCTGCTTGCAAAGCTAGAGTCCGTCTTCTTGGTACATGGTCCAGCCCTGCAATGGCTCTCATCCTATCTTTCCTGCCGCCACCAGACTGTCAGAGTATCTACCTCCCTATCAGACCCATTACTAGTCGTGTCTGGGGTACCCCAGGGGTCCATACTTGGGCCGCTCCTATTTCTACTGTACGTTAATGACTTGCCAGCCCTTGTACCAAATGTAAGTCTTTTTGCTGACGACACTGCTCTGATGTGCTCCGACAGCTCGGCAGACAACCTCACGGCCTCCATGCAGTCCGGGGTCAACGCTACAGTAACATGGATGGAAACCTGGAAACTGAAGCCTAACCTCGCCAAAACCGAGGCCATGTTCTTCTCTCCCTCGCCCCCCACTCAGCTTCTGTATTTTCCTGGTCTAAATAGTACACCTATTAAAGTTGTTAACGAGCACAAGCACCTGGGCGTTATTCTCGACCGCCAACTCTCCTGGTCTCCACAAGTCCAGTCTGTGTGCAAGCGTGCGAGTGCGTCCTTAGGTATGCTACAACCCCACTGCCAACACTTGAATGATAACTGCAGAAAATTGTTCTTTAAGTCGTACATTTTGCCTATATTTGACTATTGCGATATAGCTTGGTGCGGGTTGTCTCAGACTTTACTCCACAGACTGGAAGTACATCAACGCTTGCTTCTGAAAATTCTGTTTCGAAAAGACCAAACATTTGCCTCCCTTTGTCTTTATAAACTTGCTTCCACGCACCCTCTTCTTGCCCGACATCAGCAGCATCTTTGTATCCTTGTGCAAAAAATCTTCCTAGCCCAAGTCCCGAAACATATTGCCAAGTACAACTGGTTTGTTACCACTAGACCAACACGCAATGCCTTATCACTGCCCCGAGCTAGTTCCTCTCTGTTTTTGAAATCCCCTTTCTTCTCAGCATACTCCCTTTGGTCTAACCTGCCTACTAGCATTAAGACATGCCAGGATATCAGGAAATTCAAAGTCCAGCTTTCCACACTGTCTCATCCGAAGTGATCCCATGTATTACTAATGTGCCTCCCTTTCTTTTTCTCTCCCTATCTCCTTTCCCTCTCTGACAGCATCTTTCTTTTTCTCCCTTTTAGCTTGCCGTGGTTGGCTATCACCTGACCTCTCATGTTTATTGGCAGTCTTCGGACGGGCCAGGAGATGTTGAATAAATAAAAATAAAATAAAAATGATCCTGTAGGTTATTTGCACAGTACGACTCCCGAGTAGATATACGATGCAACAAATTTCGTGATTTGGCCCAAATCCGCAATTTTCTGCAAATAAATCCGCGAATTCCTGGCAAGTTCTGCATCATTCTGGACTTTTCGTCGCATTTTTTGTTATTTTCTGCCGCAATTTCTTGCGCAAGTTTTCGAGCGTTTTTTCCGCAAATTCCCGCAGGGACAGCCTAAGCATAATTTTTGTCTAAACCAAAAGATTATGCCGGCCTTACACATTGGAATCCGTATATTATGCCGGAGCATAATTTTTTGACGAAATCCCAAGATTTGCCAAATATTATGCTGGCATAATCCGCCAAGGGCTAGCTCAAGCAGCAAAGTAAAGCTTGCACATCCATAACACCACTAGGGTCCAGCGGATAATGCTCCGAAAATGTTTGTATAATTCTTATCATAATGCTCCAAAAACTACCTTGTAATGCTGATTATAATGCTTCAACAAGGGCTATAATGCTCTTGGTTTGGAACAAAAATGGAAGAAAAGCCACACATTGTCAAACTTCCAGGAAAAGATGCATTTAGCCGATCTGCCTCTGAAGCTGCTACAATATCTCTCACGAGTCACGAGCTCCACCACTTCTTAGCACTACAGACATGATCGCGTCTCCATTGGCTGCTCTCCATTGCAACTTTGATGCAGGGCTATGGCTGAATAGTGGGTGTATCAAATCTTTTCCCTAGCAGGGGTCGTCCATAAATATCGAACTTTTTTCACAAAACGAAATAATTTCGTTATGCCGGGTGGGAGGGGTTGACCAATTTCGTTTCAGAAAAGATTGATTCATGTACATGGCCTGGCCATTGTCTATGCGCGTATGTCAACGTTTTTTACGTTCTGAGGGGGAGGGAGGGAGGGGTTGGGTCTAAACTAAAATAATTCGTTTGGTGAAAAAAGTTCGATATTTACGGACAAACACATATCCATGTACTACATGTACATGTAAGTATGATGGATGAATCTGTATAGTGAGAGGTGAAAGTTACATGTAGTTTCAGCCAGACAGTAAGTCTGTAGATCGAGACTACTGTAGTACTGAGTACTGTACCCGCACGAAGGAGTAGGGAGATCCCCTTTCAAACGCCTGTGGTGCCAGAAGCTTCGAAGGTTGGGTGAGGGGAAATGGGGGAGAGGCGTGATCTGCGTACATGCGTGTATGGACGACTGGTTATTATTCATGTTGTGCATCGTTATGACTGTTGAGCATCATGCATGTAAATAATTTTATGGTAATGAAAGACTAAAGAACAGTTTTAGTCCATCGGCCAAGTCTCAAAATCGAAAGTGGTGATGCACTGAGCTTCCAACTAAACGCGACCATACCCAGCACGTAGAGAATATATCAGAGAACACTATTCCGTTTGTTGGACGTGCCGAATTCAGTCCAGGGCGTCGATACGAAGCGTTCTTCGTCGCCGAGTTTTTTACTGTGCGCTCCATTTGAGAGTGCGCAGAGTTCTGATCGAGAGTTTTTTGAGCAGATTTTCAAATTTTTGAGGCTATCAGCTGACAGCTGTCAACCCTAAATGGCACTTAGTATGTGACAGGCAATAGGTTTTGGTGCCTCCGTATGCCTTCTAATAAGTTCTATCTTCCTTCGTTTCACTTCGCTGCTTCGCCCACCACCTCAGGAGATGACAGCGTACCTGCACTAGTCAGCTCTCGCTAACCCTGTCTCTCTTTCTCCGTCTTAGCGCTCGTCATTCGTGTCCTTCTGCTGGGGCGAGCTTGATACTGTTGTGTCGTAGTTTTTAGGCAATAGTGGCTGTTGTTCGCGTGATGATCAGGATTTATGGAGAAAGACGACGACTCGCCAAGTTCCCATGCAGCCACAGACGGCGTAGCAATTCTTACCGCCAACCCTTCGAACAACGGAACCGGCCTGAGTTGGAAATCGTGTCTGTGTAATTGTGCCACGATACGGATGAAACACACAGGCTCACATGTGACGAGATGAAGATAATCTCAACAGGCTGACGGAAATCCAACAGGCTCACGGGAACGCTGCAGTTATGGTCGGAGACGCGGAGTTATTTAGTCACTGGTAAATGTTGCATCGAGTGCTGTGTGCATGCTCTAACACAATTGTAAAAATCATGAAAAAGCGAAAATAATGCAATGGTGGGGCTGGGTGGTGTTCTGTGGAGGAGACGTCGCTGTCTCAGTATTCAACGCCGGACCCTGTATTTCAAGTCTGTGGTCATGCTCGATCATAAGTTCCTGTATGGCTCCAGTGCCTTCTCAGCATTGTTGGCGGGTAAGCACCTGGATCGTGTCCAAGTACTGCGGCTCTGGTGGCTTGAGGGATGTACGGGTGCTCGCCGTGCACCCTGCCGGCAATCTGCTAGTGAAGCTTGGTACCTACTGTGTCCGGGAGATTTTCATCCAGAAGCTGATCTTCCTAGGCTGGAGCTGCTGCTACTCCTGTGCTAGCCCCTCAACCACTGGCGCTCCTACTCGGCTCCAGTGTGGGCCATTAACCACCCTGCCCGATTTCGCACTGTTGCTATTCCACACCGTCAGCATTTAACTCTGAGGTCAGACCTTGATCCCTCCCACCATATGCTATCTGTCTGTCTGCCTCTCTCTCACACACAGATGGGCGCGCATACACACAAACACACATGCACACACACACAAACACACACACACACACACACACGCACACACACACACACACATGCACACACAGTGACACAAACATACACATAGCCAACTTCTCTGTGTTTGGTGATCATCATCTGTTTTCTGATGTGCAAGCTCACCTCTGATGCCGATTGCTTCCTTGCTTAGACCCGGTCTGCTATTAGACCAGTCTGCTCTCCCTTCACTCGCTTGTAAATCCTACTTGGAGCAGTAAGGTTGTGTCACTGCTCCTACTGATGTCATTGTTGTGAAAGCAATATCATCGCCATTGGTGGTAATTTTCCACCGTGCATGAATCATTAACAATCATCATCTATGTGTCACGGCCTAACCATCCTCGTAACTCCCCTCATCGTGACTAGTGCTCTACCGTTGAAACCTACTTTGCTTCAGTGTATATTCGCTCCAAAGCTCTTGTTTTGTTGCATAGTGATCTGACGCAGTGTGCTATAGCCAATCGGGTAATATGGATAAGATTAGTACAGTCGGCATCGCCTATCGAGTGACCAGGTACATGTATAAGGATACTAGTACATGTATACCGGCTTAACGATATCGGAACACAAATAGCACTATGTGTGCAATATTCCTTTCTAAGCTCACGCTGTGCGGTGCAGATAGGTCATGTGTCGTTGCCAACTTGCCGCATGTGCATGTGCAGCAGGAAGGCACCACATGTCGACTACTACTTATACTGTACAGCATTGTGTGCTTACATGCATCTACGGCCTTGTGGATGCAATTGAGTCTCACATACATGTACATGAAATATTGCGTGTAGTGCGGCATCAGTTAACATACAGTGGCTGAATATTTTTCTCGCAATAATGACCGTATTCACCACAAGTGTGTTTATGTCCAGAGCCAACTCCAGTCCTGTATTATTATTTTATGACCATGACAACAAGACTTCCGGGCTGAAATTCTTCTATGACAGGCATGAACACTTGCCTTACAATTGTTCGTGATTGTACGAAGTACATATTCGCTGCTGCATCAATTTTGCACCATTTACATTGTAGTGCCACTAGTGGTATCACCTGCATGCGTATTGAGTCAAACAAGGTTACCTCTGTATAATTATGCTTATCGTGGCTATCAAGAGCTTCGATGCAAATTCCCAGCTGACGAATGGTGTCCAGCTTGTGTTCAGCTCAGCTGGCACTCACAACTCATAATAATTGCGTTCTAGACGCCAGATGAGATGTTTCAGCTACAATGTAGACACAACGTCCGTGTTCAAGAAAGCCGTCACTTCATCTTCTGTCCATCCTCAATAGCACGTTCAAGCAAATACGTCTGAAACACAGTAGCGACAATCCGACAGCGGCGACACGCCGTCTTCTCCGAATGAGCTTCTACCGTTCTAATTCAGATTCCCCCAAAAATGTCAAAATAAAATAATAGATTTCCACCAAGCTCGCTAGAATCTTGCGAACCGTCAACATGCAGGCATTTCAAGTGTTCGAGCGTGCGTAGATTCTGCTCAGCGGCTCAAGAACATTCGCCAAGCGAAAAAAAGTCGATGAGAAAGATGTAATGGTGGACGAAATTACGAAAATCGGAAGAAGGTATTCGACCCAGTTCGACTATCCTGGACTGGATTGGCAACGTCCAACAATCGGATTCGTATTCTATGGGGTCTCATGAGCTAGTGTGCCAAAGGGCGTTTAGTTGGAGCTTCAGTGCATCACCTTCGCCGAAAGAGGCCCTTTCTGAGATTTGGCCGATGGACTATTTACACTATATAAACAGTCATGCGGAAAAGTTTTGGCCGAGACCGAAAACGATTAGCGTTCTTGCACTTTGCAGCAAGCAAATACCTCACTGCAGAATTCAAGCGCGTGCTGTGAAGTAGATCTCGTAGAATACTAGTAGACGGCGGTGTTATCTGATAACGAAGGGATATGGGGCTCGAATGCAAATCGCAGGGTAGGCTCATGGCCCCAGTCCAGTGATTTGCACCTGTGCAGGCTGTGCCGTAACCGAATTAATAAGTTGTGTTGTGGCAGCACAAGTAGAAGAACCATAATAATAATTATTATCATGAGCGACGAAGCCACCGAAACCACCCGCCTGGTCCAGTCAAGTCGGAGTCGAGCGCAGGAGGCCAGCGGGGACGAAACTAGAAAGCAGTCGCTGACACGCTGTCAGCGACTGCATCCGTCCTACTTCGTTATCGCAATCGCTGCAGTTGAGCGACTGGGCCAGAATGGCATCTTGACCAACCTCGTGTTGTTCATGCAGAACCACAGGCTGCTGGACTGGAGCACGTCCACGGTGAACATCGTGGTGCTGTTGGTGAGGAACGTCACCCTGCTTCTGGCTGCTGTTTCTGGTGCTGTTACTGACAGTCAACTGAGTCGCTATGCCATGCTATACGTAGGTGTGGTGTTACAGTTGCTGGGCTGCTCAATGATGACGGCTGCAGCATTCTTGGAGCACCACGACGAGTATGATCCGGATGGGAATGTGCCGACGTTGAGCCCACTCAGCTCATCACAAGACCACCTTCTACGCTCCTTGATTCTTGGTGGCCTTGGCTTGCTGTCGATTGGGCGTGCAGCTGCGCTAGGCGCGGAGGTTCCCCTCGGTGTGGACCAGTACTGGAGGCGCAGGGAGTCAACGGAAAAGGCCAGCCAGTTCTTCCCACTGTACTATTTCTGGATCAACGTGTCGTCGACTGTTGTCATCGGGGCGCTGTCCTATGTGCAGCTCAACTACGGCTTCAGAGTCGGCCTTGCACCATCTACCGGTGCCTATCTCCTGTGTCTGCTTGGCATTCATGCTCTGCGTTCGCGCCTGTACTCCACAGAGAACCTTGGGCATGGAGGGGGCCTCAAAAACGTAATCTCTGCATACAAAGCCGCGTGGCTTGCGTGGAGAGAGGAGCGGAAGAGACCTCAGTCTGGTGCCGGAGCAAGACGCAGACGGGGCAGTAATGTCAACATGACTGCCACCGACCAGTGGATCAAACCAACGCCGTGGCTCTGCTATGCCGACCTGTCGGAGAAGTTCCGTGAAGAGGGTGGGAGTGTCACAGATGCACGGAATTTCACCAGCCTAGTGTTGGTGCTGCTGCCAATCCTATTGTACAACGTGATGATGTCACAGGTAGGTGTGAATTGTATTTTTTAATACACACGATCATTTTTCAAGAGTAGACCTGCTGTTAGAACAGCAGCAAAACTAACAATGCCTCAGACTCCCGAAACAGTATCGTTCTCTAACCACATACACATGTATGTATGTATACAGTGATGGCAAACGAAATCCAGCTCCCTGCACTATCCCTGCACTATCCCTGCACTAGTCCCTGCACTAGTCCCTGCACTAGTCCCTGCACTATCCCTGCACTATCCCTGCACTATCCCTGCACTAGTCCCTGCACTAGTCCCTGCACTAGTCCCTGCACTAGTCCCTGCACTAGCTTCGTTGGCTTTGGTGTACAAATGGGCACATCCACCTGTGGTCGCGATCAAACTAAACAAATCCAGTGCAGTGGTTGGATTTCATTTTCATGTGCTCGAAGTAGATGCATGATTGTGATATGGTGCACATTTGTAATATGAACATGGAACCTGCTCGGGGGGGGGGGGGGGGGGGGGGAGGGGGGCACATTCAGAAAGGGCATGTATTATTTTTTCATTGGCTCTCAGAGACAGGGGAGGGGCACTATTCAAGACAGTGCTCTAATCGAGGGAGCACGGTATTAAAGGGGAAGTATACCCTAAAATCAAATTTTCACCAGTTGTAGTCTTCGGGGTGCTGAGTCGAATGGTCTTGGTCCGAGGAAGTTGAGACGCTCCTTTCCTCCTTTATTCCCAATCGAACTCGCGCACTTCCACCAAAACTGGGTGACTGCGCCCTACTAGATAGGGATTTGTATGGAAAAAGTCACTAAAAACGCCGTTTCGTTCTTATAAAAGCACGGATGACCACGATTGGTCCATATATTGTAGTCTTTTGGCCGCTGAGTCGACTGGTTTCGGTCCGAAAAGGCTGCGATGCAGCAGTCGGCCCTTATTCCCAATCGAACACGGTTGAGTAAGCGGTCACGTGCTCATTTACAGCCTGTTTGGGCCCGTATATGTCACTCGAGTTGAACCTTTGAACCAGGTAGTCGTAAAAGCCTCTTACGACTCCCTGCTTTGAACCTTCGAGTTGAATCTTGATGTGAAAATTGTACTCTGCAGGCACGGTGACCAGGCGACTGGTGTACGCATGAGCACGTGACCGCTCACTCAACCGCGTTCGATTGGGAATAAGGGCCGAACACTGCATCGCAGCCTTTTCGGACCAAAACCAGTCGACTCAGCGGCCACAAGACTACAACATATGGACCAATCGCGGTCATCCGTGCTTTTATAAGAACGAAACGGCGTTTTTAGTGACTTTTTTCATACAAATCCCTATCTAGTAGGGCGCAGTCACCCAGTTTCGGTGGAAGTGCGCGAGTTTGATTGGGAATAAAGGAGGAAGGGAGCGTCTCAGCGTCCTCGGACCAAGACCATTCGACTCAACACCCCGAAGACTACAACTGGTGAAAATTTGATTTTAGGGTATACTTCCCCTTTAAAGGGGAAGTTAAGGCAAAAATCAAAATCTCACCAGTTGTCTTCGGGGTGCTGAGTCGAATGGTCTTGGTCCGAGAAAGCTGAGACGCTCCCTTCCTACTTGAATCCCAATCGAACTCGCGCACTTCCTCCGAAACCGGGTGACTGCGCCCTACTAGATGGGGATTTGTATGCAAAATGTCACTAAAAGCGCCATTTCGTTCTTATAAAAGCACGGATGACCGCGATTGGCCCTTATGTTGTAGTCTTTTGGACGCTGAGTCGACTGGTTTTGGTCCGAAAAGGCTGCGATGCAGCGCTCCTCCTTTATTCCCAATCAAACATGGTTGAACAAGCGGTCACGTGCTCCTGGGTGCCCAAATCACCTGGTCACCACGCCAGCAGGCGACAACTTTCACACCAAGGTTCAACTCGAGTTCAACTCGAGTGACAGGACTGCACCCAAAACAGGTCAAACAGGCTAGTAAGTTGTACCCTGCAGGCTCGGTGACCAGGTGACTGGTGTACGCAGGAGCACGTGACCGCTTGTTCAACCATGTTCGACTGGGAAAAAAGGAGGAACGCTGCATCGCAGCCTTTTCGGACCAAAACCAGTCGACTCAGCGTCCAAAAGACTACAACATATGGGCCAATCGCGGTCATCCGTGCTTTTATAAGAACGAAATGGTGCTTTTAGTGACATTTTTCATACAAATCCCCATCTAGTAGGGCGCAGTCACCAGTTTCGGTGGAAGTGCGCGAGTTCGATTGGGATTCAAGTAGGAAGGGAGCGTCTCAGCTTTCTCGGATCAAGACCATTCAACTCAGCTCCCCGAAGACCACAACTGGTGAAATTTTGATTTTTGCCTTAACTTCCCCTTTAAGAAGACCAAAGTATTTACTATTTACATGAAAGAGATCCAGATTCGCTTTTCATCGATGCTTTTCAGTCAATCTCCATCGACACACAGGTTGTGCATGCACCTTGGTAACAATCACAACCGACCTTGCACTTTATTAATCAAGTTTAGTCAATAAAATCATGTGCACTCTCACACATTGTATAATGTTACATAGGTATTGCTTTGTTTCCTTTTGTCACACATGACGGACATTCATCGATGAGCGTCAGTGAAACATGCGTCAGGCGGGGCCTTCTACTCGTATACTTACTCTTTCCTGTATTTCAGCTGATCAGAAGGCTTGAAAGTATACTATTGAAGGTTTTCAAAATGCTATTCAAGAACCTGAAGCGTGTCCTTCTTCTAAGTATTATCCACGCACTCTTACTGTTCTTATGATTTAAATTAATGTGCAAACCATCATGTCCGAAAGAGTACATAAGCAGTTTGTGTACTCTTGATGTCGGCAACCGTTGCACTATTGTTGCTGGCCACATTGAAACTGTTTTCTTTGAGACGCCTAACTGTACAGTACAGTACAGTACAGTGACCGGGAAAGTTTGACTAATGTACTACTTTCCTGCTCTTTGCCGGCTACGTTCTTAGATTGCCACTACATTTGTTTCTCAAGGTGATGCAATGTCGATTTCCCTGCAAACAAGCCGCAACGATGCACAGCGTAACGTCTCGGGAAATACCACAGGTGACGGCATGCCGCCGTTTATCCCGTCGACACTAATCGCCGCCGTCAGTGGAATTGCGATTATTGTGGCAATTCCTCTTCTGTACGGAGTCGTGTACCCACGCCTGGACAGTGCGAGAAGATTCTGGCGTCTGACACTCTTCCGTCGGATGGGCATCGGCATGTTTGTGGCTGTCCTGAGCGTACTGTGTGCGGCCGTTGTGGAGGTGGAACGACGGCAGGACGACCGCTGGAACGCAACCTCACGCTATGATCCCGCACTCCTGTCCACACACACCGCCTCGAGCCTCTCTATATTCTGGCAGGTGCCGCAGTACATACTCAGTGGTATTGCTGAGGTCATGGTGTACCTCTCAGGTATGTAGCACATAAACTAGTAGACCGCTCCTGCATCAAACTACTGAAGGCTGTGAGAGACGAGCAACTACATAATGAACACGTGAAAATGAACAGCTGTGCAAGAATGAGAGAAGCCACGTGCACAAAGACCGGTGGCCATGGCTGCATTAGAAAACTCACATTACATTGCACATGTGCCGGAATATGTCACTGCTATATACCCTTTAAGTTTAACTTAGAGTTTAGTCTGGCTACAACAACCCAGGTGTGTACTGCCCTCTGGATATGAAATTGTACGGACCATTCTGGCCGTTGCGAATGAGAGCTGAAGAAAAATGTTGAACGGTCTCTGCTTGGATGGCAGCAACACCACGCGTTAGTGGTTGAGCATTTCTGGCCTATCGCGAAGGCTACTGGTGGTGCTAATCACGTTACTCTTCAGAAGTTTTCCCTTTTCCTTCCCTCAAAGTGATTTACTGTCAACGTCTTCAATAAACTGCTCGTGCACAAGCGAGAAGTGGCAGTCCATATTATTACATCAACACTAAGGATGATTTTATTGTCGAAAAGTTAACCCTGTTTAGGGGTCGTCCACAATTATCGAACTTTTTTCACGAAACGAAATAATTTCGTTATGGGGTGGGAGGGGGTTGACCAATTTCGTTTCAGAAAACATTGATACATGTACATGTACATAGGAGCAGTTACACACTTGCAACTTTTGTTGTATTATGCATGCATATGTCAAACTTTTTTTACGTTCTGAGGGGGAGGGAGGGAGGGGTTGGGTCTAAACTAAAATAATTCGTTTGGTGAAAAACGTTCGATATTTGCGGACGGCCCCGTTTAGCCCTAAAGACAGGACATTGAATTTTGCCCGTGATCTGTGAAGTAAGACGTTACAGCCACCACCACCGCTGCTGCTGGTGCTCTCCGGTCGATCACATTTATCAAACCAGCAACAGAACGACTCTAATTCAGAGTATGCACTTCAATTCAGAATATGCATCGCTCGCTACTTTTACTAGTTTGAACGCTCTGGCGCTAGTGCGACGGGCTATCCTGATGTCTGTGGCGCCACCTTTGCACCATGGCCGGTAGTTTGGCCTACTTAAAGCTCATAGCTGTGCTGATGGGGCCTAGATGGTCGAAACGGCTTGCTGTCTACAACATTGGATGTTGTTGTATACATGTACCTTCGCTTATGAGACCAGTTTGGCCGAAACAGCCGTCTGAAGGATCTATATCTGAATTGGAGTCGTTTTGAGGCTGGTTTTGTGAACTTGGTCGGCCGGAGAGTGCATGCAGTGATGGTGGGAGTGTAATGTCTTACTGAATCAAGAGGCCAACCGATGCTGCTTATTCGTCTTCAGACCTATGAATTAGTGTGCGGTTATGTAAGTCTGTCAGCATTGATTGTCATGTATGTCTGCTAGCACTGATTGTCATGTGTGTTGGTGTCTTACTGTTCAATGGAAGAACACCTTTTCTCAGTCACAGAGTGTGCCTCACACGACTGTGTTACTAGTGTGTATGCATGCGTGTGTTGTGTTTGTTTGATGTGTCTTTCAGCGCTTGAGTTTGCGTATTGCAAGTCGCCGTCGTCCATGAAGGGACTGTCCATTGGTCTGGTGTACGCCATGTCGGGACTCTCTGGCCTGCTGAGCGCTCTCATTCTATACCTGCTCTCGTCCAATGATAGTCGAGACTTCTATGGCTCAGGGTCACCAGGGCGCATGCACCTGTACTATGCTGCCCTGGGTGGACTAATTCTCCTGGGAATCTTCTTCTTTGGCATAGCAACGAAACGGTATAAGTTCGTGCAGCGTCGGGGCGGCGGTGGTGCTGGTGCTGCTGGCGGTGCTGGAACACCACGTGACCAGGCTGGAAGCGGCCGTTACATCCCAATCTAGAGGTATCCTTGGATAGCGTTGTTGTATGATTGTCCTGCCAGTTTGTCCTATTGTTTTCTTGAGCGTCAGAATTGCAGAATTGCTTGCACGAACAACATCACACAATAGTTTTGGCGGGCACCTAATTGTGAAGGTCTCATGTGTGATTTGTGTTGGCCATCTGCCCCCCCCCCTCCCCTCCCCCATATTGGTATGATGAGCCGTAGTCCAGAGTATGGTATAGCCTGCACTCGTATGTGTCTCAAACACGAAAACCCGAGAAATCATATGCCGAGGAGATTGTGTTGAGTTGCATTATGACGTCATATCTGGACAACACAGCTTTGTCAGTTCTGAGTGCGGCAGAGGATCTTTCTTTCTCTCTTTTTCAAGCACAGAGGAAGCGATATGCATAGTTCCTGTTGAACGGGAAACGTGATATGCATAGTTCCTGTTGAACGGGACACGTGCACATAATAGAGTACTGCTGGTGTGACTTCCCGCAGTTTTCATACCGATCGTCGTAAATAGTGCACTAATGGAATGCATTTACATTATTTTGCTTCAGTGTGTGATTTACAGTTGATATGGAAAACGATGGTTGAGCCTGGCTAGTAATGGTTCAATGTGGATGTGTACAAAGTGCATGCGGATGTTTCTTGGAGTCAATTTGTTTTTGCAAATTCTTTGAAAAATGTCCATGTTGACAGCTCTCCTCCTGCTCATATTCAGCATAGCCTGGGAATCAATGTGGCAATCACGGTGTGAAAAGGTCATCATCGTCTTGCCTGGATCTCATTGTTGAGCTCGACCTTATGACTATTTGGATGTGCTATACAGTTTTTTTAGAACACGGAGGCTCCACTGCAGCCAATTCATAATTATTATGATTAATTTTGCAGCGTCAACGACCTTTGTGTAGTGGCGGTGACTGATCATTATGCTATACAGTTCCTGGGTTACTGTAAGACCACTACCGGTATTTACATTGAACAGTTACTGTTACTCGTATGGTGAGCCAATTTAGTTATGGAAAATGGAGAAGGGCAAAACATGTTACGAGTTATGGCTATCAGTACGCCTTGCCAGTTTTGTGCCATTTTGTCGCACTCGCTGACTATAGGATCTGGTTACGTTGGTGGACAGTTAGTCATACCTCGTATCATTTTTTGCTATTTAACTTGATGATTAGCGACGCTTTTATATTTATTTTTTAAATTTAACAAACCCTTCAAATTCCTTCGAATTCGTTCAATTTTGAAGTCGTTTTGTACCGTGAAAAGAAAGATGTAATTACCTAGCAGGGTTCTAGCCAGGGGGGGGGGGCAGCGCCCCCCCCCCCCGCTGCCCCCCCCCCCCTACTCTGTTTGCGCCCCCTGTGAAAAAGTGCCGCCCCCAACTCATTGTCCGATTTTTGTGTTTTTGCATGCCATTCAACGAAAATGCAGTCGATAGTCAATACTAGAGCAGTAGAGGGTTCATAACGCCACGTTTGTCTGGGGTGAAGTCAGTTGTACGTTGCATTTGGCATTGCAAGACAGTTATTTTGAAAATGGAAAAATGGGTTACGGGGTAACTGTTTTCCCTGCCCCCCCCCCCCCCCTACTATATAGACCTGGCTAGAACCCTGCCTAGTATGATTGTGAAGTCACTGGCAGGTTTAGATAGCCAGTCGAACATTTCACCACCAGTCACCAACGAAAAATCCGGAGATCGTTTATTCTTATTGATGCTAAAAGATATGTGGTCTTACAGTGATCACAGCTACAATGAACACTGAGCCAGTCAGAGCAACCAACACTTCTTGCGTAATGGGAGAATCTGTGGCAGTGATAGAATGCATACAGGAAGATAGTTGACTTGATGTGCTGATGGGTTGCGGATTAGGTGCGGTCCGCCTCTAACTGAGGATCATGCGTCAACAGTCATGTGCGACTGTCAACCTGCTTGTGCCTGTCGAGTGTCGTGTTCATCATGGCATTGGCGGTAGCGTCAGTAGATGTGCCAGAGTCAGATTATCACGTGCGCTTTACGCATTTCTGGAGGAGGCCGGGTCCGGGTCTAGTCTGCTGGAGGGCCTGATCAGTGGTCCAGATCATGACATGAATATCCTGTAGATGTACCTAAGCTACCCCAGTGGAGCAGGAGGCGACAGTTAGCGTGCTGTTTGACCATTTGTGCCATAATAATATCCCAGTACTGCAGATTAATAGTCTAAAGCTTTGTGTCTAAGGATTACCATGATTACTGCATGAAGGCGGTACAATGTCTCCTACTTCTTAGTATTCCAGGGATTGTGTGAATGGGGTGGAGGGAGGAGAGGACAACCATGCCCATTGCTTGTGTTCATATAATATTATATATATAATATTGATCAAAACTTGGGAGGCTCAGTGGCAAGATGCAGTCATGAGTATCCTGAGCCATTCCGTGATGTGTAGCAGCTTGTTACATTGTACATGTACCCTGAACTTTACTGGCAGAGTACAATGACCAATTTGGGTTGTTTTGATGGTCTTGTGATGGTCCAAAGTCTGCTCAGTGAGTTTAAAGTTGCTGTTGATTTAAAAGCGACCGGTGGTCTTCGCGATGCATGGTTTCTTTTCGCCTCAGAAGAATTTGTCTCCCTCAGTTCAGCATGCTTTGCATGGTTTTCTGACCTAAGACTAAGCGTCAGGCTGAATCCTTGGCGTTGGAAGTTGCCAACGATTCCCCTTGCAAACTCTACCTGTTTACATCGCATACCTCCTCTGGGAGGATTTCAAAGCAGATATTAGAGGTACTTCAGTACATGTAGCTGCTGTACTTCGATTGGGGGGGGGGGGGCAAGGGGAACAAGGACGAGGAAGAGACGGCTTTTTGAGCATCGTGGCCGCCCTTGCTGTGTGGAGCTGATGACTGTATACTGACCCTAAAACAACGCACCCCTAGCTAGGCTACAATCTGAATTATACTGTACTCGTAGTCTACTCTACATTCAGGTAAATAAACGGTGTTGCTAGGACAGTGTGGTAGGCCTTTGCGGATAATGCCGGCAGAAAAATTGGCAGAATTCGTCGCAAGTTTTTCTGGTAAGTTTCACGCATGTTTGGTACGTGGATAAAGAAATGGAGCAGAATTCGAGGAATTACCCGCCATAAGGTTTGTATGGTTCTGCCAATTTCACTGCTTTTCGAGCAGAATCTGCCCCCTTTTCGAGCAGAATCTGCCACCTTTTCGAGCAGAATCTGCCACCTTTTCGAGCAGAATCTGCCACCTTTTCGAGCAGAATCTGCCACCTTTTCGAGCAGAATCCGCCAATGCCTACACTAAGCTACAGGGTGGGCCATTACCACCCAGCCCAGGCGCCAGGGCCATCACCATGTCCACAACTTCTTGTTCCGTAATTCCCAGTCTGTGTACTTCTTCCGCCAAGTGCAGTGGACGGAAGTGTGCACGTCATTGCCGTCGTGTCAGCAATGAGGTAGATCTAGTACAATCATGACGTGAGTGTGATCTCTCGATATCGCGATCTCCACCATCCGTCCGGTTCGCACGCGTGCAAGCTGCAAGATGCGCTGACAGTGACACCTACAAAAAGCTCTGGCTCTGACCTGTCTCGTGTTATCCGATTTTCCAGATCACCGGATTCAGTTCGCGATGCGCAATCCGGGCCACAAAGATCGGTGTTGGGAACTATGAACTAATGATCGATGACATGTGGATCAGATCTACTTGTGACCCTGTATTGTAGATCTACACAACCCACTAGAAGAACAGGACTCAGCAGCCGGAGCTACGAGTACGAGTACGACTATTCTCTTAGACTTAGGTCCACGTGCATGATGTTTCTGTCTGTAACAAACATTCAATTATTTTGTTGGGTGTAGTGTGCATCCGGGGTAGCCTATTTTATCTGGTTGGGCGCTTCACTCGATGGGTGTTGCGGGGAGGTCGTCTTCCACGCAGTCGTTTCATCCGCTATCGACCCTCCCGTGTTTCTGATTCCGTACCGATACCTATTTTTATAGGACGTTTGATCTGAAATCAGGCTTTGTAAGTAGGCAGTACTAGGAGTAGTAGTACTACACAATTGTCATGTGTACTAGATGAAATTAATTTGATTGGCTTGGATGTACCGTAGTACTTTGATTGGAGTACATGTACTACAGTAGGTTTGTCGTTTTTCTTTCTTTCTCAATCCAGGCTGCCTTGTACTGTTTGCTGGTTCGTCCCGGAGTCCGCCAAGCACTGTCAAGCACGGGCATCAGTTTGCGCTGCTGACTACAAGACTTGTAGTTTAGTATTGCCGAGTTCCTGCCCGGAAAACTAGTGATTCCCTTGTCCGGCACGCGCGCTACGTTACCAGCGTCAGTCGGTGTCAACAGGTAAAGTCTTCTTGCTCACTCCTACCGGCCCTAGCCCTGCTCCTTCGTCAGGACGATAGTCTGGAGGTAAGGAGCTCTGCAGTCGTGTCAGCTACAGCAGCTAGTCGGCTCGTTACCGGACAGTTTCCAGCAAGTAAACTCTGAATTATCGTGCTTCGAGACCGGCGCATTGGAATGATGGCCGGAGCAGATAGTAGCTAGACACGTGTAGACACTGTACTCTGCAGCCTAAACGCCAGGGCAGAGTTACAAAGTAACCCACCAGCTCGAAGCCGCCGTGTCGATCGTGCCGTAAATCCGAACGATGAGTGCGCCGCCTATGCCTGCTGCACGGCAGGCACGCACGGGTGACGACCTGGAAGCCAAGGTGCGCCAGAAGCTGAGCCAGGATGGCTTACTGGATGAGCTCAGCGAAGAACCGTACACGATGGAGGTGAGCTGTGATGACAGGATGCATAATAGTAATACGAAAACAATGGAATGTTTACTGGCTACTACTAGTAGTACTACTAGTGTACTTGTTTCAATGTTTGCGGCGTGATGCTAACAATCACGCAGTGGGGAAAATAATACCAGTCCTATAAATCTGTGCATGTACTGTATAAATAATTAAATGGATTGGAGAATGTGTGCTCGGATAGTGTTGCAAGGATGCTACCAAACAATTTTATCTACAGCTGTAGTACACGTAAATGAAATTATTATTTGGCCCTTTCACATACTTTGCAGAGAGCTCAGGGTGTGACGGGCTGAGCGGCGTGCAGCGCCGTGAATGGACGTCGGTTTGGATTTTCATTTGCCACAACTGCAGTGTTCTATCCTATACCCTACACATTATCCTTGCAGCTGGCTCTTGTGACCGGGACGAAACACTATGCCATTGGTGTTCAGTGCTTGTGGCAATTTGGCAAAGTGTTCTTTTGTATCTAAGTAGCTAATATGTACTGCACTGCAGTAAAAAAGAATGGGTATCTAGCCCATGGATGCTGGTTATGTTCAAACGAACACCATGATATCTCTCCAGTGCTCTATGGTCTGCTGCATGATATATCCCCGGAGAAAATCTCATAACCTTGGGAGTGAAACTTTCCTCCGCTTCAGAAACGACCCAAACAAGTGTAGTTTGGGCACGGCGAACCATGGATTGGAGTTGATCTTGGAGCCTGCTAAGTTGCCCTGCCGCATCTGGACTCCCTAGTGGATCATACTGCTTCCTGAATGCTTTCATGCCGATGCTATACAGTGCAGACAGGGCAGATGCATTAAGGAAGTGTGCTGTGCTGCTCAACAGCTGCTGCGTCTAGTGCCGGTATCCTATGTGATCAGCAGGACTCGCAACACAGCAGATGATGAATTTTCTCGATCTGTACTCTTGCTGCAGCAGAATGATAGCGGCAGCTGTGTAGCAGCTGACAAGACCATGCTGTCCCGTGGCATGATGACTGCCGATTAAAAGCTAGTCTGACTTACCTTGCTCCGCTGAACAGCATAAGCTCTTGAAAGTAATGACATCAACGTAGGGCAAAGTCGAAGTCTAACCTTTGCGGTCTCATTGGATCCACATGTCTGTATGAGTGTATATGGTGTGGTAGTAGAGTGGAAGTGGGCCACGCATGTTTCAGTATGAGTGGCTGTCCTCTCACTGTACCCATAGGCATAACCCTGTGAATTCTAATGCCAATGTAGTTGTCGACCCTGCAGTAGTGCAGTAGTGCAGTGGGCCCGTACACTTCATGTTATATACTCTCTTAGCAAGAGTACATGTGCGTGTAGATGCCAGTGGCTGTCAATGTGCATGGTGAGATAACAACGTTTTGTTTTGTGTACTGGAGACACGCCTACAGTCACACACGTGCTCAATTCAAACACCGTGTTATCTTCTGTGACTGCAGGATGGCGAGACGGGACCGGGCTTTGATGACCTGTGCGAGTATTTACCTACTGAACTCTCCTGTGGGGCTGACGAGCTCAGAGCTGCTCTGGAGGCAGTGCGCAAGTCCACGCTACAGCAGGACACTGTGAGTGCAAGCAACCACTATGCTGCTTGCAACACGATCACTTATTGGGAGAACTGACCTTTGCATGACCAGTGCCAGGGAATGTGCATCCATTGCTGTGTCTTCATTCGGCACTGTGCTCCACTGTGGAATTCCTAATTGCGTGCCAAATCCAACGCAACATACCGCTGAGGAGGTTCTATTGTCTTCATGTTTCAAACATGATTCTTATTTTGTTTGTAAACTGCGTAGTCGGTTTGGTAATAGCATGCCTTTTGTGATATTTATTGCTATTTGCACAGACAAAGCCACCCCAGCAGCCAAAACCAATATCACGGGGTCCCAAGGTAAGGGTTGGCCAAGTGAAATGTACCCGTATGCCTGATCCAGTCATGCCCACTTGGCTGTCTTCAGGCCATACTCGTATTGCTTGATGATGTTGCCATTGCAACTGCTGCTTGTGAGGTAAACAACTGTGAACCGGAGAATTGAGCAGCTAAGTTAGCCGTACACTCTTGACAAGCTCAGACAGGCTTTTGTTTTTAAGAAATACTACATATCCTTACTATGTAAATGCCTATGTCTTTTCTTCCCATGCAGACCGCAAGCAAGTCAGATCTCGGCGGCATATCTAAACTAGATAGTCCAGCAGCAAGCGCCACAGCACCCAAGCCTGGATCCAAGCCAGCCAAACCTCCACCAAAGGCAAAGGCAGCTGTGACTGCTCGTGGAGAAACATCACCAGCAGCAGCAGCGGCGGCAGCAGTGGGCGCTCAAGCAGCAGGCGTGGAGAAAGACTCCGCCCCGGCTACTGAGGAGAAAAAGCCCGCCGCTCCCAAGCCGCGTGGCCAGAAGTCGACATCGTCTCTTGCATCTATGCGTGATGAATCAGCTGACCCTGCTACGGGCGGCCCTCCAAAGCCGCACGCTGCAGCTAAGCCACCGCGACAAACATCAGGCATACCCGCATCCGCTTCTGCACCAAATCTCAGTGATCTCGCTCGAAAGGGTGCCGCGAAATCGAATGATAACCTTTACGAAAACAGTGCACCAATTATAGAGGAACCCAGTGATTCAGCTCTTTATGACAACCCCTTAGACCCAGGATCTACCACAGGTTCTACCACAGAATCTGTACCTGTGTTGAAGCCAAGGCCTGCAAAGCTAGCCAGAAACCTGGGTGACGGTGAGGGGAGCAAAGAGGCTCCGGTCAAAAGCAGTCGGATCGCCCCTCCAAAGCCATCTCGTCCCGTGTCCATGTTTTCAGCTGTTTCGCCTGTGGACCCCGGCAGCCTCAAGGCATTGGAGCGGAGCACGTCCCCAGAACAGAAGGTGGTGCCGAACAAGCCTACACGCAGGTAGAGCTTCTGTTAGCGTGTGACCATAAGCACAGTGTGTTGGTGTTGGTGTTCAGTGGTGTCATTATGGTAGACTTCTAAGAATAATTGTAATGCATTGTGCAGGCATGCCGTTTCTAGAACTATGCAAGGGTAGAGGAATTGTGCTCCTATCTAGTAGTTTTAGGATGGCGCACAACAACATGTACCATTGTTTAGCTGTAACGAATTCTTACTTGGCGTTATTGGAACCTTCTCATCAGAGAACTGTACAGCTGAAAGAGATTACAGTCGGATAGTAAGTACAAGTGCAAAAAGCAATAAATTCGTAACGTATATAGTGGGAAGTGTGTGGAACCAAGATACTTGTAGTTCCTGTACATTCCTCTGATTGGAAGGTTCCGAAAACGTTGAGAAATAGGTCATTGTAGCTAGGCCATGGTCCATGTTGGTGGTGCGCCATTCACTCTTTTCACTGCCCATCTAGTAGTTCTCATGTAATTATAATCAATGACCTTTACCAAGTGTACAATGAATAGTGACCCGGTACTCAGTAAGGTTTGTGTTTTCATCCCACTCTGGCGTAAAGACTACTTTTTTTAAACCAAACGTTGCGTGTATAGGCATCGGCGAATCCAGCGATCTCTACAGGGGGTTTCAGTATAGTCAAAAAATGAATAGCTCTTAGTTGTACATGGACATGCATATGGTTGCCAATAGCACATTTACGAAATTTAGGGGGTTCCGCGGAACCCCTGGAACCTCTCCTGGATCCGCCCCTGATAGGTCACGTAAGTATACTAGTATGCATGTTAGTAAGTTGGTTATGGTTTCCTTGGCTGGTTGTGGATGCACTGCTAGAAGCTATAATGACACTATGTGATTTGTGTCATGGACTGCACTTTCTGATGTGGTGTCCTCTTCTTGTTTACTTGCACGAACACACTGGATGACTACCTGTGCCTCTACTTCTGCAGGGGAACATCACTCGAACAAGGTATGAGCATGCGTCTTTCTGTGTTACTGTATAGTAGTGGTGTGCATGTGTCTGTGCAGAATGAGGGAATGTGTGCTGGTAGGTTCAAGGACCATGACGTGTAGATGCCTTTGTAGTATGCGGCGTGATTGGGATTCCTTTCGTGAGCACTCTCTGCCTTGCGTAGTGTGGTTGGTAACATGAGGATTGTTCGAAAATGCCCCGTGATACAACAATTACAAGTACAATAGCACTTGTTGGATTAGTACTGTAGTATTGCCTGCCTTTGCGGAGGATCCCGGTGTGCCTACCTTACAGTTATGTAGCATGCTGGAATCTACTGTAATTTCACAAATTTTCTGTGTACTTTTATTTTCGGTACTTTCGGTGCGTCTGTTTCATGCCTAAAATTTCAATACACCGAACAAACACTAACACGCATAATCCGAAAGGGAACTGTTTCTCTGTACCTAAGTCGCCTAACCTGGCCTTTTGCCCTCATACCGAAAATATTGAGCACCAAAAATTTCTGAAATTAGAGAATGTGTGCATTGTCACTGTCACTGTCACTGTGTTGAGATTGTGTATTTCCATGTGTCCTTGAAAGTGTTAGTTGTGTTGACTTCGTTTGGAGTGAGGATGACGTGGTTTTTGAAAGTGCGGTGTATTTTGCTGTTTGTACTCATACTTGTATGTGCTTTCCGACAGGTCCAGGACCTGCAGCCATTCCACGCAAGCCGGGGAGAGATCGCGCGAAGACGATGATGCCCACTGCGGGCGGCGCTGCGCCAGCACCAGAGCCCGGTCAGCGAGCACCCGTCGCCACGCCTGCAGCAACGCAGGAGGAAGACGAGACCGAGGGGATGTACGAGACGATGAAGCCAGGATCTGGTGCAGTGATGTCACCAACTGCCGTCAGTAAAAGCAGCAGTGACAGTGGCTACACGACCCCTGTGGGCACTGATGCAGAGAAACAAGCGGAACCGGACAAACCCGCTGAGGAACAAGGTGACAAAGGCGATGCCAAGGCCGGCAAGAAATCACTAACACTGGGTCGGTTCGGCAAAGGCAAACCCAAGAAGAAATCGGTTGGAGACGATGAAGTGCTGTCACCATCAGCACGGCCACCGTCTATGGGTTCAGGGGCAATGACTTTGGGCAGAGTTCCGACTCGAACTTCTGCTGCAGAACCTCAGCTGGTACTGCCAGCACCAGCGGCCAGGAAGGAGCCACTACCACAAATACCCGCTGCTAAGCCACAGCAAGCAGGTACGTACTGACTGTTTTAGCCCTCGGTGTGTGAGCCTGTGATGTTTTCAACTGTACATGTACCTCGGTCTCAAATAGTACCCATGCATATTCAAGCCTCCCATTAATACGCATATCTATGCTGGTATCGTGAGTGAAACAGGCAACCTGGAGGCAACAATCGTAACAAAGCAATGCCACAAGTATCAATGGAATCCATCTTGGTCTTGTCACTTTGACCGATGTTCTTGCTTTTCACTCGAATCAGTCACCCACATAAGCACTTTTCTCCCTGCGCTGTCTGTCCTCTGGGGCTGTTCATTGTTCAGGTGACTGGAGTGCACAGGATATCAACCTTACCGCCGAGCAGCTTATTAAAATCATGCAGCTTGTGAAGCAGGGCAAATGTACACAGGAGGAAGCCATTCAGCGCATGAAGGAGGAGAATCGACAGAAGGCACAAGCGGCGGCTCAGAAGGATGCGCTGACTGAATCGGCAAACAGTCACACCACTGAGGTGAGTACAGTGAGCCGCCGCTAGGCGCTCTAATCTACCCTGTAGGTACAGTGCCACTTAATGAAGTCAATGGTAACCCGCTAATCCTGGTTGGGATTGGCCCCGGCTGCCTCGTCGGATGTATTGTACAAGCTGGCCGGGCTCATCATTGTACTGTACACTGTATTAGAAGCACGTTCTATAGTGCCGTCTTTGCAACATACATGTACATGTGTGTGTGTGAGTAAGAAAAAACCAAAACCCAATGTGTCATCCACTTGTGTAAATTTGCCTTAATCTCAGTACGGTGCGTACCCTGTATTATTGGACACGCTTGTCCAACTTTTTTCAAAGAGTCGATGACTTGACAGACAGTCCTCAGTTCTCATTTGGGTGTTGTCTGGCTGTGACTTGTACTGAGCAGGATGTTGGTGAAGATATGGATGCTGTGTATGAAGATCCCGGAGAAGCTCTCCAGGCCGCACCTGTGACTATGTCACCATCATCCGGTAAGAGTTGCCAGCTCCCTACTCGTCTCCTAACAAGACTGAAATATGCGGCACTTGTCTTGTATAAAAACCCATCTTGTGTAGAGGGCCTGTTTTGAATACTAGCCTGATTTTCAGCATGAACTCGATTGGCCCTTCAGCCTGGATTTTGTGTTCACATCCTATGTAGTAACTCCTGGTTTGAAGAGAAGCCTAATATGAGCTTGTAAAAGAATATGTCTGGGTGTTTCATGCGGCCTTACGGTATATTATACATGTGCGTCAAACACCTCATCGGATGTATGCCGTTATTGTTACCTACAGAGTTAGGCTCACTTAATTAATAGTTAAACATGGACAATGTACTTCCAAGTACCCTTGTACCCTCGTCAGCATCGGTCATCTTTCTTAGTTTGTAGTTGCAGTAATGGCATTGGGGTGCGTTGGTGCTGCAGTTGCAGTAATCGCATTGGGGTGCGTTGGTGCTGTAGTTGCTGCGCGCAAGTCTCTTTTCATGGGTGGTCCACTTCAAATCTTTGTTCTTGCCTTGACGTGGTGCTTCTCGTTGGCTGACGTAGAAATATTATAGTAAAGAACTACGTCTTTCACGAATAATGTAACAAACTGCAACATGCCGGAACAAACGCCGTGTTGCCCATATGTGACATACTGTCTTTTTTCTTTCTTGCACTGTTGTTCTTGTTGTTGTTCTTGTTCTTGTTCTTGTTGTACTCTGCTTCATTCAGTTTCTCCCACACCTACGCAAGACTCTACACAAGAGGATGAAGCACACAGGGACCATGCCGATGGTGACTCTGCCAAAGATGCTGACAAACACGCAAAGGTTGTGACCTGTGTGCACAATAGCCTGATCATTATTTAGAATGTTGTTGTCGACATCTTACGTACCATATTCACTGTAGCCGAAAATTCTATAGAATTGAGAGGAGGTAGCAGGGGCAGGGAAGGAGGGCAACACAGGTGGAGGAAGTAGCAGTGGCAGGGAAGGAGGGCAACACAGAGGTGTAGGAGGTAGCAGTGGCAGGGAAGGAGGGGAACACAGAGGTGTAGTCTCCACAAAGTACCTGCTCGTTGCACAAACGAGGCTGCTTGCTTGTTCGCACAGCCAATGTGACTCTGTGACAGAATGGTAAGAACAGGCGGTTTTCGAAAATCTGGAAACACAGCGCAACAGCCTGAGTGCCATCCGATCATTGTCATTCACTGTCCCTAAATATGTAGTATAATGTGTGTGAGTAGGCTGTGTGTCTGTGTGTCTGTGTTTTGATTGGAGTGACCAGTGAGGATTGCTTTGACCACTGCCCTGCACTACTGACTGTTGCCAGTGAATGTATGCCAGCAATGCAGTGGCTTGTTCGTTTTTAATTAAAATGTTTTTCAGTGTGCATGTAAAGGAAATCCGTCCCATTGTCATAGCGGACCATGCGGCTTGTGCCGGCTCTGCGTTTGCTACAGAACATGCAATCATGATCATGACCTGATGTGCATTCTCTGTTGTGTACAGGGTGCCACATTGAAAGGGAAAGGAAAGTTCCTTGGAGGCTTCAGGAAAAAGAAGGTAAGATTGAATTTCTGGCGATTGGGTGAGAAATATGAACTTGATCGGCAAGACCAGTACCCTTCATTCATGATTGTGAAATTGGCCCAGCTCAGAAGCCAATTAAAAATGACTGTCCGTGCGTAGTACAGACTAATGGTAACCTAGTGATTGAAGCTGAGTTTGTGTGTAGGCTCTGCTGCTCCATCCCGCCTTCCCGCTGATACTGTACACCGGGCCAGCAGCAGGCAGACAGTGTAGTTGGAAACACATGCTCCAGTTGGATTACTAAGTAATACTAACCTCATCGGGCAAATGCAGCTTTAAGTGTAACATTCTCGCTAACGTTCCAGAGAGAATACCTGTCTTGATCCTGTCAGTCTTCCTCGCCGCAAGCCAGCCATCTTTATTGTTTCTTTTATTCTACTGCTCCTTGCTCAGGATGCTAGTGAGGATCATCAAGAGGTTGCTGAACATCACGATGACGCCAGCAAGAAGAAGAAAGGGAAGTTTGGTGGCCTCTTCTCGAAGAAGACGGTCGACAAGGACTTAAAGGAGGACAATCTTCCCAGTCCGACATCACCAGATCAATCCTTTACGAAGAGTGTGAGTTGTATCTTTTGAAAACTGATTGTACTATTATAGTTAAGACTTAAGACGTGCCAAAAGAACTAGACATTGTCTGTACTGTGCGCTGTGTATTTGTATGAACCGTATCCGTTGACGATACACATGTCAGTTGTAGTATCAAAGTAGATGACATAGTACATGTCACTGACATGATGTCTGGTTCGGCCTCTGATGTGGAAACAGTTTGTGGTTAGTGCAATACGTGATCACAATCAAGACCGCAGCCTGCTGACCCCAAACGTGACCTGTGCCAGTGATGGCAGATACATATACATATACATATACATGTAGTTATACGAACGTGCACTGATCAGCCCTACCAACAGAGCAGTTTAAGCAGGCGACAGCGAATCTTACATCACGTTGCGTTCCACTCGCTCGTGCCATCTCCCTAAGTGCTATGACTCCCGGTAGTGCTACAGCTGCGTATGATGAGAGTGTGGAGCTAGGCAAGGGCAAGGATTACATCAGGGTGCGTCAGCCTGCCTCGTATCAGTGCAAGGAGTAGAATGCTGCGACATGGCTATGCAAACAACACAATGCTATCTGCTGTCCGAGTCTGCTAACGACATACTGCATTTGAAAGGGTACAAGGCACACGCGCATTTCATAGTTTATAACAATCATGTTATTAATACCTTTTAACGTTTGTGTGCAAGACAATAGAAGTATTTAGTTACTTTTGAAACTTGAAGACATGCATACAAGTACTCATGTTTGCTGGCGATATTTTGCTCGTCCATGTTGATCCGTGTGCATGCTGTCATCTTCTTTTGCAGGATTCAGCCATTGATGAGGAAGAAGAGGAGGGGGACATGTATGCTACTTGCGGTCCTAGTCCAGGAGTAAGTTATAGACACGCACGTGACGTACAGCACACACTAGCTGTTATAGACACGCACGTGACGACGTACAGCACACACTAGCTGTTATAGACACGCACGTGACGACGTACAGCACACACTAGCTGAGTGCAAGGCAAAAAACACAACCCGGGTTCACTGAATGCAGAGTTAACACCGGTATTGTGGACAATTATTTTCCGGTGCTGATGTATTATTAAGAACCTGTACAGCCATTCTGCAGTGAAGTGTGAACTCCTCAAGTACCGTATTTCCCCGAATATAAGTCGCATCTGTTTACACTAAATTTCAAGATCAAAGAGGGGGGGGGGGGCGGGTGCAACTTACAATTGAGAGTGACTTCCTGCTGATGTGACTGTACTTTAAAAACAATAATTATTTGGCTCAAACCTGAAAACGGGGTGCGATTTATAATCACGGAAATACCGGCAGTAACTACATAATATGCACAGGGAAAATCTACAGCAGTGCACGGTCAACCAGCTCAGTGAGATCTTGATACCAGGTCCTCTTCTATCCAGTCCCTTTACAAGGAAATGAGTTGACGAAACGTTTCCCGGTTAACGCCACAGAGTAGTGTTGCGTGCGTTCAAGTATTTGACCCGTGTGGATGTTTTTTTTTTTTTACGAAAGAGAAAGGTGCGCTGCCGGCCGCGCGGTGTCTGACTGTGGTGGGTCGTCCTCACCCTGTATTGTCTCAGACTCTGTCACAGTACAGTGTGACTTGTTCAGGGTCAGGTGAGTAGGACATGATTCCTTTTCTTGTTTCAAACAGTCAGCAAAACTCAGGAGTCTAATACTTGTTTCTGGATCAGTAAGTACGCGTTTCCGTTTCTTGGCCTTTGTCACCAGCCATCTCCAACTCCAAACGCTACCATCGCAGGGAGTGATAGCGTTGTAGCTGCAGCGGCGACTGCGGAGGATGAAGCGCAAGCCGAGAAGCCGCCCAGCCCGCAGGCGCAGGTGAGTTGCATCATGCACAGCATAGTGTCCTTGTGTAGTGCGTGTGTGCGTGTGTGTGTGTGTGTGCGTGTGTGCGTGCGACTGCAGTTCAACTGTGACTGTGCTGATGCGGCTAATTTTGTAACTGGGTACATTTGCCATATGACTACATATATGTATATACATTGCCTGCATTTCCATATTTGCTTACCAATTATGTGAGTAGGGTAGGGTGTGTGTGTGTGGGGGGGGGGGGGGGTAGTGTCATTCATCACTGTGTTACTTGTTGATATGATCAATCAAAGGGATTAGCATGTACAGTGCAATTCACTTCACACGACTATTTGGGGGCAGGGAATGTTTTTTCCCTTGATATGAGAATTTCGTGTTTACATAAACTCGTCGGCAGTATAAACTCCTGCTTTCTGGTCTGAATTTTTCCTTTTAACCCAAATTTTGTCTTATGCATGTTCGTGCTAAGCAAGTTCTTTTTACTAGTACTGTCATTCATACATCCTGTCTTGAGAGTACAGTCATTCATACATCCTGTCTTGAGTGTACAGTCATTCATACATCCTGTCGTGAGTGTATAGTGCCTATACATGTAATGTACACGAGTTATTATCTGCGACCTGGTGCACCCGTACTGTGACACGGTCAAATACGGTGCTTGTGCATCATTTGGAATGGATTTCCTTGTTCTCCAAAGATCAACTGTACCGTTTTCCTGAGCCGAATTCAGCTACAGTAGCATTCTAGCTATTTCCCAATACTGCGGTAAAACATGTAATTTTCGGTGCATTAAAATTTCTGTGCCAGGGACCTGCCAGGTTTCAGGTGTAATGTAGAATTAGGTGACCTGCGTTCCGTTCACATACAGTGCATACTCTAGTGCCTTTTAGGTGTAATTTAAATTTAGGTGCCTGGTTTCTCCACCGAAATCAGCGAAATTAAAGTTACACCGAAAATTACATGTTTTATAGTGGATTGTTAGAGAGTGCATCCCAATGTTGTGCGCATTCTTTTTGTTGCGCTGAATATGCCTCGGCATTCGTTCAATACTGACATGTGCATGTGGATGTGTGTGCGTGCGTACGTGCGTGTGTGTGTGTGCGTGACTGCATGTATGTGAAAGTGCACAGCGTCTTTGCCTGCACTAGTATCATGTAGTAGAAAGTCTTCCAGTTTTCCTATGGTGTTAGTGAGCGTGAGTGTCAGGCCGTGTGTTGAAGAGTGTGCCGTGCTCGAGTTCCATGCATGCCAAACAGTATGGATGGTACGGGTGCATTACTGTCTGTGCGTGACCATGCGATGCGATGATTATTGACTTCTTCTTACCAGTCCAATAGCGACAGTGGTGCTGAAGAGCGGGAAGACAAGTTTGGAGAGGACAACGAGGCGCAGATCACAAGTTCCAGCAGTGCGGACTGCCTGTCGCCGGAGGGTTTGACAGATTCCCTTGGCAGCTACACGTTGGTCAGCCTAGCTGAAGTGCCGTCACAACGTGCCATTGATCCATTTCTTCCCAAGACCGGTCCCAAAAGCAAGCCCAAAGGAGCACCAAAAAAGGTTGAAAACCAGAGGCTGTTGCATGTTTTCCCTCTTCTTATCTCTCTCAAGCCGTACCCCTGTCCAGTTTTCTTCTTGAGTCTCCAGTCTTGCAAAAAGCAGTCCATGCCATGTGAGCACCACACAAGATCATGTGCTTTTCACTCAGCACATCAGCAACCACTGCATTGTATCACCAAGAGTAAATAAGCTCCCAAGAGTATGCAGCTCTGCATATGGAGTCTCCGACAGCAAAACTCACATCATGTGTCTCGTGTACGTATTGTACTACGTACAACTAAGGATAGTGTGCACACTGCCGTGACCATGCTGGCGAGTTGCATACGCGCAGTGAGTTTCTGCCAGGGAGTTCTTTTTGTATTACTCCGCTGCTCGCTAAAAACGGGCTGGAAACGTACAACTAAGGCACTACATCACGTGATGTGAGTTTTTTCGCCATCAGCAAACCCCATAGAAAGGGTATCAGGAGTTGCACACTCTTGGGGGGTTATATACTCTTGGTGTTACTCACTGAAGCCACTGGATGAGGAGCTTGTTTGGCCAGCCAATAAGCTACTTCATGCAGACCAGTATGCTCCCTGAGGCAGACTACGTACTTACTGTATGCATACATAGTTACATGTTTGCGTGGTTGATGCTTACTCTCATGGAATCTGCTTTTTTGCAATGGGCGAAGACGCGAGAGAAAGTTGGAAAGGTGTACCGGCAGTTGGTGCTGCATCTTCATGTCATCTGACGTGTGACTAAACTAACTTCATGTCATCTGACGTGTAACTAAACTAACTATCCTTGACTGGAGTGTACCAGTTATATCTATTCTAATTGATTAACAACCTGTTTTTTTATTCCAATTGTGTAACTGCTCAAAAAATGCTTTGACTAAAGTGTGCTCCAAGCAGTGCCTGCGAGATAAAGACAATTCAATAACCCATCAGATTATATTTCCATTGCATTCAGGATGTGAATTTGCAAACATAACTTCCAAAAACGAATGAAATGTGCTGCTGGTGGAGATCCGAGGAGAAGTGTGCAACGTACAGACAGTACCGCTTGAAACTAACCAAATCTAACTTCATGCATTGTAATTGTCTCAGCCACAAGCTCAGTCACCCACACTCTCTGTCTCTCTGTCTGTCTGTCTCTCTGTCTCTCTGTCTCTCAGTCACCCATACTCTCTGTCTTTCTGTCTCTCTGTCTGTCTCTCTTTCCCTCTCTCTCTCTTCTCTCTCTCTCTCTCTCTCTCTCTCTCTCTCTCTCTCTCTCTCTCTCTCTCTCTCTCTCTCTCTCTCTCTCTCTCTCTCTCTGCGTGTGCCCATCTGCTTTTCTGTTTGTGTCTTGATAAAGCACACCCATACATCAACTACGTTGGAGCGGAGAAAATTGATTGTCAGTCCAGTCCTATGCCTAAAATCTTAATATTTCAATACACATGATACACACCATGTGTACATGTATATATTGCACTGCATGCCGGCTGATTTCTTCCATGTGACTGTTGATAGCAGAACCGCTCTCATCGTCCCACCATTGCCAACAAGATGTCCTATGCAGTAAGCCGCGGATAAATCACCGGCCGAAAATGATTGGACTAATGGTTTAATGTGTGATGCAGGCCTACAATGGATGTGCTTCATTGTATATGCTTGGATATTGTCCTAAAGCCACTAAAATGAACATAAGTGAATATAGCTTTGTCTTACTTCAAAGTATAATTCAACCGGTTACCACCCAACTATTAACTAACTTCATTTTTCAATCATTCATTGCCAGTGATTGGATATGTGTTGTGCTCTCATAAAGTCATAAAGTCAGTCTCATGAGTTTGAATATATCTACACTGATACTACATTGCTGGTCATGATGTGGCCTCGGCGGCGGCATGTAGTGTGTGAAATTTCACTCGTATGCATATCGATGATCTCCTGGTCCAGGTGAGCTTGGGGGGGAAAGGCAATTCCTCCTTGAAGACCCTAACAGTGTCTATCTTCTTCTTCACATCGTTGATGTAGAGTGTGAAGAGAGGATCACGAACCATGCTGAGTGGATTGAGAGGCGCACTGGGCAAGAATCGGTCATCATCCGTTGTGAAGGTGAATATAGCAAGTGCATTTGTTGCTCTTTATCTTCCTATTTCTCCCTCCCCTCACTTGCACCTTGCTTGCAACATGTTATCAGTATGAGACACTACGATGCCTAGCACCAGGGCCAGTGCGGCACTGTGCCACCAGCCATTGACTGTACTGTTTATCCTGAGTACTGTTGGTACCGCTGCTTACCATGAGTATCCATTTTCATGCGGATAGTGTAGCCTTGAAAGTAATGATACCCTGTCAAGCATTTGAACTCGTACATCAGTCATAGTCTCATGCCGATACTCTTCTTCTGCAATGTACCTTCCTTTGTGTCGTCATATCCAGGCATCAGATATTGAGCATCAAACTGAATGCGGTGACGGTCCCAGCAGCAGCAGCACCACCACCGATAGCCCAGCTCCATCACCCACATCTCCAACTGTGACTACCACATCTCCTTCACCTGGTAAGCCATGACTCGAATAGAAATCTTAACCAATACCGAGAGAGTGGTAGCTCTCAGAGCCCTAGTCGCATGTAGGGGGCACCCGACCCCCACCATGTAGGGGGCACCCGATCCCCACCATGTAGGGGGCACCCGACCCCCACCATGTAGGGGGCACCCGACCCCCATCATGTAGGGGGCACCCGACCCCCATCATGTAGGGGGCACCCGACCCCCACCATGTAGGGGGCACCCGACCCCCACCATGTAGGGGGCACCCGACCCCCACCATGTAGGGGGCACCCGACCCCCACCATGTAGGGGGCACCCGACCCCCACCATGTAGGTGTCTATCTGGCGTAGTGTGGGCTCTCACAATGTCAAAGTGTAACATTGCTACGGTATCAACAACAGCTGTCTTAGAAGGATCGGAAAACCTTGCATTGTCTACTTGTAGATTGCGTGGCAAATATTGCTTAAAGGCATTTCTGTAGCCTTGCTTGTCAAATTGGATAATAAGTATCACCTCCCAGGTGGCTGTATTTGATAGGATGTGTTTCTCTGTGTGGCCTCTTTTCTAGAAATCAAGGTGGAAGAACCGCCAGAGTTCACGGGTTCCTTTGTGGCCAAGGCTGTTGTGGAGATGCCGTACAATCCCAGTCCGTACGATACAGAGTCTCTCCGCTTGAAGGTGTGTGTGTGTGTGTGTGTATCTGTTTTTCTCTCTTGTACTGGCAAAGTGGCTTGAGGAAGTGGACAAGATACCCGGCGGTGGTCTTGTACTTCGCCATAACATCAACGGAAATCGTTTCAATGGTCCACGCACTCGCCACCAGGTAGCAGCCATCACCGATTTCGAGTTTGCAGATGATGCCGTCTTGGTAGCGCATAGTCGGCAGGTGGCGGTGAGCGCCCGGGAGAAGTTTCACCATGTCTGTCAATCCTTTGGCCTCAATGTCAACTTTTCGAAGACTAAGTTCCTGGTATGTGGCACTGGCAGTGTTGATACGGACCATCTCCCGATGTCTGTTGCTGGTCAACAGGTGCAATGCATCTTGTCGTTTGTGTATCTCGGCAGCTTGATATCGCCCGATACCAGAGTCTCAGCTGAGATTGATCGCCGGATTGCCAGTGCAGCACGAGCGTTTGGTGCTCTTCGCTGCATCTTTGATGACCGAAACCTGTCATTGTGCACAAAGAGACTGATTTACAGCGATGTGTGGTGTCGGTATTCCTGTACGGCTCCGAGTGTTGGCCAGTCCTGCGGCGTGACAAATTCCGCATTGATGGTTTCCACCACTCTTGCTTGCGTATCATCTTGGGTGTGTCTCGGCGTGATCAACAGTCAGATTCGGTGACCAATGAAGAGTTGAGGCGACGATGGGGAAAGCCAGAATTGTTATCCACCTGCATCCGCAAGAGGCGCATGGAGTGGCTTGGACATATTGCATGTATGCCGGATACCAGGCAACCTAAGCAGTTGTTGTTTGGATGGCTTGGCAAGGCTCGTCCGGCACAAGGTCCCAGGGGCGTAGGCAGGGGGGGGGGGGTGCTTTGGGTGCCAAAGCACCCCCTCAAAAATTTCGATCTTGGTTCAGTTCACAGCTCGTTCGAGAGAGACCATAGCAGACCCGCTGATCACATGCGCAACTCTGCACATCGCACACTGAGTCTGTAGCCATCCCTGTTTTAGACCAGGGAGTAGTAGGTACTACTCCCTGGTTCAGACCTGCAAGTACAATGTATCTGAAACCAATTCACATGCAGTTGACTCTTTAAATTTTTTGTCTCATGATTGGCCATTTTGCAATGCAATTTCTAGTCAAGGGAACTCCGCTTCGTACCTGCCGTTGTGCAGTGTCACATCAGGCCTCAGCAGGCTCAGCACATGATTTGCATCGCACTCCACATGTTTTGTTAGAAGCAGAGAATCATACAAACGCGCCATTGGTAGAAGCAAGGAAGTAGCAATGTGGTCTATGGCCGGAAAGCACACGTCAGACATAGCAGTTTGTTCTCGCTATGTTTTGTATAATGTAGTTCTCGATGTTAATTGGTCTCGTTGTGGAAAGGCAAAGTTTCTTTCATGCATTGCAAGTGTGGATACAGGAGTAGAAGAGTGAAAGTAACGTTGAAGTGCATTTTGAGTTTTGTGGGGAATAGTGTACGTTTGATCAAGGATGCCTTACTGCACTATCAAACATGACGAAGGGGAAAAATGGCTCGAGAAATCCCACTTTAAAAGTTCGATGGAGAGTGTGATAATTCTGGAGAATTTCTCAGAAAGCAGCATCCAGGACTTAGTCCATCATTAGTTGGAAGCAGGCCAGGGTGTAGTAAAATACCATAATTATTACTACTCCCTGGTTGGAGTTTTGCCATTCACGGATTGATCTTCAGCGTCGAATTAGAGGCGAATTTTGCTTCCCCCCATTTCACGGATCGAATAATGTGCATGAAAGGACCAACATAAGTACATGTACTTTTGTGTGGGGAAAGTCGTGGCACCCCCCCCCCCCCCCTTGATCACTATCCTGGCTACGCCCCTGGGTCCACGCCTTCGGCTCAAGGACCGTGTTCATCACGACCTACGCTCCTTGGATACACCATAGTTTGCAACAGCCCAGTGGAGATCGAGTGTCGTTGATGTTGTGCCTCCACCACCACCATCTAAGCCAACTGTGCACTGCAGTGTTTGCGACCGCCATCTTAGTGCGTCCGGGTACAAGCGGCATAAGTGCAGTGCGGCCCGTCAACTTCCTGTCAGCCCACAGCCTGGTGCAAAGTCGTGTCAGCGTTGTGGTAGATGGTTCAAGAGTGCCGTCGGGCTGAAGGTACATAAGTGCCCTCTCGCAGGTTCCTCCCAACAGCCTTCGGACTCTGTCGATCCTGCACCTTGCCTAGTGCTTCAACACCAACATTGTTGCCCATTCCACTGCCCGTCATGTAACCGGTGCTTTCGATCTGCTGCTGGATTTAAACGGCACAATTGCGAGCGTGGCAAGCGACCAACAGCGAGGGAGCGTCTTGAGTTCAAGTTCTGCTGTGCGTGCGGCGAGAGATATCGCAGACAGCAGGATCTGCAGCGGCATGAGGCTGGATGTTCTGCCGCGACGCCGTGATGCTACCCCTTTTGTTCCCCTCCTCATGAGGGCAGCTTAGCCGTTTAGCGGCAGCTGTTTGTCAAGGTCAAGGTGTGTGTGTGTGTGTGCGTGTGTGTGCTTTCTCTTGTTCCTTTAAATTAACTGGTGTTGCATACGAGATGAATGGGGCTGACTTGGCAGATGCATGGCTGCTTGCATGAGTGTACTGCTGTCTGCTTCGGTGTGGCTGTATTTGCACTTTACACATAAGACATTCCAGGAGTTTCATGTTTTTCTCAAGGAGCACTTGCGTTGCTGGCGGCATTTGGAGAGTTGTCAGTATAAGACTTGCCTTTGCTATTCACTGCTTTCTGAACTGGTTCCAGGTCGACGATGTCATTAATGTGATAGAGATGGCTGAGAATGGAACGTGGTCGGGACAGCTGAACGGGAAGATAGGAAAGTTCAAGTTTATCTACGTCCGGGTCCTGGACGATGAGACGGAAAATGCCGACGAAAAGAGGTGCAGTCTATTGATGTGTATTTTCCGTTGAATTGTGCTTTCTATTTATATCATAACACGCAAGACACGTGGTCTGGTCAGGATTGAAGCCATGAAGGGCACCTTGCTAACTCTCCGCATGTGCACAGACCGGTTTGAAATGCACACATTAGCGCATCTATGCTCTCTGGGATATATTTACCGTGTTTTCCCACCGGGGTCTAAGCCGCACCGCCCCCCCCCCTTTTCGGGCCCAAAATTCGTATCTCTTTTGACATTCGGAGTATAAGCCGTCGCACGTCCGATTTTGAATTTTTGGCCATCCAAACTTGATGGGTACTAGTGCATACAAGACGTTTACCAATGGTTAAAAAAGTTGAGAAGCACGACTGAAGTTCCAGCAAAAGTTCTTTGTTTGCCCCTCACTCTGAACTGACAACGTAGAAGCATCGCACAACTGCAATGATGGATTTCTGTGCATGAAAAGTACATAAAAGGTAGTCGAATGACACCAGACATGCATTTTATGCACAGAACGCCGTATCACTAGTTGATCCATGGCCAGCATTCGGAGTCTAAGCCGCAGTGGCGATTTTTGAGTCTGGGGGGGGGGGGGGGATTTCAAAATGCGGCTAACAACGAAAAATACGATAGATTCATGTACTGTACATGCTTGATTTACACCCAGCTGGAATTCATTGCATTTCAGATTGCATTTCAGTGACCGTGCACTTCTAGCAAAGCGCATGCCGGTAGTTTTCAGAGACATCGTGCTTGAGTGCTGCTCGAGTAATTATGGGAATTGCAACTCCAAAAGCCGCTGTACAGTTGCCAGTGTACAGCAGTTCAGGTTTTACATGTCATTGCTGTAGCATGTACTGAAGTACCAATATCATTAAATTTTGATCCGGCGGCAAGGCATATTGATCTGACGCTCAAGTGCCAACGTTGTGTTCTGCTGCAGACCAATGACTCCGCCATCGACGCTTAGCAGGACACCCGCAGTGGCAGCACCACCCATGCCCAAAACACTGGAGGAGATGTTCCAGCAGCTGAATCTTCCAGTAAGGCACACATCACACACACACACACACACACACACACACACACACACACACACACACACTACTACTACTACTACTACTACTATAGCATGACTGCCCATTGGGCAATGTCACCCCCGGAGGGGGCCAGAGTTTGGAGGGCACCGTCATTGGCAGGACTTCTGGTGCCTCGTCAAATCTTGCTGTCGTCGGAAACGCTTCGGGCAATGCATGCAGATCAGCGGCAGTGATTCCCTATCGGCTGCAGCAAGACGTTTTCCACGGTTGCAGTTATGGCGGTTAAAACCAGCCCGGGACTTGAAGCAGCGATTGCAGCGTTGACAATGCTGAAAGCAGCAACTAGCGAGAGACGCCGTCAATGCCGTATCTGCATGTTCAGGGAGTGCAGGCTGGCAGCGATGAACTGCAAGCCCACCCTTACTACGGAACCATCGGCAGCAACTGACGCACTGTGCTGAACCACGCTGTTGGTGGACGGGAAGTTGGCGCTCAGCCAAACACTTGTGCCGTGCCTTGTCTTGAGGACGAGAGAAAGCCCGGTTGCAAGATGAGCAGAGTACGGATTTCTCTACTGCCCGAGGAGGCTGAAAAACCAGAACCTGCTCTCGCCAAGCTGACCGGTCTTGTGCGCAATCAAACCAGTTTGGAATGGACTTCGTGTCAGTAGCCACAACGTCTCTCCACCTGCGCCTGGGACCGCAGAAGGGGCGCGCAGCCAACAAACGACCAAACAACAGCTGCAATGGGACACGGTCCTCCGACATCCGAGCCACATGACCAAGCCACTCTAAACGACGATGGCGCATCTTAACAGAGAGTGGCACTGGGTCACCCCAGTGACAACGTAACTGCGCAGACGTGATGCGATACACACACACACACACACACACACACACACACACACACACACACACACACACACACACACACACATGTTGCATGACTAAATTGACATGTGTATCATTTGAAGCACGGAGTACAGGCACCTTTGCGAGTAACAAGTTTTCTGGCATAATTGACTGAAAAGTATTGAATGTATGCTGATCATGTGGGGAATTCCCTACGTCATGCCCACGCAGCCATCATGTCATATTCTGGTAGCCATTTTGTCGACACGGCTCAGTGTGTACTAAGCCTGCAAGTTTCCCATGGCTGCTGGGGCAGACACGTACCGCGGAGGCAGATGCAGCTTTGCTGGCGGTGTGTTAGATGGGCTGCTGTTGCTGGCAGTGTGTTAGATGGGCTGCTGTTGCTGGCGGTGTGTTAGATGGGCTGCTGTTGCTGGCAGTGTGTTAGATGGTCTGCTGTCCCCGTGTGTTTACTCTGTGTCCAGCAATATCTGAAAGTGTTCGAGGAGAACGGCTACGATGACTTGTCGTTTTTCAAAGACATTGACACAACCGGCGCCTTGACGGAGATTGGTGTGACGGATACGGACCACCAAGAGGCTATTCTCTTTATGGTAGATGTTTTGAATGCGGAAAACAGTAAGCTGTGCTAGCTGCACCAGGCACTAGTTGTGATCTTGACCTGAAACTATGAATGCATCAGTGCATCACATTGAATGTCTACTACTACCCTGAAGATCATTGATACACTGATTGGTACCATGTATCTGTAGAACTATGTTTAGAAGCACTGGTTATACTGTGTTTCCATTCAGCAGTATGCATGTGGTGATGCTCACGATTCATGATCCTTCTAGCACTAGACGGATCCCAGTGAGTTCACGGCATGAGTGATGGCATGAGTCGTGTTAGCAACGAACTCAATCCTGATTTTCAGGTGCCCACCGTCAGAATGGACAGTGCATGCCTCGTGTGTAATGTCGATTTTGTTTTGTGTGTATGTGCATCATGTGTGCATTTGTGTGTACGTATGCGTACATGTGCGTGTATGCTGTAATTCACAGAAAAACGCAGTGGGTCCCTCTCCAAGCGCTCGCATCGTCTCTCCAGGATAGGTATGACGGTGGACGCCGTCTTCTCGGCGACGACGTCCGTAGGCTCAGACGGTATAGCAGAGTCCGGCGCCAGTGAACCGGGTGTTGCACCAGACCGTCCTCAACCTCGCCAGAGAGCTGCCACGGCTACTGCTGCTGCTGCTGCAGCCCCAGTCCCAGTACCATCCAAGCCCAGTCGCAACGCACCTCCTAGAGCTGCTGCAACTCATCCAGCTGTCGATGAAAGTAGCGCAGTCAAGTCCGACGCGCCATCGTCCAGGACTTTATCGGTATCCCCAGAGCCCGGCACAGCAGAAAACCCAGCTGCCTCTCCAAAGCGCCCTAAGCCGCAAGGGCCTGCTGTTACTGCATTTGCAGCTCAGCTCGAGAGCAATCTGAAAGCTAATCAAACTGGTAAAGAGAAAGGCGCAGCTCTACCTGGCGTTCAGCGACGGTCAACATTCGGTGTACGCTCATCCAACACGAGCGATAGTAAACAGATAGCAAAGCAAGCTGTAGCAAAGCGCCGCTCTCTTGAAGAAGGGGATGTCAGCGAAGAGGCTCCCAAACCGCTGGATGTCCCTCAGGAAGGTAAATCAGAGAATAAAAAGAGGAGAGCTCCGGCGCCGCCTCAAACTGATGGTAAAGCTGACAGTGCGGATGATCAAGGTGCAGTCAAGTCCAGAGAGCGGGCCTCAAGTAAACCCAAGCCTATAACGGAAGAGGGAGCAACTGTAGCGGAACTCAAGCAGGTACTGTCCCCTATCAAGGTAATGCCAATGCCCAAAGACCAGCCTGATGGCAAGGCACACCAGGAGACATCGGAGAAGCCGGAGAAACCGACGCAGAGAGGCGTACCTCCGCCCAGACCTGCCAGCTCTGCCGTTGGAAAGCTTCAACCGCAAGACGATGCACCGACATCGACGACACCCAAGGCAAATCGGGCTGCTCCTAAACTCCCAACAGCTGGTGCAAGCACTAACACGGTAAAAAGTGGTGAAAATAGTCAGGCTGGCGAGACTGGCCAGACTGGCCAGAGTGAGGAGAGCAAGAAACACATGGACACTATCAAGCAGAAACTAGCAAGTGATGACATCAAGCTATCCGCAGCACCATATTCGTTACGGGTAAGGCATTTTTGAGGAGTGCATGCGAATTCCCTGGGTTTCCACTGTATCAAGTGTACATAGGCTCCCGAAAGTATGCAACTGCCTATGCTTCTCTATCCAGTGCTGCGGCCATGGCAGAGTTTCGCATGCTGTGACATGGTCCAGCAGGCCACGTGAGGGAGCAGTGCCACGTGACCACCAGAGTGTTGTGCCCAAAGCAGGTGCGACTGCCATGGACCACGGGTGAAGGTAGTGCGTACGCAACGGATTTGTCATGTGACGTGGACCCCATGCCGTACGAGTTGTACACTTTGGCGCCTTTTGGGGATTGTGTAGTCTTGATCGCATGGCCTTATCTATTCCAGCTGTTACTGCGGGACACGGGCTTTCGGATACTGATTTGCAACATGGTGTACATGTACATGTACATGTACAAACAAGGCTGGTCTAGGCAGCTCGAGGTAGAGTGCTCAATGCACAAATGTACAGAGCAGTGTACACATACAACGTAAATGCCGCTGTCTGATGATCGCTGAAATGCGTGAAACTTAAAGTTACAGCTACGCAGCCTTTCGCCTCCATTGTATGTGTGTGTGTGTGTGTGTGTGTGTGTGTGTGTGTGTGTGTGTGTGTGTGTGTGTGTGTGTGTGTGTGTGTGTGTGTGTGTGTGTGTGTGTGTACATGTATGCTTTCAAGGCTTGCTAAGTGAAACGGGGCGTAACGTATATGCCCAAAGTTGGGAAGACTAAACCCTTTCTGGCTGATTGATTGATTTCAGAGCGGGAGTGGAGGTATTCCAGCAGGTCTAGTGCAAAGACTGGCCATGGATACACGTATTGCCATTACCAACGTGGCACCAGCGCTGGAGAAACTACGGCAAGAGAGCTTGACAGCGGCAAAGAGAAAAATGGTTAGCACCATAAAAATTATCAATTGTGGTTGTGGTGCAAACTTGTAGTAGAATATTATGACTTGTATGCTGACACTGCGGCTGTGTATTGTCGTCAACTGGACATGGTGACATTGATGATAGGGAGCAGCATGTCGTACATACTGCTTCTAGCTCATTTCACTGTCCAAGGACTTTCTACAGTGCTAGCAGCATGCAAGTCAGGAATACTTTCTCTTCTCTCTGTGTGTCTCTCTGTACCTGTCTGTCTCTCTGTCTCACTCTCACTCACTCTCTCTGTCTCTCTGTCTGGCTGTCTCTCTGTCTCACTCTCTCTCTCTCTCTTTCTCTCTCTCTCTCTCTCTCTCTCTCTCTCTCTCTCTCTCTCTCTCTCTCTCTCTCTCTCCCCTCTCTCTCTCTCACACACACTCTCACTCTCTCTCTCTCTCTCTCTCTCTCTCTCTCTCTCTCTCTCTCTCTCCCCCCCCCCTCTCTCTCACACACTCTCACTCACTCTCTCTCTCTCTCTCTCTCCTCTCTCTCTCTCTCTCTCTCTCTCTCTCTCTCTCTCTCTCTCTCTCTCTCTCTCTCTCTCTCTCTCTCTCTCTCTCTCTCTCTCTCTCTCTCCCCCCCCTCTTTCTCACACACACACTCACTCTCACTCAATCTCACTCTCACTCTCTCTCTCTCTCTCTCTCTCTCTCTCTCTCTTTCTCCCTGCTGCAGATACCCTGCAAGCCAGTGTTGACTAGTGGTGATGAGTGGATGACCCTAGCCAGAAAGACATGTCTGTATGAATGGTTGCACAGTATTGGTCTGCCGATGTATAACACGACAATGGCAGAGGCTGGATGCGACCTGGCTACCGTGAAGGAGGTGACGGAAGAGGAGATGAGAGAGATGGGCATCGCAAACATTCTGCACGCCAAGCGAATCCTGCGTGCTGCCAGCGCTCTTCAACTATAGCCTTGCCATGACTTCATCGGAGTGGTGACCACGGTGCAGTCTAGGTGTGTGTGCATGCCATGCCGTATGGCTCAGTGTCTTGCATTTTCCGGCCCGTATTGCTGACATATGCAGGCTGGCTGTGTGCATGTTCACGTTGAACCTGCTCTAGAGCCCCGGCATCTCGCAGATAGCACGGAGAACTTTGCGGAATGAAGGAACGGACGTATCGACTTCGAAAAAAAAGTTGCTGGACAAGTTGTTGGTTGCTTGACTGTTTGTTTTTGTTGTGCTGGTAGTAGGTGAATCACATGATGCCGTTTGGCAGCAGGAGACTGTTTCATCTGTTTGGATGACATTACATTGTAACATTGTGTGTAAAACTAGTATGGCAATCAATGCCAATGTCAAATTCTATTTCAACTTGAAAAGTTTAAACAGCATAATTTATCGACTATTTGTAATTGTCTCTGCGACGCTAAACTCATAGTCGTGTACCCCCTAGGGTTATTTAGTAGAGATTGAAAACGGAATTTCTCAGGCATTTACCTATCTTTCATCTCGAATCGGCTGATATTATGCTGAGCTGGAGCTGTTAGGAGCCTTACATTGCAGTATATCTCATGGTCCTGATCCGGCGCAATGCTTCAAACATTCGCGTCGGTGCATCTGCTTCTGACCCTCAAGTTGGGCGTGTACATGTATGCTTTCCTGTTTGAGAAGCCGGAAAACCACTGCATTCACAGTGTGAAGATGCAGAGAGTATGACACGCATCATGGTCTCCGTACCGGCAGTGCTGGACTGGCACCTGACGGAAGGCCACATGATGCATGTGTCATTGTACCGCTGCTAGTATTGTACCGCTCTCTGGATCAGTGTGGAAATGAATTGAGTGCCGCCGGGCTCGACAACGGTGGATCTCTGCGGTTAGCTTCATCATTCCAAGTCCAAGCGGCTCTTCTCTGGGAGCAGCCTGGGGTCATCTAATACAATGTGTATTGTATTTCAGCCATTTTCCAGTGCCGCTCAGCTCAGTACTACTATTGATGACGTATTGAACTGATCAGCTGAGTGATTTGCCTATCGCCTGGCATGATCATGTCATGAGTTCCTTTCTCTTGCCGCGACTTCAAGTTCTGCTGCTGAGTCCTTTCTACTTCTAACTTGAAGAAGCACTGAGCATGAAAGGAAAGGAAGAAAAGAACTTATGCACATTGTATGCCCTGCTGATTGCCGGCATCTTGTGAGTTGCTGAGTATCCGAGTGGCCATTCATCAGACCGGGCCATGATCAGTTTTCCGACGCACTCTTGGGCGGCTGCCATACACTCTTGCTACCCCAATGAGGTCTGGGTACGAGAAACCACGTGCCACTGCCGATGCATGGCAATGGGCTGCACCTAGGCCCCCGTGTAATATGCCGGCATTTTTTTGAGCATTTTCGGTACAATACGCGAACCCAGCACTTTGGGCTCGTGACGCAGCATTTTTGGGGGAAACGGAGCACTTGGCCGTTGTGTATCAAAATTGAGAGAAGAAAAACTTCCCAAACAAGAACGTCACTTCCGCATTCCGTGGGTTAGCTTCTTGTTGAGTACTTTATGAATTGAAAATACATGTAATGGTTTTGACCAGGGAGTCGTATAATACCGGTATTTTCTGACTCCCTGGTTTTGAGTCTTTTGACGGCGTGTGCTGAGGATTACAAAAAAGTGAGCATTTTCCGAGCATGTTCGGCAAGGTTTGGGAGCATTTTCGGCAAGGTTTACGAGAATTTCCCAAAAGCATTTTCGGCAAAGTTTCGGGCATATTACACCGGGGCCTAGCTGCACCCAGACAGATGCTGCTCCGGTCGCCTCGATATTTTGCGGCAAAATGTTGTTGCGAAATCTTCGATATTTTGCCGAGCCTGGCACAAGAAACTCGATATTTTGCTCCATTTTGCTCCGGAAAAACGTGTATGATATCCACTTCCCGTACAACACGTTAACGTTTCATAAAAAGGGTCGGTTTCCCAACACGGGTTTCAACGTCCCTGAGTTCTTCCAAAATCAAGTCAATCCACAGTGAATCCCAGAGATATTTCGGTGTATCCTGCTGACCGGGTAAGAAACAAGGAAATCCAAGTACAGTCTGTATCGGCTATAGCGTACCCTTTTGATTTCCGTGATTTTATCACTATAACCGATGCATCACTATATGCGATACGATCGATTTTTTTCTTTTTTCGATATCAACACATGAAAGGCAAGGAAATACTTCCAGCATGGCGTTTTGACAAATGAGCATGCTGCATAGTTGACAGTGCCCGCATTTCCATAAAAAAATCCTGTTATGTACATGTACATGTATCACTATAAAAATAAGCAACGTGAAGATAGTAAAAAATAGGGCATTTGACATTATTGCTACATGTATTTTAAAATCATCACTATAACCGATAATAATATAGTGTGTTATGCATGTTTTGATTCTTTGTTGCCATCATAATATCCGATATATCATTACATCCGATAATATTGGTTATAGTGATATTTGTACTGGATAAAATACGTTTTGCTTTTGATATTTCGTACCAATATCACTGTAGCCGATATATTCTTATATCCGGTCACTCTATAGCCGATACAGACTGTACATGTATCAGCCATCGATTTTACCCAACATCTCGATATTTTGCTCCGATTTTGCCGGCAATTTCCGCTCTTTCAATTCTTCGATATTTTGCCGAAAGAATTGCCGGCAGGATCTGTATCAGTGTATGGGCCCCATGGCCCATGCCGCCATGTACCCACACTTTTGTACACAGTCTAGTCGAGTCACTTGTAGTCACGTGCTCTTTTTGAGTTCGAGCGTGTCGTAGTGAGATTGGTTGAAAAATCCAAAAAAATGATGCTACTGCCTTCGGCTTGATCTGTCTTCATCATCCTTTTCGAATTTCAGAACTCTTCCATCGTTGGATTGCTTTGCTCTCCACTCTCCTGTGAAGGGCACTGCTTGCACTTGATTCAGCCATGCGCTGCCTTACTTTCTTGTTGCTGTGCTGCATTGCAGCCAGCTGCCTCGCAAGCGTGATGGCTGGTGACACGAAAAAACTCAGGATTGGAATCAAGAAGAGAATTCTAGAGGCCGAGTGCAAAAAGAAGAGCAGCAAGGGAGACAGTCTGAGTATGCACTACACTGGAACTTTGGAGGATGGCACTGAGTTCGACAGCAGCATTCCTCGTGGCGACCCATTCGTATTTACTCTGGGCGCAGGACAAGTCATCAAGGGTTGGGACCAGGGATTGCTTAGCATGTGTGAAGGTGAGAAGAGACGTCTTGTTATCCCATCAGACCTTGGATATGGCGACAGGGGATCCCCTCCAAAGATCCCCGGTGGTGCTACGTTGATCTTCGAGGTGGAGCTCATTCACATCAACCGGAAATCGGAATTATAGATAATTGTTAGTGTCATAGCGATTGGATTAATTCTTGAAACCATTTTTTTCTCAATTTGTAGCTGTTTAGTACGCAATGTCAATATGCTGAGAAGTAACCAGCTGGCTGTATACTGTTGGGTTTATCCTCGCCTCTCTTCACTGTGTGCTTGCTACCATTTCCTCTTCATCTTTAACCCTCCCCTGCTGAATTTTAATTTTATCTTGACCCCAGTGTGACTGTTTTCCACTCAAACTGTAAAAAGGCAGTACAAATTCTATGAGATGCGGTATACTGGTTGTATGGTGTGTCGAGATTGGGCCAGAGTCCTTAAAGGGGAAGCATGGTCTAGAATCAAAATGTCACTACTCGAGTGTCTTCAGGGTGCCGGGTCGAATTGCCTTGGTCCGAGGAAGCTGAGACGCTCCCTACTTATATTGTATATGCGTTCAAGTCATCAGAGCCCAATACCATTTTTGTTTTCGTACCGCAGCTTTTGCTTGATCCACTCAAGTCCCTGGGCGGTTCCCAGATGTTAGTAGGTACTGTAGAGGCAGAAAATTTCGTCGGTCAATAATTTCGTAACTCCAAAGAAAAGGAGTTCGTCCGGTTAAAAATTTCGTCCATGGATCATAAGAGTGTATAGAAAAGCTGCACAAATCGATATTCGTCCTACATTTAATTTAGTCCAAAAGCTCCTTGGACGAAAAAGACGAAATTAAATTCCAGACGAATTTTTCTGCTTATACAGTACATGATCTTGCACTCTGCTCCGAAAATAGTAAGATGTGTGAAGCTGAGGTTTTGATCTTCTTCACGGTGCGCAGAAGAAGCCGTAATAAAGGCGAGCGGGCCCATTGAAAGAGACCGCAACCAGGGTACACTCCTGCTTCAGTGCTCATCTGCGAGTAGAGGTTACTAACAGGGAGTCGTAAAAAAAATACCGGTATTCTACCCCCCCCCCCCCCGTATCATGGAGTTCGTTCAGATATCAAAACGACTGTGCAGCACCAACAGTCATTCTTCCGCTTTATGCACAAGGACTGCAATAAACTGGGCTGCCTGCAATTTTGTACAATGTTTACTATGGTTTAGGTGTTCTAATTCGAGATTTCTTAGTTCTGCCATAAGGAGGTTGGGAACAGGGGATAGCACACACACACACACACACACACACACACACACACACACACACACACACATACACACACACACGCGCACACACAGGACTACACTGGAAGCATAGCTCAACCCATACAACATAATCTCAAGTCTGTAACCAGCTGTGAGAAGAAGTCTGCTGTCTTACAATGCAACTTGAAATACTATGTGGTTGTGAGTAGCTTAGGCCATTTTCCTGACTCAGTTTGTAAATCATTAGCTTGAGGGAGCTAAATGGTATCTCACTAGCTGTTTCTGTTCCTGTGTCGGTTGAGTAGGGAGTGAGTATTGAGAGCGGAGAGTATGTGCCTAGACCAGGAGTTATAAGCTTGTTTCTAAAAAGAAAGGCAAGACTACAACTAGCAAGCAAACTGCCAGTATACGAATGGAGTCTGCAAGATACAAGACATTTATTGTAGCGATCTCACTGCCCCCGGCCAAGCTTATTATACAATTACTTCAGAAGTCGATAACCAATCATTTACCGAAGGTGTCTCCAAAGGCGTGAACAAACCCGTACCCAGACGTGCTTTAGGGTGGTTTGAGTAGCCAAGGCTTCAACACTAGGGCCTCGTCTCGTTGCAGGGTGGGATGCGAAACGATGAAGTGCAGGAAATCTTGCAGACCAAGGCGTCTCTGTTCCACAACAGCGGAATTCAGTTTTCCTGCAGGGAGGACACAACAGGTTTTTTTAAACAGACTCAGTATAAGCAGTGTGTAGTGCCCGTTTACATTCTCTGAAGTGCATTTAGTGCTAGCTCGGCTTGGCATGCAGGAACCAGACTGATTGCCACGGAGTACAGCACTACAGATTAAGATTTTGGAGGGAGATGTTCAACAAAGTATCCGAGGTACAGGTACTGTACTTCTTATCTGAACGTACATCGATCTAGAGAGCAATGCACCCGCACATAAGCAATATCTGCACAGTGCAGTACAGTGCAGCGCAGTACAGTGCAGTGCAGTAGAGCAGAGTACAGTGCAGTACAGTGCAGTACAGTAGAGGATGTTGGTGATGATCGCCTGCTTACCGAGCATCTTCTTCTCCGGCAACTGGGGTAGCTGGCTTTTGAGATCGGGGTACTGCCACTGTACAACATCGCGGAGCATTACGAAATCGTTATAGCGCCTGTCAGCCTCCAGCAGCACACCCTAGGTCATAAGACAGTTGAAAGAGGGTAGATGACATGATTTGCAGCGAATGTACCAGGAATCCTATGCTGCTGAAGTAGATCCACAACATGACATTGTGCCGGTACATACATTCAAGGTACCGGTGCACAAATCCTATAATTATGCAGCCCAGAGACTGCTCGTGTGAGAGAATGCATGGTTAAGATAGCGGCGTACACAGATATTGTAGCAGGAGAGTAAATAATGTACTTGTACAAATGCATGCTGATATCCAGCTTACTGCTCTGTCATATGCTACACAGTGATAGACAGTGTGCTGGCGCAGTCCGTATCCCACTGTACTCGTGTGCTTGATGGATGCTCGGGCCACTCCGCCCGTTGCACCCTGATGTGAAAAGCACACACGAACGAACACACACACACACACACACACACACACACACACACACACACACACACACACACACACACACACACATGAATGGACCATTCAGCCAATGAAGAGTAGATGACAAGTACAGCGTTCTGTGAGCATTCAGATCAGGCGCGTGCGCGGGTGCCCTTGAAGGGGGGGCCTTCCCCGGGAAAATTTTCAAAAAATGAAGCAAAATCCTGCGTTTTGAGCGAAAAAAGGGGGTTCCGGGCACCCAGGAACCCATACGACGCACGCGCCTGATTCTCACCATCGATGTAGCAAATAACAAGCACTGCTGGTAGACACAGATACAACACAGTCTCCCACAGGGCACATACCTGTCCACGCAGATGGCGTTTGCCGGCATTGGCAGGCATGGTGGATGAACGCGGTGCCAGGCCTACGCCTGCGTCTCGTCCTGCACCTGCCACACCACCAGTAGGTGGCAAAGACGCCGTAACATCATCATCTGGCAGGTAAGCAGAGTCTCTCTCAACAGGACCGGCCACCGCACCAGTGTAACAGGAAGGACTTCCCGTGTGATGCTTGGCCGGCTGGACAGTCAGCGGCTGGTCTTCTTGCAAGGACTGGAGAACTAAAGAAGAGGCATCCACCTGGTGAGCCTTGTCCTCTTGCATCATCCGTATCACGTCCTCATCTTGCGAGGCATGGACGTAAGATGAGCTGCGGTGATGGTACTGTACTCTCCTGTCCGGCGCCGCTGCTGTTTTGGACAATGACCTGCCGCCGTCAGTGGCGGTTTCAGGTACCAGCACATCAACATTGGACTGAGACCGAACCAGACTTGAAGACTGATCGCCGCCCACATTATCATTACTGGGCATGTGCTCACTGCTCTTGCCGGTGTAGAGGTCTGGAAGCGACGCGTTCAGTCCCGCGTGCTTCACCCTTGCTAAAGACGTTTGTGCAACTGGCAATGCCTGGGGATCAGCAGCAGTACTGGTGCCGGTGGCCATTGCCGTTGTCTGGCTTTGGTCGTAGGTCGGTAAGTGTACGGTTGCTGCCCGGTGAATGGACTGCGCTGGTGGTCTGCCGTGACGATAGCCCTTGCTTGAGTGGAACATAGCCGTGGGGCAATACGATGCTCTTAGTCCCGGGTAGTACGGATGCACTGGCTTCGGGTAGGACTTTAGACGCTCACTGAGGCTGGTCGTCGTGTGAGCAGGGTGGCGCTCCGGAGTGTGTGTCAATGAAGGCCTTCGTAGAGCATCGGCCCCAGTATCAGTCACCATGCTCGTTGCTGGCTCATGTCTGATTGTGGTTGAAGAATCTGCGCTCTTACCAGTACTGGATGATGGCCAATGTACAGTGTGTTCCGTGTGCCCTTCATTGACAGTACATGGTATGGCTCTTTCTCCTGCTAGCAGTACTTCCAAGCTGCTGAGTTGTGCCTCGATGGCCAAGACCATTGAATGCATATGTCGCTGTGCATTCTCCAAGTCTGAGCAATGCCGAGCACATAGCACGTGTACAGAACGCCAAGCACACAGGTACACATGCATGCAGCACCAACCCACACATGCATGAACACACAAACGCGCACATACATACATACACACACACACACACACACACACACACACACACCAGATTCTACTACATGTAGTAGTATCAAGAGTACATACTACAAGTATCAAGAGTACATGACCCCACGAGTATGCAACTCTGTACACCGACGACTTCAGAGAACACAATAAAAGTTGACAGGATCGCTTTTCTAAATGCATGTATGTTGTGTACTACAGTACTACCAGAATCTCAGTGGTCAAACCTAATATTTCTTCTCCGCCAATATTTGCGTGTATATTTATCAGTGATTGTGATTCAAAACAACAGATTTGTCTTCACCTTCAAGTCGACGTAAGTCGTCAGCGGACTCCATGGCCCAACGAAACCAGAGTCTGCTGCAGTTGTGGTGTAAGGCTGCCCGGCCGAGAGCCGTTCTCTTACGCCAGTCTGAACAGAAGCTGATTCACTGAGGCGATTTTCAAACAAGACTAGCACATCCAGTCGAGTCAGGGAAATGTCAAATCAAGTGGGTAGGTCCACAGTCATCGATTTTGTGAGAACTGCCTTTTGAAAATGCTGCAAGCATTCCACGGATCCGACGCCGTTAGTTCGTGACGCCCTGACCACCAAGTCTTTTTGCAACGGTCCCGCGGTGCGCGGTCACGACTCTGTAGTCTGTGCATGTGGGCATGGCGTGTAGATCCTTTCCAATTTTTTTACTACATGTACCTGTACATGTATTGACACAGCTAGCCACAGCCCTACAGTCCATTTCAAAACTATAGACGCGTACCTAGGCAAAAACCGTTATGCCAGCATCTATACCACATAAAATCTGTGATCACTTTGTGCATAAATTTTTCCAAACTGGGCGTCTGTTATCCAATCCTTTAGAAACTATATGAGAGTAATTGTGGAGCGATCCTGAGCAATATTCCGAAAACTATTCTCTAAAAGTTCCAGCCAAATTTGAAATATTTCAAAAACCCTACGCGTCTATAGTTTTGAAATGCACTGTAGCCCTACTAGATACTAGTATGGAAAACAGGTGGAGAACAAAAAGAAACGGGAAAAGGACAAAACATAGGGGATGTAGGTCAACAATGATTATGATTTATGTACAGTAGTACAGTAGTTCAAGTCTTATGTTCAACAGTAGACCCTACCAGTCATAATAAATAAGCTCCAGTACAATCATGTATTGTAAAGCTCCTGGTATGGAGCTTACTGTAAAACGGGTAACTATTGCGACGTAAAAATGTTTGCGAATTTTGCGAGAGGCCCCAAATCGCAAACTTTGAACAACGCAAACTCGCGCCATGTAAAGTTCAATGCAAGGACTGACTCGTCTGTGTAGAACGACTGTAGAACGACTCGCAAACCGGCATTAAACAGCGCAAACCAGTCTCAATTTGTAAAACGCAAACATTTATTGTCGCAAACGTTACCCGTTTTACAGTATCACTCTTGATTGTACAGGCCGCTGTACTTGTGACTTGCAATTACAGGTTGCCTATCATAGGCCGCAGGCTGTACATGATCAAGCCCGAGTCCATATAAACCGTTGAACCCCGTGGACTCGTTTGGCTTATCTGCCACTCCTCTCATGTCTACCACCCCACCCGCCACACACACTACTTGTTGTGGAGGTCATTCATGTAGTATTACAGGAGGAGTTGAATCATTGACGGTGTCAAAATGAGTTTAAAAATTACCACTGAAATTTCCTTATGGAATCGTTCTCGGGTACAGTGTCGCAAAATGTTTGTGCCCACATCTATTATAATTATTAGACCACAGTGAACCGGGTGCTGAACCTGATGGAGCAAGCCCAAGGGCCATACTTTGTATGAATAGGTTGCATTTACTCATTTGGAAGTACAACACATAGGCCATACTGAAGTACCGTGTAAAGGGCCTACTACAGCCGGGCATTTCCAAAGGATATCTATTAGAGTGTTCCAAGTTTTGGTGATATTGAACAAGAAGAGGAGGAAAAAGTGTTATGGCTCTGAGTTTCATGCGCACATACCGGGCGATCCGATCAGATACTACTAAAATATGATATTGAAGCTATAGGGACTCAGAAAGATCTGAATCCCACCCTAGCAGCTAGAAAGACCATGGCCCGGGGGCTGTGGCCAGAGGCGGGCATGCCGGGCCCTGAGGAACTAACATGATAATCCGATCCGAGTCTCAAATATTCCCGTGAGCCAACGTTCTTTAAAATGGTTGATTAGTGATTACACACAGTAAATTTGAAAATATTACTTGTACATACAGAATTTAGCACCAAATCTTAGAAAACTAAGTAAGAAGATTTACATTATCCTCTAAACTGATACAAGTTGTTGCCAACAAAATAAATATCAACATCATCTCCATGACAATGCCACACCATTAGGACCAATGGGAAGAGCTTGAATTTGAGTGCTTGGCAATTGAGCCAGACATAGAAGTAACAGTTCCAGCAAGACCAACTCACGGTTGAAACAGATATTGATCATGACTAGGGCGGAGATAGGTGCGGGGCAGTCTCCAGAAGAGAGTTGGCAACCATTGGAGTATGTCTACAACAAGACTGTGTGTCACACTCAGTGTTCGGCGTGTCAGTGACCACATGAGAAGCACGTGACAATATTCTCCAGTACACGCCACACTGCACTGGTGGATGTACAAAGGCACATTGATCCTCACGGATACATGTACGGCGACTCGTACATTGTATTGCTCGTGCATGGCATGGGTGTGATGCCAATCAGCGTGGCTCCCAGAGCAGACAGCCGCGGGAACAGTTGGGTGAAAGCCGAAAGAACAAAGGAATGCTGCTACTGGAAACGTAGGAGTACTTTGAGTACTAAGACTTAGTGATGTTGCAAGCACTGGCCCAGACACGGCTGCAAGATAAAGTGCTGGCAGACCGGCAATGCATCATCTACTATTGGCAATTGGTTCAACTGAACATCGTTGCAAGCCCTGTTTCGGACTTACTTGTAGTCAGCTTTGGAAACGAGTGCACTGAACACCGCTACGCAGCCATGATCGTGTTATCCAGAACTGGAACGGCCAACGCAGACTCAGCAAGCTCATCCGACAGGACCCGTATATGCAGTCCTGAAGCTACGGCTAGTTGTTGCCAGTTACTGTGACAAGCAAGCACTCGGGCGCCAGCCGGGAGCTGAACGCTAGCAAATCCTCTGGCGTGATGTCGTGTACAAATATGACATATTGACCTGTGCAAAAACAAAACATAGCCGCATACAAAGCATGTGTTACTACCGGGAGGAGCAGCGTGGCAAGGTGTGTGCATCAAATGGAATGCACTGGACAAGGTCGAAATTGCCTATTTCCAGGATGGCTTTCAATAGGCCGGTGCCCATTTTCAGCCCATGGGTATACACTTCCCAGTGGCAGCAGCAACAAAGTAAAGGGTACACGATTTTCATAATCAAGTAAAGGCTATTAATCAACTGACTAAATCCTCAACTGTAAGTTGTACTTGATGGTGCCAGTGCCTGTGAACCATGCCAACACTGATTTGTGCCTACTTCAACAATAGTATGTGTCCTGCTGCTGCCGACGAACCGAAAGGAAGCATACAGCATTTACTTCTACATGGATCTACCAAAGTCCTTTCTCACTTATCAATCCAGCCAATTTCATGCCGCACGACATTGCTATGCAGGGACCTTTTGACCTTTTGACGCCCATCGCCGGAGGCGACAATAGCGATGCTACAGCAGAAGCCATAGCAACTTGTGCTGGGATTGCACCATTCAACAGCTTGCAAGACTGAGGAATGGACTGCCACTATTCAGCCTGGTCTACACCACACAGCTATGAAGTGACTTTTACTGGCCAGAGAATCCCTAACTTTGGGTCTTTTTCATTTTTTCCCGCACACACACACACACACACACACACACACACACACACACACACACACACACACACACACATCGCACCACATACTCCGGCATGCACACTGGCTGTTGGTAACCACCCAGGAGAATGAAAGAAAAGTCAGGAGGAGTCTGAGAAAGACAAGAAAGACGTGTGACCATAATCGCTGGGAATCGAACTCAGGGGCGTACGCCGCTCGCCTCCAGGAGTGGTTCCCATGCCAACTGATGAACCACCATTACACACAATTGAAGTGCTGTTTTTCGTACCCCACAGAGTTTCTGCATATTCTCCTCAGACTGGGTGAAATTGCCATCCACAAGCTGCTGGACGATGTCATTGCTACGCATTTATGATTTTAAAAGACTGAACTTTTCCCCGTTTTATGGATGTTTTGGTCAGCATGACGATTGCATGCAGTCTTGAAAGCTGCCTAAGTTTCGAATCATCTGGAGCAAACATCACACAGGCCAAGCAGAAGCCACCATTGCATGCCTGTCAAAAGACTATCCAGGGTAACTCCTCCAACAAGGATAGTTGAAAGTGGCGCTGTTTGCCATCCATCTGGACACGCACAGGAAATGAAATCCTTCGCCTGCGGTGGCGCACAACGATTGTCGATGACGGAAATCTTTTCCGTGTCCAGCAAATTTCGGGGGACTGGATTCCACTGTGGACGTCGACTTTCAGAATCCCTTCCAACACCCTCCCATGTCATTGAAGTAAGTTTTGGATGATCCAGCAGCTTCCAACAACGGTCGCTCTACAGCTTCGCCGACGATTTCTTCCTCAGCGCTGCTCGTTGCATGCATACTTCACTTGCACGTCAGGTGCGTCTGCATTCTCATCTATCGCTTGACCTTCGCCACTAGCACTGGCTACACACTTTGCCTGCAGCTCAAAATAGCTCTGAATAGAGCGCTGGCCCTCTGGATGTCGACGCTTCATTTTTCTTTTCCACAAAGCGAAAGCATCGTCAAAACACGACCAACTTTGTCAAAACAAACTCCAAAAGAAAATTTGACTCTGAGATCGAGGAATCCGGCGATGTAACTAGACTAGAGACTTTGTTGAACCCATCATGGATGGGTTCAGGCATGGCCCAGTTCAGTAGATCTACGCTGTGTCCCACTCCCAGCACCACTTTCACACCTGGGCTAGTGGTCAGTCACCGTCGACGCGTCCTCGGACCGGCAGGCGGACTCCAGACATGCACTGCATGCACTTGCACTGTGAGCCTGTGAGCGCTGGGACTGGATCAAAAAATTCTCTGTACCCATATCGAATTTGTTTTACTGGTTCCCGGGCATCCCGGGAACCGCCCTATGTACGCCCCTGGAACCCGCAACCTCTCGCTTCTAAATCGCTTCACATACCACTGCACCATATGGGCACACCAGCATGGACACACACATGCACGCACATACACATGCACACTGTACTGTACTGTACTGTATTGACAGCTACCCTAACGAGTCACGCCGCCCTCCACCCAAGCATGGGTATGATGAGGGGCAGCGGCAACAGACATGCACACACACACACACACACACACACACACACACACGTGCACGTCACACCCCCCCCCCACACACACACGCACATGCCCCCCCCCCCCACACACACACAAACACACACACACACACACACACACACACACATGTACATATGCTAACGGGGTATTTGATTTACCTGGTTCACAGCCGAGCAGCTCAGCCTGCTCTATACAGCCAGCGTGCGATGCTGCACCGACTTCTCTCTCCGCACCACCTGCACCAGCCAGCGGTGCACCGTCATGCTCAGCATCATGTGTGGCGTCATTCAGCCCAGATTGGCTTTCAGTGTTCTTAGCACTGTGTTCATCATGTCTCACAGGACGCGGTGGCGGTGGACACGGGTAGCACAGCTTCGAGCCAGGTTTCACAGCGGCTGCTTCCTCTGCTGTGGATTGTCTAATATCCTTGTCGGATTGGGCGGACGCCTTGCGTAGACCACGGAGACCTGTGCATTGCTTTCTGGACAAGTACAAGAAGCATGCAGTTCAGCAAACACAAGCAAATACAGTCAACTTCGCTAATAACGACTGTGGATATAACGACAATTCTCGAACAACGACAGAATTTCCATGCCCAGAGCAAAGTCCCATCTAACTGAAATACATAATTATAATGAGACTTCGGGTATAAGGACACTTCGCGAATAAGGACACTTTTCTGATGCCCCACCGAGTGTCGTTATATGCAAAGTTGACTGTACAGAAAAAATGCAATGAATGTTATGACCAATAGCACCCCGGAGCATAGTTTAAAAGAAGATTTCACCCAGCACTATGTGCATTCCTGGAGGCCCAATAAGCGAACAGGCAATGATGCCTTCTCATCAACCAACAGCTGGCTCTCACAGAATGATAAATTAAAAATTAATGATGTTGACGAGGTATGTACTAGGACTCACCTACATATCAGTAAACTTACAAATTTCCCGGCGATATCTGTTGAGAAGTAACACTCCCGGTCGAATCTGGGTTGAGAGTGAGGTCTTCTGAGCTGTTCGCTTCCTTTATTCCATGCGTGTTTGATCGAGGCATTGGCAGCTCGCTAGAACTGCCTACTTCCCCGCCATCAGTTGTGCTGACATGTCCCGGTTTCTTGCCACCAAAATTTCCCCTCAGCTGCAATGACCAGTCCCACATCTTAGGCTCGGCATTCAACGGGATATGAGCGGTTTTGCCAGTGAATCTAGGTTCCTCTAGTACAGTTCCGGAGCTTGCTTTCATCTTTTGTACCATGCATGCTGCTTCTACATTCAGCCTCTTCGTGCCGGGTTTTTCTGACCTCCTTTTTTGTTCTGGTTTCAGAGAAGGACGCAGAGGAGCCACTCCAGGTGGCCCATTGGATGTTGGCAATGGTTCGGGATTCACAGAAGAAGCTTTGTTCACAAGGTTTCTACCAGATATTCGTTTTTGTGAGCTGACCTTGCTGATTCTATCCATTGCCTTCTCAACCAGTGTTGCTGAAGGTGGCTCACCGGAGTTGAAGTGAGTGTAGCGCATCACAATGGCGGACCTGTGGAAGGCATTTCGCTGATGATCAATGGCTGCCTGTGCATTCTGCATGTGTTCCGCTATGGTGGCAACCTGTTCTTTCATCCTGTGCTCCTGGTCTTTGATGTCACTTCGGATCTTCGCCGGCAGCGCCTTTTCGGACTGCAGTAGTCTGGGTCCTGTGTAGAAAGCCGGGTACTCAACCCGATACTGCTCTTCCATGTCCCATTTCTCCTCTAGTTTAGCCTGGACTGATGACATGTGGCTGTACGTATGACTGGCTGTGCTCACGGTATCGTTAGGCGTGCCTTCAGGCCTGATGGAATCTGACGCCAAAGGAACCGGATTCGCATCACCACGTTTGCCCGAGGACCTGCGCCTGGAGTCGGCGAGATGCATTCCATCATGGCTGGACTTCTCTTTCAAACCTTTCTTCTGGAGTTTTGCTTGGTCTTTAGCTGCCGTCTCTTGGCTTGATGCCCCCTTGTTGCGGTCATCCAAGCTCCCCTGGGGTGCCTTAGAAGCTACACTGCCATGTATTGTACTGACAGGGTTGTTGGTGAACTTGACTGTCTTCTTTGCCTTCCCACTCTTGGTACGAGAAGCATTTTCTGCTGGTATGTTGGTTCTCGTTGTTGCTCCTCGAGCTGTGCGAGAATCTACAGTAGCAATACGTGACTGTAAGGTGAGATCACTGTTTGCTGCTGTTGCTTGACCAATGCCTGCACTGTTATTGCTCATTGCAGGTAAGTGACGCAGCTGGACATTGCCTTGCTTTGTTGGCAGGGCTGCTGTGTCCACAGCTAGATGAGGTCTCGGATTGTTCAGGCCATCAGAGGCATTGACTAAGCCGTTAGCAAAGTTGCCGGGCAGGTACGCTGGTCCCGGGTCAAATGCGCCAGGCAGGGATTGATGCTCCTGGACTTTTGTTGGTTGTGCTGCTGACACCAGCTTACTGGCGTTATCTATCACTCCCTTCACCATGGATGCGTACATTCCAAAGTCGTCGGATCTCTGGTCAAAGATGGCATGTGTCATGCGGAGATTACGGAGCTTTTCGTCGACCTGCTCTGGAGATAGGTACTCAGGAGCGTTCAGCACAGGTAAGTCGCCGCCGCCGACATCAACCAAGATGCGGCGCATCATGGCCGTTACGCTACGCATGTCGCTGGTTTCACCAGGCAACAGCGGTATCTTGCGGGCATGGTGGACGGTGCCCGGCACCGGCATGTGCCGTGTCCCAGCAAGATCTCTTTCGCACAGCGGCGGGAAGAAGCTGACAGCGTAGTCACTACGAGTTAGCAACGGATCAGCGGATGCCGCTGCGGACGATGGTGACGCCAGAGACACACATAATGATGTTCCTCTTTTCGGGTTTGCATTTGACGATACACTTGCTGGTTGGCAGGACAAGGACCTAAACTCACTGCGTCTGCTGTCATCGCCTGGCGCTTTGCCCGTACTGTCAGCGATGTTTCGAGATGCTGGATTGTCGCGCAGCTGTTGAGTGCAGTAGGTACGCTCAAACACACCGTTATCATCGGTTACACCACTCTGCACATGAAACAAATCAAGGCAAGCACAATAGCGATCAAACCGTCAACTTTCGTTATCATGGCAGGCTTGGCAGCACAGGGGTGCACAGGCTGCAGTGTGCCAAGCCTGAATTTGAATCTTATCACCCACTACTGTACAGTTACCAGCAAGATTGCACATTCGCAGCAAAGCAACGCCGGAACAAATTGCTACTAACAAACATGATGTACTCAGCTGGAGTGATACAGAAGATGAAGCTACACTCGGAGTGAGTTGTGGTAGCTCAATAGATTGCTTGATACACCTGGATGTAGAGCCATATACACACAGAGAAGTCACTAAGACTGCTATATTGTGGTTCTTTGACAACCGCCTCTGCATGAAGCTCGGAGTCACACAAAACGGTGTTAGTATTATTCTCTCTAACAGTCGTGTGCAGAAGATGAAGCCATGTACATGTCCAACAGTTGATTGTTGTTTATCCCCCAGACATCATTGATCCCGTACGCCCAGCGGGATACTACCGACTCACCCCGGTGCCACTGGCCCCTTGCCGGCTGGTTTTGCCGGTCTCTGCACAGTGACGCTTTGTGAAACCGGCCATTCGATGCGGAACTGACACCGCGCAGTCAACGAGAATGTCTGCCTCGTGCGACAGCAAGCCAATTCTGGGCTCAGATACACGTTGTTGTTCTGGACCAGATTTACCGTGATTGAAGTTGCTTCCCCGTTGTCGTGAGGGCACAGAGCTGGACACGTGAGATGGGCCACTGCAGGCTGCTACCTTGAATTGGCCACGGTGGGGTGATGGAAGGAAAATGTTGTCGAATGTGCACACACCATTCACGGTCGTCTTGGCTGGATAAATCGGTGTTTGAGACACACAATCAGCCTCGGCTAGCAACAGCGCTATCAGTTGCATCTGTGATATGGGCGATTCTTCGCCTGGTATTTCACCACTCCGTACTTCTCTTTGATGTTGCTTCAATTCCTTCAAGAAGTACTTGTTGTGTTCTGTGAGTACAAACAAGCAGTAACCAAGCAATGGTGGAAACAGCAGTAGAATGTGCACATTGTGATGACGCTTGTGTCATGGCAAGGTGCACATTGTTCCCATCTGCTGTCAACGGGAAAACTCTTGCATGTTGGTATTCCGTCCTTGTCCTCAATAGCAGAGTATAACACCATAAACTCTCTCTCTCTCTCTCTCTCTCTCTCTCACACACACACAGACACACACACACACACACACACACACACACACACACACACACAAACACACACACACACACAAACACACACACACACACACACACACACACACACACACAAACAAACACACACACACACATTCATACATACACACATACACACATACATGTATATAATTGCATACAGAAGCCGGGGTGTAGCGTACGGGCAGCAAGGCGTCCCATGGCAATTGCACTCTTCCACAAGTCATTGATCGCTTCGTAAAGGAAGCCTACATGCAATAAGGTTATGAATAATTGGATGAAAATATGGGCACTATCACAAACTTTATCCTCTCCAAGGTTCTGCTTGTGTACAACTCCATTTTGTAGGCTCTCCTAATTTCACATGTGCCCACTGCAGCTTGAACCATAGCCATTCACATTATAAAATTGGTACAGTGCATAGTGTTCTACAAATAATCTTGTATGCCTCAAGTTTAGAAGTATTTGCGACCATTATCTCAGCGTCAGTTACGAGTACCTTGCTGGAGTGGGAATGACTTGCAAGTGCTTTCATCCTCTTTGGTTGAACAGTCCGACGCAGCAAGTAACAATCCCATTGCTCCGATCCGCCTCTTACGCATTCTCTCTGTTCCGACAGCATCAGCAGCAGCAGGAGGAGGAGAACTCTGGGAATCTTGCTTTCTTCTCACATGGCATGGCTCCTGAAGGAAGTCCAAACTGTCCGGTTCACTGTCCACCTGTCCATCAGATGCATTGAGTACATTCTTAAGCCAGGCAGCAGCAGTAGGCACATCTGCAGGTTTGATCCCAACATTCAGATGCGAGGTTTTGTCAAGACCCATGCGATGCGGATCGTGCGCTTGCCACTTTGAACTATTGAAAAATTTCGAGTGCCAGGCTTCTTGATTGGTGATGCTGCCACGTTCAAAGCTGACCATGGCGCCGGGGTAGGCAACTCTCATCAGATATTTGGATTCTTGCAGTCTATTTCGCATGACCCCGTGGAGTTGATCATCCGTGAAGCTCTTAGTCTTGATCGGCAAGGGTCGATACTTGATCACTGGATATGGCACTGCCCAGAAGCCACTGTGCATTGAAGTACAAAAACCCAACCATGCATCACTATGGCACAACACACACATGACGTACGTACAAGACACCTTGCCTGGTATGTAATACAGTAAATGTTGACTCAACAGGCCACTCCTTCTGCGAGTTACAAATTTGCTATGATTGTGTTAATGACAAGGCTCATGTCTTTGCAAAACCCCATTCGGAACTCAACAGTATGCCTCTGCAATGGCACTGACTCACAATGGTGTGTAGAGGCAAGCTCCTTGCTGCCGATCCCAGCTTCTGTCTGATCCGTACAGTCCATGGTCCTCCTGGTACAGCTCATGATCATAGTGCACGGTCCACGGCTTGCTGGCACTTTGCTCCATCAAGTGCAAGGCCTGTCTCTCCAGAGCAATGCCCTTTTCAAGCGAGCGATTAACCTGATCATCATGTCTATTCTTGTTGTTGACAGAGACAATGGCACGGTTAGTGATAGATGCTGGCTGATGGCTACTAGCACTAGAGACAGCCAGGTTCTGCAATCCCACTGGCAGTCGCTTCAGTACTGTGATCATAATACGCCGTCGGCTCTCTGTTCAGGCATAGGAAGCATTGAGAAGACGTGGGCATAAACAGTACATATGAACGAACACGAGACTGGCACTCTTTCGTCATTTGCTGTATCATCATTGCCCATTTTCCGAGTGTCATCGTATCCATCCTGTGTGGTCACAGATGATTGAGCATTACTAGAATACGAATCTACTGCAAGCTGACCAGTTTGGACTACAGTAAAACCTGTAACTAAAGACCACCGTGACTAGCGACCAGCCTGGTACTAAAGACCACTTCGCCAGGCACGGACGGTCTCACATTCATACATGGTTGGGCGGTGCAAACCTCTAACTAAGGACCACCTGCCACTAAAGACCGCTTTCTCTGGACCCAAGGGGTGGTCGTTAGTCACAGGTTTCACTGTATTTAAATCATTACTTACAGAAACATGGAAGACAACAGGAAATGGGAGCCAGGAAGGGCTTGGTTTAGCTTGCCCACACCTAACCATTTAAAGTTTCCTCAGTTTGAACCCCTACCCATAATAGTATGCACTCTGTTTCAGAGTTATGTAAAGGCTAATCGGATCATGTGCAAAAGCCAGTGTGCATGCTCAGACTACATACCTCCTTTGATGATTGTGCCAGCATCGTTCACACACTCCACACGTAGCTGCAATGGCTCTCCTTGCCTTATTGTCACGTATCGCTCTGGTTGCAGGCGAAGCCTCGTCGGCAGATCTACACAAAAATTCACACAAGCATGGATGTGTGTACATGTTCATACAATCATGACACCACTTAAATGGGACCTCTCGCGGACAACTGGGCTGTACTGGCTGCGGACTAAGAGCAATCCTTTCATTAATACGTTCATCACACACAACCTTATAGCCACACAGATAAGTGCAATCTCTGCCTCTCGGTATTGAGCACTCTCTTGGACAGCCTAAACCTCTATGCTTACCAGATAAGTGCAATGTGCAGCATGATGTTTTTCATTCTTTCTTCCAGTCCCCAGCCCGGCATAGCCGTCTTACCTTGCACATTGCCGCGGTCAAACACACCAGTGTACGTGATGCCAGATCTCACCGACAGTCTTCCCTTTCCATGTAATTCCCCTTGCTTGTTGAAGGATCCCTGCACATGGCATTCAATAATCCAAACATTGATCCCACTCCATACGCCTTGACCCATGTGTTCGGTGATGGATCATTGCAGAAAAATTCAAAATTCCTGAAATCCAGCAGACAAAACTATCAAGTAAGTAAGCTACTTGTGTGATGAAAATGTACCCACCATCTAGCTGACTACTACTTCAAGTATACATCATTTTCAGTGGATACACAGGTACTTGAACTAGGCACTGTAGCTATGACAGTGTTCTATGCACAGCCGGACGGTGTGCAGAGATGATCACACCAGCCGGGGAGCCGGTGTGATCAGCTCTGCACACCGACTTGGGTCAAGGTCATTGGGTCAAGTAATTATTAGGTCTTTGTGGTCCACTTCACAACAATAAAAAACACAGAAGTCTCTGCTGTGAGCACGGTGGCTCGGCAATGGCTTTATTACTGATATTATTAATCTCCTTCCTGATATATATATATTTTTTCTTCTTTTTTCTTTCTTGAATAATTGTACGCATAGGGCCTGATAAGAAAGATTAGCACAAGACACTGCTGCTACTGTAGTCGCACAGCAAAAACACAGAAAACGACAAAATGTTACAATGAATGTAACAACACCCGTCCAAGCTAAAGGACCGACATCCCTGCCCCAGGATGGCATCTCGAAACCCCCACACACTCACCACACGGTCATCATCCAGCTTCAGTTCAATCACTGTATTCTTCCCCTGCAGACTCAACCCCTGTGTCACTAGCCATACAATCTGAAGCTGTATGTAACCATACAATGGCCCGCGACGCACACACCACCCCTACATTTTTTAACTAAAAAAGAAAAGCAGTCGTAACTGCAACAGCCACATGGCCAATAAGAAAAACCAATACGATATATCGATAAACACACACCCAGAAGTCAGGGGTGGGAGGGTGGGATACAAACTGCACCACTCTGTGACGAAAAGCCACTGCGAAGTGACAGGAATGCGGTCCAGCACAACATTTTTGCTGACGCAAAAAGTTGTGGGGAAATCCCAAAATCGGTGCGATTTTGCATGAGCCCAAATGTTCAAGTTACCCACAAAGACACAAGCTTTCCAACTCTCTTTGGCTGTTGGAAAGCGTACCTTGCCTTTGGCGGGTGTGGAACTCGGGGCTCAAACAAATACATGTAATTTGTTCTGATTTTGTCCACGGCATGGTATTGCAGGCAGGCAGTGGCAAAGCTGCCAGTTAGTGTGCTGCACGCAGAGCCAATTTTACACAGGAGATGTGTGTCACAGCAGATAGACATTGCTGGTGTAACACCGGCAATGTAGCGGCATGCTTACTTGGTAGCGCATAGTGCCTTGTGCCATGACTAGCTCTCCAGTGGTGATAGTGTTCTGGTTGGTCTGGCCTCTGAATATGTCCCCGTTGCTGTGTGCAGGATCAAACATACCGTACTTCCGCACATATAAGCACATGTGCTTATGCCCGGACATAAGCGCCCCCCCCCCCCCACAATTATAAGCGCATGCACCTATATGTGAACACTATTGGTGAAACACCCTGGAGCTGAATATACTGCTAAGCATTGTGATAACACTGTTGTTTAGGACACAGACAAACCTGTATCACACATATAAGCACATGGGCTTCTACCCAAACATGTTCACCCAGCAAAAAATCTTTTTTGTAGCAACTTTTCACATATAAGCCCATGCACTTATAAGTGGGGAAGTCACTGAGGGGTAACCATCCAATGACCATACATTGTATGCAGAGGCATTACCAGTATATGCTACGTTTCAGGATCAACAGTTCTAACACCAATCTATCTGCTCCGGTGTCCGTGTGAAATCAACCCCTTAACCACTAGTCTTCTAACCTATGTGAGTGTAGGAATGGCAGGTGTGTGTGTGGAGTGGGGGTGGGAGGGGTGGGGTGGGGGGGGGGGGAGGGGGCTGGACCGGTACGGATCATGGCAGATGGTAAGAGGGAAACCATGCTTCAAAGGTTGTTTGCTAACTTAACATCGTAATAATAGCACGGTTTGCCATAGCTGTCATTGTAAGATCAGGGTTTCCAAGCAGTCAGCCGACCATGTAAGGCAATGGTCCACAGGTATTGTTTCCAGTGCTTCTGCTACCCTTGGACCCTAAAAGGCCAGCGAAACACTGGGAGTGCTAGGGTTTATGCACATCACCTGAAGTGAAGACTCTGAGCCCCGTTTAACATGCACGTGAAGAGAGACTCACGGGCAAAGCAGCTCACACGAGCCATGCTCCACGTTGTTCACAAACTCGCCGTGGTACACGTAGCCGTTGGTGTAGTGCAGCGTACCCAGACCTTTGCAGGAGGCGGAACACCAGCAGTGCCGGCGGCGAGGCATCAAACACCACACAGTACACGCAGGTAATGGTCATCATGACTCAGGTTCACTAGTCACGGTGCGCCGCGCAGGGAGCATCACTTCTCCCGGTCTCATCCAGATAACCAAATTATTGTGCTGCTCGTCTTATTATGTAAGATACAATTACCATAAAGTACCGCCAGAGCGCCCCACCATCTCATCCTTTCATGGTCGTATTGTGGAGGTGGTCTGCTGTCTGTAGGTCATACGACATGAACCTTGTATACATATTGCACGTTTTGCAGTCAATCCGTACCTTCAAGCAGACACAAGCTCCACACAAAAACCTGCCAAGTGTGACCTTAGTACACTAAGATTCTCACATCGTACACACTGAGTCGTTGCACTCTGCCATACGATTTTCCTTTCTCTGGCTGTAAAAGGTGGGGCGCTCTCGCGAGACGGGGCGCTCTGGCGGTACTTTACGGTACATGCTCTGGCTCACCTCCCATCCTTCAATACACTAACGGCAAAATACCTATCCATACATGTCCTGGTCACATATGACCTCGCAAAAGCAAAAGTCAGTGGCGTCAGACACGCTACGGTCACTATGGTATTGACCGTACAACTCTTTGCCCCAGGTACTCCCTGATTCAACAAAATGCAATGATTTGGGCTCTAAATTTCGAATATTCCAGCGGAGCCACCTCCACGAGCAAATCATACATCAAAAGAATGACTTTGTCGCCCATCAGTACCTACCGACGCTCCTGAAAGTGAACTGGTAACGCTATTCTCTACACAGCACATGCACTACTGTACATTCAAGACCGTATCTTCCCTACAAGGACGTATGCTACAAAATGCTTCACTCCTTCCCACCTTGTCGCTGTCCTTTGTGATACGGACCATAGTACACGTTGCCCTGGTAATCCCTTTCCAGGCAGCGGCCGTGCGGGACTCCGCGGGCAAAGCGTCCCGTGACCGTGGCGATGACCCGGTCGCAATTCATCGTGACAAGGTGTCCCTTGCCCTCCATGTGGCCGCGAGTCATCTGTCCTTGATACATCCACTGGCGATCGCCAGTCACAACCGTTCCCAGGCCTGGGGCAAAGAGAGTGCAAGTGGTGTAATCACATGTAACAGGTGTACTTATACCAAGACATCATCCATACAGTACAAAATACTCTCTGTACTCACTATTCGTATTTCCCGCTCCTTCCGGAAAAAAAGCCGCTAACAGTGGCACACTGGGAATTCCTATCCGGAGACGGCACAGTCGGATAGATGCTCCACTTCTAAACCATTCCAGACGCGGGCAGCTATCATTATCTATTAGGTATCTGTTGTGTATCCACACCAAGCAGTTCACTCGAGATTCACCAAAGACAAAAGGCCATGTCCTTCTTGTGCATGATACAGGTATGTGAGAGAATCAGAAAAATAGTTGTAATATTATTACGACTGCATGAAGTTGGTACAATGCATGGACATAGAAAATACATTGCATCATGATAATTCTTACTTGCAAGCAAAGTTTGAACAGGTTTTTTTAAGGGTAATGCTAATACAGACAGCAGGTGAGTGGCTTCTGATACTAGTAGTACATGGTAAGATGCAATCGCAGACACATATCAAACGTCCATAATCCTCACTTACCGTGTGGCAAGTCGTTGGCAAATTCTCCATAGTAAACTCCACCATGTTCCAGTACGATCTTACCCACACCTGTGAATGCAGAACGGAATGGTTTCTAGACAGAGAAGGAGCTATGAAATGAAATGACTGGAAGAAGAACATACGAGAGAACTCAAATTCATCCAGCCTGGCGCATCTTTTATCATGATAGAAAGACTGGCAAACGGGTATTAACCGTAGAATAACAACTAAGCACCAACAACTGCAAGTGTCATTTTATCGTTTCTATGCTTCCTAGAGAAACAATACACTGTTCAATCGCCATGTTTCAACCATTGCTTCTATGACAAAGTCACTGTTCTCAAAATGTTGATGGTTGAAATCAGTTTTAATATCTGGTTTAACTCGATGTCAACTGGTAAATCCCGGTCTTTGTAAAAGAGAACAGCACAGACAGAGCTTTTCGAAGACAGCCAACATTTTATTAGGGCTTCAACAGAAGTACTTGTTGTCGTTGCAGACCACTAACGTATAAAAGTAATAACATACCATGTTTTTCTGGTTTTTTCTTGCCCAGCACCTGTCTTGTCATTCCTTCAAACTGGTGTGTGATGATGTACTTGACAGGCGGTGCGGTTTTCTTGTCGTTTTCCTCCTGCACCGCTGTATCCAGGAGGTGTGCGTACAGGCAGTATACTGTGTCCTGCGTGGCCTTCTGTAAGTACTGTAGCCAGGCTGAGTCACGAGTCCTGGCCCATTGTACTTGGCCCACGTGCTGGTGCGTCTTTAAGCGACGCTCTGAAACAGGAAAAGACCGCAATAAGCACATTCGCAAGCCGTGATGCCCCAGCACGAATTGACACTTTCACCCATCAACTACTATTACGTGTAGGGCGAAGCTAACCTCTTCACTCCTGTGCACCACTGGTATTGAATACAGTCGACCTACCCTTATAACGATAACCTCTATAACGATATTACCCTTATAACGATATTTTTCTGCCAAACCAAATCACTCCATTGACTTTTGTATACAATGCCCTACCCTTATAACAATATTGCTATAACGATATTACCCCTATAACGAGATCAAATGGGCTGACCAATCAACATTTTCCATTTTATAACAATATCTAGCAGGGAAGATGTAGAGCCCACTATCCAGGCAGGACAAGCTTCACTTGATAAGTCGCTGGGACATGACGAAATGCAATGGGGGCACCAGCAGGCACCTTGCTGTGTACATGATGTGCATGTATGTCAGTTTTTTATGCTATGAAGAGTGTAAAAAATTAAACAAAATCCATGCATTATGACGTATGTGTATGAAATGAACCAGTTACCCCTATAACAATATTACCCTTATAACAATATTTCTTGGTCTGACGCAAATATCGTTATAAGGGTAGGTCGACTGTATATTGATACACTACATCCCTAGCACAGTGCTACAACACATGCATGGGGGACGCCAAGTGCCTCTTGATAATTCTTGCAGATGATGGCCAAGACCAAAACCCTTTGCGGGAACGCATTGATGGGTGTGTGTGTGTGTGTGTGTGTGTGTGTGTGTGTGTGTGTGTGTGTGTGTGTGTGTGCACGCGTGCATGTGTGTTCTCACCGAAATACACTATATGTATGTTGTACACGCTGCTGCGCTGCTTTGTACACACTGCCTTGTATTGCTGACACGTGCACCTTTTTGTACTGATGAGTACACCACTTTTGTGCTGATGAGCGCACCACTTTTGTGCTGATGAGTGCACCAATTTCCTGAATATGATTTCTTTGTCAGTTGTCACGACACGTACATAGTCTCCCTCTCTGAGCCAAAGGGGTTCACAGACACGTGACGTACAGAAGTGACCAGTCGACGTCAGACCAACAATTATCTACATGTACATCTGATTTGTCCAGGAGTCACTGCGTGTCCCAAGGACGGCTGACGCTATGCTCTGCATTACCATGCCCATACCACAGCACATGCACACAGCTTCAATTGACCATATCACTTGCTTCAGCACACCAAACAACAGTCTGCAGTGCCCAGCCTAGCTAAATGCTTACCAGCAGCAATCTCCAGAGGTGAACGCTCATCTTGATTGTCAGTAACTCTAACATTAGGCATCGGCAGGGCAGACTGCACAGCATGGAATGCCTTCTCGAACAGACTCATCTGCACTGCATCCGACAGGATTCTTCGCTCGGGATTGAGCTTGGGCAGGCCTCTTGGTGGTGGCACTTTTCGTCCATCAACAACTACTGCGTGTAGTAACTCCTGTACCGCATCTTGCCACCTGCTGCCACCGTGTAGTACTGCTGCGGAGATACTCTTCTGAGCGACCGACTTTGAGTTAGGTTGAACCCTAAGTTGCTTGGAGTTGTTCTCAACTCTAGTTTGCTTGAGATGTGTATCTAGAGGCGCTGCACCTGCAGTCTGCTTGAGATGTCTATGTAGAGGCGCTGCACCTGCAGTCTGCTTCACCGCTAGTCTAGCCTGGGCTACTCTTTTTCCAGTTTGGCAAAAGCCCCGGCAACCCGCATCACCAGAGCAGTTGTTCCCAGCACAGCGCAGGCGGCGCAGCTCATCGGGACCCTCTTTCCAGTACAGAGATCCATCGCACGGATGGCCTCGGCTTTCAAGATCTTCGCCGCTGTCCTGACGAGCTCCCCTTGGCTGGCGGATAGGTGAGTCTATGATTAGACTCAACGGCGCTTGCTGTCTGGGCGTCTCAATCCGGTAGAAATCTTTTACCTCTTCAGCCGCCCGCTCTACGTAATCATAGAGCTCTGGCGCAACATCCTTGATCGCGGCCAGGACGTCCAGATCTTGCATGGTCGGAGGAGAGAGTTGAGCAGACCAGGAAGTGCCCGATAGGGAGTCCAGTAGTAGCCTGCTTGCACGTGCATGGCCGTGCTGCATTTCATAGAAACGAAAGAGGAGACGCGCAACATCCAATGCGCTGTGTATGCGGCACTCTTCATATCGCTGGTGTTGGCCGTGATGTTCACATGAGAGCCCGCCACCGTGATACAGCTGCTGTGCTTGTGGTGAGCTGCACATAGATGATGCATCTGCATCCGTCTCTGGTTCAGCTTCACTGCTCCCTAAGTCTCCTGCAGCTGGTGATGGATGCTGCTCTGCTTTCTGGCCAAAGTTCTCAAGCAATGATCGCAACTCACTGTGTTTCCGTACAATATTTACATACTTTTGCGGGGTTGGTCGAACATTCCTTTCGACCATTATATCCTTGAGGTGGCTCAGCTGTTTCTGCACCGGTACTGCGGTGGTGACAATCTTCTTACTCCTACCATCAGTCTTGTGGCCTTCAGTTGGGATTTGTATCTCAGGCAGACGATCTTCATAACATGATTCAGTGGTGGTAATGACACTGTGGTCTCCCCCAACACTCCCTGTCGAATCTGAGCTCAAGTTTCTACACTCTGCCTCCTCATCATACTCTTCACCATTTCGGTCAGCGACATATTCAGCAAGATCATCCACGGTTACACTGGCCGGATCACCAAAAGGCCTTGGCCAGTCATATGACTTCAGGCGCTGGTGTTGCCGCCGCTCTGGTTTGCTGTTCTCCATTCTGGACAGCACGGCTAGCAGCCTGTGCACCGTGTCCGCTCCGACCTCGGGATAGAGCCGGCTGAGCGTGTCCTGTGCCTCAAGGTACTCTCGCATGGCAATGTACGATGCCAGCGCTACTGGATGCGGACGTCTGCGAGGTCGTGCGGGCTTGCTGCCGTCCGTCCTCAGCCGGCTCATCCAGTCCTGAGATGCGCACAGAATGGCATACTCACAGCGCGGTGCTGCTGCTGCTGCTGCTGCCTGCTCTGTGCTATTGTCATGCTCACAGTGCGGTACCGGCGGTGCTCTGCTCGTATTCAAATCGCCATTGCTGTGCGGTTGCTGTTCACCCTGGAGACGTTCACTGCCTGCGCGTGCCGCAATACCACCCTGTGCAGACTGCAGCACGCCACTTGCTCTGCTCTCTCTACACTGGTATGTCTTGCTGACGCGCTCACACTGCTCTCCACGCTTGGCAGCCCGCTCCTTCCTTTTACGCTGCAGTAATGCCCAAAAGGCAAATCCCTCTGAGGTGGTCAGCAAGTCACCGAGCTTCTGCACCAAGGCTGACCTATCGTAATTACTTGCGAAGAAGGCAGCATTTTGCAAAACATCATCAAGATCCCGCGGGTTCTGAAAAAACTGGAATTCGCGGACGGGACCGCCACGTGCAGCTTCAGCCAATTCCTTCTCCTTGGCATCGCGACGGCAGATATCACAAGTGACTTGATGTTGGATCAATCTACGAACTGTGGCCGCATCATACTGCCCTGGCAGGAGGCCAAATGCAGTGCCATCGTGGCGTTTGTACAATGTCATGTCTTCATCGTCAACACTGCTGTCATCATCCTCTCGTAGTCCGGGTAGTAGGCGGGTGGCTTGCGGGACGCAGCGCTGCTCAACAGCTGGTTCCGATCGGCTACACGGCCACTCACCGCCGCCGTCTGCAGAGAAGTACTGCCCAAGCGGCGAAGCACAGTACATCGGACGTCTTCCGTTGTCCAATACGTCAACGGCGGCACAGTAGGCTTCACGCTCCTCGCGTTCCAGCTCAGCGTTATCAATGGGCTCCCCTGCCGTGTTCTGAGACTTTTCACTGTCAGCGGATTCGTCTGTTTCTCCACCTGTGACACTGTCATAATCGGTCTCTCCTTCCTCCACCAGGGTGTCCATTACCGCCGTCGCCTTTGCCGGTGCATCCTTTTGCCGCTTCTTCTTGGCGTTGATCTTACCAAGCTTCTTTCCAACACCGGGCAAGCCGGCTGGTGGCTCTGCACCTCCCTTGACAGGCTGAACACCGAAAGCCGTACGGCTCTGTCTGTTCGTCCTGTCCTTGGACTTGCCCTTCACGCCAGCGGCCGTAGCTGGGCGCGACGCAAGCACGCGCGACGCCCGTCGCCAATTCGACGCAGCTCCCAGGATGCCAGGCTGCAAGCTGCTGCGCCTTTGGCTGCCCAGGCCGGTCGGTGCTCCTTCATCCCCCTCGGCAATCGTGTCAAACTTCACTAACCTGCCAGCCCGTCCGCGATTCTGGCCACGTCTAGTCCCGGTCATAGGAACGATGCGAGCGCGTGCTTCGATTTGTCTTTGCCTGGCTACTGCCTGGCGCTGGGGAAAAACACGTCTCTCCAGGTCTTGGACTATGGCGAGAACATCAGTGTCGTACGGGAAACGGTCCACCGTCATCGCGGGCACGGGCACAGGCTCTCTGCCAGTTTGGCCACCTCGTCCACCGACCGGTCCGCTGCAGCTTGCCGATCGGTTGACAGGATCCGGCCTGTGGAATGCTGACGTGAACGCGTCCAGCACTCGTCTCGCCATGTCGATGCGCCGCTGAACCTGCTCGTCCGCTTCATTTTCCTCCATCCTTCCGCAATGTTCGCCCAGCTATTTTGTCGGCGCTACGTCCCCCGAATAGCCTTGTTGCTTTGTTGTGCGGCCGTCCGCTGTACGTTCATCAGTTGTGATGCATTCAATGTTGCCCACGAATGCACGATCGTTCGGCACTGCCACTAGCAAGACTAGTACTGTAATACTGTAGTGTAGTGTAGTACTAGTAGTAGTCTACTTGCTTACTTACAACAAAAATAATGGTTGACATCCCGAGAAAGTTGCGTTGTAAAAAGCGGAAAGTGTTTCATCGATCGTGTCTTGTACTTACTAAGTTGTAGTCGGGCTGGGAGGAAACCGCGGAGCAAGCGCGCCAGCTAGCAAGCAATACACTCATACAGGGATGCCATCATGGCCAGCCCTGACTACGGCCTGAGCCTGAGGCTGAACCAGGGAGTCGTAAAAGCCTTTTACATCTCCCTTGGCCTGGGCTGAACTGATCAGCTGAAGACTTGAACCAGGGTCGACAGGACGACAGCGCATGCGCAGGGAGTCGTATAAATCCGGTTTATGACGCGTCCCTGGCTTGCCTGATGAAGCCGGTGACAGAAGTGAACAGGTGAATTCATGAATGATTATAGCAATAAAAACTGCTTTATGGCAGTTTTCTAAAAAAAGTTATTGTGTTCTAGTCCATGGTCCCCGTCTAAAAAGTAAGAAATTAACGAAATGTGATAGCTGAAAATTATAATTTCACACAAAACCTCACAATAATCACAACACTTGAAATGCTGCTTTCAACACTAAACTTGTACTGCACCAACAATTGGCAACATGCATGCATAGGAAAGAGGATCACGAGGGGAAAATGTCTTCTGCATGTAGCTTTTCATTCTGTGTGTGATTATTGTGAGGTTTTGTGTGAAATTATAATTTTCAGCTATCACATTTCGTTAATTTCTTACTTTTTAGACGGGGACCATGGACTAGAACACAATAACTTTTTTTAGAAAACTGCCATAAAGCAGTTTTTATTGCTATAATTTCTTTTGTTTTTTTCTGTCACCATGTACCAATCAATGGAATGCCCTATATCAATATGTAAATGATGGCCTTCACATCATATCAATACCATATTATACGCATTGATGTGCAAGCCTTTTCTTGCAGAAAATGGCACTAGCACAATGCATGTTCTTCTGCGGGGAAACATGTGAGCAGTGGTGGTGATACTTTTTTATACGGAGGCCATTCTCTGCATGTTGCTGTTGCAGAATTTCATGAAACTGTCTTGCCTTTCAGATTTCTCCACCCTCAATCAGATTTATTTGAGAAATGTAGCCATGCGCCAGGTGCGTGTCGCAGATGTTTTTGTTGATTCTGTGTTTATAATGATTTATAGTCATGGGTTATCGTGATAAGGTCATCCAGCATCATATTGAAACTGAAATCGTAATCCTGTCGATGTCGATACAACTTTTGGAAGTAGTTCAATGACTTCAAACTGTTAGTCCACGATTGTCTAAAACAACACAGCAAAGGAGGAACAATAAACATGTATTAAAATGTAAACGAATACATTGCTGAGTCCAAAACCTCGTTCCAACAACTACACTGATCCTGAGGAGAAAAGGGGCAAGGCTATGGTTGGAGGTACTGAGAGATAAACAAGGCACTCCACAATAATAAAGTCTTACACATCTTTTGGTGAGTATGAATGATATCTAGTCCTCTTTAGGACCTCTTTAGGACGAACACCAAGGGAACGATGGTATTTATTCTGTGAGCTTAACCTATTTTATAACCAGAGAACACAAATATATCTCCAATAGACATACGAATAGATTTCTTCTACAGCGAAAGATTCTTAGCCACACCGACTCATTGACTCGTCTCGTATGAAACAATTGAGTCACTAGAGAGATTCTGCAAAACGAAATGCGTACAAACTTTCGCTCTACATCATGAAGTGCGAAACTTGCAGGGAACGCGAAATGAACTGTCGTAGGAAATTTCGTGAGATCGGGTCATGGCGTACGTGCACTTGGCCCGCGCAAACTACGAAAATGTGCAGAACGCAAAGTTCGTGCAAAAATTCGCACACACTTTCGCAAGGACTGTCGCGAAACTTCGTTCGAATTTTTGTTTTGCAGAACCTCTCTACTGAACCTTTCTTTAGCAACATGACGGCAACTGAAACAGCAACAGAGAAAGTACGATACATGTACTCCACATTCTTACAGGTACTACAAACAGATTGCAGATCGCAATTCTTGCTTTGGCGGCAAGAAACTTTATTTGGGGCAGTGCAATCTCGGTGGTACTCACAAATCAAACAGCCCAGACTTGAGTAAACAAATCCAATCATACAAGTTCGAGATTTTCACGAGACTGCACCCATTGGCTTGTTTCGTATGAAACAAACAAGTTACTGAACCTCTCCACAATAGAGATTTCCCCTGATATGCGAATTTATTTTGCAAACTCGGTCAATTGGTACTTGAACCTTTCCCTCCAGATTGGGAACTGCCAACGATAGTATGCCACTGACCAGTGCCTTACTTGTAACGTACCAATGTACAATGAATATGAGTATTTCGACAACACATCTAACATAAGCCTTACCGTCAAGAAGTTGAACTCGCGTTCTTCGCACACTGTAGACAAGGGCAAAGAGATAAAAATGGATCTAAATCCGAATAAAATCAGCACACGTTTCCGTAAATGAAAGGTGAACATAAGCAAATGAATCGAAGGAAACCGGTCAACTTAGAGATCACCTGTCATCGAGTATTCCGTAAAAGGCGGCCTCGCAGCTCGGCAGCAGAAGAGCAAAATTTAGAAAAGAGATCCTGTCAACTTTTCCATTATTAATTTCCGCCCTAAAATCAGCACACTTTTCCTGAATGAAAGAGTCAACACAAGCGGAATCAAAGGCAACTGGTCAACTCACCTGTCATTGAGTAATATTCCGCGAAAGGAGGTCTCAGCAGCGCCGAAACGAAATAAGCCAGGCCAGGAGACGAAATATCCGAAACAGTTCATGCAAGAAGCAGTTCCAAAGAAGGAAGTAAAGTTCCTCGCGCATGCGCATGCACATCCGAACACGGATCCGCGGACTGCATGCACTGAACACAATGTCTGCCGTGCACGTGCACAGCACACGGCTACCACGCGTTGGTAGATCTAATACCGAGCACCTTACGTAGAGACTTACGTAGCCTAAGTGAAATACCGAGCACCTTACGTAGAAACTTACGTAGCATAGCGATGTCGTTTTTTCTGCCATGTGAACACAATAATAGAAAAGCTGACAGGATCGCTTTTCTAAATGAAGGCCCCCAGTAGATCTACTCACTCATCATCTCATGTCATGGGATACTGACTCTGTAGTCTGCTCTACCAGCCGCAGGCAGGGCAGGGAACGCATGGAGACGGAGGCGTGAAATGGGCTTTCACGTTATACCCTGACAAACTCCGCCAACGCCTGGAACTTAGTGGAAGGTACACGTACAGACTACACCTAACTCCTAACTAATTACTTACCTAAGTCCTTGGTGGTCTACACCATGGTGCGGGTCTCGCGCCTGCATTCATGATTGGCTGCATTAATTTTCGAGGCTTCGCATTTCGTACCGTGAAGACTCGATGGCCTTGTCGAAGTCTACGAGACGAAATAAAAACTCCGCCAGCACCAGCTCGGCCGGTAGACTACGCGGTTGGAACTACTTCGTGGCATGCATGCAGCGGATGAAGAAGCTTGTACTACTAGTACTACTACGAGTCGTACTACATGTACATTTTTTGTAGTAGATCTACATGGTGACGGTGATCGCGAACGAAGACTGGCGCGAATGAGCGTCCGTCGCGTGCTCGTCTCGTACATGTACAGGTGTAACAAGTGCGAACAGCTTCCGGAGCTCCGTCGGCTAGGCCACTTGCGAGTGGGAGCTCGCCAAGCCCGGCCCCCGGCCTTAGATCCTGCACCTCCGGCCGGCCATGTCTTGTATCGTGCAGGGCATGCAGGGCGTGTAGGACAAAAAGTATCAGCAGCGACTTCATTCTCTTCTGATCTAAAGGAGAGTGATGTTGGTGCATCTGTTTGCTTTTTGGCAAGAGTCGTCTTGTTCAGGTTCGGGTAGTGGTGGTGAGCTTGGACCAGTCCGTGACGGCGGAGGTGAGTGTGTCACATACCGGTACATGTACTAACCCCGTCTTAAAGTTATACTTCACCACTACTAGCATTTTCCCATAAGAACGGGGAACTTTTTCTTGGGCTATCTATCCAACCGAAGCCTCTTTCGTGCCCATTCCGTCGATAGAACCTTCCTAGGCACGCATGAGCAACAGTTTGAAGTATTCAAAACAGCTGTGCGAAAAGGAGTTAATTCGGGACCTGACGCTATTTCCTTTCGGCCAAACTATAGTAAACCGAAATAATTGACGGGGTCGTTAGGCGCAGACTTGCTTTGTGGTACTGTCGTCACGAAAAAAAATCCCGGCCAATGCTGCACATGGTAGTCGACTACCATGATTGTGAAGCATTGGCCAGATTTTTTGGCGGCGATAGTAGTTGCTCAAGGAGAAGATTGTGTCATGTTTTAGTCTGAGCCGCTCGTCGAATGTGAGCTTGAAAAAGATTGGCAGCGCGCTTGGAATAAGACTAAGAAGTGTAAATGTTTGCCGCGCCTTTTCTTCCTGATTGGTCAGTAGAGTCTACACCGCACTAGCTCCCAATCCCAGAGTGAGCTGACCAGATGGCTACCGGCAGTTGTGACAAACCCAGGTCAGGGTAACTCAACTGTATGGGACAGAAACTAGTTAGTTGGTCACTTGGAAGGAAACGTTCACAGAACCAACACGTGTAGATCTACTCTACGCAGTTGTGTTTCTGAACTGCATTTTAGTAGAGTATTTTCCTGCAAGCCCAGTGAGGCATGTGGCCGAGGCTTTGACCAAAGAACAGACCAAAGCCAAAGGCAATGATGGGTTTGCACGCTTGTTGTGCACTCTGCACAGATGCAGTGCCGTATTTTCCAGAGTGTTGGTTTCCAGAGTGTTACCAACACCCCTCCTCCTCCTCTTCCTCCTCCTCTTCATCCTCCTCTTCATCCTCCTCTTCATCCTCCTCTTCATCCTCCTCTTCATCCTCCTCTTCCTTCTGTGTTTCTTTATGCATATACCATTAAATGAAAGTGTGGCCAACACTCTGGAAAATACGGTATACAACGATGTGGGCAGCACAGCACTGCAAGTAGTCCCCCAATATTCTATAATTATGGTATTTGAGTGTGCTGGGGTCTATTGCATCTACAGCAGTACATGTATCTACTCCCACATTGCATTGAGCGTACCGGTGTCATCTTTGTGCTTATTCTCTAAAATGATGTTAGGACCTCTGTCACTTCAAGGCAAGCGCGATAGCACTACTTCACGTACTTGCCAACCCTACCAGAATTTCCGGGGAAAATCGAGGAAAACTCGCTTTCGTCCCGGTATACCGGAAAAGTTATAATATCTACCGGATTTTTGAAAAATATCCGTCAGCACCTTTTTTGTTGTTGATCTTCAGTTCTTTGGACGCTCGCGAGCATGTGCTGTACTCATATTGGAGCTCTAACGAGCAAGAACTCTTGAGTTAGCGCTTGGACAAGTACGTTTTTGTCGTACGTGCTGTACTATTTTGTGAGTGATTGGACAGAACAAGGAGAAGTGGACAAAATCAAGGAAAAACCTCATCAGTGTCAAGAAAACTGTTGGCCAGGGGTTGGCAAGTATGACTTTATTTTCATAGTCTGTATTTAAAAAAGAAAGAAAGAAATAGTGCTATTCACAAACTCCAGCCACTCAATGTTCATCAAAAATGTTTCTTAGAAGAATGAGAATGTGGATAGTACACAACTCGCACATGCTATGTTCATGTTGTGACTGCCTCTGCCTGCAATTGCCGCCGCCGCCGTCCGTGCTGCTGCTGCTGCTGCTGCTTCCGCTGTCTATGACGTTGTTGTGCTTTAGGGTGTATCGTCTATTAGAGATCTCGGCAACGACATTGGGGCATGGCGAGCAGCAAGAGACTAGCTGAGCTCTTTGTGCTCCTTTCAATGCTGTTCATTGATGGAGCGCATGGTTCTACCGGTGCTATGGTACAGATTTCCCTACCAGACTTCCTTCGCATCCAGCCAACACCAGATCCAGTTGGCTTACACGGGCAAGATAGTAAGGTGCCAAGAATTCTAAACTGTGAGGTGGGGAAGCAGTGGGGGTGCAGGCATATTGCAATTACTACTAATATGAAAACGTGGCTAAGATTACAACTCTCTTATAGGACTATCCAAATGTCGAGTCTCAAGAACCTGAAACTTGGCTAAGACCAACCATTCAGTCGGGAACGACATTTCCCACTCCATTGGCACAACGTATTGTCTTTGACACTAATCTTCATCTACGAAGAATGTCCTGTCGTACCTTGCATTTCGGGTACATTTCACTTCAGCAGGGCTCTGCTGTCATCACAGGGTTTGCGTTGGTGGGCAATCTTCTTCATGAAAGGCCGGGCAAGGTGACGAGGCTGAACAGCAACAGCAGGACAACTTCATGAAAGGCCCGGGCAAGGTGACGAGGCTGAACAGCAACAGCAGGACAACTTCGGGTTCAAGTTTCGGAAATGTCCACCGCAGGTCGAGGAACTTGAGCCTTTTGAGGATGATCTGCTGAGGATGGTGGAGACTGTTGAGTTCAAAAGGATGACGATCACTTTCCCGTCGCGGCTCAGAGATGACATCGCTCACATCCAGGAGTCGAGCGACTTTGGGTTCAAATTTCGGAAATGTCCACCGCAGGTCGAGGAACTTGAGCCTTTTGAGGATGATCTGCTGAGGATGGTGGAGACTGTTGAGTTCAAAAGGATGACGGTCACTGTCCCGTCGCGGCTCAGAGATGACATCGCTCACATCCAGGAGTCAAGCAACATCTCCGTGGCTGCGGACAAGACAAGGAACATACACGCCGTCAAGAAGGACCGCCACGAGAAGATGATGCATGATAATGTGACCAAGAACTACAAACAAGCACCGGAAAATACGTACGACGACATAAATATGGAGGAGGCTAAGAGTGTAGCCAACGCCCATGGATTGGACGAGAGAATGGATTGCATGGCAAAAAAACGCGTACATGACATTAAAGGACCATAAGGACAACTTCAACGACAACCTCTCATGCCGCCTCATCAATCCGGCGAAGAGCGATGTTGGAAAGATATCAAAGGCAATCCTAGTGAAGCAGTGGCGAAGGTCCTACACGGAGGTCCCTACACGGAGGTCCCTACACGGAGGTCCCTACACGGAGGTCCCTACACGGAGGTCCCTACACGGAGGTCCCTACACGGAGGTCCCTACACGGAGGTCCCTACACGGAGGTCCCTACACGGAGGTCCCTACACGGAGGTCCCTACACGGAGGTCCCTACACGGAGGTCCCTACACGGAGGTCCCTACACGGAGGTCCCTACACGGAGGTCCCTACACGGAGGTCCCTACACGGAGGTCCCTACACGGAGGTCCCTACACGGAGGTCCCTACACGGAGGTCCCTACACGGAGGTCCCTACACGGAGGTCCCTACACGAAGGTCCCTACACGGAGGTCCCTACACGGAGGTCCCTACACGGAGGTCCCTACACGGAGGTCCCCACACGAAGGTCCCTACACGGAGGTCCCTACACGGAGGTTACTACACGGAGGTCCCTACACGAAGGTCCCTACACGGAGGTCCCTACACGAAGGTCCCTACACGGAGGTCCCTACACGGAGGTGACTACACGGAGGTCCCTACACGGAGGTCCCTACACGGAGGTCCCTACACGGAGGTTACTACACGGAGGTCCCTACACGAAGGTCCCTACACGGAGGTCCCTGCACGAAGGTCCCTACACGGAGGTCCCTACACGGAGGTCCCTACACGGAGGTTACTACACGGAGGTCCCTACACGGAGGTTACTACACGGAGGTCCCTACACGAAGGTCCCTACACGGAGGTCCCTGCACGAAGGTCCCTACACGGAGGTCCCTACACGGAGGTCCCTACACGGAGGTCCCTACACGGAGGTTACTACACGGAGGTCCCTACACGGAGGTTACTACACGGAGGTCCCTACACGGAGGTTACTACACGGAGGTCCCTACACGAAGGTTACTACACGGAGGTCCCTACACGGAGGTTACTACACGGAGGTCCCTACACGGAGGTCCCTACACGGAGGTCCCTACACGAAGGTCCCTACACGGAGGTCCCTACACGGAGGTCCCTACACGGAGGTTACTACACGGAGGTCCCTACACGGAGGTTACTACACGGAGGTCCCTACACGGAGGTTACTACACGGAGGTCCCTACACGAAGGTTACTACACGGAGGTCCCTACACGGAGGTTACTACACGGAGGTCCCTACACGGAGGTTACTACACGGAGGTCCCTACACGGAGGTTACTACACGGAGGTCCCTACACGGAGGTTACTACACGGAGGTCCCTACACGGGAAGTTTAAAACATAACCACGCACTGACAAGCAATGACTGAAGGAGAGTTGCAAGTTCTTTAACCTAACCGGTTTCTGTGACATGAGTCACTTCATCAGAGGAATGAAGATAAATGACAATATGGAACTCAATATAACCAGAGAACTGGACAGACAGGCGTTGAGTACTGTCGAGTAATTAGTGCGAAAAAAGCAATTTAGCGATTTAGCGCGAAAAAAGCGTGAACAAAGCACGGGGCCGGGGTTGCTTGCAAGGCGAAAAAACAAACACGAGGTTGAGTGCATGGAGGTGAAAATACCTATACCCATCGTGAATGTGATTTCCTAAAACATAAGTTACGCGAAAAGAATTTTGCAGGGTGCGTTGAAGGCTGAGGAGGCCAGGGTGATAGTCAGTAACAAAAACTGTGGGGCAAGAGGCAGAAGCTTGCACAGAGCTAGCTGGAGGTATGAGTTGACAGCTAGCTGGGGTATCACTGAACGCATCGTGGAGAAACCTAGGACAGTAGGAGGGTAACCACGCTTGCGAAGCCTGGTCCAGAAAGCATCACGTATAGCGAGCAGGGAGGTGATCTCACTGTTTGTGTGGTTATAGCGCAGCAATTCAGCTTTAATAAAAGCTCTGAAACATGAGCGGAGGTGGTCGGACGTAAATGGGATGTACAGATAAGTGTTCCTGGGCTTTTGGAAAGTACTGAATGTGAATGTGGATTGATCATTAATAGAGATGATCAATTCAACAAACTCAATACTTTTACTGGGGTCTGACCAAGTAAGTCTGATGGTGTCAAGTTTTGCGTACATGTGCCGTTTGACGGCAGGCAGATTGCTCAGTCTTTTGATGATTAAGAGAAGATCATCAACGTATCGACCGAAGAACTTTATGGTGTTACGGAAGACCGAGAGTGATGTACGCTCATGGACGAAGAGGAAAATATTTGCAACATTAACCGCCATGGGTGTACCCATCGCCATGCCATTCTCTTGGTGATACACCAAACCATCATGCTCGAAAAAATTATTTCTTAACACAAAAGAAGAAAGATCAATGAGCAAGTCTTTCAAGGGGTGATTATTTTCGTCGAGGAACACGTACAGGGCATTGGTTGTGTCTTTCCACGACATACATGTGTAAAGACTTTCGACGTCTGCAGTCAAAAGGAAGCAGTCACTCAAGTCACTCAAGTCATCGTTCGACGGAGTGATCGAACTCTTTACAACATTGTTAGTAGAAGTAAACACAGTGCTTGCTGATTTCATGAGACTCTTTATATGGTAGTCGACATAGCGAGAGGCTGGGGTTGTGCAGTAGCCCTGACACGACACGATGGGCCTGCCTTTAACTCCACAGGGCCCAAGGTGAAATGATCCTGGTTAGCTCCGTTTCGATGGCCTTGACTTCTGGATTGAGGGCAGTGTCCCGGCCAAAGGGGCAAACAATGCGGTATGTTGAGGTGTCCGCGAGCTGTCGGGCGGCTTCGGCGGCAAATTCATCGGAATTCTGGATAGCTGTGCCCAGATTTTTGTCTGCGTCACGGACAATGATACGTGGATCCTGTCGCAGTGACAGAACAATATCCTGCTGGGCTCTGGTGGTGTTTCCACGTCGTGGCTTGCAGGCGTCGCGCAGCCGCTGCTTCACTAGCACATCCGCCGTGATCGACTGGTTCGAGGGGCTGGAGGAAAAGCAAAACTGCGTTTTTGTATGTTTTGATGTCGTGGAGTTTTACCTGTCAATCTCGGAGGAGCTGTTATTGACACCGTTGCAGTTTACCAGAGGCTTCACGTCGGTGTCCTCGGAGGATCAGGAAACAATCCTCCACGCAAGGAAATATCTGCTATTCGGCCTTTGGAAAGAGTGGATGAAGACTAGAAGCGGAGTATTTGATGTTAAAATGGGATGCTATGACGGTGCTGACGTGTGTGAGTTGGTCGGCACGCTAGCCCTTGCCAAACTATCTGAGGTGTACAACGGCAGTGACATTGGACTCTACCGTGACGATCGGTTGCCAATGTTCAGGAATGTGTCGGGACCGGAGGTTGACAGGATCAGGAAGGTCATGACCAAAATCTTCAACAGCCTAGGACTCAAAATCACCATCCAGGCAAACCTCAAATCAGTCGACTTCATTACACTGGACCTACACACTGGCAACTATCGTCCATACCGGAAGCCCAACGACCGGCCACTATAATCCATCACCAATCCAACAACCCACCAATCATCATCCAGGATTGCATTCTTCCATCAGCCGACGACTAACGGACATATCAACGGATCAAGAGACATTCTAGGACGCATCTCAACTTTACAATAATGCACTCAGAGACAGCGGATACAATGAGACCGTCCAGGTCTTGAAAGAACGGAAGAGTGGGAGAAAGAAGAAAGAAGAAACAAAGGAGTCGACACCGGAGCATTACCTGGTTTAACCCACCGTTTAGTAAGAATGTGTCTGCGAACATCGGTCAGCGATTTCCACAACTCGTCAACAAGCACGTTCACAAAGGATGCAAGCTCTACAAGATATTCAGGGACACACTAAAGTACAGTTACAGTTGTATGCCAAATGTTGCCACCATCATCAAACAGAACAATAGTATCCTCCGCAGCGACCACCACCAGAAGACCGAGGATGTGAGAACCTGTAACTACCGTGTCAAAAGTGATTGTCCCTTGGAAGGAAATTGTCTAACATCGAGCATTGTGTACCGGGCACTTATGCCTGGGAGAGACATCAAGGAGTACACCGGATTAACGGAAGGGACATGCAAGACAAGATTCAATGGTCATCAGCATACCATTCGCCACCGGAAGCGTGAGACCTCAATGACACTGTGTGGGGGGGGGGGGGTAGGAGGAGTTTGAGGGGTCATAATGTGAGACATTTGGCACAATACTGACAAATTATACTGCGGCATGCAGTGGCCTGACAATTAGCTCTATCTAGTCTTGGATGCACTGACCAACAGCCTTCCAACTTGAAAGATTCTTGGTTAACCCTTTGGTGCCTGACTGAATTTTAGATTTTTCGTAGTTTTGGCTCAATTTTTTGGAAAGCCTATATCTCCGCAACCGTTTAGATGATGTAGCGACAAAAGTATGTATTCTGAATGGCAAGACACAGCAAGATCCGATTTTTGAATTTTCAAGTCAGAAAAATCTACAAAAGGGTCAGGGTACTGTGCTGGTCCAAGAACATCTTGGTCGCCAACACCACTCAGCACGCCGAATCCACTACCTCGTCCACGGCCTCCGCCACAGCCTCCGCGCCACGCACGCCACGATCAGCTGTTCGATCAGCTGGCTGAGCTCGACCAGCGCCGCGAGCAATTCCTCCGCGCAGCGTGAGCGGAGCACGTCCACGAACTGGCTGCGCTTGCCCTCGCCCTACAGCTTCTTGAAGCTCATCGTCGGAAATTTTATCCTCATCTGAAGAGCTGCCATTCTCACCGAAAACCAAATCATCGTTGAGTCGGTCTTCCTCATCTGATGACGGCAGGTTTCCGTCAGAGAAAAGAGCGTCAGATTATTCACCATCGTCGTCTTCTGATTCTTCTTCTACAGGGGCATCATCGGCCTCCAGCTCTTCAAACAACTCAAGCGCTCCTGCAACATCCATGACGGAGGTCAGCTGTAGTAGCCATGAACTGTACTAGTCGAAAACGAAGCGAAACAGCAACGCTTTGTTCATGTTGCGGGACGCGTGCGTAGGCTGCCACGCTCGATTGACTTCCGCTGATCTGCGCGATCGTCGTTGATCACGACTCGACTTTTTCAAATGCAACCCCCCTACTTTCTCTACTGCTATCTGCAGGCCAGCTACTGAAGGGTCTCTGTACAAAAAATCAGGCACCTGTGATGTACGTGACTGGCTCTGTGCTCGATTTTAGTAAGCACTGTCAGCATAGGTCGAAATCGACCTACTGGCACCTAAGGGTTAAGGAACAAGTTTGGAGTGGGACATGATAGAGACAACTGTCATGTCATTGAATGTAGGTACTATCCGTCAGTATACTGCCAAATGCCCGGATCACCGTTATGACTGCACAGCATCATTGCAATAAATTGGCTAGCAACCACTCATTACCAGTAAACTTAGTTCATTCCTTCTTAAAATATTGCAAGATTTTCATGTCATTTTCGATCAGACAAACCTCATGGATTATCAGGTGAACGTTCTCTGCGATCCCGAGGACTTTGGCATGTCAAATTTCACTTCTTGCAGACTGTGAACTTCGCAAACTTCAAGTAGTGGCATTAACCCAGCCTTCGTCCAAACTTCAATTGCAATAACATTGGAAACTAGAAGTTGGTTGCTCCAACGAGGAACAAACACACACTTCCTGCCGAATTTGACACTTGGCAGACTGATGACTGCCATCCGGAGCACGCGAGGAGCATGTCGCACCTTCCACTCGGCAAACCTGCAAGAAAGCACCACTCCCTGCTCAATACACAGTGCTTTGGGGAAATTCACCCCTCATCGCCTGGCGATGGTCACCTGGTGATGGTTTTGCCTGGAGAGCACTATATAAGTGGTGCTTTTCAGGCACAATCTTCCTCGGCCTACTCAAGCTCAACTGATGAGGGGTTAATTCCCCGAAGCACTGTGTATTGAGCAGGGAGTGGTGCTTTCTTTCAGGTTTGCCGAGTGGAAGGTGCGACATGCTCCTCGTGTGCTCCGGATGGCAGTTGTGAGTCAGTCAAGTTCGACAGGAAGCATGTGTTCCTTGCTGGAGCAACCAAGTAGTTCATCACCAAAAACCGCCAAAGTTGCAACTTCTAAATTAGAAACTAGTTTCAATTTATAAGAAGCAAGCGTTTCTTGTCACAAGCTTCACTCAATTGCAGTGAATCCTCATGTCCATCTCACATGCAAGATCTCCTTTCTTTCTTTCTTTGGGGGGGGGGGGGGGGGATTATCTGTGCTGAATCGGGTAAACAACTTTCATTGCCCCCCACCTAGATTAGATGAATTTGCTTACACATGCAGCTTACCAAGGGCACTGAATCCTATTTGTCATGCGTTTGATTTCTAATTTTCTATCCAGGCACACTTCATTTCCACGATGTGGTACTCAGCACAAAGACATCATCCAGCTGCAGAAAGCTGAACGTCATGCTAAGTGATCCGGAGAGCAGAGGAGACTCGTGGACAGCATGCTGGAGCTCCCGCGGGCCATTTCAACTGACTACACTGAATGTGACAGCGCCCGCACAGCTTGCCCGGGGTCTGCGCCAGTCACTGGACTTTGCATTGGTCGTAAGCTCATTGATTAATCCCGGCAATTTACTTGTATATCTTTTCCAAAAGCTGAGACGATCATGCTTTTCCGTGGCATGAAATGCTTTGCTGTTGCTTCGGATCTGTTCTTCCTGTTGAATTATCTTAGAAGGAACATGGAAGTGAGGTGCTAGTTGCCTTAGTTGTGGACACGAAGACACCGAGCGCAACGGACATCAACTGGTCTGTACAGTCTACACGTGGGCACTCCCACCACATATCTGAGCTAGAAAAGTACCTGAAGAGGAATAATTGGAGTGTTCCTGAGGAAGCTATTCAATTGAGTCGCTCACATGCCTTCGCAAGCATTTCTGGACACTTTCTATCTTTCAGGGCCTCCACGCCTGATGGGACCAACCCAGAGTTTGGTAAGATGATGTAACGAACTTTGGTGATATTCTAACTTTCAAATTTGCCAAAGTGTTCCACAAATAGTAGCAAGAGCATATAAGCTCCCAAGAGTGTGCAACTCCTGATACCCTTTCTATGGGGTTTGCCGACGGCGAAAACTCACATCACGTGGTGTGGTGTCGCAGCTGTACGTTTCCAGCTGTACGTTTCCAGCCCGTTTAGCGAGTAGCGGAGTAATACTAAAAGCACTCCCTGACAGAAACTCACTGCAACTATGCAACTCGCTAGCATAATCATGGCAGATTTTCGGATTGCGCACGCTATCCTTTGTTGTACAAAGTACAAAACATACCTGAGACGCGCGATGTGAGTTTTCACCGTCGGAGACCCCATAATGCAGAGTTGCACACTCTTGGGAGCTTATTTACTCCAGTGTGTTTCCCCTCCCAATCTTGCCTGGATATGCAATTCTACAGGATTTTCCTGCCAAGCCAATGGTTGTATCACATGGTAGTAACTGACTCTGGAGGATAAGATGCCACAGAGTATCCTAGATTGCTGGAGTCTCGGGATGAAACTCTTTTGCAAGTACAATTCTGCTCAGTGCTGTTTAGACTGTACTTGCAAAAGAGTTTCATCCCGAATACAGGTAAATGCTTGCTCTCATTGTTTGCACTTTCTTCAGCCATGCCAAGACTACAAACGAAGTTGTACTCAAAAACGTATGTGGCTACATTTGTCTTAATTTTGGTCGCCAGTTAGATGGAGTTTTGAGCGGTGCAAGCAGAAATACTAATAATATTTCCTGGGAAATTCTAATTTCTCCCTTTCGTCCAAAGAATGTTCATTCATTGTAATGCAGGACTAAACGGCGATATATCTAACCTTTCACTACGTTTCAACCTCAATGGGCAATTGTTCAGCCAGGCAAGCTGCCTTTCTTCGGACTTGGACGAAAGTATTCACCGATTAACTGTTCTACGTACACACTGTCACAGTATAATAACGTGACTATGACTGATAAGTGCAAGCACGTAGCAGTGCTGTGCATACGAGTAACACATGTACTCAAAGGTTCATTTGAGTTGAACTTGTGACATTCGTTCGCTGGAGAATGAATACCGTCCGAACCTTTGAAGCTTTGTCCTGACACTACTCGACACTGCTGCTCGTTACACAGTGTATGATGGACAAGCCGGCTTGCAAGAATGCAAAGTATTGATTCTACGTACATACATGCAGGGACAGGGAGCTGTTTGCTGAGGAGAGGTCACAAACCAGTGCAATCAGCCGTGCACGATCTCTGAAACAGTATCTTGTCTCTGCTGAGCTCTGACACGGAATCTTGTCTCTGCTGAGCTCTGACACGGAATCTTGTCTCTGCTGGTCTCTGACACAGATCTGCATGATGTCGAGCATTATCTTGTCTCTGCTGATCTCTGACACAGATGATCTGCCATTTCAGCTGATGTACTCCTGTACCTGCAACTGCACGCTAGATGTATCTGCTAAACTCAACATTTCCCTCTTCCTGCTGGAGCCGACTAGAAACCCAGAGAGGGAGTACACACACAGCGAGAATGTCATTCCTAAGCATGTGCAGCTGTATCTCTCAAATTACACATTCGATGTCAACCTGGTTTGTAAAGGTACATGCAGTTTTCTGGAGTCTCATCTGTATGTTCCTGTGCTTTTTTTGTTGTTGTACACATATGCTGCTGTTGGCAGTGCTACTGCTGCTGCTGCTGCAGGTGGTGGTGGTGGCGGTGGTGGGGGTGGCGGCGGTGTTTCTGGTTGCTGTTATTCCTGGCTCTTTACACAATTCTGCTCGTACTCCTTCTGGTTTGTGTATCAAGGCCAGCCATTGCCGATCAAGTCGCACACAGACAGCAAGGTATACAACAATAGCCTGGCTATCGGTTTGCCCATTATCTCACTGGTTGCTGCCGTCATCTTGTACAAGGCAGGGATAGTCATTTTTCAAAGGTAAGACGCAGGCAAACGGCTGCTGCAAGTAGGTAGAACCAGGCAGCTACAGAACACCAACACACCAACACAACAGTATCACATGATGTGCATGTTGCTGGATGCATAGACGTACATGTATGATACTCCATCTCTGGACAGCTAGCTGGTTCGACCTCGCTAGGTCTCCTCAGCGGAGCTCACGTGATGCATGTATATGTGTATTATGTTGGACTCAGTACGTAGACGGGTCACTATAGGTAGTCCGGTCACTATAGGCAGTCGGGTCACTATAGGCAGTCCGGTCACTATGGTCAGTCCGGTCACTATGGTCAGTCGGGTCACTATGGCCAGTCGGGTCACTATGGCCAGTCTGGTCACTATGGCCAGTCGGGTCACTTTGGCCAGTCGGGTCACTCTGGGCATTCGAGTCACTATGGGCATTCGGGTCACTATGGGCAGTCGGGTCACTTTAGGCAGTCGGGTCACTTTAGGCAGTCGGGTCACTATAGGCAGTCATGAGTCCGGTATGTAGTCATGAGTCCGGTATGCAGTCAGGAGTCCGGTATGCAGTCAGGAGTCCGGTGTGCAGTCAGGAGTCCGGTATGCAGTCAGGAGTCCGGTATGCAGTCAGGAGTCCGGTATGCAGTCAGGAGTCCGGTATGCAGTCAGGAGTCCGGTATGCAGTCAGGAGTCCGGTATGCAGTCAGGAGTCCGGTACGCAGTCAGGAGTCCGGCACGCAGTCAGGAGTCCGGCACGCAGTCAGGAGTCCGGCACGCAGTCAGGAGTCCGGCACGCAGTCAGGAGTCCGGTACGCAGTCAGGAGTCCGGTACGCAGTCAGGAGTCCGGTACGCAGTCAGGAGTTCGGTTCGCAGTCAGGAGTCCGGTTCGCAGTCAGGAGTCCGTTACGCAGTCAGGAGTCCGGTACGCAGTCAGGAGTCCGGTACGCAGTCAAGAGTCAGGTACGCAGTCAGGAGTCTTGTACATGTATGCACTCTGAATCCTGTAAACAGTCCGATGATGTGCCCCTAGGCGTCTATAAGCAGTAGACGCAGGAGTCCGGTACACAGTCAGGAGTCCGGTTTGCAGTCAGGAGTCCGGTACGCAGTCAGGAGTCCGGTACGCAGTCAGGAGTCCGGTACGCAGTCAGGAGTCCGGTACGCGGTCAAGAGTCAGGTACGCAGTCAGGAGTCTTGTACATGTATGCACTCTGAATCCTGTAAACAGTCGGATGATGTGCCCCTAGGCGTCTATAAGCAGTTGAATCCCCAGTATGCAATGGAAGTCCTACCTACAAACACCACGAATAGATAAAACACGGCACTTCTGTTCTACGATTACATGTGCTGGGTACAGTCAAATGGCGTGTTTGGCTGTTTGGCTGTGAATGCAGGGACAATTACCGTAATCTCGCGCATTTAGGGACATGTTCTTATTATTGGATATAAGAGCACTCTTGCTTAAAAGAACATGCACTTATAAGTGAATGAAAATCACAAAACCACACGAGGTTCATCATGGTTCCATTGTACTGGCATTCACCAATTATATGCATACTTGCACATGTACATGTCAATGCAATGTTTGTCTCTCGCATATAAGTCCATGGTCTTATAATCGAACGAAAACGCACTTACTGGTGGATAGTTTGGATTTTCTCTTTCGCGCTGCTAATGTTCTGTCATTGGAGTCCAAGTGCCAAGCCATACTCATTGCCTTGCTCTTCTTTGTAGGGTCAGGAAGTCACCAAACATGCAGGGCTTACCACAAAGTAGGAAAGGCTGTGGGATTCAAAGCGATATGTTCCAAAGCTTACTAGTATTTTTTCAAGTACCGGTGCTATCGGTTTCTGTAGTCTTTGATGATGGTCATCGTTGAGGCTCTGGCTTCTGGTGATCAGGAGAGCAGGCAGGACCAGTACCAACTTGAATGCCTTGAAGCAGAAGAAAAGCCGAGAAGTTAAAATCGTACCAAGTAGCTGTTGCGATACGGTGCTACACAAAAGTAGCTTGTATTTGTACCAAAGGTCTATTGCCACGCGGATGTTTCTTTCCTTGCCGAGAGTTAGCTGGCCTCCACGCTCCGCCAGGTTCCGAATTACCAAAAAATGTCCAATGACTACTACTGTAGTAACAGGTGGTGGTGGTATCATTTCCATTAGCTTCAGCTCCGCGAGCCAAAGACTCCAACACAGCAAACTGTTGTACTTGTACAATGCCATGTAGCTGCTCTTCCTTGAGAAGGACGATGATGTGGTTGAGTGTTGCTGGACTGTTCAAACTATCCTGCACAGTCCATGGTTGGTGGATGGAATGAGCGCGTGATCTTTCCGAAAATCCCAACCGACAAAAACTCAGACTGCGTTTTAGAAATGTTTCAACTTTCGACTTTCTACAGGGAAAGTCGCACGAGCTTGGCGGATTCATCAAAATATAACTAGATCATGAGTTCGGCTCCCTACTGGACCTCCGACTGTTTATAGGAGAATGACTGCCAATTGAGTCTAACATATATGATACAGATATGGATCATATGATCGACATGTGATACTGTGTTGCAAAGATCGGAATTGCGACTCGGCTCCTGCAATTCCTGGATATTCCACTTTGCGCCAGACCATTGTCGTTTGGCTGAAAGACGGTATGATGACAACTGTGATAAGTTGCCTCTTATTCAGAATCCGAAGAAAATAGAAAGCTTCTGCATTCCGAATTTTGAGAGTCGACAGAGCAATAGAACTTTCAGGGAAATTGAAGGGAAAAACTTCAAAGAGTTGAGTGTAAAGTTTTTTTCCGGTTCCTGTTTTTTTTATACCTATTTCACCTGTGCCTGCGGATGCCATTTTAGTTGCCCGTGATGACCACGTACTTAGTATGCTTAGTATGCAGGAATAGAGAAATTGAAAAGAGCTTTCCAGATTGAGGAGGCTCGCTTGCTGAAATTCAGAATCTCCATATTCGACTCGAGACAGAAAGGTTTCAACATACGAAATGACAGACCTTCCTAATGGTTAAGAGAAAGGAGAAAATGTTACGTTATGTCAACCGTAGTTTGTCCAACACTATAAGCAAGATATTGTGGGGCCAGAAGGTGCAGCAGTTAGCACAGTACTGACCGACGTGGTACTGACATTCAACGACCTGCCAGGGGATGTTAAGCTCTATCTATAGGGGACAAACTATGGATAACACTTTTAAAACATTTTGGTCCTTTCCTTTAATTTTAATCCCTGGCTCTCCATCCGAGACCTTCCTATGTATACGTAAGGTTGAGGGAGTTGAAAAATCAACTGTCACAACCAGGGCTCGACTGAACCAGGAACCCTTGCTTATGGCCACTGATGCTCTACCACTAAGCTAGGGTGTAATCGTCATCCAAGCAGCCAAGCAGCGACCGCTCAACATTTTCTTATGGTGTTCTGCTTTGTATGTTAAACATGTTGCGCCATTCAGAGTGAGGGCAAAGTCAACACCCGCGGCACCTAGCGAGGAGGATAATACAGATAACATCAACAACAGGCTGCGACAGAACACAGTGGAGAGCGATACTCTCACTGCTGAAGGTATGGATGAGGGCCCGGGTCGGTACAGGAGGTTGGAAACATTGGAGGGCTTCCATGGGAGGGCAGATGATGGGTATAGTGCTTACACTGTACATTTTGCTGTGGATAAAGTACGCTTTTTGCCGAAGACCTTTTATATCATATCCAGTCATTTTACTTCAGATATGGAGACTTCGGCTTTAAGTACATAAAGTGACTTTTCAAGTTCCTTAGAGGTGCATGTAGGTTATATCAAAGCTTCATCACTGCAGTACAGACAACCCTTCTCACTGATGCATTGCCGGGTGCACTATACTGCTGCGCAGGAGCAGACCAACAGGCTGTCAATGACTTGCTCCAGCACTGGATACCTCTACTGAAGAATGTACTCCTCAAATCCTCAGAGATCAGCATCGGCAATGAGATAGGAGTTGGCAAGTACTAGTATCCATGGATTTGTATACTTTGAAGCACTGTGCTCTGTAGCTGTGCAGGCAGACATGTTGCAATAGAGTGGATTGTGCATGTGCACTGTTATGATGATGGTGGTGCGATTACTCTCTCTCTCTCTCTCTCTCTCTCTCTCTCTCTCTCTCTCTCTCTCTCTCTCTCTCTCTCTCTCTCTCTATCTATCTATCTCTCTCTCTCTCTCTCTCTCTCTCTCTCTCTTTCTCTTTCTCTCTTTCTCACACACACACACACACACTCTCTCTCTCTCTCTCACTCTCTCTCTCTAACTATGTCTCTCCCCCCCCCCCCCAACACGCAGTCCACCTTGCAGCTAACTTACTATGGCAATGGATGAGTGCTCATGCCATCATCATCAGTGGAATACCAATCTTATTGGTTTAGGTTTGGGATACAGGTGCGGATGCACAATCAAAGAGCGTGCAACTAGCATCATTGGTATATACGACAGCAGAATCTCACATGACACGATCAATCTTGCAGTACCCTGATTCCCATTCGCACAGAGCCCATAGTTACTCAGCTCGCATGATGTGAAACATCTGTTTGTGAATATGCACGCACTCGCACGTTTTATCGTTATCACATGTTTTGGTTTTAGAGGGTACGTGCCTCCCAGGATCTGGATAGCTGCAGGGTTTGGCCCGAATCTGCAAGTTCAATTGGTTTTTAAACTAAATCCATTCTGTTTCTGAGGCAGAATCTTCTTTTCTTATGTACACAGGTGCATATGGACGTGTTACGGCGGGCTCCGTTATGAAAGGGCGGCAGACAATGACCGTTGCTGTGAAGACACTAAAAGGTATAGTAATGACTAATGAGACAGTCTATTAGAGCACGATTTCAATCAGCAGTACCACATGGCAGACCGTCTAACTGCCCTGTAGCACTTTGAGCTGAACCGACTAGCATTGGGGTGAAGCATTTGTGATTGTTCATATTATGGCGGACAAATGTCTTTTCAGGTGTGCAAGAATGGACTCGGATGGAGAGCGAAGGGTAAATTTATAGAAAAGAAAAAAGGCTGTTAGCCAGTTAGTTGTAGAACGTCAGTACCGTCGGTCAGTGTCAAGCAATGTGATCGCATGAGCTGATTGTTAAATAACTGGTGGTGTTAGTGGACAATATAGCGTAACTTGCAGTTTATTGGTCCCTTTTTTTCTTTACTACAAATGTCTTTGTTTACATTATACATGGTCTTTGGCATGGTGATAAGGTCGGACAGCCTGGCATGGTGATAAGGTCGGACAGCCTGGCATGGTGATAAGGTCGGACAGCCTGGCATGGGTGCTTGCCATGACATACCAACTGTGTGGTATGTTGACATGTATTTGCCATTTGTTAGATCTCACCCTTGCCCAAACATTTCAAACTACTGACTAGGTAGTACTAGATTTGCTGCTTGCATTAGTCACATCATAGCATATTACAGTCCATTTCAAAACTATAGACGCGTACCTAGGCAAAAACCGTTATGCCAGCATCTATACCACATAAAATCTGTGATCACTTTGTGCATAAATTTTTCCAAATTGGGCGTCTCTTATCCAATCCTTTAGAAACTATATGAGAGTAATTGTGGAGCGATCCTGAGCAATATTCCGAAAACTATTCTCAAAAAGTTCCAGCCAAATTTGAAATATTTCAAAAACCCTACGCGTCTATAGTTTTGAAATGCACTGTAGGCACATCATAGCATATTAGTCACATCATAGCATATCATGTCCTGTCCCCTGTGGGTACCAACTGCAGCTGTGAACAGCATTGAGGATGTGGACAACTTTCTATCGGAGGCTCTCATCATGCAGAACTTCCACCATCCAAACATCGTGGGCCTGGTCGGCGTGTGCCTGCGCCTGAGCGGTCCTCCTCTGGTCTGCCTGGAGTACATGGCTGAGGGTGACCTAAGGTCCTATCTGCAGCATCTGAGCAAGTCCATCAGCCTAGAAGACATATGGAGCGAGGTGAGATATACATTATCACCGACCGACCGTCCCCAGCAGGGCACTGATTACATACCAGCGGGGCACTGAGTGCATACCAGCATCATGCGTGGACTCTTCGCCTGACGGCAACATTGCACCATGGCGCCATAAGACATTCCAGCCCTATATTGGTGTGTAACCAGGAAAGGATTACTCACAGACAACGTGGCCCGGCCTACATACACGGAGGTGAATTTTTGGACATTGGGCAGACCTGCATGGCGCAGTCGGCAGCATGGCCGTTTTCAGATGCCAGTGTTTAAAGCTGACATTGAAAACCATTTGAACTCTGCACACAACAAAAGCAGAAGCAATCGTCGTGTAACCACAAACCCACAAACTGGCACAAAGTAACTAACTACTACTGCCGTGGACATGGAAATCCGGCTTAATGACCAGGGCCGGCGCCCTCGGTGCGTACAGAACGTTGCATGCGGTGCACATGTTGATCATATGCATACTCACGGCTGCATGGCCAGCGCCATGGCATGGGGCCGCTTAGCCTCGGACTGGATTTTCATGTCCACAACAGTAGTATGGGCATGCATACACTGCCACCCCTCATCTCCCCCTCCATCTCCCAGTTGAATTCAATCCATCATAGTCATCAAAATTGTGCCGTATTGCAGCGTTGTTGGTTCTGTATTTCATCCCACTGCTCAGGACATTACCAGACTGCTGGTAACATTCTGTGTGCAGATTGCCTGCGGAATGTCCTATTTGGAGTCGAAAGGGTTCATTCACCGTGACTTGGCCGCCAGGAACTGCATGTACGTACATGTATACAGCACTTACATGATGATGTAGTGTACGGAAATACAGTAGAGCACTCTTTCAAGCTGCCCCGACTGACCCTGATTGTGTGATTGTATGTATACGATGTGTATGAAGTTCATACCACCACGATGGTGACAAGCAAAACTCAACCTCACGAATGAAGCAGAGTCGTGTTCACAGCAAAGGCCGGGGTTTATATAGTGCAAGTGCAGCGCAACCCCATGTAGGTCGGCCGTTGTACTTGTCGCCACTGTAGAGAGCACGGTAGAGTCTCTAATACAGCATCAGTAGTCAACATTGGGTACATTGGGTACAGTAACGTGAGTACTGGAGCGTGCTACGAGTGAAATCTCGTTTTCACGTTCAGATGCGTGGCCACTGAGACCATGAGTTATCGACACCGCAGCCGTGGCATGTGGTCCTGCAGCACCAGTGTAGTTTTATCTTGAGTAGTGCCAACCGCAGGCTTGGCTTCTATGTTGGGAACAAAGGCCCGTGCTCTTCCCCCTGTTTCGAATCGGTATAGTCTCTTTTCTCTTAGTTTCCTAGGCTCCGATCGTTAGAATCCCGTTACCTGCTAACAGTTTCTTTTGCACATCTATGTTTCGCTTCCGTAACCTTGCATTGGCACATCCAGGGTACCCTGTAAGAAGGCCTGGAGCGGGATTCACAGAAGTTTTTTTGCGATGCGACGCGATTTGCGACGGACGCGTGCGATGCGAACTCGTGAAATACCATTCACAGAAGAAGTCAGTGATGCGACAAAGTCTTGCTGATTTGGCTACATCACCATGATATTCGCGCAGTTTGATACAACTTGTACAAATTTATAGGCAACTCTTGAACCTTTGTACAACTTTGCTGTAGAAAAGATCAAAATCGTACGCCAAATCGCTTGTCGCATCGCATCGCAAAAGTTGAGCCAAGCTCAACTTCTGTGATGGCCTGCGATGGCCCAGTTGCAGCAGTTGCGTGGGCTGCGATCTGGGGTTTTCCCGGTTTCGCGCCTGTCGCATCGCGTGTCGCATCGCAAAAAAGCTTCTGTGAATCCCGCTTTAGTAGGCCTGTGGGGATTGCTGTTATCAAAAATTGAAAAGAGAGAAGGAAAGAACACAGCACGCTAGTAACCTCGTCCAGTTACAACTCTGCGCACTATGGGATGAGTACTCGTAGTAGTAATGTTGCACTGTTGCACTGTGCACCTGATCGTACAATGAAGTCCTCCACAATATCTGTACTGGCTTTTGAAACTCATTCTAGGCTGAACAACCGGTTGGAGGCAAAGATTGGAGACTTCGGTCTGGCTCGAAGTCTGCACAACCAAACGTATTATCGAATTAGCACAACACGCTGTCTGCCGATCAAGTGGATGGCACTTGAAAGCTTGGTGAACCAAGTCTTCTCGGAGAAAAGTGATGTGGTAAGGGAATGTCAGTGAATACCGTATTGCTGTTGCCTGCTGCAGTCTCCATGTAGCCCGGTTAGCTCAGTTGGTAGAGCATCAGACTTTTAATCTGAGGGTCAAGGGTTCAAGTCCCTTATCGGGCGGCGCATTTTCTTTTTTTTGTTTTGCAGTTACAGCTTTCCAGGAGCTTTATAAATTGTTATTTTGCTTTTCTGTAACCATGGCAGCTTTCGATTTGTCGAATCCCGATGAATATCCAAAGGATTGGTCGGATTTGGGCATGTTGAATCTATCATTCCAGATCAGGATTGGACGGATTTGAATCACAGGAATCCGCATGACCAAGCCGGATTGCTTGGATTGCTCAGGTTTTCCCCGCTATCGATTGTCTCCCCATTTTGGAAAGGAATGGATACATAGTATAGGAAAGTTGGCTGCTCCCCACGCCGGAGCTCGTGCTTTCCCGCCGACTTGACAGCCAGCAACTTTCCACCAAATTTGCAACCACTATCTCGAATGGATATGTTCCTGGTAGTTGCAGTTTTGTTTTCCACAGCCCCTTGTGCGATGGTCTGTCAAAGAGTATGAAAAATTACCCCGTTATAGTTTTCTCTAGCAAGAGATTGCAGCCAGCTTGGTTTGGTGACTGCTGCCTGCTTAATTTTCTGCACATCGCCATAGTCACTGTTTTGTAACGGCACATGTGCCATCACAATCCTCAAGCTAAGCGCTGCTCAATTTGTTCGTGTGAATCATCCGACTACTAGTAACCTAATCTGAATCCCGATTTGACAAATCGAACCCCCCCCCCCCCCCCCAACATAACTTAGTATGAACCAAAGAAGGTCATACCGGTGGAATTTTCTTGCCTATTGTTGCATTTCACCAAGAGTGTACAACTCCACAGCTGGTCGCATCCATTGCTTCTTTTGCTGATGTCAACTTTCCTTGGGGCCTTCATAGAATCCACGACTCGTGTGATAGTCAGTCGGACTGAGTTTTCTGCATCCGCCGGAACACCACCAGGTCCACCAGGTCCACCAGGACCACCACCCTCAGGGAACAATGCAGATCCTAAAGCGGTGGGAGGTGAGTAGACCAGACCCACCGCCAAAGTGGTCAAAGGCAGTAAATCCCACTCGCTGCATCCATGCTACCCTCGTGCCAGACCACGAGTCCCCAGTTGACTGTCATGCAGCGGATGGAGTGGTGACAGTAGCAGTGGCGGAGGCGAGGTGCGGGTGGTATTGTACTGGAAACATTTACTCATATCAGCAACATTATTCATACTTTGAACTCAGGTGCATTTGAACTTGGGTATTTTATGGGTCAACCACTCAACGTACTGCTTGAACTTTTGTTTAACGCGACATTTTTATTTTTTGATGTCCTTCCCAGTGGTCATTTGGAGTCCTTATGTGGGAGATCTTTTCCCTAGGACGCGCACCATATCGTAGCATCCTCAATGAGAATGTTCGACAGTACTTGGAGTTGGGAGAGCGTCTAACACGGCCCGAACGGTGCCCAGAATTTGTGTGAGTATTGTATCAACAAGAGCAATGTTTCTTCGGGAGGGGGGAGGGAGCAGTGGGTGAATGGGATGAAAGGCGCTGGATCACTAGGATGCAACATAATTTCAGCACAGTACAAGTACAATTCCCTTTATAATAGCGACTTCAGTCCAAAATTCTAATATTTGAATTAGGGCCAGCAAATTACACGACTGGAAAGAGAAACCTCTGCAGAACACATACAGAAAATTTTTATGGGTATATCTTGTCCCAAACCGGAGTTATGAGGCCGCAAAGTTGGTATGCAATCGTCAGAGGCCATGTATGCAACTGTATGCAGAGCGATGGCACAAAAGTGGGTTTCTTGGGCCTCATGCATACACCATGAACGTATGCGCGATGTGCGGGTTTGGTGTTGTTGGAGAGTGACGGAGAAACCATCGTACATGTAGATGTTGGACGGGATGTGCTCTCGGCTTCGATGGATTGAAATAACCACCTCCTGCTCAAGCACCTCCAGAACTTTAACATGAAGAACAATAACGGTTTACAAGCCAAAGTCTGTTCGCTCTGTCACACAGAGCCACTCAAATAGTGCACTGACTCCATAGCCGACTTCAGCCGCTGTGCACAAATTCTTCAAACTGCTAAAACGGCAACGGAGGAGAACCTTACCATGAACCTATCTAAACCAAGTCGAGGACTCTGAACACGATAGGGACTCGGTCATTGACGGGCAAGGTAGCTGAGATGCCGAAAATTTCCTTTGAAAACTAAATATACGGAGCGATATATAAAAAAATCGATGACTCATGACATGCGACACACCGTTGGAAAGCTATTTGTATATGCTTGCCCATCATGTCACGAAAATCGAAGGCGCTGGGCATATGAATAACATGTAGGCAGGTGTAGAACGTCGAGAGAAAAATTGTTCCGTGCACGCCATGCTTGCACCATACATTCGTGCGACGAAGGATTTCTGCCTTTTGGTCACGTGATTGAAGTCGCTATTTATAGCATTGTAAACTTGTCGTGAAATCTTTCAAACGAATTTTGTTGAAATTCTTTCGAGTTACCCTGGCATAGAATTTGACAATGAGCCGTCCCTGGTCTGGCTGTCTTGGTCACATCAACATTCGCTATCCAGCTACCAATTGTTGAACCTGCCAAGTTAACCCTTTACCGTTTTAGGTATTTGTACAGCAAAAACCGACCGTCATTGTTCATGCCGTAACTTTTTAACTTTTTATTTTTCACTTTTATTATGTACAAAATGAGGTGATTCTGAAAGTAAAAACCCTCAGGAATGCGATGCAACAACTTTAGGGTTCACGGCTTGCCACTAAAAGCACCCTTCACGTGCGCCTCCATTTTGGATTATGGACGAGCGCTGTACAGGCCGCGACAGCGCCTATCGAAGTAAAAAAATATCGACTCGAGGTCTAGCCGGAGAGCGTACTTTTTGAATTTTTCCTTGGCTTCAGTGGCTTCACTTCACTCGGGCTTTGCATTTTTCTGACTGACCTGGACTTGATGATGGCGGCGGTGGCGGTCTTGGCGAAAGATCCAGTTCCATCTGAGACACTCTGTCGTCTTTTCTTATCTGCTGAGGCTCTCTGGTTCTGGCAAAGCGCAGCTGCATCGAACCTGACTAGATGTAGCTGCACGTATCCTTTGTTTGCCCTGCAAATCTCGATCTGTTGCTCTTCTTGCTGTTTGGCCGCTGATGCCATGGAAGAAAATAAATATTCTTCCTGTAAAGAGGCCGAAACTGAGCTAGGGCACGTCAAGATATGTAGGGTATACAAAGAAAAAGAAATGTCATGGTCGTTTCAGCAGCTCACGACAGCCAACACGCTCCATCGTCGGGATTGGAAGTATCCAGCACGGCTGTTCCGAGCGCTGCTGCTCTTGTTATTCTTCTTCTTCAGAAATTCTCCACACCTTGTCGGCCAAAGTACGCGCGCGCGTGCACGGAAAATAGATGCGCTGAGCCGTTTCTTGTTCGATTTTGACAAATAATGGCTTGTTGTTTTGCTCTCGACCTTGGCTATCCTTCTACCGTTCAGTATTTTACGGAAACGCAACGGCTCCCCCTGTTTTTTTAGCCGAACTTTGGCCAAAGTTACTGGAAAACCCGGAACTCGTTTGAAAAAATACGAACGGTGGAAGTCTTGGAACGTCTTTCGTGCGTGTGGATTCAAAAATTCAGGCAGTTTGAGCCAACCGTAATGAATCCCGTAGAGTTGAAAGTGAGTGATATTGATGGGAAAATGCGATTTGAGCACTGACCGATTGTGTGGGACAGTATATGCACGCGCCTGTCACGTGCATGATGTAGCTGGCGACGCTAGCATGCCAATCCGTGAACCCTAAACTTTCAAGTCCAGAAACCGAACAGAGATTTCACTATTTGGCACTAATAATTATTTGAATTTATTGCCGATCGGGCAAACTGTTGCAATATGCAATAAATCAGATCCTTGCACTGGAGTGGCTCCCTCAGGTAAGTGGATACCAGGTTCGTTCTCTGGGTGGAATGCAGGAGTGTTACCAGTCACAGCGGTGTCAGCATTGTCCCAAGTACTGCAAATATCGACTAGTGCAGGTTGCACCGCTGGCTGTACATAGTACCTGTGCACCACGACCTCTACCGTGACGACGGCCTATTCCACGGCCGAATCCTCTCTCTCTGCCACGTCCCCTTCCACCACTAGTGGCACTCATCTCAGCGACACTGTTGTCGTCTGTGACATCCATGTCACTCTCGCTGGCGCTGCTTTCACTCGCCGTGTCATCGTCGCGGTCGTCGTCAGAATAAATATTTTCAACAGGATTGTCTGGCTCCACAAACTCATCTTCCCTGGATGAGGCAGCGACAGAGTCGTCAGGAAGGGTCTCCAGAAGCGAAAGAGCTTGCTCCGCGTCCATGGCTTGCACAGCAGGGCAGACAGTCGTGAGGCCAGCTCAAGCAAAAGTCGAAATAATCTGCAGGCAATACCAAAAGTCGCAGGGTACGCACTTTTCCCAAAGCGCATTTTTCAAGTCGCGATTTTCGCGATTTTTTATAATTGCATCACACAAAGAAATTGTCGGCACCCTCTGCGCGTATATCTTGGCTACTAGTAGGGAAAATCCCAGCTCTCTGCGGTGAACCAGTCCAGCGCTGTGCGCATAGAAGTCATCGACCGCGAGCGGTCGAAATTTGTACGCACAAACGGTAAAGGGTTAAACCATGACTGCACCTTGGTACTATGCTTTTCTGGGTGTTGGACTGTGGCAGAGTTTTTACAGTGCGTGCTTATTGAGCACTCCAACTCTGGATTTGATCACAGTTGACTTCTTACACCGCTGCAGGTTCCAGCTGATGCAACAGTGTTGGGTGGTGAATGCCGACGACCGGCCAACTTTTCAGGATGCCAGGTCCTATCTCCTCAACCATCCCAATAGCTGCCTGCAAGCCCACAGCATCATTCAGCTGTCTCGTCAATCCACGATGCATGTCCCATACAGGCGGACAGCTGACCTGGATGTGCGGTGCCCTAGTATTGAGGAAGAGCTGGATTGTAGGGCCGATACTGGCCGCCTGCACGCGTCTTACAATTCAGCGGCATCTCAGATGGAAATGGAAGATGAACATCTCCCAGAGATGCACGAGCGATTGCCACGCGAACCTCAGCGACCGCGAGGCCCCAGCAGTAGCAGTCCAGAGAGCCTGAGCGGATTGGGGAGTGTGTCAATGAGCTCCTCCATGCGTGCAAGCCTACAGCCCAACTGTAGCGCACTGGAGCCAACACGGGAGCAGCTACATGCCAGTGATGCTGCATTGCTGGACACCACAGAACTGAGTGGGCTGGCTCAAAGCTGCTCATTCACGTCCAACACTATCAGCCTACCATTATCTGATCTGCAAGAAGATAATCACATACATGTGTAATATGAACAGTTCGGGCAGCAAAAGCCTTGATCATTTCTGCATCATGGTCTGCATCGTTCCAGTCCGGATCGATTTTCTTTTATCTGCGTACAATCAGCTGCATGTCGCCGGCAGTTGCATGTGCATTGTTTGTTCTCCGTTCTCTTTCCGTTCTAGCCGGAGACAATTCATGATAAGTTAGTAACTTACTACTGCATGTACTAGTATTCCACTTTTGTTTCCTCTTTTCTGTATGTGCTGATAATAGAGGCACCAGCCTGAATATCTGTGTGGGCAGACCCAATTCATAGCTTTGCTCAGGCAGTGAGCAAGAGGACCAGGATTACTGTTGCCGCTTTCTTTATCACGGCATTGCCGTGTACCACTCAATTAGCTTACTTCTACCTTATTAGTATTAGCAAGAGTACATACTGTACTCTTGGTATTAGAGGTATTATATCTGTGTGAGCAGGCCCCTATTCATAGAATTGCTCAGGCAATATGCAAGAGGACCAGAATTATTGTTGGTACATTCATCATCGTGGCATGGCCTTGTGCCGTTCCCTGTTGATCAACTTATCCTATTACTGTATTAGTAGGATAATCAAACCTCTCTGTTTAATTTAATTTATGCCGCAAGTACCATCCAAGTCAAGTGTTCATTTGTTCATGAGCAGATTATATTATTCGAACCATGAAATCCCCTGTTTACACTCTCGTTGAGCAGTCTTGATTTTGAAGTACAGTGCACCTCAACAAAGAGGTGAAGGCGCACGTTATTTCTGACATGATGCGCAATTTCACGTCAAATTTGGCGCAAAACTCCAAACTTCGACGTGAGCTGCAGGTCACTCGCTCGCGTTGTTTTCCAACGCGAGCTGAACTAACTTTGGCGTCATGTCAAAAAATAACGTGCGGCCTAACCTCTCTAATGAAGTCCAATCTCGTGATGATGATGATGATGCAAGTAAATTTAGTTAGCATCCTGGATCAGTTCCCAGTATCCACAGGTCTGGGGCTGCAAAACACTGTAAATAGCACTAGCCAACTGATCCAATGGGCAGCACTGCTCGTACATAGTGCAAGTGTTGGGAGACGACATCACAATCACCAGTACTGTGACAGCAAACAGCGCCGCAGTGAACCACTCTAGTTCCTGATTGCAGCTTTGCATTCAAGGAGGGCTAAAAATTTATTGACATGAGCCGGTCAGGGAGGCCGTACGCTGTATCCGTGCGACTAACTAGTATCTGGTAAGCATCATCCAAACCATGGTGTGTGTGTAGCACTACTATAAGAGGAACTAAGAAAAAATACACCAGCTATTAAATGTCATGGTCAAAGTTTTACATTAAAAAGAACTATAGCAAGCATCTCAACAGTATGTTCACAATAATTATATCAAACAAATGCAGTTTTGTACCGAACACAGTATTGCAAAAGCAGACCAAGTGTGCAAGCAGGACAGTTATCATGGTTATGGTGCAATGTGTTCATTCTGGTAACTCACAAGGAAAGACGGACAGACGGACAGACAGCTATGGGTTATTGCACTCAGCGCCGGGTTGTTGAGCCAAATCCTGACGTGGTGCGACTGCCACCACCGCTGCTGCTGCTGCTGCTGCCCCTGGACGAAGAGCGGTAAGAGCTGCCTCCCCAGCTTGACCCGCCACTTCCCCAGCCCGATCGGCCACTTCCCCAGCCCGATCCGCCACTGCCCCAGCTCGATCCACCACTGCCCCAGCCACTGCCCCATCCACCACCATAGCCAGTGTTGTGGGGTCGATGGTGGTGGTGTGTGCGAGTGCGGCTGCCAAACAGGTAGCCCAATAAGCCACCGGTGGCTGCACCACCAAGGAAACCACCCATGCCACTGCCAGCAGCAGCTCCTGTATGTGTGCTTCCACCAGTAGTAGTGTTGTGTGATTGCTGCGAGTACGCTGACTGGCGCGGTTGTGACTTGTGATGTTGTGACTGAGCCTCGTCGTACGATGGCGGTTGACCACCACCGCTTGGTGGAGGGCCGGTGCGGCGACTACTACTGTCGTCTCCCTCATCGTCATCGTCGTGCATGCGTCGATAGCGATACACAGCAAAGATGATAACTCCAACAATGACGAGAATTGTCCAGCTGTTATCCGCCAGGAAGCCTTGACCATGTTGAGGACCATAACCCGTGTGGTAGTGATTATGCTGCTGCTGCTGGTGTTGATGCTGCTGGTGCTGGTGCTGGTACTGGCTACCCTGGTTATATTGCTGATCACGTCCATGCCCAGTCAAGTCGAGCTCGTACTCCAGACCACAGGAGCCCTTCAGCACGTACTTGTCGTCCGGGTAGTCGTACCCCTCGCACGATACAGAAATGCGACCGAACTTGTAGGCCGCGTCCATGTCCGCCTTGCACTCCCACTGCACATCGTAGCCGTCAGAGCCGCGATTGTAGCACTGTACCGCACGAGGAGTATATGAGTGGCAGGACGCGGAGCCGCTTGATTTGCACCGCAGTTGAGGAATGGGGCTGCTTCGCCGCCCTTGAGTCATACGACCATCCTCCAGTGTCAACACTTCAAGATCCTTTAGCAGAATCTTTTCCTTGTTACTTCCCCAGCCGAGGCTTGAAGAAGTGTTCAACACGAACACCAGGCAGATGCTGATCCAGAATAAGGATGCCATGTTAGATAGATTATGAAGAAGACTGCACTGGTCAGGTCCGAGTACTGCAGATACTTTAAAATAGTAAAATAAATCACAGAACAAAACTAAGTCTTGTTACGACGATAACTGGGCGTTGCAGCAACGCCACTTCTAATAAAGAAGACAAACACACGTCAGCTACCTTCTTCCCTGGCCAAAGAAAGACATGCAAGCTCCAAGTCAGGTTTCATTAGCTACATTTGCAGGCAGACTTGAGCTGCTGCATACATAACGATAATACTGGTGCTGAAGAAGGTGATTTTTGAACTCCACAAACATTGTACACGATGACGTCGGTGTCGAAATCAGCATGAATCAGGAATGATGCCACTACGAGTAGTAGTGCACTTCAGCTTCCAGTGACTTCGCCACGTGTCATGACTCACACAGGCGCTAGCTCATGACATGAGCTCAGCGGCTCAGCCTGGCCTAGCTTAGACTTAGTAGCTAGCTGTTTTGTTGACGGCGTTGACCATGTTGACCAGTTGACGGCGGCGCGTAGAGTTTACTGCGTAGAGTAGACTACGGCGTCGCGTTGATCCAGCAAACTGTTCCCTGTGTGCCAGTGTGGTGGCCGCCGAAGCGTGCATCATCCATTACTTCGTGTTCCTACATTGTAGTACTTCCAAGCTTGGTTGTTTCGGTCGGTTGCTCTCTACTGACTCTAGCTCTTGGCTTTAGAATTATTTTCATGCTACAAGTGGTTGTAGGTCAGGTGGCATGTGCTAGCATGCTGTGAAGTAACAGGTAACTGGTTAGTTCCCCCTCTATCTCTCCTTTAGCTCTTTCCTATTTTCACACTGATTCTCACTCTGTAGAAAATGATGTTCTGTTGCCTAGGCATCGGCAGCTAATGCTCGTTTATTTTACTTACAAAGTGACAATTGTGGGTAAAAAGGATGGGGAAGAACGTCATAAATTTCAAAACCTGCTGCAGCATAATATGACAGTCTGGCAAATATATAATTACTTGCGAGCCGCATGATTCCTTTTGGGTTTCAATATTCTCTTGATAGACCCTGAATGCACATGTGGTGGGGTAAACAAAATCAAGACTATTCACATTGTGTTCTGCTTCTCGTTGTGCAGTATAGAGTATAGACCTCAGTTGTAAGCTCACAACTCCCGACTCAGTTTCCCATGATTGTACTGCAGGATTAGCTTAACTTCGATGCGACCTTCCAATGTACATTTCTGGCGGTATGACATTGCCGACTCGAGGAGACTGAGAATACTCATTCAGGAGCTGCAGATGAGGGTGAGCACAATCTTCACAGCCTTCTGCCAATCGACGGTGTTATCTTGATCTTTCCACCATGCCAGATGATCAACATTATTGAAAGGCATCAACTGCAGCAATCTTGTAAGCGGCTTGGTGAGGCCTGTTTCGCCTATCTGTTCACTATCCCTCTCCTGGTACTGCTTCCATGAGATGGATCGAGTGGATTGGTGGATCTTAGCTTTCACCTTCTGCTACTTGCTGCGGCAATGTCGCTCCGTAGCATTATAGTGCAGTGGCTTTTTTGGCATCACTATAAGGTCACTGGTGACACACTTCACAAAACAACTTTCCATGAGTAGAGATGATCAAAAACTCTTGAGGGAACTCCGTAACTAGCGGCAGGGCTGATATGCACAACCTTCATAGATTGTCCTTGACTCACTCTTGTCCTGGTTTGCGTTGGCTTTCAGGTCCGCGCAAATGATCTTGAATCCGATATTCAAGCTCCTTTCGATTTTGGCAAATTTTCTGGTTCAGTTTCATCCGACTATTCTGACTCTGACACATGTTCAACCGTTCCATATTACCGTACTGGCAATATATGTTGCCGCAGTGAGGCCATGAAGCGTTACATTGGCACATGTTTGCCGCACGCAGGGCGTTACATGCAAAGTCGCACAGGAGCCGTTACACAGGTTTCTATATTGCCGCAGTCCTTTTTTTGCTATTGCCGCATCACTTTTTTGCTATTGCCGCATCATTTTTTTGCTTTTGCCGCATCATTTTTTTCTTTTCATCCACATTGAAGGCACAGAATTTCAGTTGCTATCCAACTGTTACAAACCCGACGGCAAAGGGCGACAACGATATCAATAGAAGACTGTATATTTTAACTATCAGCGTGATCTGTTCACAAAAAGATCATCAGAAGGAAAGTGGCATAGGGGAAGAGCGCTTCCTCCAAAAACTACTGTCACTCACACAGTTAATGAGTGTACAACATATTACTCTTCTTCGCAAAACGACCTCGGGAAAGAAGAAACCATTGAGATCGCCAACCACTGAATGATGCGCCTTCGAGTGTCAGGACTTCCTGCTGCGTCCAGTTTTGAACTTTTCACCACGCGGTACACGTGCTTTCACAGTTTTCAGCCTTTTTTTGCAGTGCAAACTGCAATGAAAAGATCGCCGCACCCCGCCGGACGACCGTTACGAACTTGACGAAAATTTGTCGCACTAGCCTGGTCGCGCGTTACGCCGCACCCCCCTGCGTTACGCGTTACGCGGCAACATATATTGCCAGTACGGTATGACTTATCGCCATCAGAACTACCTCCGCCATCATCCATACCTGGCCGCTCCCGCTAAATCACGGACACAAACTAAAGTGGAAGTAAGATCGACTACAATGTAAGGTGACTAATAATCATCCCTTTCTCTCGAAATGAGGAACATAGCCATATAGGCGGTGAAGCTTACAGCCTTCACTTGGAGTGAAACCTACTTGCAGAAGGTAGAGTAGTAACTACGGAAGCGGCAGCTGACTAACCGAACCATGTGGCTTGCAAAATGTAGCATTTTGACCGGCCAACAACACTTCATTGTTGCGAGATTTTAAATGGATAAGCATGCCATGTTGAACTATGGGTACGTATAATAGAGTGTAGCAGCGCTGGATTGCTACATTGTAGCTGGGAATAGATGGGGACAATGATTCAGATGACGCTGGAGACACCACGCCTCAATCACCATGATCACAGCCGGCTGCAGACGGCGCGTGTGACCAGTTTTCGCTCGTCTGGTAGTTCAGTAAGGCCCCGTCCGTAAAATTTAATATCGATGTTTTTTTAGAGACGATATTGGTGCTTCTCTCCCGTGACCCCCCCCCCCCCTCCCCCCAGAAGACGCACATGTACATCTAGATCATGGAATCCTCAATCTGCGGACAGAACTGTTTCGTCCTTTGTGGACTCGTCAGCGCAGCACAGAGGAAATGAGCCTAGATCATGGAATCAATATTTTTGGATGCTCATTTTTTTCTCCTTTTTTTGTCAATAATATGAACCCAAGATGGCAAGTTTGCAGTATTTATTATGGTCTAATTGAGAAGGAGAGCATTATGACTTTTTTGGTCGCCCTCGAGAACACTTGGGGCCAACAGCCTTCTTGTGCTGCATGAGAAGGTCTCCTGCAGCCATCGTTCGGCCGATTTCCACAATCAATAGCTCATTCTTTTGCTCTTGAAATTCGCCATGGGCGTACAGCTTCCAATTTTTGATTTTGTTCTTGTGTCGCGAGTTTTAGCTCCGCGAACGGAAGCTGGTTTCACATTTCTTGTATAGCCATTTAGACGTCCGCGTGCAGGGATCGGCGAAACTTCAGATATTTACATCGATATTTTTCTGATGCTCGAAAAGACGCACATGGCTCAAACCCCCTCCCCCCCCAGACGCACCAATATCGTCTCTAAAAAAACATCGATATTTACGGACGGCCCCTAATTGGCATCAAAAGCACCCATATTGCCAGTTTGCTGCAGATATGCCACTTTAATGCTCGGCAGTGCTAGTGTACTAAAACAAGCATATAATTATGCAGTGCTAGTTTACTAAAACAAGCATATAATGCTACCCCAGGGCGTTATGTACTCTTGATGCTACTAGCATTAGCCGCCGATGCCTACTGTTCGATGCCTACCGTTTATGGCACATGACTGATTGTAATGTAGACTCGATCCGATACAACCATTCCTCGCTTCCTTCTTGCGCGTTCGTTGCGCGCAAAGCGGGATTCACAGAAGCTTTTTTGCGATGCGATGGGCGGTGCGACGCGATCTGCGACGGCGGCGAAAAATCCGCAAGGCGTCGTCGCATCGCTGACTTCTGTGAATGGTACCGGTATTTCGCGAGTTCGCATCGCACGCCTCCGTCGCAAATCGTTTTTGTGCTTGTGTACAGCCCCATGCTGTGTGGTCAGTCGTGTTGGGTTTCTCTAACCCCCGAGGCCGCGACCCATGCAGGGTATCACTATCGCGTGGCCATTGTGGCCTCCATTCGGATTCCGATAAACTGTAAATTAATACTTCGGGTGGGATTGCTGTCATGATCGATGTCAACAGCAAGCGAAAACCAGTAACGACTACAGTGTAGATCTACTAGTAGTCTACTGTAGACGTGTACTAGTACAGTAGTAGTACTGGTAGTCGTTACTGGTTGCCACTGGCCAGTTTCACTAGGACTAGGTACTAGGTAGATCAACAGAGGTCTCGTGGTGTAAGCGTGTGAGTCTGTGACTTCCAGTTTCCGTCCCAAGGGTCACCAAGGTCTTCAAGGTCAAGGTCTGTCTTGCACGCGTCTGGCTTCAACATGGCGTGCAGAGGGTCTTCCGCTCAGACGACTACGGCCCGGGAACGCTGAAGCAGTAATATAAAGCCTATTATTATAAAGGACGAAGCAAGCAACGAGTGGTTGCCGGTATCGGCTGTTTGCGGACAACCTGGTCACAGTGCTAGTGTGCTCGGTTGGCGTTCGAACTTCGGGTTTTGCCAACACGACTGGTGTTTATGCTACGTGTACCGGTACCGGTAGTTGCTGACCACCAGTGCACCACCACGAAATCAGCTGTACATCGTTAGTGTGCAGGTAGCCGATCAGCTCAGACTTCAGAGGAGTGATCATCATGATCATTGTGTAATGCTATGCCGGTAGTAAGCAGCAAGAATGGTTGACACTTGCACGAGCACACCTCGCACCCCCACTGCCGAGGTTCGACAACAAAGGTTAGCTCGTACTTGTAATCGAATATGCTGCGACGCCTCAGTATGCTATGGACTGGTGCTTGATCCGCTTGGAACTCCACTCTAAATAAAGCCAAACAACAACAACAACATCCGCCATTTCGCACTGTTCGACGCAACCCAACGTTCCTCCCGCAGTTCTAGTCCAAAGCAACTAGTCGACGGTCTGCGGTAGGATTCTCTCCGACAATGGCTGCCGGGCTGCGCAAAATACGCCAGCCGGTGTCGCCCGTCCTTGTCTTCTGCCTGATCTTCAACTTGACGTCGATCCCGATCTCCATGGAGGCAGACAGTAATGACTTTGTCCAGTTCTCAACTAGTGCAGCTGTCAGCCGCTCCAGTGCGAGAAGAGAAGGTGCCAGTGTTCCGAGTCAGGTGGACCTGCAAAAGGCAGCACAGCCAGCAGCTGCAGACACCACACGAGTGTTCAGAGTTGGCTTACTGTTATCTGAGTTGCGTGAGGCAGACGTGCCATGGCTTGTCCAGTGCCAGGCAGCACTGCACTTGGCTGTGGAGAGGATCAACGAAGACCTGGCTGCTATGGGAGATTCCTTAGCGTGGAGACTGGAAGCAAAAATGTTCGACGAAACATTTCTCAAAGAACACTTGGAGCGAATCAGCAAGAACTGGCACAATGCATCAGAACAGCTTTCAGTGCTACCGGTCAGAAGACATCCTGGTCAGGGAATGGGCAAAGAGAAGGTTACAGCACAGCTCGATGACATTCTAACCCTGCTGCAGATGGAGAACTTGGTGGCGCTGATTGCAGTGAAGTCGGATGGCCTGGTACGCATGGCTGCGCCACTGGCCAGCCGCCTGGGCATTCCGTTATTCACGACCAGTTCGAACGCCAGGCTGAGGAGTGCCGAGTACAAGACACTGTTGCGCGCCAACCTCAACGACGCACATCTGCACTACGCTCTCCGAGACGTTCTACTGGAGTTCCACTGGCACAACGCCAGCCTGGTCTACGCTGTGAACGGTGACAGTGCCGCTGCGTCTTTGTTCAGCACTGCTGTGGAGACGGCCTCTTCCCACATGATATCCATAAAGAATATAGTGCAGCCATCGCTGGCACATGGCAACCGTACCCTATCGAGTGCCACCAAGAGTGGGCTGCTGAAAATCCTGAATGGCAGTGTGAGAATTATCGTTGTGCGAGTACACTCCGCGTACCTGCCTCTGCTCTTTGACTATGGGGAGGAAATTGGCCTTCTTGGTCCGGGAGAGAAGCAGTTCACATGGGTACTGCTGGATCTTCACAATGGCATCCGTCTCCTTTTGCCACGCTACTGGAAGCTAATGACAGGTATGCTGGTGCTGATGGCAGGTGAAAAACCGGGCAATGCAAGCAGGGTGCACAACCACTCGCAAGGCAAACAAAACCACAGTTTGCATCAATTTGCTGAGCAGCTTCGCGACAGCACATCCAAAGTCAACATTGCCAGGTGCCCCAATGCATCGATAAGTGAGCTGAGTATCCATGCTGTGTACGTGTATGATGCCACCATCGTTGTCGGCCATGCAGTCCAACGCTACATGCAGCAACTGGACAATGGCACAAGCTCAGCATCTCTGCTGCATCGAGATGCAAAGCATGTGCACCGACTGCCTGGGGTTTCGCTAAGACCCCTAGAGAAGAGCGACAGCGTGAACTTCATGAATATGATCGAGAACGTAAGCAGCGTGGAATTGGAGGAGAGAGTGCTGTCCTGCTGTTCTCGTGACTATGCACTCGTGATTGTCCAAGACCATGCATACTATCAGCGCGTAGGCAAGTGGTCTGGCCAAAATCTCTCGCTGATACGAGAAATCAGGGAAAAGAAGCTACACAAGATCTGGGGTAACAGGTTTCCAGCGGATGGGCCCGTTTCGGAGAAGCCCATCCGCATCCTCCTCATCCCTGACATTCCTTTCATTGTCAGGAACTCTTCGCGCACAGTTACCAGTCATAATTCGACACAGCTCGACCAGTACAGTGGCACGCTTATCGACATCTGGAAGAACATATCGAAGTTCTATGATCTGCAGTATGAGGTCAGTATCTGGAACGAGAGCCGGTGGAAAACAACCAGGGACATTATCGAGCATGGTTGCAGCTCAGGGGAGTTTGATGTTGCTCTCGGCGCAATAAGTGAACGAAGTGCGCGAAAACATAATTGCTCGTTCTCCCTGCCATTCTACTTTAGAACAATGGGAGCTGTTACGCTAAGACCTCCCGATGAGATGCAAGGACCGCAGTCACTCTGGGGTATCTTCAAGCCGTTTGCTTGGCAGCTGTGGGTCATTCTGGTTGTGAGCATGCTTCTTGGCGGCGGTGTTCTTGCAATCCTCGACCCAGATGGACTACAGACAGCAAGACGAGGTAACATCCTCTTTGACATCATCTTCTTCTCGTTTGCTACGATGCTGGGCTTTGGCGAGCATAACGTCAAGCAGTCCTTCGCAAGGGTGTTCATCCTCTGTCTGCAGTTCATGCTGCTGGTCATCATAGCATCGTACACCGCAACGCTTACGAAGATTCTCAACGAGACTGACAAGGCAGCCACAGAGATTGCCACGGTCAGGTCACTCGCCGACTTTGTGCAGAAGCGGGTTGGCTACGTCCGTGGCACGGACTCCGGTGACTACATCTCCAATCTGCTGGGCGTATCTTATCGCATGCTAGTGCCAATGAATCATGCCAGTCAGGCGCGGCAAAAGCTTCTCTCCGGCAAAATTGACGTGTTTTTCACACACGGTGCATATGCGGCTGCCATGGTGGCAAGGGATAAGAAGTGCCGGTTCATAGCTACTCCCATAACGGTAAGGAGAGCATGCGTACTTTCTAGTAGTTTTCTGCATGTACTCCAGTGGGGTGGTAGGCCTTGCGAGGTGCATTCAGGGCACAGGCAAGTGTTGGTAGTGCTGGGGCCACTTAGCACTGGAACTGCTGTATTCCGTGATGACGTTGGATGGCCTCTGCTACTGTGATCATGTGCGGTGAAAGTCAACTTGTACCTACTATTACAATAAAACGCACATTTACTTTAGTAATACCAGTACATGATTGTGGCATGCAGGGTTCTAGCCAGGTAAAAATAGCAGGGGGGGGGGGCATGGGAAACAGTTACCCGGTACCCCATTTTTCCACTTTCCAATATTGTCTTGCCATGCTAAATGTAACGTATGGGGCGAATCCTCGACTTCGCCCCAGACAAATGTGTCTTTATGAACCATCTAATAGTGACTTTCGGCTGCATTTTCGTTGAATTGCATGAAAAACACGAAAATCGGATAATGAGTAGCCCCACCCCCCTTTGGCTAGAACCCTGTTGTAGTATCGACATGTTGAGCATTGTGAGGGGCATGGGTATGTTCCTTCGTATTAAGGTATCGGTTCAGGTAAGAAGTACATGGACCTCGCATACTAAGTACATCTCTTTGTCTACCATTGCACTACAGGGTGCAACGCAGAAGTTTTCTTTCCTGTACAACCCGCGCTGGCAGTGGCAAGGCATCATTAACCACCGCCTGAGAAGGCTGAATGTGGACAAAACGGCACACAACATTACGGAGAGGCTGACGCGGTCGACCTGCAAACCCTGGATGCCGCCATCGGGCGACTTGCCGATCACTGCAACGTCGCTTGTGGGACTGTTAGTGATTGCCGCTACTGCTAGTGTGCTGGCTGTTGTACTCAAGGTTTACTTCCATTCCACACCGAGACGCAGACGCCTGCGCCAGCTGCTGCACTATCGCAACGCGCATGTGTGCAACCGGTGCCAGCGCAGCTCCTGCCACATGCATGCTTGCACCAGCAGTACTGCCGATAATGCCATGGAGACAAGTGCTTTCACCTCGCCGTACAGCAACTGGTGCGAGCACATCCAGTGACCACGCGCACAGCATTTACAGCAGTCATACGTATTGTCAGTTCACCCTTGGCGCGTCTCTTTAAAACGTTTGTAACGTTACAACGATGCTCAATGAAATTCGATCACGCGAGTCAATACCACGCAGGGCGGTTTGCGGCCCTAGACCTGTGAACACTGGTACAAACTGAGTGCAGGGCGCAAACTTGACCCATGTGATCGGGTTTCATTGAGCAGCACTGCACAAGACTCACTGATACACAGCTTTGGCACGTGATTTCATCAAGTGAAACATCACAACAACTGCCAACAAGCATTACATCATAGTGATGGCATTCTTATTACAGGAAGTTACAACGAGTACCTGCACACCTCTGACCCAAGCAGTTCAAAAACCATATACATCACATGTAACACATCCTGCCATCTGCCATTCGCCTGGCACTCCCTAGATACGACTTGTACATACTTTCAAGTACGAGTGCAGTATTGCAATGCACAAAACCTCACTATTATTCTAATTTTTAAAAGCACCATTTCTCTTCGATTTTGATAAGAGATGACTTTGTTATTTCTTTATTGAGATCCACTATTCTTGTTCTTATTTCCGTTGATCTTACCATACTATCCTAACAGTGCCACGATTGCCATCATGATGAAATCCCTTTACATTGTAGGCGGCTGCAAAGTAGCATTGGAACGTGTACACTTGTACACGGTGAGGTCTCCTTCACACATGTGTGTATCTGCGCACGCGCGTGTAGGGAGGGGGTAGGACAATAGGCATGTTCAATTATACACAAATCTGGCGTCCTTTCTAGAATTCCCCACAATGCATACACCGATGGATTGCAACGAGTATTTCTTCGCCAAAATCTACAGAATTCAATTCCGCGGGCCATTCCGAAAGGTGGAATTTCTAATTCTTCCGCCAGAATTTACGCATTCGCTTTCTCGACACCACACATGTCTGCTGATTCTGTGCTGATTGCATACTACTTCAAGTAGTGATTTGCACAAAGAGTTGGTAGCTTGATCCCTTTCCAGGGTTTTGTCGAGTGCAGGGGGAGTATAGAATTCACGACAACTTCCAGTTGTTCGTTTACGCGGTCGTAGTCTGCTCATTCGAGCATTTTCAAGTCTGGACCCGGAGTGTGTAATCGAATGCAACCAAAAATGATTGGTGTGGTGTCATGGCAAAAACAAGAGGATGCCAGTAAATGGCAGTCTCAGCTCTAAGGGTTGGGGGGGGGGGGGGAGTGAAGCCACCCTCGTGCCAACCAAGTTTCTGTTCCCTCTAGGTCAACTAATACCGGCAAGTAGTAATATTACTTTGAAGTAAGGGCAAGGAGGAGCACACCAACACCAACATGTCTTTCGCATGCACCTCAATAGTTTCCGAATGCCTAGAATGAGTACGTACTCTTCATCTGCCTGGATTCAAACCCTGCAGGGCAAATAGGGTAAGTGGTAAATGCGGGGGGGGGGGGGGGGGGGGATCATTGATGCTCTACCTCTGCCGGTACAAACACACACGTATGCCCATGCAGTAATGTTGGCAGCCTGCCTGGTTGTTCATGCATCCACCCGCTTTCTGTCTGCCATATTGTGTGGCTGTGATGGCAGGGAGGCCATAAGTAGCCACTGCTATCTACTCCCCTAGGCAAACATGGATTTACATGACTGTACTTTCAATTGCTGGATTAATAAAGCTCATCATTGCAAGATGATCTTTGTGAATAATCGTGCAAAGAAAAGGACAAAAAAAGCACCCCATGAAGGAAGGACATGACACAGTGGATTGCGGAATTTGAAAACACAGACACAGACACACACAGACACACATAAACACAGACGTCTGGTAACAATGCCTGCGTGAAAACATGCCCGCAAGTACAGTACATCTGCACACAGATGTTGCACACACGCACACTCACACAAAATAGCGAGCGCAGCACCCTATCCGTTGCTCACACCCCATGCCCATGCACTGGACTGATGGTGGTCATGAAAACTACAGGTACAATGAGAGCCTGACGACAAACAGCTGAAGTTCAACACCTGGTTTCTCGCATGTACATACAGTACTTGTACAATATTGTCCATGCACACACACACACACACACACACACACACACACACACACACACACACACACACACACACACACACACACACACACACACACACACTCACACACACTGTGCGTGCAGCTTGCACCTTGTCAGTAAGTCCTTGCGAAAGCTGACTGAACTCTAGTAAAATAAAAGTTAATAATAATAATAATAATAATAACTGCGGGGAATTGGGGGAACCGGGTCATGAGCATTCTCCGATTCAGGACACACTTACGAAGTCTTGGACTTGCCACTCAATTCCTCTTCCTCCTCCCTGTCCTGGGTAGCGATCGCTTTCAGGACAGTTTTCTTACTCGTCTCCTGGATTTCTCCACCGAGCACCAGCTCGTCCAGGATGTAGTAGGCCTTCTCGTAGTTAAAAATTACGTCCAGTTCGCACACACTGCCAAAGTATTTGTCCAGTAGATCCACATAGCGGTGAATGATTTCCAGGACAATCAACTCGTTGTCATTGGTGTCGATTCCTACACAGAAGAACAGGCTGGCGTAGCGCTTGTATACCACTTTCATATCCTTGTATTCCAAGAAGTGGCACATTCTTGATTTCCTGGACAAAATTAGGGAGACCAGGTCGCGGTAGATTCTCTTCTTGTCCTTGGACGGCACGGCATGATACCAATGCTGCAAACGACATTTCCCGTGTCTGCTGAATAAGAAAATGTACTGAATCATTTTGGCTCCTCTGTCTCCTCCTCGTCTATACTCAATCTCTACTGAGAGGAGGCACAACAAAATCTGTTTACAAACAACAGGAAATCGAACACACAGTTGACTTGGTGGACCGCATCTTTCCAGAAACTGAAGGTTTGCGGTATCACCGACGAGATCGATACGAGAGCGCACTCAATCAAGAAATCCGATCGCGTCATTCGTACACTTGTAGATCTGAATGAGGGAGTCGTAAAATACGACTCCCTCTGTATGAATGATCGCCTGATCAGCTGACCCGGCCGGTATCGTAGATCTACGTGGATCCACCCACGTGGATCCACAGAGTGTTGTATTGCTGGCCCAATGCTGGGCGTTTGAAATGCTTGAAATTTTGAAACTCACATGACATTGTGTCTTTGCTGATTTTTCTGACTTGTTCTTTTTGCATGAGTTGGTCGATCACTTTCTTGCTCGGGAGGGGGGCAGGATGGGTGGGGTTCATGCTATTCTGCTGGCTGGTGGACTTCGTCCTCATGCCTTCGTCGGTGATTAGACCGTACGATTTCCTGCGTGCGCCGTCTGACAGCGCTGCCCATGGCCTCATTGCAATGGCTATTTGGACTTTGTCAGTTGGAAGACCAGGAAACATCGACGATTTGGCATGGACATTGGCATGTGGAGCCGTAGCCTGTGCCATCGACGTGGATCACTTCGTTGCCGCAGGGTCCTGGAGACTGAAGGTACATATTGTTATTATCATGTCAGCAAATATTCGATTTCCAACTTTACTTTACATTCATTGAATGAAAGAAAACGATCACTACACAACTTACAAGTGTAGTACATGAAATAGGGGATTCGCACACAACCGGGGTAAAACCACGATTTTGGAAAGGTTACTATGGAAACCATGGCACGGTGGGAAAGGATGGGAAGACCGTGGCTGCAGGCTCGATCGAGGGCATTGGTCAAGAGAAAAGGGCACGGTTTTACGGCCAAGTGTCCACCGTGCGTATATCGATTTGCGATGCAAGGGCCGTGAAACTGGGAAATCCCCAAATTGCACCCACCGTGCAGCTGCTGTAGCTGGCTGATCGCAGATTTCGGGATGCGACATGCAATCCTATGTGCGATTCGGACCTTCTTCGCAGCAAAGTTGTATGAAAGGTACGAGAGTTGCTTGTAGATTTGTAAACGTTGTACCCAGCTACGTGAATGCCATGGTGACATACACCCTCGTATTGAGTTTTGAAGGACATCAGCAACGCGTCGTTGCATCACTGAATTCATACTTGCCAACCCCTGGCAAACAGTTTCCTTGACACTGATGACTTTTTTCCTTGATTTTGCCCATTTTTCCTTGATCTGCAATTTTTACATCGTAATTGTGCAATGTGAAGAAGAGGTTGCTGCGACTTCGGCGATAGTAGGGGAAGAGTGTGTTGCTCCCTACATGGGAGCTCGCGGTTTTCCTGCCGACTTGAATTCTCACTTGACTGACTCACGACTGCCATCCAGAGCACACGCGAAGTCCATCGAACCGTCCACTCGGCAAACCTGCAAGAAAGCACCACTCCCTGCTCAATACACAGTGTTTCGGAGAATTCACCCCTCATCAGTTGAATAATTGTGCAAACTATTGTAAATGACATCATAGTGACGTCACCATGACCACGAAACATTCGCAAAATAGTACAGCATGTACGACGAAAAAAGTACTTTTTCATGCGCTAACTCAAAAGTTCTCGCTCGCTAGACCTTCATTTTGGGCACAGCACTGCGAGCGAGCGTCCAAAACACTGAAAATCAACAAAAAAGGTGTTGACGGACATTTTTCGAAAATCCGGTAGATGTTATAACTTTTCCGGTCTGTACCGGGACGAAAGCGAGTTTTCCTTGATTTTCCCGGAAATTCCGGTAGGGTTGGCAAGTATGTGAATTCTGTGAATGGCATTTCGCGAGTTCACATCGCATTGCGGCGTCGCATTGCGGTGCACAGATCATGTCGTATTGTCCATCGCCGCGTCGCAAAAGTGCTGTGAATCACGCTTTAGCAGGTTGAATTGCAGACGGCACTCAACCATGCAATTAGAGAGGTTCTGCCACACGGAACTACGTACCAAACTCCGTGTCAACTGCAGTGAAGTTTGACACGGATTTTTCGTACGTTGCACCGGTTCTGCTGTACGTAGCATGCACGAACACCCCGCCACATGTACTCTGTACGCTCAGTTTTCACACGGAGTCCAGTCCGTGTGAAGCGCGCTTCACACGGAAAACGGTATGAAAAATCCGTATGAAACTTGATCCCGTACCGTGGCGAGGTTTCCATACGTACTTTGGCACGTTTTACCGTGTGGCAGAACCTCACTATTATGCATGGGAAGCATGAACTATAGCACTAAATTAAATGAACTACGAAATGCAGTATGAATTCATTACGAAATAGACATTTGAGTTTCCCTGCGCAAAAGACAAGGCAGCATAGGCGGCCAAGGGAAACTGACCAGGCATGGGAATGGTCGACAGTCTGAACTTTTTCCTGGTCCTGTTTTAGTGCCCTAGTCCTCGCTAAACCGCCCTAAACATGTACAATTTGATCACTACACCGTGTGATGTGATTTAATTGCCGTTGGTTGACCTCATAGCATATACGTACAGAGCTGCACACTCTTGATAGGGATATGCTCCTTGGTACTTTGGCTTCTGCTGACCTGAGAGTTTACGTTCGACCCCGTTAACATGAGGTCATAGCGGTTCCACCTGCCCCTTTTGGTTGGTTAGACTTTCTTTTCTTCAACACGTAGTTGTGCAAACACACAGACACACCTGCTGGTTATGTCCTAAATATTGCTACAGCAGCCTTTTGGCTGGACATGGGATTTGACGGGACCACAGCAAAGGAATTGTCTCATGATTCCCTTCTCTCTCTCTCTCTCTCTCTCTCTCTCTCTCTCCCCCCCCCCCCCCCCCCCTCTCCCTCTGTGTCTATCTATATCTATCTACGTACGAAATGCCGGCATACCCACCACTATCATGGTGTCTGATGATTGCACAGCTGTGCATGAAACTCTGAGTTACGACCATGTAGCCTTTCCGTCCACTGTTTGACTGTATCTATCTATATATTATCTCTATCCTGTGTTCTAGGATGCACTGAGACTGCCTCGGAGACCGTTCATGCATGCATCAACATGGTGGCTCGTTCCTCTGGTAGCTGTTGTAGTGAGTCATTGCGTGGCCGGCAAGCGCAGCCTGAGAGCGTCTGTCCTGGTCTCCGTCGCAATCATCAGTCACCACCTGCGCGACTCTCACCGGCGAGGCCTTTGGTTTCCGCCGTTCGGCTCCACTGCGCCATTGCCCTGGTGGCTCGCGACCGTTGCCATGTGCGCCTTGTATATTCCTGCTAGCGTTTTGCTGCTGCCAAGTCCTGCTCAACGTGTGCTGGTCACACCTCTTGTTCAGTCGGTCTAACCGCGTATAGGTGCATTCATAAAACGTGCAGATCTACATGAAACAATTAACATAATATCATCTCCGGCTATCAATTACAATGCCAAGTAATTAGTTATCCTTGGCTATCTGCCTCTTGCCACTACCACTGGTATTGATGCTTTATCTTTTCGATGCATTGTAATTTCTTGACTCTTGTGGTTGGCAGTGTTTTATCTTTTATTTATTCTTTATTTGCTGCAAGTATAGTATTTCCTCACTCTCTGTGCTGCCACCCCAGGTATGATGAAATGAGCAGACCTCCGTTACTTACGTCTGGGTATACAGTAATAAGCACACTACATACACGCTGTACTTCCAAAGTTACTTGTACAGCCATTTTCTTCCGGATGGCGAGGGAACCGGATAAGCGAGGTCTGCCTGTACCGGCTACCTGGTTAGTGGCCGGCATATTTCCAGATACTTTGTCGCTTGGCTTGAGCAGTGGCAAATTGCTCAGGAATCAAACTGGACATTCCCGTAGCTTCATTTACTGATCAGCCTTAATAAATGAAAAAAAAGCTCGCCGAAAAGTTGAAACTCCTGTCTTTTTCATAGGTTTCTTGGTAAGCTCAGAAAGCTGACTGAATATTCTGGTGTGGCCCATCATTAGGTTGGAGAGGTTTACATGACAAACTCTGTAATTTGAACTGAATTCAGGGTGTTTTAATTAATGCCGGGTTTATGGCCAAAAACTTCAAAAAGGATTTCTTTTATGTGTGGCGTTACTTGGATACCGCTGCCGGTTTTAAAGTGGTTCTAGTCGACATCAATCCCATTTTGAATGTGAATTTTTCCTGAAGATGCCCCTACAAAGTGTAGACCTTTAAAATTCCGCTAAGCTCAAAATCTCAATTTCTCAAATTCAACACGTGTCTTGTTTTGCGTTTTTTTTGTGCATGCGTGTACATGACACCGCCCAACCTGAGGCACATACATGTGCGGCCTGGAGTTTAGTGCTCATGTTCTATTCAGCTGCAGAGTTACCTGTCGACTGCGTCACAGGAAGTGTGTTTTTGTACATTTTTCCCACTGTTACATTTCCAGTTTGGCTCTCACTTCATGGCTTTGCACAATTGGCTTCGGGAATAAACCAGTTCCCCAGTTACTAGTACACACATGTAGTACAGAAGTAAACAGCTAGATGCATGAACCGCAATGAGCGATGCTAAGCCGTATAAACCCATTCAGCATGCATGCTCTCAGAACCTGTGCCATCAGCCAACATAGGTAAGCATCAGATCCAACAGAATTTGCGGAGTAATTCCTGCTGTTCTCTGCAGAACAGTAGTCACCCGGTTCCAGTACACACTGCATTGTAGGAAAAGACCAATACCGGTACACAGTAGATCTACTGAGAAGTAAATACTGTAATAGTGACCATAGCCACATCTGGCAGATAGCAACCATATCTCCCAATCCATTGTGATCTACGAGAAGGAGGAAAATATGTAAATATTGCCGCTACAGAACTACGGATAGGTCAAGAACATTGAAAACGGGGCAATGCTTCAAGAATACACGCACTTTTCTCATAACTCCAACACAATAGAAAACAGCCTACCAGATAATGATAATGATAATAATAAAAGAGCAAAAATGTACACGCGGCCTAAACATATTGCCATAAAAAGACTTTCAAAAACAAGAACAGAAATGAGGTACAAAACCTACGCATGACAAACTTGATAAACTGTACAATGTTGAAAAATCGAATATGGATACAAGTACAAAAGCAATGACAATGTGGGAGCCTTGAAAAATCATCCACAGACAAACCAAGTATGGGGAATTGTGAATCTTTTTGTGATGCCGTGTTTGCGAAGCTCCGCTTCATAAATCTAGGAAATGTAACAACGCAGCATTGAGATATGCGGAGCAACACAGGCAGGGAACACGCACTTTGGTGATATTTCATTTTAAAGTAGTTACAGATGACCTAAATACAACGTTGTCCAAAAGGAGACATGATCTGGAAGAGCAGAAAAGGGAGAGTCACCAGGTGAAAGAAGCAGAAAAAGGAAGATAGGTCGTACATAAAAATACTGCCAGCAGTACTTACCCAAAGACTAATAAAAAACACATACACGTGGGCATGCTCGCACGCGCTGTACAATGACTGTACCAACAGGGAGAAGAACACGAGTTCAAGATGTCAGGCCAGTTTGGTAATTGCCGAAAGCCTACGGATCGGGCGCAGTGTATGCAACAGTGGTAGTGGTAACAATGACATCATCATCGTCATCAGCAGCTGCTGGTGCAGAGGGTGGCTTGCCGTTTCCGCTCGCAGCTCCATCACCATCTTGAAGGTCGTCGCCAAGGCCACGTTTGCTGGGTGGTGTCAGGTGGTAGGGCAGGTCTTCTGGCAGATCGTTGTTCTCCAGTTTGACACGGATCAGGTACATTGCCAGAGCAAACTCGTCACAATCCAACATTCCGTCGTGGTCCACATCTGCTAGGTTCCAGACCTTGCGCAGGGTAGCGTTGGGCAGCTTGGACTTGACCATTTCAGTGCGTGCCTGTGACCCTGTCAGCTTGCCATTGACCGGGCCAAGGCGGCGGAAGATTGCGTCATACTCTTCCTTGAACTCCAGAACAATCCAGTCATGAGAATCAGCACCGGCGTTGACACCGCGCGCCCCGCTCACCGTGAACGGATCGTACTTCGGCGGACCACCGTCCGCTCCACCTCCAGAGCCAAACACGCCACCGGTCATCTCGTGGTCGTCGTTACGCTCCTCCGTCGGGATCAGTTGCATGATATGCGCAATGTCCTTGGTCAGCATGCTGTCGGCCGCTTCCAGCAGCTTGGGGTTGATCTTGTTGAACTTGGTGAAGTCATAGTCCTTCAACTTATCCTGGAAGGACTGCATGTGCGGGAAATCGCCGGGTGGCAGCTGGAAGGTCTTGCTGATATGGGTGTAGATACCCTTCAGGTTCTTGATCAGCTCCTCCTGCTTGGCTTGTTTGCCGAAGAACGACGGCATTTCGTTGCGCAGGTGTGCAATGATGTACGCGTGAACTTTGGCGAGGCGGGCGCGCTTGATGAGGTCGTTGACTTTGCGCACGGCCGCACTGCGTGGCAGCGACTGGATCTCTCGGAACAGGTCTTCCTGCTCCTTCTCAAACAGGTCGCGGTTCTCGTCGTTGTTGAGCGGCCGATCCCAGAAGGAGCCTATGTAGACGCGCGATACCTCGGGCGTCTGGATGATCTTGCCCAGCGACCACATCAGAGCACCGTAGACGCGCATCAGCTGCTGGTTGGTAATCATGTCAGCTTTGTTCAGGACAATGCGGATCTTCTGGTCATTACCTCTCAGAGCTCCAATGGAGCGTCGGAACTCGTCAGAGATGTCCAGCTTGTGAGCATCGAAGAGCAGAATGATCAGGTCGACACGGTGGGCGAACCACGACACGATACCTTCAAAGTCATAGCCTCTGTCGACACGCTGCTTTTCTCCGGACAAAACGCCAGGAGTGTCGATGATGCTCACATGCTGCAGCACTTTGTTATTCACACACGACACCTCAAAGCGCGACAGGAACGCATTGCCAAATTGGGACAGGGACCGGAACTGACGATTGGGATCCACAACAGCAGCATTGCCAGGAACGACCTGGTCTTTGTCGCCATGCATCACAGCAACGAATCGATCTGTTGTTGGCTCAGGCCCGATGCGGATGCCAGGAAAATCATTCTCCAACAAATATCGAATGAAAGTGGTTTTTCCTGTAGAATACTGGCCAAGCAGCAAGATCATGGGTTTGGCATCAAAATCAGCATCACCCAATAGGGGACTATGGAACTCTCCAAACTTGTATGCCTCTTCCAAAGGTCTCAGCTTCTCCCTGTACATCTGCTTGAGACCAGATGACACATTGTCAAACACAAGGGCCTCATTGTGCGAGTTGTCCTTGCGCAGAAATCGCAGCATGTTTCCAGCACACTATCGCAACGTTTGGGCCCACTTGGTTCAAACAACTCTGCTTCAGTGCACCACAGAAGCCTGTAAGTCTGTTATTGGTGAAAAAAGATCCAATACTAAAGTACAAAACTCCCCAACTCTTAGATCCTGTAGGCAGACACAGGTGAAGCGCAATCAACAGCGAGGAGAACGCACAGGTAAATGAAAATGATTGGCGATACTAGTAACCCCCAAAACAACATACAGTGAGTCGATTCTTGATCTGATTCAAATCCAAAAGCAAAAAGCAAATACACATCTCCTGAATCCCTGATCACGACCTCCTATACTGATGACGTAGGTACACCTCCTTTTTTGTCAAGCCATGTGATGTGGCATTATTTTTCGGCACATCCTGCATGCAGCTGCGCATGATATGACGTATATGACGCGCGTCGACGCCATTCACTGGATCATGGATCGTATTTTTATGACTTATATTTTCATTTTCAACCTCGCATGTGTCCACGTGGAGATGGCATGCAACCAATCACTCTGGAAACCAAAATGGCGACCAAATTCTTCGGGCTTTGACTCACTCTCTCCACACTCCACACCCTACTAGCTTTGAATCCACTTGCCACATGTGCATTGACAAAAGGTTTTCTGTATTTTCTTTGTCAGCAGTTCCTTGAAGATTGTCCTGTAGTTTGTGCTTGTGGTTGTCTATTTGGAATCATGAAGCGAAAGGCTGAAGATGAGGAGGATGCTGGTAGTGATCAAGAGTTGGTCCATGGCAAATCCAAGAAGGTAAAGAAGGAGAAGAAAGACAAAAAGGAAAAGAAGGAAAAAAAGGTGAAGAAAGAGAAAAAAGAGAAGAAAAAGAAGACGGACAGCAGTGACGACGATCAGGAAGAGCTCACGCCTCCAGAAAGTGACAACCAGGCGACTACTCGGGAGGGATCTCCTGATGAAGAGGAGTGTCTGGAAGCGCTGACTCCCCAGGAACGGGAAGGCACATTCTCCAAATTTCGTATAGCAACAGCAACTCAAGAGTCCCTTACGAAACGTGGAATAACGTACTTATTTCCCATTCAATCCCGCACCTTTGACGATGTATATGATGGTCATGATGTCGTAGCTCAAGCTCGTACTGGCAGTGGAAAAACGTTGTCATTTGCTCTACCTGTGGTAGAGCGTCTTCTAGCTGAGGGACCAGTCACAGGCCGCGGAAGAGCACCAAGAGTGCTTGCCCTTGCGCCAACGCGTGAGTTGGCTGGACAAGTAGCCGATGAATTCCGGCAGATCTGTGGCAAGAGCCTCTATACGTACTGTATCTATGGCGGTGCTCCTTACGATGCACAAGAGCAAGCCATAGCGAATGGAATCGACATTCTTGTTGGAACACCGGGTCGTGTCAAGGACCACATGGACAAGTTCATGGATCGTGGCCGTGGTCTGGATCTGACCAAGCTGAAAGTGGCCATCCTGGATGAGGCCGACCGTATGCTTGAGCAGGGCTTCTCAGAAAAGGTTGAGGCCATTCTGGAAGGTTCCTTTCAATTGGAGAAGAAAGGGAAGAAGCAGAAAGATTCCGAGTCCGGTCAGCCCCAGTTGTTGCTCTTCTCGGCCACGCTGCCAAGCTGGGTGAATGACATGGCGAGCCGCTACATGGACAAGCCCAAGCATGTGGACCTGATTGGCAGTGCAGTGATGAAGACATCTGAAACGGTGCAACACAAGGCACTCCGTTGCCGCTGGCAAGACAGAGCTGCAGTTCTCAGTGATGTCATCCAGGTAAGGGTGTTTTAGAGAATAGAGAATTGAGGCGGCACCGTGCTACCATCGCGTCACATGGGTTCTCCTATTTCGCTAGGAATGGCACTGGTTCATTGCGACGGGCAGTGGGAATTGTGTGACGAGCTGGGAGCGAGATATAACAAGATATTGCCAATAACGTCATGATTACTTCCACTCAAAACCGAACCAAACTGGAACTTCATTGCCTGGAATAAAATAACGAATCCACGTCACATAGCTGCTTTTCTAAATGAAGAGGGACTGTATGTCACATACAATTAAGCACTCCCAAAGAACCCCCTCCACCTAACTGGAGGATGGGAGGAACACTGTTTTATCTCGCTCTCAGCTCCTTGTTCAACTCCGACTGCTGCATTGTATCATTGCTAGCGAAATGGGAAATTGTGCTTTGAAGCTTCAAGGTATGATTTAGCAGTGAATTTAAAGTGCCTACAAGTAAAATAAGGAAACAGGTCAGGAATTAACACACTCATTCCCATGCATGGGCTAAGGTTGTGATGTTGGACATTTCTGTACACTGCTATACAAGGGCAGGCTGCCTCTATTGTGTGTTTTAATGGGAATGATTTACTCTCTCTCTCTCTCTCTCTCTCTCTCTCTTTCTCTCTCTTTCTCTCTCTCTTGACTCCTCTTGCTATTATCACTCTAGGTATGTAGGTGTAACTATTTCCTGTGTGGTTCTCTTCTTTGTCTTTCTTGCTCTCCAGGTGTACAGTGGGTTGCACGGGCGCTGCATGGTATTCACGCAGACAAAGAGTGATGCCAATGCTCTTGTGCTCGAGTCGTCGGATCCCAGTGATCGGCAGTCACCGCCGGACAGAGCAGATGGCCGGCAACGAACCACCACCGGTGGCCTGCGTCAGGAAGCGCAGGTGTTGCACGGTGACATCCCGCAAAAGCAGCGCGAGCAGACTCTGAGGGCTTTCCGAGAAGGTCGCGTCAACGTGCTCGTGGCTACAGACGTCGCTGCCCGTGGACTGGACATTCCTGAAGTGGATCTCGTCATTCAGTGCGAGCCGCCAAAGGACGTTGACTCGTTCATCCATCGATCCGGAAGAACCGGGCGTGCTGGTCGTGCTGGTGTGAGCATTCTCTTCTACAAGCCCGGCCAAGAAAGTTTAGCCAAGTTTGTGGAGCGCAAGGCCGGTATTCGATTCCAGCAGATCGGCGCACCACAGCCGCAAGATATTCTCGCCATGGCAGCGCGAGATGCTGCGCGCAGCTTGAGCGACGTGGCGCCCGAAGTCTGTGTGCACTTCCGTGATGCAGCCGAACAGCTGGTTGCTGAACGCGGTGCCGTGGACGTGATGGCCGCAGCTCTTGCCGTCTTGTCTGGCACAAAGGAGATCAAGTCCAGGTCACTGCTGACTGGCCAGGAGGGCTACACAACGTACGTCATGGCAAGCGCTAATGAGTTTGGCCACCAGTCCTACATGTGGAAGGCACTGGAGCGCAGTCTGCCCGAGGTCAAGCCGGAGGTGCGAGGCATGCGCATGGGCCAGGACAGCAAATGTGTCGTCTTTGACGTTCCGTGCAACTTGACCGCACATGTCTCAGAGACCTGGGAGGACACGCGTGCCACCACACTGACAGTTGCCACCGATCCTTTACCGCCACTGGTACCCGAGATAAATCGCTATGGCAGCAGTGGTGGCGGTAGCTTCCGAGGCAATAGTGGTGGTGGCTTCCGAAGTGGTGGCAGCTTCCGAGGCAATGGTGGTGGTTTCCGCGGTAATAATGGTTTCCGGAGCAACGGTGGCAGTTTCCGAGGAAATGGTCGTGGTGGTGGTGGTTCAGGCTCGTGGCAGAGGAGGTAGGAGTTCTGCGTCTCTTAGTACCACATGTTGCCTGACGGTGGTGTGGTGAATGAACGACTTCTTCTTTAGGATAGGTTCTGCATCTGTATTGACCTCCGGCAGAATGATAACCCAACCAATTCACCCTCCTGTTAGTGTTAACGCATAGTCTATAGCTGTTGTGTACATATGGATCACCTGTACAGTCATTATCTTTCACCCACGAAATGTGGTTTTGCATCTATCTAGCAGTCATATTTCATACCAACATACTAGCCTAGATCTGTACCGCATTATTGAATTGTACATAACAGTGCTCTTACGGATAGATTTGTTGTACAGCATCTTCACACTGCACGCTGAAGGTTGTCTGGAAGATAACAACAATTTGTACATAAAACGTCTTTCTCCTTTACTTTCCCCACAACACTGTGTAGTTTTGTAGATCCTTCTTTCTGTTTAGGTGTCTCTTCAATCAGCTCTATCTGGATGGGAGTTCCAGTACCCGAAGCCACGCCTGTAATAATTATTTATTCTCACATCAAGCCAGTCTGTATATACGCGGATGCTCTTGATCGTACCATGCATGAAACATTGACTTCCTTTCAAACACTACTGTGGTGTGCTTTTAGCGGGGGCGGAGTGGGCTAGCTGTTGAGCAAGTTACTTGTGTTCAGCAGGTGTGAAGTACCTGTACAGTGCTGCTCAATGAAATCGGATCAAGTGAGTCAAGTAACAGTTACTGCGCGCAGCCCTACAGCGTAGACCTGCAAACACTGGGGTGTGAACTGGAGAAAGCGGGCTCACTTGACCGTATTTCAGCGTTGCACTGCACTTGTGATCTTGATAGGCGACAAGCCTCTATCTGGGTCATCCTAATAAAGATATTATTATTATTAATTAAGGCCACACGTTTTTATTTCTATGTTTCTCGTCACCTGAAAATCTAAAAACGTATGCGAGAGGTGGAAAAAAAATGACCGAAAAATAAAAAAAGTTTATTAGACCTTTGTTCACACTAAAATCCACCAATACACCATGCAAAATACTACATGTAGCATCGAGAGTACATAACCCCCGGGGGTGTTATCAAGAGTACATAACCCCCTGGGGTTATGTACTCTTGATAGCATCAAGAGTACATGGTTATGTACTCTTGATAGCATCCATAGTTAGCAACTAGTAGTAGTTTGTGGTAGGAGCTTCTGTCACAATCTGTGCATGTGCAGCTAGATTGCGCACAAAAAATGCCGTTCTTGCATCATGTGTCGCGCAGGCCAGGCCACATTATGTACATGTGCTGGTCCCCACATGCAAGTTTTTTTCCTTTTTTTCTTCCAGACTCCTGAATCGTATGCGCGCGGGTGACGAGAAACATAGAAATAAAAAAAGTGTGGCCTAATATCATTCTGTTGGTTTCCAGGGATACGGTATACACAGAGTACGAATGGTATAATCCATTTTAAAATATCCCATGTACATGTACTGTGTCCCAAATAGAGCGTGAGCAACACTAAAATCTCCCTTTGTCGTGACCTGGGGAATATTATTGACCCCAGAGGGGTGTATCGCTCTATCTTCCCCGCTCAGAACGGCCGCTGATTAGCTGAAATCGCCCAAATCGTATCGTACCATGGGATAAACTAGTTTCACAGGCAAGTACTCGCAGTTGACGTCTACAATTGTAGGGCTGCACAGCACCCGGCCACGCTTGACTCACGCGATCAGTTTCCATTGAGCAGCGCTGTGCATGTACCAACTCACACAGCAAACCGCCTGCTTATCTGCAGATACGTACAGCTTCCTTACATACTGCAACAAATGCAAGCAGTAAAAAAAAGACACCATTGGGGGTGGGCGTGTGAGCCAGGGCAAGCCACAACAGAAAAGAAAGAGAACAGAGCTGAAACATTGGACGTGAAGAAAACTCAGCATGGCCGTCAAGAGACAGCCTGCACAACATACACCCACCATTCACCTAGTGACACTCAAGTGAACTAAAAACAAAGTAAAACAAAGAGCAGATTGAAACTCAGCTGGAGGGGGAAGGGAAGACCATAAGACCAGCCATTGCATTTCAGTACGCATGAAACGAGCCACAAAACATGCCAACGACATAAAAAACTTTTCTGTTGAAATCATGTGAAGAGTAAACATATGTATATGGAAAAAGGGCAGCTAGCCAACACAATCGGTGCTGGCATTATTCAGCCTACAGCCTTTGTACAAGCAGAAGCAAGCCGTTCGGATCAAAGCAGCGTCACGTCACACCAGTAACTGTCGCTACTCGGCCACGACGAAATTAGGATGAACAACTAGAACAGGATCCTCATCCTCCTCGCTACTCTCCTCTGGGCGTATGGAGAGAAGAACGTTGTCCTGTTCAAGATGACAAAAAAAGCACACACACACAACACACCAACTGTTATATACACACAACTGATTGGTACTAACTTACCACCTGGAGTGGTTCAGGAAAGGACCTTGCGCACGAGCACATTGCAGCAGCAACTTGCTGTTCGTTGCAACCTCTAAAATGCTATTGCTAGAAAATTCTCGAAGGAGAGACATTACGCCGCAGTATATCTCACTAAAAACTTTGACGTGAAAAAATTGATTTTTAGTGTGTCCACCCGTGCAGTGGGTAATATAACAGGTACAGAGACATTGTGTGCAACTCACTTCCAACCGTCCCATACAAACATACCATGCAATAGTCACTTTCAAGCCCTATGCTAGATAACATGCACACAGAGAGGAGTGTGAGAGTCTTTGTGCGTGTGTGCACGTGTGCATTGACATTTGGGTAGCTTACATGCTTGATGAGACGTTCGATAACACGTTCAACAAGGAACTTGCGCTTGGCAAGCTCCTGCTCAGAGTCCAGCTCTTCACCGACTACTTCGGACAAATACCAGCCTACAAGCGCAGATCTCTTCATTGTCTCACCTAGAGAGAGAGAGAGAGAGAGAGAGAGAGAGAGAGAGAGAGAGAGAGAGAGAGAGAGAGAGAGAGAGAGAGAGAGAGAGAGACAGCACAACAACATGGTGGAAAGAGAAGATAAGTGTCAATGATGAAGTACCAGAACCAAACGTATAGGTGTTCCTAATGATCATGATATTCTGACCAGCCGGATGAAGGTCGCGCAAAAAATGCATTAATTAGGCAGAAGAGTAAATCTCCTCTTACCACCATCAGACTTTGTCTCGAGCCGTCTCAGCTGCATCACCAGAACGTTGGCGATCGAGCGGTACTCCTCAAAGGACATGCGGACTTGCGACTGAGAGCTGCCGGTGGTGCTAGAAGCTGGCACCTGCGACGAGTCTTCAGGCGCTGCCGCCGCCGGCTCACCACCGTTAACATCTTCGGGTTGATCTTCTGGAGAGACGCACACACACACAAACCGGCCGAGAACGACCAGAAGCAGCTGAAATTAAATGATGTACACCGGCCGAGAACAGGAAAACTATCACTCCTCCAATGAACATAACTAAGTTAGGCATAGCCACAGTGTATACTCCACTCCTTTCCCCGTGGTTAACGCCTACAAACTGCGACTGCACATATGTCACGGGTATGCAGGCAGTAGAAATTTAGTATAGGCCTGCACAGCTGCTGGGCAGCAATACACGTTCATGTAGTGACAAGAGAAAACGGTGCTACCGTCCAGCAACGCGTTGTTTACAGCAAACTCAAAAACGTCGCGTGTGCTGCTGATGGCAAGCGAACAGATTGCTTTATGCCTCAAAGGTTTACTACCCACCACTCTGCAGCTGTTCCTCGACATCCTCATCGAAATGAATGTCCGGCGTCTCAACCCTTATGATGGATTTGTTCAGCAGACGGAACGCTTCTTTCACATGCTTCGGGAGCACCTAAAACAACAAACAAAGCAGGAGTAAAATTATCATCGCAGAGCACATACATGTACATTGACCAGAACACACGTACTGAAGTACAAGTATGCAAGGTCAACACGCGCAGCCAGCAATGACCAAGGTGCCAACGCAAGTCAAGACTACAATGCAAGAATGGGCAGCACTGATAGCGTACCTCATCAGAGCAGTACATCCTTGCCATGGCCTCGGACAGACGGATCAAACTCTCAAGCTGACGCACTGTTATCCTCCACGACGACTTCGTGCCTGCACTCACATCGAAGACAAAAAGGTCCGCAGACTATTCTGTTACAGCACCGCCCACACAGAACCAACTACATGCATGACGAGGGACTATGGCAGCAAACAAAGAGGAATATAAATCCAAGACAAAACGGCTACGGTCAACATGCTGTGGAGATAGAAGCACCTGCCAAAGTGTGTGCAGAAAAGCACTTACCACCGGAGTCACGTTGCCGCAGGCGACAGTACTCCTCAACCATGAAGTCCTGGCTTTCCTTGCTAATCTGGAGGGGGAGGGGCAGCCAAAGCAGAACATAGGATACCGATCAGCTCTCGCGCACAGCGACAGCGGCGGTGAAGTCTTGGCCACTTCAATCCCAGTCATGTTTGTCACCAGAGCAGTCTGCCTCGCCATAGCACAGCAAAACGTAGCACAGGCACATCACTGGAAGTCCCTCACAAGTCATAGCGGAGCGACCGTGATGCGAGTAACATTCTATGGGCATACACGTACATGTTTCGTGCCAAAGGTACAGAAGTGGACACGACAAAATTCGAGTGAATGCCGAGAAAACGAAAATGTCCAGAACTCGTATAATTATAGTTCCCGATACTGAAGCACCCATCAAGCGATTATGATATTTCAGAATTACCTTTGGTTTGAACTGACGAGCGAAGAGAATATAGCGTCTTATGTCATCCTGGACATCAGGAAGAGATTCAGAAGAACAGCGAGAGAAAATTTACTGGATAGGCAGGCCCAAGGCACTGAAAATGAAAGGAAGGATGCACACAGAACAAGTCCTAATATAATACTGGTAGGTTAACATACCAATGCATATATTCGCTCCACAGCCTGTGTTTCACGAGTATGCAGGTCGACAATACGCTGAGCTATGGCATAGTCTGTGACCTGTGCAAGCACACACACACACGCACATACAAACAGACACACATGCGTGCGCACACACATCCACATACACACAAACAGACAGACACCCAAACACCCACATGCACACACACGCAAACAGACAGGCGCGAGCCAGCAGACCAACTGTTAAAACTTAAAAGCCAGGAGGCATGAGTTGATTACAATACCAGGGCTAAAGTGATTATTACAACGGTCATGTGACCGTTTCGATAGCAGGTCCGCAGTGACGTTTTCATTCCTGTATAATCTGTAAATTTTAGTAGTACACTTGCTATCAAAAGCTCATGAAGGCGAGAGCGTGTAGCTTCCACATGGGGTCTGGCCAGCAAATTTCTTGGATTAGGGCAGCCTCGAGGCAGAAAAGTGACAATGGTGCTAGGGGTGAAACGAGTATCTATTTTGACCAACCGATCACTCATTCATAATATTCGATCGAGTGTCCGATTATTTCGAGTATTTTATCAAAATTCGAAAGCGCTAGATTTGTGAGTTCTCGACCAATTCGGAAGAAATTATCTGTGAACATAGAACAAAAGTCGCCAACGTCTTGTACAGAGTTTAGAGTAACGATTTTCACCAGTACTATCTCATAACAAACTAACGTTACTTGCCGTGGTGATCGCATCGTCGAAGTCATAAAATACTGACTCAAAGGCATGCAAAATGCATGCATACCAGTCAATGAGCGGTACAACAGAAGTTTTTGAAAAATAGAATGCCAATACTAAAAAAACAAAAAAACAAAACAAAAAAACGATCGAGTGCAAAATTTCGAATACTCGCTCGTTTGAAATTTTCGAACGAATACTCGAATATTCGAACTAATCGTTTCACCCCTAAATGGTGCAGATAAGGAAAGCCAGGACCCAGGAGCACATTGTGGAGTCTTGGGAATGGCAGGATGGATGCCTACAGAACGGTGAATGTCATTTTTGAACATGCACGGTGCACTTTCACTACAAACATTTTGAAAGACCACGATGGTCAACTAACTATTCTACAAGCGAGAACTATAGCCGTTTCAGCACTAGACAAAATGCATCCCTTTTTTCTGCTGGCATTCACCTCATTGCAGTCGTCAACCAGGATGAAGAAGAGATCGAATCGGGACATGATGGGAGCCGAAAGCGCAATGTTGTGTTTGAGGGATTTGGAGCGATCGTAGTGTCCACCCACAGGGTTTGCCGCAGCCAGGATGGATGTCCGGGCATTCAGGGTGGCCTGTGGCAAGAAGAAAAGAAGTTAAAGTACAGTGGACACGGTATTATAGAAACCTCACATTACAGCCATGTGCACACAGATAGCGACAGTAAAAAGCTAGCCACTAAACCATTCAAGGTGGCAGGCGAGATATGCACTAAACCAAAACAGAACGATGAGGCAGTTCCCCTGCTACCAGACACACACGCTACTGTCGGCGGAGAGAGCAAAACCGAGGATCGTACCTTAACACCGGCCTTGGTGATGGAAATGGTTTGCTGTTCCATAGCTTCGTGAATGGCAACCTGGTCCTTGAGGTCCATCTTGTCAAATTCATCAATGCAGCAAACACCCTGCAAGATAGCAAGAGGAAATCACACGAACGCATGGTGTGAATCTACGCAAGTTATAAACAAGTGTGTAAACACAAGCACATTTCTTCTTTCAAAGGCATAGTAAGAAGTGTGACAAGCACACGACCGAACCACAATCGACGTGCTTCAGGAGTACACGCAAGTAGGGACGTACATTATCCGCCAACATCAATGCACCAGCTTCGATGACAAACTCGTGAGACTCCTCGTCTTTGACCACGGCCGCAGTCAGACCGGCTGCAGTGGAGGCTTTACCGGACGTGTAGACTGCGCGCGGACTGAACTGCTCCACTTGCCTGGAAACGACACGGCAGGCACAGCACAAAAACCAGCAGTGTGGGTTACAACAGAACTCACGCAGTAGTCAGGAAAAAAGAATCTTACAGCGGAGATCAGAGAGAGCATCAGTGAAGACAGGATCACCTATCTCACAACAGGACAAGCCACACTAGCTAGTTGTGAAAGGAGACACAGAAGACACAGCAGGTACCAGCGCGGTAGAACACGCGGTGGCAGCTGCACAGGGTCCACGAGAACTAGAGCCACTGCTTACTTCAGAATTTGACTCTTTGCCGTACTGGGGTCACCCACGATGCAGACGTTGATATCTCCACGAAGTTTCGTGCCTTCCTGGGTGTTCTTGGGTATACCGCCGAACAGCATGAGCAGCACACCACGCTTGACCTCGTCATTACCTAGAGTTTGGATATACAACACACCAACGTACGCACACACACACACACACACACACACGTACCGTATTACACACGATGCCTGTTTTATACGAGTGCAAGCTCCTGCGAGTTCTTACCGTGAATGGACGGGAACAGGCTGTTGACAAGGTTCTGATAGAGATTGCGATCTCTGCTCATGCTGTACAGTTTTCTCCATTCAGCGTCGGTCATGTGGCGGCGAATTGCTTCCGCCGATAGCTCCTCCCCAAGCATTTCTTTGCCACCAAACTGATGCAGAGAGAAGTACAGAAAAAATAACAACTGTCAGTAGCTGTGGCGGCTCTAGCGGTGCCAGACCCTCAGCAGTCAACACTACTCACACGTTTGGTAGCAGCTATGCCCGGGAAAACAAACACAGCTCATACAGCGCTGTGCGTGATGCAAAACAAATCGGCCACAAATTCTTCAGCACCGTTCAATGAGACCCGTGACTTGCCGCGTGTTTTACAGCGGCTCAGAACCAAGCAAAACAGGGGGAGCACTTGACAAAGCCACTGCACTGGACATACCTGCGGCTTGGTCTGGGTCACAGAGCACGCCATGAACACCATGCGATAAGTCAGATCACGCACGCCAAGCGATTTGAGTCCGCTGTAAAACCCAGGAAAAGACAACACAGCAGATGCACACGCACACATCATGGTCTGAGGTCAATGATCACCCCAAAACCAAGCTCAGGCTAAGGACCTGATGTCAAGTTCAATCAAAATGATGCTGCCGAGGACTAGGACCATGCACTACCCTGTCTACAGGCTACTTAGTGGTTACAGGACTGCACTTGCGGAATAAAATTCAGTTTGTTACTACCAAGAAGAAACATACAGTAAATCATGAATATGTAACGAACAAGTAAATCTAACGAGTTAACGAGCAAAGATTTGTCGTTATTTTAAAATTCGTTAGCAAAAGTCGTATGATTTGGGCCTCGCACGATTGAAATCGATCATTTCACATTATGGCATGCAGCGCGTGTTCAACGGATCGTAACTCAGTCAATTCTCAACGGAATTCAACAATCGAAAGATCTAGATGATAGCAGAGACGCTCAGCAGTCGGCTCGAATAACTCCGAAGTCTCTCAGATGAATTTTGACGAAGCGACAGGAGATCGAAAAATTTGAATTTTTTACGCTCTTACGCTGGATAAATTTCATTTTCTTTATTCTCCTGACATCGAGGTATACTGTGTGATGGACAACAATGAATGTCCTCGACGAGCATTCCTAGTATTATTGCATCTGTCTGAGAAAAACGTTAACTTTTCAAACCGTTAACCTTCGAAAATCAGAAAATCGTTAACTTTGCGGGTCGTTAAAATAATATGATTTACAGTAGTTCGGAGCCAATCTATCATGCAAAGCTCCAAACAGCTTTCAAGCCATTCTAGGGAGTTATGCATACACATGTACACACATCACCAGGCTAGGCAGGAAGACAGGAGATATTTCACTCACGTAACTCCCTCCATCGGGCCAGTGGCATTGCGGCCCTTTCCCGCGGTCTGAGCAGCGGCTCCTGAGAGCAGACGTAAAACAAGCACACAAACCAACATCAGCACACACCAGCCATGACTGAGTCTCAGTGTGGGCTGCGGTCAGCTAAAATATGTCTTTGGGTTTCGTAACTTTTTGGAGACATGACGGACTGAAGAATTGTTTCTGTCGAGCGCATTAATGTTGTGCTTCATTCATCACCCGGTGGAGATAGCATCTTGTCGAACTTCGTTCTCACACTTGTTTGGCGGTCTAGTTCAAGTAGTTGGCGAGCAAAGTGACACATTTTCTGGAATACAATAAAATTGGAAAAATTCACTCTAAGACATGTTTCAGCCGGCTATGGCCCAATTATATCTCAATCAACAACACCACCACAGCATGGCAAAGGCAAGTCATTTTGCTGATGGCAGGCATTTATGACCTGACAGGCAAAGCGGCAACCTATTACGAAGGCAGTCAAGAGCACCACCGTCTTTCTCGACCCCATGCCAAGACGTCAGACAAAAAATTTGACACACACACATACGCATGGCTACAATTCACAGATCAACAGACCTGGAAGATTGATCTGCGTGACATCGGGAACGACAATCAGCGTCCCGGTGAAATCGCACTTGTCACCGGCTTGTGCTGATTCTACTGCCTCAGCATGTAAGATAATCTCCAAGCTGAGCAGAAATGAGAAAAAAAAGAAGAGCAAGAAGTTAGTCATGTTGTCCGGGAGATCAGGCACCCAACACTAGTGTGGGCAGATAACGAGACTCATAGACAGTCTGTACTACATGTAGTGTGGGCAGATACCGAGACTCATAGACAGTCTGTGGAGACAGCACACAATCATCACTGGTGTTGAGTATTGCCGTAGCAATTGACACTAATGCTAACGTCACAGCCACTTACCTTCTCGGCACACTGCCGCGGGGCAGTTCCGCCTGGGTCTCCTGGATGCGCACCTTCTGGAAGTCGACAAAGCTGGAAGAGCTGACGTCCAGCATGAAGCGCACGCGGTTCTGGCACACCGGGTTGGTGCAAATGGTCGGCTGCGTGAACTTAAACTGCTGCTCGACATCCTTGATGACCGTCTGGCATTCCAGGCAGATGAAACTGCCATTGACGAGCTCAGGGTGCACGGGATGCGTTCGCACCACTTGCCCGCTGATCCGCAGCAAGCTGCCAATTTTAGCCGTCGTTAGGTCCCGTATCCTGCAGGAGGCGAAGAAGATAAATTGCACGGCGATAGTATATTCTGGTCCAAGTTGGGTTTTCAAACTTTTTACCCACATGGTATATTACTACTTAGTTGCTGCAAACGTCACACTGGAGAGTGCACACTGGAGAGTGCACACTGGAGGAGATGCACTTCGGACATACTAGTCCAGGGATGAATTTATCCGGTATCGCATCGCAGTTTGCTACGCAAAATCGATCTACTGCTACTCAAAAATGACAGTGACACGCAGAAAACTGCGATATATACATCGTACATATACAGGCTATCCATGCTTTTTGTAGCTTATGCCACAATTGAGAATTTGCACAGTAAAAACTGCTATGCAAACTCACGACAGTAAATTCATCCCTGTAGTCCTTCATACCAGCATACCAGTGTTAACTTCACAGGCAGGTAACAAGTTGCAACACACATCCACTCACTTGTTCCTTGCAGCGACGTCCTCAAAGCTAACGAAAAACTCCTTGTGCGGCGGAATTTGCCCACGGTCACGTGCAAAGTTTCGCACAGCGCGGCATAGGTATGGATAGACTCTGAGAGATAATAAAAGAGATAACAACGAGAAGTCACAGAGAATTACACGTAACTATGGAACAAGAAGCGAGAATGGCCAACAATAATGATTCGCAAAACTATCAGTTGAGCATAGAACTAACTACCAGCCGTACATGTAACGTCAACGGAATATTCAAGACTTTTCTCTGTGCGGCGCTGATGAGTCCACAAAGGATGAAACAGTTCTGTCCGCAGATGGAGTATTTCGCTTCTGCTCTTGTAGTAGTTGAGCACTCTCGTGTGGGGTAGTGCCTTTGCTGTCTGCGTTACGCAGAGCTCACTGACTTGTCAGTTTGATCACTTTGGCAAGGTACGTTCGGACCCGGTTTAAATTTGGCTTTTGAAAATTTATTTTTCATTGCTATCAGGTTCGGCCTCATTTTCTCTGTGCTGTGCTGGTGAGTCCACAAAGGACAAAACAGTTCTGTCCCACAGATTGAGAATATTTAGGACATGTGTGTAATACTACTCCATGTGTGTGTGCATGTGTGTGTGTGCATGTGTGCGTGTGTGTGCATGTGCGTGTGTGAATGTAAAAAATAGGGATTCACTGGCCAGAAAAAGCCGCTTCAATCAACTGTGTGGTGTAAAAAAAGTAAAGTTGGCCGGATTTGCGGCCGAAATCACCTGACGTGTTTAGGAACACATCACGCAAATACATTCACATCGGCGGGCCACCACTTCGCCCACAATATTATATCCTCAATTTCGAATAGAGACCTCACAAGTGAGTCAGGGGAGAGGGGATAAGTCTCTCAACAAGCTGTGGTGTAGATCAGGCTAAAATTAGCGGCGGTCAATTCATCAGCCTTGCAAGCTGTTGAATGGTGTAATCCCAGCACAAGTTGCTATGTCTAACATAGCTGTTCGCTATCATCGCTATCGCGATGGGCTGGTCTGAGGTCTGAGGTGTGTGTGTGTGTGGGTGTGGGTGTGTGTGTGTATGTGTGTGTGTGTGTATGTGGTGTGTAGAGACATGTCTAGTCACAAATGTTGCTATAGCATCGCGGCCAGGCACAGGCAAGGTGTGTATCCACACCACACACACACACACACTCAGACACACACATATACACACACAGACACACACATATACACACACACCACACACGCACGCACACATACACACACGCACACACACACGCACATACACGTGCGCGCATTTACCTGTAGTACTCATCAGCAATGGTAGCAGCCAGTTGACTATTGTGAGTTTCCACGTCACTGAAGCTGACAGTAAGCGTATTGCGTTCAGGGCGAATCAAATCTTGCACATCTTCAATGTACTGACGATTTCCATCCACTTCAAATCTACATGAACACAATTACCAAGTGGTCAGAACAGACAATTAGAAATCCATTATTCCTCCGGCTGAATATCTCGAGACAAAATGAAATGTCTCTCCATTGAACTAACTCTTCTAAAAAGTCCTGGAACAGCTTCTGCACGCGTTCTGCAAGAGCGTCAGGTACACGGGCACCTCCCGTTCGGGTTTCTGTCACGTCCATGGCGGCAAGACCGAACTGCGGTCAGTTCAACTCGAGAAGACCATGAACAACAATCCGAAACTAGTCCAAACAGTTCAAACGGAGCGGGAGTTCTTCGTCCTCCACCGACCACTTGATCGAAGCAAACACCACGTGAAGGCCGACTGTTTCCCGCGAAAACATCAGGACTTTGCACAAGCACGTGCACCGGTGACCATAGTGATACGAACAAGCTTTTTTTAGATCAAAGACGCGACGACGACGTATACCCGCGGCCTGGCCTGGCCCACACAAAACAACTCCATGATCCAATCAACCACCGATCCATGTGTGACGATGATGCTCGTGCGAGGACAAAAAAAGTCGAATTCAAAAGAACTTACTTTTCAAAGAAGTATTTTGTAGTTTGTTTTCACCCAAGATCGAAGGCGCATTGAAGGCAGGCTCAAGGATGTTCTGAGGAGCTTCACTTCTTGGGGTGACAGGGCGTTGTCCTAGACTTACTTGTCTTTATCTCGTGTTCTTGGCAGCGTACGCTGTACTGCTTAGTAAGATGACTATCACCGGTAAGGAGCATTGGTCTTGCCCAAACTGCCCTTATTGTTTTGGGCACCAATTTTCTACCTGAATTAACTCTCTCTCTCTCTCTCCCCCCCCCCCTGCCCCCCCCTCTCTCTCTCTCTCTCTCTCTCTCTCTCTCTCTCTCTCTCTCTCTCTCTCTCTCTCTCTCTCTCTCTCTCTCTCTTTCCACCTTACTTCTATGTCACTCAGTATCAACCCCAGAAGTTAACTTCCATCAGACAAAGCAAGATGTTCATTTAAATTTCTCTCCGTCATCGTCTTCACCGGCCTGTACACCGAGCTTGGTCACGTTCTCAGATACGCAGTGCTGCGTGGATTCGCGAGGTCAGTGCACAATGCATATACAGTCGACTCCTGATATAACGAACACCATTGTGCAGGAGAATTAGTTCTTCATAGCTGAAGCTCGTTATAACAGAAATGCACGCACACCATGCAAACATTACAACACGTCATGACTGGCATGTGGCCCATGGATGTATGAGTAGGGATGTCCAATTGTCCACAAAACGTTTTCGATTTTTTTGCATCTTGGGTAATTTTCACACTTTTTTGCAATTTGGGCAATTTTCACACTTTTTTCCATTTTGGGCCAATTTTAAGAAAAAAGCTTGCATTCCTACAGTGCACACTTTGCACGTGGAGTGCATGCCAGCAAGAGTACATGAAAACCAGAGTGTGCAGCTTGGGGCCTTTTCTGCTATGGGTGTCTGTCACGGCGAAATTCCGTGATTACATCATATTTGGCCCAGATCTGAGGCGGGAAATGGCGTAGTGCGTACAACTGAGCTGCAGTTGTGCAGAAAGAGACCTGCTTGAATCCTGCTTGTACGCACTACATCACTAAAATGATGTAATCACGGAATTCCGCCGTGACAGCCACCCATCCGAGCTGCACACTCTGGTTTTCATGTACTCTTGATGCCAGGCGTCCCACAAGAGCATTGCACACCACTTCGTGAGAGGAACATGACAACTATATACTGAAGAGAGTAACCATTTAGAACATATGATGAGACAATGCCATAGCCTTTGTGAGAAGGATGCAATTGGACTAGCTGACCAGATGAGCTCAGTAAGACGGTTTTGCACTTGACTGTGTGATTGCGCAAAGAAGAGGAAGAATCAAAGACGCTACAACTAACACCAGAAACCGTTGATGATTCAAGGAACAGACACAGGCAATTGGCCATGCACTGTCACAATGCTCAGTGGTTGTACTGCATCATGATGGAGGCCTCCACATAGTCCTCCAGCGCACACTCTTGGCTTTGGCCGAAGGAGTTCTGCAGTAGGCTGAATACCCGTTCTGCCGCTGCGGAGGAAGGCTGGAGAAGCAGAACCTTCTTGCAAGTAGCAGACCATGCCGGAAGCGCATCGCCATGTCGCTTCCACCATGCAAGAGGATCGAGGTTCTGTGCAAGGTCTTCAGTTGCAGCAATGTAGTGAGGGAGTTCTTCTTGCAGATCTCCAATGGCAGCAGCTGATACCGAGGGGAATAGGGCCAGATCGTCCACTTTGGCAACGGTGATGTCGAGGGTTTCCACTTGCCGAGGGTCGCATAACCTGGCAGCACGGAATGCCATTAGTAGCTGATGTAGGGGACCACCCTCTCCAAACTTGCCATTGAAGTATCGTACGGCTGCTGGTGGGTACTGGAGTGCATACTCCATCCACTCCTGCTGATGAGCGGCGTTCCTGCCAGCTAGTCGTGTTGCGACAGCCGTAGTGGAAGGCAGGTGCAGTGGCTCAGCATTCATGAAGTTACGGACACTAGAAATCACTTCATAGGTTGTGAATGCCAACGGACCATCTCCTTCCAGCTTGTGGGTGGCCTGGACCACAGGAAGGCAGAACTCCACTACTATGGCTAACTGCATTTGCAGTTCAGCACACACTCTCAAGTCTTCGATCATGGTCTTCAGTCGGTGTCTCACTGCCCCCATCTGTGGAGTATCCTGCTGCAAGAACTCCTTCACATCCCTGAAGAGAGAATGGATTTGGTCGATCACCTCACACCTTGACCACCACCTTGTCTTGCTGAAGGACTTGATAGCAACTCCGGTGCAGGTCCTCCACTCCAGTCTGGCCTTTGGGCTGGGCGAGAACAGCTGTACCCACGCGCTCATAAACGAGTCGAGCTGCTCCGTTTCCATTTTCTCACCGACATGGTCCAGTGTGTGCGAGAAGCACTGCCCATCCATCATCAAATGGTAGAGGGGTTGAATCATGCGGAGTGCTGCTGTGTTTACGGCTACTCTGTCGCGCATGGCTGCCAATAGGTGACGGGGTTGGATTTGATAACGCGTGGCCAGCGTGTATAACAGGGTATGTGCGACTTCCTCAGCCTTGGGACTTTTCGCTGCCAACATCAGGCGTATGACATATTGCTTGGCATGGAAGTCATCTCCGCTAACGCGCACAACAATCGCGAACGCTTCTGCCACGTGTGTGGTGCCGTCAAATATGATAGAGACATCCTTCCCTTCAAGGGCTGTCTTCACAAACTTCTGCTCACTCTCAAGTACGGCAGGGATGAGCTCGGACAAATGCTGCCGATCGGTGAGCCTTTCCCCACCTTCCTCGAGCAAAGGACGAAGTTGGTCGATCTTGCTGATCGGAATGCCACTCGCAAGCAAGGTTCTGAGGCACTTGATCCGGAACACAATTACTTCATCCGGAAGTGTCGTCCCTTTTGCTTTGTTCGTAGCTATGAACTTACTCCCGTCCAAGAGCAATTGCTTCGCCTCAGAAGCTCTCTCCGCCCGTCCAGACTTGCTATCCAAGTGCTTCTTTGAAGCAATATGCACTTTCAGCACACTTTTCTCGTTAGATACCTCATGCCGGCAAACATCACAGTACAGTTTCCCTGAGCGGACAACGAGGAATTCGCCGGGAAATTGCTTGCACCTTCTCACAGCGCTGATGTTCTTCGGTAATCTCCTGGATGATGGAGGCTTGTACCTGCCCTTCTTGTTAACACTGATAGCTCTCTTCCTGCTCAGCTGCGATGGTTGGGGCGGGCGTAATTTATCCAGCAAACTTGCAGCAGGAGTCTCACTCGCGGCTTGCCCGGAAGACTCTACGATGGAGATGGTGTTGGATTCTTCCTCGCTCTTCTCATTGGAGTCGGTGTGGACCTCCGTCAACACACTTGGCCCGCTGCACGCCATTTCCACCGATGTTTCTGTAACAGCTGTAGCTATTCTGGCAATACGGCTCGGTGACTCGTAGATCTGGCCAGATCTGGTACATGAAGCGCCATTTTGGTTGCCATGGCAACAGTCACATTTTTCGCGCAATTTGGGTGATTTTTTACAATTTTTAAATTTTTTAGAGAACTTTCGAAAAATATCCCGAAAACATTTTGGGTTTTTTCTGCACATTTTACATTTCCATTTTAGGTGAAAAAAATAACATATTGTGGACATCCCTATGTATGAGTGCACTTGGTTATCATGCAGCCCTACAAGAATACAAGAAATGGTTCGTTGCAAAGGGATAATTTGTATGGGTTCAAACAGGGACATCGACAATGGTTTGCTATATCGCGGAATTTGCTATGCGTTAGAAGTGGAGTCGACTGTATCACGCTTGCAAGACTATTATTCTGATTGCGAATGTGCTGCATTTAGTATATGTCCAGTCTTATATTTGTACATGTACTGTATTCAGGACGGGCGGAACTAGTTTTTTTTTGATAGGTCTGACCGGCGCCTAGCTTGTCACATTCACGCTGTGCACATGCACAGCAAGCTATAGCGGCCGCAGATAGCCTTCCTTGCCATTGAAACACATGGATGGTCAGTGGATTGGGCTGGCAATGGCCTGACCAAGAGGACCGACTTTGGTGGGCCTAGCGCTTTCCCGAATTTGTCTGCCATTGTATAACTTACAAGCCACACCATACTTGCACTCACATGTTCCGCTCTCATATTTTTCAACGTTTTCATTTGAATAGTACCGTAAAAAGTGAGCGTGAAAGTCACACTCGATTGCTAGTTATTACGGTATTATGCTGGAAATACTCGACAGAACTTTGCGGCTGGGAGTTGAATTAAGTGTTGATCTGGACGTTTCGATCAAGTTCTACAAGCTGCATGATTTGCACCGAATTGCAAGCGTGCTGGAAAGACTGTAGTGAACTTCCGTCATGTTGTCTTGGTGTGCCTGAGCTTAGTTTTGCAATAAAGGCATCCGTGCCTAACTCAGCCAGCGGACAATTTTCCATCCATACTATTTATCAGTTCAGCCATCAATTAAGAATCGAGCATTTTCTCTCTCTCTCTCTCTCTCTCTCTCTCTCTCTCTCTCTCTCTCTCTCTCTCTCTCTCTCTCTCTCTCTCTCTCTCTCTCTCTCTCTCTCTCTCTCTCTCTCTCTCTCTCTCTCTCTCTCTCTCTCTCTCTCTCTCTCTCTCTCTCTCTCTCTCTTGGGCGCGCGCACAACAGGTTTGCCAACACTAGCACTTACTTAGACCGGCAAAACTCTCCTGGAAAAAGTTCTTGCACGCAATCCCCTTGTCCGTTGCAAACTTCACCTTGACCAGGGACACAGTCCCGTTCTCAAGCCCCGGGTGGGCACCCACCTCACTGGAAGCACTGTCTATGTCTTTCAGCATGATATATTTCTTTGCGACTAAAGCAAAAGAGAGAAAAATTATTTTTGTTCCACGAAATGCCCACTATTATTTTTTGTTTTTGTGTGTACGTATGGGGGTGCGTGCGTGCATGGTTTGGTGTATTGTGTTTGCATGTTGGTGCTCGTTCATGCCTCTGTGCATGTTTGTGTGTATGTGTGTGTGTGTGTTTGTTTGTTTGTGCACCCGCATGTGTGTAAGTTATGTATGTGCATGTGTGTGTCTGTGCATTCCATGTATTTGATGATATGTGCACACGTATATGTCGTCTTGCTTTGCAGGTGGAGCTTCATACACAATACTTTTGAAGCATGAGATTGATGCTAAGAGATGCAATTACACCTTGTCAGACAACAGTGCTCAAATGGTGCTGCGGAAGAAAACATCTGAAGAGTGGCTGCTATCCGATTGGGGAAATGTGGTGAGTATGCTGGTTGTAGCTTAATCCTATGCCCCACCCCAATGCGCATGTGTGCGCACCTGCAGGTGCGTGGGTGTGTTTTGGTTTGTCATTGGGAGTGTCGGTGTGTGTGTGTGTGTGTGTGTGTGTGTGTGTGTGTGTGTGTGTGTGTGTGTGTGGGTGGGTGCGTGCGTGCGTGCGTGTGTGTGAATATGAATGTGAGTGAATGTGAGTGTGAGTGAGTGTGAGTGTGAGTGAGTGTGAGTGAGTGAGGCTGTGCATGTGTATGAGTATGTGCATGTGTATGAGTATGTGAGCATTTGTCTGTGTGCCTAAGTGTTGTTGCCATCTGGCTCGACTACTTGAAGCTATGTGCATACTGTTCACACCGTTGTGCATTCCAGCATTCATGTTGGTATGCTTTACACCTATCGTGTTATGTGTTTTGTTTGTGCTGGGTTCTACCACTTGTATTGCCACCTATATGATCTATGGTTCTAGCAAAAAAATATTCACTTCAGTTGAGGTCTTTACAGTTGTATTGTTGAACCCATCATTTTTGTTGGTTTCAAGCCCTATATACTTTCTGTTTGAAATTTACGTGCCCATGCACCGCTTTATTACCTCCTGCTACGTGTAGATCTACCCTTGTGCAAATCAGCGAAGGCTAGTTAGGTCTATGTTGAGTGCAGTCTTATTTAGCAACACGCACTGGTATCAAGCATCAGTACCTTCATTGGAGACATGATAAATGTAGTTGGGTCGTGAGGATGTATTTCCTGGGGTCGTCAGTACTATTTCTACACCCAGTCCTTACCCACTTGCTGTGGGGTGGTGAGCCCGTAAGTGGGACCATATTTTCAAGCGCACCCTTTGATTGGTGATTTGGAGGTTGCCGATCGTTGGACACAATAGGTGATTTAGTCACTTTTCCAAGATTTCTTCTGAATCCCTCTGCCCGGAGGAGACCCACTCAACCAGCTTCTGGCAGGGATCAAGTACAAGTGTGTGTGTGTGTGTATGTGTTCATGTGCGTATTTTGCATGTGGATACACATTTGTATACGTGTATGTGTGTGCGTGTGCATGTTTGCGTGTGTGTGTGTGTGTGTGTGTGCGTGTGCGTGCGCACGTTTTCATACATTGTTCTGTGTCAGGTGATGCGTGCCCCGTGCTCTGCTGGTGCAAAGGATGCTATTGGCAGTAGCAGTGCTGACACATCCAGCGTGAGCACTGCAGCATCCTCTTCCAAAACTGCGACGGTTGATAGCCACTCTGCAGGAGCAGCAGTACACATGTGTGCAGGCAATGTCACACCGCCGGACAGTGATAGAAGCAGTGATGATGACTATGCTTCACCGCTGACAGGTGCTGCAGCTACTGGTGCTGCTGCTGTCGCCCGTACCTATGCCAAGGGCAGTGACGGATCCTCCGGTTAGTCCAGTAACAGTTTTCTAACAAATAATATTACCAAGTGTCCATAAACAAGAGTATGCAACTGTGATCTCTTTTCTATGGGCCAGATGCGCGGCGCGCTGCCTTCATTACATCATTCAGCTGCAGTCCGCGCACAGCGGAAAATCAAACACCGCACTTTCCCTCTGGTTTGAAATGAACTTTCGTACGGAACTGGAGTTCACGCGCCAGAATTTAGAGATCGCGTAGGTACTGGAACGAATCGAGCAAAAACGGATGGGCTCGTACGAAAAATTGTGAGTTTGAATGCATGCTTTCAGAGCGTGATAAAGGCAAGTTACGTAATGAAGGCAGCGCGCCGCGCACTGACCCATAACCACAATTGCATACTCTTGTTTATGCACTCTTGATGTTACTGTAAAGTCAACAAATATTCGTCGCATATTTATTTTCGGCTATTTTTGGCCTGGTCATGTTCGGCCGAAATTTTGCTTTGCCGGGTTCAGTGTGACAGTGTATACAGGCGGCAGCAGTACAGACCGAAAATTTGATGCGGCCGAAATGGGCTTTAGCCCTGATAGGCCGGAATTTGAATGGGCCGAAATGGGCTTTAGCCCTGATAGGCCGGAATTTGAATGGGCCGAAATGGGCTTTAGCCCTGATAGGCCGGAATTTGAATGGGCCGAAATGGGCTTTAGCCCTGATAGGCCGGAATTTGAATGGGCCGAAATGGGCTTTAGCCCTGGTAGGCCGAAATTTGAATGGGCCGAAATGGGTCTTAGCCCTGATAGGCCGGAATTTGAATGGGCCGAAATGGGTTTTAACCCTGATAGGCCGGAATTTGAATGGGCCGAAATGGGTTTTAACCCTGATAGGCCGGAATTTGAATGGGCCGAAATGGGTTTTAACCCTGATAGGCCGGAATTTGAATGGGCCGGTAATTTGTAGACTTACAGTAGATCCTTAGTGTTCATCTAATCTGTGGGACCAGGCCGAACTTGGCAGGCGCTGACAAACCTTTTTTCTCTCCAAAGGCAGCTCACAACAAGTGCCACACATGTTGATGGCACTTAGGTCTCCCCCCTCCCAGGATCCCGCCACTTTCAAACACCCAAACATGCTCAATACCAGATGTTGTTCTGGGGGGGGGTCTTGATTTAGATAATGTCACACGTTATGTGATGGAGCGCTGAAATCTAGCTGATCACCACCCATTAGATGAAGAACTCAATGTTGAATAAGCACACGAATAGAATACCCATCCCTGCATATCTTTCGGCTGCACTTCAACAACGTGCCGCTCTGCCAGCTTTATTTGGTTGCTCATCGGTGGCTGTTGGACTCAATCCAACTGTGTGGTTGAGCTGTTTCCACTTGGCTGCTAGCTCCAGAACCTTGTCAGCTGTATGCTTACGGCACTCGGAGACTGGGGGAGAGAGAGATAACGGGCCTTCCCCAAGAAGACCTGCCTGGCTGTTCTAATTCTGCACTGTTTGGAGCATGCCCCCATCTCAAGTGTACCTTGCTGTGTGTGTCGATAATTCTCTCTTCTTTCCTTTCTTTTTGTTTGCTCTTCTTTATCTTTGTTCTAGGCTCAGAAGGATCTGATGGGAGGTGTGCGAGTAGCATGCGGTACCAGTAAGAGCCCTGAGCAATGAATGGTGATTGTAGTTGTTCATCTAACTCTATAGGGAGGTTTAGGTCCCATGTAACGGAAACGCGTACGTGGGTGACGATGAAGGGCACCCACGTTGCATGAAGTGAAAGGCCCAAACCTGGTCAAAGACGAAGCTACCCGGGCCTAAGAAGCTCATCCAATATTTTGATTTCGTGCTTCGGAAACTTCTTCAGCTGAGCACCCTCACAGCTCGCACAGTGCGCTCCATTCTGATTTTCACCCACGTTCTGGCGGAACGTGGTACGAGCCTCCATACACGGTATGTGGTGAATCAGAAAACGTCTGTACGTGGGGTCACTGAGTATCACGTGGTACACACACGTAAAGTACCCACGGATCACGTGGGACTAAACCTACCTATTACCCCTATTACCGCTATTGTAGCACTAATCTCTGCTTTGTATTGCTCGCTTTGGATATTGTGCATTGGGGTAGCTCCGAGCGAAGCTAAATTGCTCAATACCCCACGGGCAGAGGTTTGACACATCGATTGCACAACTGTGGACGGGAATAATTTCTCACGAACTGTGCTTGTCTTCGGTTGTGCTGATTTATGCGGGGCACGTATTGCAGTGTACAGTGCTGCTCAATGAAATCGGATTGTGTTAGTCCGGTACGCGCCGGGCGCTGTGCAACCCATAACCTGCAAACCCTGGGATGTGTACTGGCGTGGGGCGCAACGCTGACTCGCTCAATCGGATTTCATTGATGAGCACTGTACTTACATGTATGCAATGCTATGCACACAGGCTGGCACAAGCTGTGTGTAGCTAGAAACTAGTTGGCGCCTTGCATGCGTGTTGTGGGCCTGTTTTCGTGACTGTTATTTTATGGCTGTGTGTGTATGTGTGTGTGTGTTTGTGTTTGTGTGTGTTTTATGTATATGCGTACGTGTGTGTATCGGTGCGTATGTGCGTGCTATTGCATGTGCCCTTCCCTCTCTCTGTCCGTTGACTCAGTCCAATCGGACCCATCTGCCTTCGACAGTATGCTGTGAAGCCTGGCAGAACTGGACTGCGCAACAATGGCAACACGTGTTATTTGAACTCGATACTGCAATGCCTGTCACACACCAGAGAACTACGGCATTATTTCATAGGTATGATCAGTACCACTAGGGCCACTCTAAGACCAAGCCGAAGATATTCAGTGAAGATCATCCGTGTCCGCCCCATGTTTGAAGGCCTCCAGAGCAGTTAAAAACATGAAAGTGAAATCTGCCTGCTCGCCTTAAATTTATGGAGGAAAAAAATTCTGATTCAATTTTGGCTTGGCCTGGATTGTGCAAATGTCTAGTTGTGGCTGCAGTACAATCTTCTAGCTTATGTTCTAGGTTTCAAGTCCCGAGTGCAGATATTCCAGATATGAACATGTGTGTGTGTGTGTGTGTGTGCATGTGTGCGTTCGTGTGTGTGTGTGTGTGTGTGTGTGTGTGTGTTTGTGTGCATGTATGCGTATGTGTGCGTACATGCGTGTGTGTGTCGAATGTGCGTTGATGACAAATGTGCTGTTAGAAGTAGGTCACATGAGTGAGTTATCGTTCAGTTTTGTGTGGCCATCGTAACGTGAGACTATTATACACTGCTTCTGACGGCTTTTCAGGGTGTGTTATGAACATGCTCGTATCACATGTACTGTGTGTTGGCACACTGTTGAGTGTGTTGTGTGTCGCTGTGCCTGTGATCCTGTTGAAGCTAACGAGTTCACGAAGGACGTCAGCGTTGGCAACCCTCTCGGATACAATGGCCATCTAGCCAGCGCCTATGCCAAGCTGTTGGCGCAGCTGTGGTCCGGAGAGGACCAGAGCGTAACCCCGTTTCTGCTACAGGTATGCACTCTGTGCTTGTGTACTGTGAAGTCTGCCATCCCATTGCGTGCTGTACTCGTGTTATGCGGTTACAGTTTTTCTTCCTTTCTGTCTATTAAAGACATGTTGTTAGAGAAAACAAACCGTTCCAATGATGACGTGTGTATAAGTATAATTATGCATGTACTAGCACATAATGACTGCGCATACCGGTATTGTACTTTTCATTGCGTTTCTTTCTATACCCAATCAAAGCGTTCCTCTGGCGTAGTTCACAATCTCTTGGCTAGAGTACTGTGTTCTTTTTATCCTGTGTGTTATGTGCTCAACTAGAAAATACTGGCAAAGAGATGCAGTCAGTTCAATTCTTTGATGCAGCAGGATGCACAGGAGTTCTTATCGGCTCTGCTGGATGGGCTACACGAGGTATGATTGTGTTCTTGGTGCTATTTGATTTTCTGTTCACCTGCTAGCATGTGTAGGCCTTCCTGTCTGCCTTTGTTTCCTTCTTTTCTCTTGCAAGTTTCAGGAAACAGTTTTAAAAAGGGTTCTTTTGCTCACACTGCATGAACACAATTGCACAGCTTCTGTTCCGGTTGGGGCTGTAGCAGCCACATTGCATGAGAAAAATCCGATAAATCACAACACATGGCATGCCATTCTTCTCGCACTTATCCAGGATGGTTTTTTAGCACGCGAGAGAGCAGCTCTTATGGGCAAGTTGATTTTTGAGTTTCCATCGTCGGTCGCCTCGTATGTGGAGGTGCACACTCTGTGTGTGTGGGGGGTCATGTACTCTTCGTAGGTTTATCCCTGTAGTCATGGTCGTGGGAGTACTTATATCCGGGTAGGCTTTGCTAAGGAACACACGTGTAGGTTGCTGAGGAACAAAGATGCCCAGAGGTGGTTGCATATACAGACTCGCACAAGGGAATGCTATGGTATTAGGTTCAGATGGTCCCAACGGACCGGGGCTCTACCAACTGTGGATGGTTGTAGTAAGGTCACTGTTTCCGAACACAGTGTCCTCCACCTTGTTTCATGCTGTCAAACAACAACAAGGAAATACTAGCAACTGAATCATTTTAACGTTATATGCTAAATTTCTCAGCAGCAAAGGCTCTGCTCGTGACTACAAAGTACGCTAATGCCATGTGCTACAAGCATGTGTTCCAGGTATCCAGCAAACGCATGGTGAAATAGATGAAATTGAATCTCCAACTAATGTTTCTGCTTATAAAATGGGCAGTGGTGAATGTGCTATGCTTTTTCTTTACCTTTGGACTATCTTGTACGTACGTGTAAGCACGCTGTCTTGTTTGACTAGGTTGTATCATTGGTCTTGTGTCCCCTGTGTGTGTGAAGGATCTGAATCGTGTGAAGAGCAAGCCCATCGTGCCACCAGTGGAATCGAATGGCCGGCCTGATGATGTAAGAGAGCGCCGCCGCTGCTGCTTCCTGTTGCGACTCGGTTATGTTGTGCCAGTTTATACGTTATACTGCTCTTGTGCATCAGTCGGCACATGTGCGTATGGTGGGCACGGCGTCTGGAAAGAGGTGTGCAATGCACCCTGCTTCTTGCCGCACACGCATCTACAATGCTGGTACCGTACTCGCTGGAGCACAGTGCACTGCTCTCTGGATGCACTATTTTCAGCCTGTAAACTCCAGACTCCAGTTGCACTCTGCATGTACAGTGTGTATCGGTTATAGTGTGGTCGTGTAAGGGGTCGTTGCAAAAGTTTTTTTGTCGTCCCTGAAACGAACATGATTCATTTGGGAGGGGGGGGGGAGGGGGGGGGGGGTGCGAGCCAAAATCGCAAGTCGACCGACACTGTACATATGACATGTACATGCATGCGATTTTCGTCGTCCAGCGTAGCAAGCTGTGTTCGTTTCAGAGGGTCGGGAGGGGGTCCGAGTACGAAATGAACGATGTTCGTTTCAGGGACGACAGAAAACTTTTGCGGCGACCCCTAAAAGAATATACTGCCTACAATAATAATAATAATAATATCTTTATTAGGATGACCCAGAGGCTTGTCGCCTATCAAGGGGTTCACCGCTTTGAAGGATGTACATGTACATGTACATGTATGAGCTAAAGTGAAAGTAGTAAAAAGTTGTGCAGCGTGAATGCGTTGGGGAGCACACAGGGGGGGGGGGGGGGGGGGTTATGTACATGGCGTAGGCATACCGGAGAGCGAAGCACTATGTTTGCAAGAATGAACTCTCACGTTTTCATAATCATAACATGGGTTTCAAGGGCACATTTATTCTTACAAGCAATTTTATCGTACAGTAGAATATATCGGTCTTAAGAATGGACTTTGTGTAGCGAAACATGCCAGATTAGTACAAAATGTATCGCCTGTAGTAATAACATCTGTCCAATGCGGTTCTGATCTGACTCGCGTTGGGTCGTAGAGCTGCAGGTTCAACTGTTTTGGTCATGTAACTCATGTTGCATAGCCAAAAGTAACCCTATGTGACTATAACCAGGCGCATGCACAGTAGCACTACCTTGTATGTACGATGAGCTACCTGCCTCTGCGCACATGCATATGATATGCCACACTTGATTTATCGTGTGTAAGAAATATCGGAAATAGGAATAGAAAGTCGTTTTTCAAACACCCACGCTATAACCGATACCTACTGTACATGACATTATATGCTTCGGAAATGACATGTATGGAGTGATGTGTGCAGTGAGTGGTCCCAATTCAGGTTGAATACATGCAGTGGCTAAGCCATGTTCTGAGACGAGTACAGCACACATCGCTTTATATGTTCGTTCACTGTGTTTGTCATCTTCAGGTCGTAGCTGCAGAATCCTGGGACATGTATCGTCGACGGAACGACTCATTTCTCGTAGATCATATGTACGGCCAGTTCAAGTCCACTCTGGTTTGCCCAACGTGCCAAATGGTGAGTGTGATCATGTGTGTGCATGTGTGGTGTCAACTGGTATTGAATACTGGTATTAAACTATGGGATGGATTTGTCAAATTCTTACTATTTTCATTCGTTGAGGGAAAGGTGCAAACGGAAAACTATTTTCACTTACTTTTTGACTTTGATGCTTTGAGCTGATTTGAAAATGCTTTGTCGTTCCCTAGACGTCATTGTGATCGGTTTGGCCAAAGTCACTCTGAGCTCCATTGATGAGACTTAAAACAAGGTTGAAACTGCTAACAGCTAGCTGTCCGGAGATTGAGTAGTTTCACCTTTTGTGTGATTTTCCCCTGCTAGGTGTCGATCGTGTTTGACCCGTTCATGTACCTTACCCTGCCCGTGCTGAAGCCCAAGAGAATCCGGCGCGTCATTCTTCTACCGTGTCAGCTTGGTTCACAGCCCAGCATGGTGAGTGAGCGAAGACCATTTCTGCGAAGCCATGTTGATTCTTCCCCCATTGTGCTGCAGCGTGGCCCGGTCTGCAGTGTATCATTCTGCAGTGTAGAGGGAGCAGTGCAGTTGTGTGTGTGGGTGGGGGGGGGGGGGGGGTGTTTGGGCCTGCTGCCGAGGCATTTCCCAGATGTGCATGCTTCACTTGGCATCCCAGATGTGCATGCTTCACTTGGCATTTTTCAGTACTTGTTTCTTGGCATCACTTCTGCCAGTGACCCTGGTCACTTGGTGTGTTTCGATAGCATAGTGGCTGGAGAGTACCGGTTTGCAGTACTGCAGCTCTGTCCCTTGTCTGCTCTCCTTCGTGTCTGTTCTTTTAGTACGACATTGCTGTATCAGAAGATGAAGCTATCGGCGGCATACGCGCAGCTTTGCTGGAGAGGATTGGGAAACGTGCCGTAAGTCCTGGCTGACAGTACTTGTTGCTATCGATAGGATGCTTGCCGTGCTATCATTGCCAGAGGGCAACAGCCGCAGCAGCAGCAGCACACACTTATGTATGTTTCGTTCATGCTAGAACCTGTAGATTTCGCCGAGCCTGTGCAGAGCATCCCCTCTCTACAGGGGTACACAATCTGCACATTGAACTACGGTGGTGGTAGCTGAAATCCGACCCCCTGATTTTCGTGATTCTCGAGTGCAGCACTGATTCTAGCAGTCTCTATTAAATTTTGGTAGTGTACAAGCGTGTGCTGGGCTTTTGCAATTATGTGAGCGCACCCAGCTGGGGTGGAATTTCACTTGCCACCATTGTGCATTGTGTCTGTAGGTCTTTCTCTCTAACCGGTGTCTCAAAGTGACGCATAGTCTGTGTGTGCATATGCCCAGGTGTGCTTCTTTTGTGTCTGTCTGGGTGTTTATGTGTCTGTGTGCAGGTTCTACTGCAGAAGGTGACGCGTGGCATAGGGTATGACCTGGCGGACACGTTTCCACAATCAGTGTTGGATAAGGATCATCCAATACTTGCGTAAGTACAGTCGTAGCCAAAGAAACCCCGCCCCACACTGTGTAGTAGTAGTAGTACAGTTGCGCTCGGTGAAATCCGGCCCGAAGTGCAAAGCCGGCGTCGCGAAGCCAGCTCCCATTACATCACTGGTGATTTGTGTGTATGAACTCAACTCTACGCACCTCGTGTAAAAGTTCGGAGTGCACGTGTTGCATGCTAAAAACAGTTCAAAATTTCTTTCATTCACTTCACGAAGTACAGCTCAAGATCAAGAAGAGATAGAGAAGAAGGACATGGCCATTCCCAATGTGTGGGCTCTTCTCAAGAAGAGAATAATTCCACATTGCTGCGAGAATGCTGACCAGCTGGTGCAGGCACTGCACCTGGAGTGGGACTCGTTGGCTGCTGACACGGTTTCCCCATACGTGGAGTCAATGCCACGTCGTGTTGAAGCCCTAATCGAAGCAGACGGTGGCCACACAAAATATGGAAGCCCTGCTGCTCTGTGTATGAAATAAACTGCTTCGAAACGATCTCCGTCTTCACTTCTTTACTTGTGCTGAACTGAAATGAATGTTACACTTGTCTTTGTTTGGTGCGGTTTTTTACACTTTGGTGTAAGCATGCATGCGTATGAGCACATGCACAGTTCATACGGCACACGTGCGTACAACTTTGAGGGCGTCAAGGGCCGCATCAGTACTGGGCGCCAGTTATGCACTTCGGGCCGGATTTCACCGAGCGCAACTGTAGTAGTAGTAGTAGTGGTAGTAGTAGTAGTAGTACATGTAGTAGTAGTAGTAACAGGGCCTCTTTTACGGGCAAATGACGCATATGCGTAAACCAAAAGCAACAAGAACCTCAATAAACAATGTCCAACAAAAGAATCTGCAGACTGCAAAAAAGGACACAAGGTAAAACTCAAGTCCAATAGATCGCGTATGGTACGTATGTGTGAACAAACCAAAAGCCGATTGAGTGGTGAATGTGTAATGTGTAAGTTGAAAACTCGAGTCTGATAAATAGCCTATTGGGGGTATATGTGTAAAAACATCATAAACCAATAGGGTGGTGGATGTATAATTTGTCTGCGTGTGAATGCTTATTTCGATCTGTCCGATAAACAAAACAAACTATTATAAAAGTAGAAACAAAAACAAAAAAACAAAGACATGCTCAAAAACAGATATGTCCGTTACGTCACAACATCCGTTTAGGATCGTCCACACAGCCCCATGCCACTACCGGAGCAGCCTGCACTCCGTGACAAACGAATTGCCACGGCGTACGCCCCGAGCTCCCCGGCATCCACGCAGACAGGTTACGGCCCAGCGGAGGAGACAGAAGGTAATCTTGGCACGAAGATGGTGCATGACGACGGAGTACTGTAGGTCAGAGTGCTTCTCCACCACGCGCTGAACAAGCCGCTTCAGGAACATTCCGCACTCTGCCCCAGCCATGCCTTTCGAGGCAAACACCAACGGAGTGAAGGCACCTCACTCGACGTCCGTGATCCTCTGGCAGTATTTCCGCTTCTTCTCCAACTCGTTGGTGCGCAGTTGGCCAAGGGCTTCCGAACGCGACAGCAGGGACGCTTTAGGGTGGGTGACTCTGACATCAAAAAAAGCGTCCTGCTGCCTTGTCCAGAAACCCCCGGCCCTGATGTCCAAACAAGCTTCAGCGCTGCGATTGGCGGTCCGGCCGGCGAGCACCTCGCCATCGAGAGGGAGCAATCTAGGCTCAACCTCCACGTCCGGCACGACATCGCCAAGGACAGCCGCCAGGGTATCCCGGATCTCGTCGTGACGTGCCATCGGGTACCCCCCATGTGGACACGTCATCGAGTGGTGTAGGGTGGTGTCCGCTCCACAAGCGCATTTGCACGGGACATCCAGTGGCAGGTACCCATAGCGTATGCACACCGCATCTCGAAAGTCGGACTTATTCAGGATTGTCCGGTGCGCAGTAAGCGGGGCACACGTGAGCCATGACGACACGCCCTTCTCACCGGCGATATTTGTGAGGCATTGCTGAGGCGGGGGCAGATCGGGATACGCCGCGACTAGTGCCTTCTGCGACTTCTCCTTGTCCTTGCGACATGAGACCGCTTGCTTGCGGGACTCGGTAGCGGCTGCGACAGACGGGTTATCACGAACCGGCTGGGTGGTGTGGACCCCAGGTTCTGGCCGGGTCACAGGTCCAGGAGGATCACGAACGGACGCAACAGAAGCAGAAGCGACTGACAATGGTGGATTCTGAGGCGATGCCAAAGACACCTCCTCGCCATCGGGCACGGCACTCCCCGAACCATCACCGATCATCAGACGTACAAGTGGCTCCGTCACCGTAACAGAAGTGGAATACTCCCGCTCCGCCTCAGCCGCCAGAATCGGGATGTTTAGACCTCCAAGGCGGGTGGGCACTGAGAGGAGTCGCCGAAGGCTTGCCTCATCAGGCACCTCCCGACCCAAGAGGAGGGGTAGCAGGTCGCGGTTGACCAGGGTATCCAGGCGCTCTAGTAACGCAGGCGGGCAGGATGCCACTCGGAGCACGTAGCGCCACTTGGAATAGACACCCTGCAGCGTGGCGTAAACTGCATGAGGCTGAGTACGGGCCACAGATACCAGGTTCACCACCTGCCTGCACCAGGCGGATACCGCCTCCTTAAGGTACGCGGCCTTGAAGCTTCCTGTGCCGAGCACTCCTCCCAGATATCGACAACCGGAGGTTATGATTTTGATGCCGGTGCCGGCGAACAGGGTGGACGCCTCCTCCAAACACTCCTCCTTGACCAGCAGCACCGTTTTCGTTGGGTTAGGGGTATATCCGTAGGCCGGGCCAAGCTCCTTCACACTGTTCCAAGAGCGTAACAGAGACCGGACACTGCCAGCAGCGGAATCGTCGTCAGCGTACCACTCCTGCATGTTGTAGTAGTAGTAGTAGTAGTAGTAGTAGTAGTAGTAGTAGTAGTAGTAGTAGTAGTAGTAGTAGTAGTAGTAGTAGTAGTAGTAGTAGTAGTAGTAGTAGTAGTAGTAGTAGTAGTAGTAGTAGTAGTAGTAGTAGTAGTAGTAGTAGTAGTAGTAGTAGTAGTAGTAGTAGTAGTAGTAGTAGTAGTAGTAGTAGTAGTAGTAGTAGTAGTAGTAGTAGTAGTAGTAGTAGTAGTAGTAGTAGTAGTAGTAGTAGTAGTAGTAGTAGTAGTAGTAGTAGTAGTAGTAGTAGTAGTAGTAGTAGTAGTAGTAGTAGTAGTAGTAGTAGTAGTAGTAGTAGTAGTAGTAGTAGTAGTAGTAGTAGTAGTAGTAGTAGTAGTAGTAGTAGTAGTAGTAGTAGTAGTAGTAGTAGTAGTAGTAGTAGTAGTAGTAGTAGTAGTAGTAGTAGTAGTAGTAGTAGTAGTAGTAGTAGTAGTAGTAGTAGTAGTAGTAGTAGTAGTAGTAGTAGTAGTAGTAGTAGTAGTAGTAGTAGTAGTAGTAGTAGTAGTAGTAGTAGTAGTAGTAGTAGTAGTAGTAGTAGTAGTAGTAGTAGTAGTAGTAGTAGTAGTAGTAGTAGTAGTAGTAGTAGTAGTAGTAGTAGTAGTAGTAGTAGTAGTAGTAGTAGTAGTAGTAGTAGTAGTAGTAGTAGTAGTAGTAGTAGTAGTAGTAGTAGTAGTAGTAGTAGTAGTAGTAGTAGTAGTAGTAGTAGTAGTAGTAGTAGTAGTAGTAGTAGTAGTAGTAGTAGTAGTAGTAGTAGTAGTAGTAGTAGTAGTAGTAGTAGTAGTAGTAGTAGTAGTAGTAGTAGTAGTAGTAGTAGTAGTAGTAGTAGTAGTAGTAGTAGTAGTAGTAGTAGTAGTAGTAGTAGTAGTAGTAGTAGTAGTAGTAGTAGTAGTAGTAGTAGTAGTAGTAGTAGTAGTAGTAGTAGTAGTAGTAGTAGTAGTAGTAGTAGTAGTAGTAGTAGTAGTAGTAGTAGTAGTAGTAGTAGTAGTAGTAGTAGTAGTAGTAGTAGTAGTAGTAGTAGTAGTAGTAGTAGTAGTAGTAGTAGTAGTAGTAGTAGTAGTAGTAGTAGTAGTAGTAGTAGTAGTAGTAGTAGTAGTAGTAGTAGTAGTAGTAGTAGTAGTAGTAGTAGTAGTAGTAGTAGTAGTAGTAGTAGTAGTAGTAGTAGTAGTAGTAGTAGTAGTAGTAGTAGTAGTAGTAGTAGTAGTAGTAGTAGTAGTAGTAGTAGTAGTAGTAGTAGTAGTAGTAGTAGTAGTAGTAGTAGTAGTAGTAGTAGTAGTAGTAGTAGTAGTAGTAGTAGTAGTAGTAGTAGTAGTAGTAGTAGTAGTAGTGTTTTTGTATTCCCTAGTTGGCTTGATTCTTTTATTTTATTTTATTTTCTGATTGGATTTTCCTATTTATTTGATTAGATTTTTCTTGAATGGTTTTGTCACCATTGCTTTTCTTGCTTGCGCTTTTCAGTTTCTTCTTTCTGATACCCGGTTTGTTTTCAAATAAAGGCGAAGTTCAGTAGTAGTAGTAGTAGTAGTAGTAGTAGTTTTTTTCTTCTGTATGAATCTCGGTTTCATTTCTGGCGGTGTTCAAGCAGTTCTGGTTTGGATGTTTTTCTTTCCTTTTCCTTCCCCTACTACCCTTTTTCATGTATAAACATTGCTGTTGCCATTAATATTTGTTATCTTTCTATTTTGTTACAATTTTGCTGTTCGCCTTTTGAATTCATTGCCCTCCTTGCATTCACATCTTCATTGCTTTGTGCTTTCAATACAAACACATTTCAGTAGTAGTAGTAGTAGTAGTAGTAGTAGTAGTAGTAGTAGTAGTAGTAGTAGTAGTAGTAGTAGTAGTAGTAGTAGTAGTAGTAGTAGTAGTAGTAGTAGTAGTAGTAGTAGTAGTAGTAGTAGTAGTAGTAGTAGTAGTAGTAGTAGTAGTAGTAGTAGTAGTAGTAGTAGTAGTAGTAGTAGTAGTAGTAGCAGTAGTAGCAGTAGCAGTAGCAGTAGCAGTAGCAGTAGCAGTAGCAGTAGCAGTAGCAGTATAAAACCGTTCTCAAGTAAAGTAGTAGCAGTAGCAGTAGCAGCAGCAGCAGCAGCAGCAGCAGCAGCAGCAGCAGCGTGAAAATGAGAGTTTGAGCAGGTGGGCCCTTGATTTGCTTGCTGTGTAAGTGTGTTTGTCTGCTTGAAACTTGCCTGGGATATGTGCAATCGTAGCATGCAGGCAGTGTGGTAGAGCCACCACAAGCGCTGTAAATTCCCACCGGAGTGTTGCATCACTTTGAACCCTTCCTTGGGGTGGGACGGATGGGAGATCGCTCTACGGTTCTGTACAAGTCATCTCTTGAGAAAGAGAACATCAAAATCACGCCTGCGAAGAAGAACTTTTCTCTGATGAACGCCTGGTGAATCATGTGGAACTGATATCACACCTGAGCTTTGAGTATGTACACAGCGCATTTTGTCAACTTACATATTGTAAAGTTATCTATCAATAAAAAGTAAAAAGGACCAAGGAACTACAAGTTACACTATAATGTCCGCTAACACCACCAGTTACTAAACAATCAGCTCATGCGATAACATTGCACGACACTGACCGACGGTACTGACATTCTACAACTAACTGGCTAACAGCTCTAGCACATCTTGGATGCGCACTCCAACAACACTTGGTCCTTTTTACTTTTTATAAATATCCGTGGCTCTCCATCCGAGTTCATTACCTGTCAATGATTTTAGTTACCGGTGGTGGTACTGATGTTGAGTACTGTTGATTCTTCTTGCATAGGGTTGAAATTCCTCAGCCTGGAAAGCATGGCGATGAGAAGGCTGAAGATCTTGTTCGTATTCCCCTCGTTCAGGTGAGTGCTGGTGTTAGATTGAATAGCAGCCTAACTCTGTCTCCTGGTGTGTGTGTGTGTGTGTGTGTGTGTGTGTGTGTGTGTGTGTGTGTGTGTGTGTGTGTGTGTGTGTGTGTGTGTGTGTGTGTGTGTGTGTGTGTGTGCGTGCTTCTGGCCAGATCAACTCTTGTGTAATCAATGGTGCTAGTGAAGCTTATATTAGATCCACTCTGATTTAGCCACCCACACTAGTAGCAAGTATTACCTTCACTGGGAGCAGGGGTAACTGCAGTTGGATCCCGGAATGGATACCCTGATGCCGTCAATCCTTTTTCTGCACATTGTCCTCGCCCACTTACTGAGGTGTGGTGAGGCCATAAGTGGGATCATTTTCAAGTCCACCCATAGTTTGGGGATTTCAGGGGTTGTCGGCCGTTGGGCGGTTTAATAGCCAATTGAGTCATCTTTCCAAGATTCCTTTTGAGTCTCTCTCCCCTCTCCCGGGGAGACCCACATGATCGGTTTTGGCAGTGAGCAAGTACAGTACAGTGTGCGTGTGCATGTGTGTGTGTGTGTGTGTGTGACAATTGTGTGTGTGTGTGTGTGTGTGTGTGTGTGTGTGTGTGTGTGTGTGTGTGTGTGACAATTGTGTGTGTATGTGTGTGTTTGTGTGTGTTTGTGTGTGTATGTGTGTGTGTGTATGTGTGTGTATGTGTGTGTATGTGTGTGTATGTGTGTGTGTGTGTATGTGTGTGCGCATGTATGTATTTGTGCTTGTGTGTTACACCAAGAGTACATAACCCCCCAGAGTGTGCAACTCCCACATACCCTGCTGTCCCGACAGAATTTCAAGTTGACGTCATTATTATGACGCAATGCTCCTTGCACCAGTGATTTACAACATGTGTACGGGTGTCAACGCATCACACGTTTTTCTTTGCAATAATTTGTACAGGATCGATCGGCTTCGGTCAACTACAGGTTCCAGATTCGTCTGATAATCCGTGTACAGTGCGCATTGCATCATCAAAATGACGTCAACTTGAAATTCTGTCGGGACAGCACCCATAGTGGAGTTGCACACTCTGGGGGGTTATGTACTCTTGGTTACACATGTATGGATGTAGAATTATGACGATGTAGGCAAGAGTTGTCAACACGTGTGTGCTTCACTGCACCTGTGATATTTGTGTGTGTGCATGTGTGTGTGTGTGTGCATGTGTGTGTGTGTGTGTGTGTGTGTGTGTGTGTGTGTGTGTGTGTGTGTGTGTGTGTGTGTGTGTGTGTGTGTGTGTGTGTGTGTGTGTGTGTGTGTGTGTGTGTGTGTGTGTGTGTGTGTGGCACTGCTGTCGCTGCTTCTGCTGGCCTTCCCGGTATTTCTCCAGCGAGTCGCACTGCCACCTATGCCGTCGTCGTGTTGCTTCTGTACATCAAGGCCTACTGCTGAGCGCCCGCTGTCGCGTTGCACTCGCTGTTTCAGAGTAGCATACTGTAACAGGTAAAGTATGTGTGCAGCGTGTGCAGTTTGCAGTAGGGTCACCCAGGGCGAGCGTCTGCATTGCACGTCACAGGGCTGATGTCATAGGAGCAGCCAACCGCCAGTCATTGCGCGTGCGCGCGCGTGTGTGTGTGGGCTGTATTTCACGGTATTGCCCGTACTGCTTAGTGCGTGAGTTCTAGGTGAATGTTTTGGTTCGGAAGCTACTGGATTCAGGAAGTATTTGCGGGTTAGAGCGACGTGAGCTGAAGCTAAGAGCATGGTGCCCCCTCCCTCTCCCCCCCCCCCCCCCTCCAAAAAACCCACATTTTCGCAGCTAAAGCGGTGTAACACCCTTGTTGTGTGCAATACCGCTTGGCCCATTACAGCCTGTAGTGCATGTGTTGCGCTTTCCTGGGTGTTGACAGGTCGTGCCAGCAGATGCACTGGCTGGCGCACAAGCCTGGGTGCCGATTGCGACCAGCGCCATACGGCCATCCGGCCGTGATCACCATCGCACGTCACGAGGTCACCTACAAGAACCTGTACCGCTGGGCAGAACACTACGCAAGGTAAAGTCACAACAACAACAGCACCAGCAGCACACTTCACCTAGTCATTCTCAATTAGCTGCAGGACCGATGCAACTGGCTAGTATGTATTAGTTAATGGAGGCAAACTGTGGCGCTGTATATGTAGCTTCACAAGATTCTTCCCTAAAAAAAATTGTCAAGCCCTCCTGATACGATACTCCTGATACGATACTCCTGATACGATACTCCTGTTACGATACTCCTGATACGATACTCTGCTTAGAAAATGATGTTGACTTTTGTGAGTTTGGGTGTACATAATATCAAGAGTATGCATATAAGCTCCCAAGAGTATAATGATAAGCTCCGAAGAGTGTGCAACTCCTGATACCCTGGGGTTCACCAACGGCAAAAACTCACATCACGTGGTGTAGTGTCCCAGTTGTACGTTTCCAGCGAGCAGCAGAGTAATAATAAAAGCCCTCTCTGGCAGAAACTCACCGAGCTGCGCGTATGCAACTCGCCAGCATAATCGTGGCAGATTGTCGGATTGCGCGCACGCTATCCTTAGTGTTACGTAGTACAAAACGTACCTGAGACACGTGATGTGAGTTTTCGCCGTCGGAGATCCCATATGCAGAGTTGCCCACTCTTGGGAGCTTATTTACTCTTGACAATATGTGTCTTGTCCATGTTCAAGGATATATGTCCGTGCCTATGAAATATAAAATATTGAACAACAAGACCTGGTGTGGCGCCAGCGGACATCTGCACAAGCTGGCACGCGTGCAGACGTCAAGTATGATACCACCCCTGGGCGGGTTCAATATACCGTAGTGTCTTGTATTAAAGCCTGTCTCATGTAGAAGCCTGTTCTGAATAGAAGCCTGTTCTGAATAGAAGCCTGTTTTGAATAGAAGCCTGATTTTCAAGATACACCGTCGGCACATAAGCCTAGTTTTAGTGTTGACATACAGTCGTGGCCAGCGAAATCCTACACTTGCCATAGGGGACACACCGTTCACAGGCATGGTACAGAGTATTGGTATCCAGTCCCCATTCATTTTTGCCAGCACCTTTGAACCTTTCTTGTGAACCTTGACTGTGATGAGTACGAGTTCTGTCATGAGACAGATAGCAGTTGCATGTCACACATGTACTACGTATGCAGGGCTGGAGGGGGTGCACATTGCATGGTGTAGTCCCTTATGCCAAGTGTCGGATTTCACTTGCAACGACTGCACATAGAAATACCTGTGTAGTCTTGAATAGAAAGAAGCCTGTCTCATATAGAAGCCTGCAAAAGTTCCCCCAAAAAGTCATATAAGCCGCGGCTTTTGTACACAACGTTACGGTTATGTATTTCATTTTTCGCATATTAAGTATTGATGACAATGACCTTGCTGAGCGTGCGAATATGGTGTTTCGATATTGGCACTCTCGCTTAAGCAGTAAATGTTTGCCTGTATAAATTGTATATGCGTTTGTGTGTGCTTGCATGCGCGTGCATGTGTGCTTGCATGCGCGTGCATCTGCGTGCGTGGGTGTGCGGGTGTGTATTTCAAATAAACCGCGTCGCGATACGTGTGGCATGTAGGATGTCCGTGGATGTGGTTGCTCGGGAGAGCAGCAGCAACAGCAAAGCCTCCCCTACATCCTCACCGGCCCAGTCCCCGAGTTCATCTGCAACCATTGTGAGTGATCACTCTGTCACGGCGGCGCCTGATTCGCCATCCAGCAGCACCTGTACCAGCAGTGCAGTCCAAACCAGTGCTGACAAGCAAAGCACGACCACGGCCATGGCCGCGGAAACAGAGCGACTGCCTCCGTTCCATCTCAGCTGGGCCCGGTCAGCCACTGATGACAAGACAGACCGTATCGATCGAACTAGTAAGTGGCTCGGTGGTCCATGTCCTGTACTGTTTTGCTTGTGCTGAGTAGGAACTGTTCAATTGGAGGATGGGATGGGACAGAGAGAACACGTTGGGTGGACGGGGGCGATCATGACTTTGTTGGGTTTTGTAGCTGAGTTTCACCCACCAAGCTGACCTCCAATTCAGGACTTTCTGTGTGTTGGCGGGAAGCTGGACCTGCAAGTCTGCCAGACACTGGACAGATTAATGAGATTATTCGGGACTTGTGTCATTCTTCCATAAACACTTAAACAGCACTGGACCAGCAAGATCAACACAAGCAATAATAAACACTCCTATTTAGAGAAAGTGGTTTGTTGTTCGTTTTCCAAAAAAACGTTGTTGTCCACTGTGTAAGCTAACCACCCGAGGGACCCCAAAATGTGGTCTTCTTGATGGTCTGAAAAGCTGTTTTCTACTGCTGTGTGCATGATGGATTCTCGGTTGTGACCAAAAGTTTGGTTGGCGTATCCCCTGAAACTGCAAGTACTTCTGCTTAATCGCCGAAGTGGACACGTCTGCTTTGATTAAGAATAGACCGTATTTAGCGAATTGGACACCAGTTCTGCCATGCTGCTGCTGCTGTTGCTGTTCTCTGAAATCCAGGTAATAAGGTATTGGAAGTACCGGGCAAAGGTGTCTTGTTGTTGGACTGGAGGATGTGCAAGTTCGAGGCTTTGTGAGTACATATTCAGCTGATGCATTTGTTCTATTGTTGTGCATTGCACCGTTGAAGTATTGAAGTGTAATAGACCATACCATGACTGCTTCTGCAAGCACACTGCATTTTTCAGATGCATGCCTATCAGACTGACTTACGCCTCTGTGCTGTTTTGGTGTACAGATTGCAATTGTGATAAGGGAAATTGACCGAAACTTTGTAAACGAATTGATTTTTGTGATATCAATGGTTTTGATCTTTGCGGTATAATTATTTAGGGGAAAGCAGGTCTGCACTGACTACGTTTGCTCTTCTGTAAGGGCGCGTTTGGTTGGTACGAACTAGAACAGGATTCACCAGAACAGCGCGTTTGGTTGGGACTGCATGTTCTGCTTGCTCCGGCCTCGAGGCTGAAGCAGACCGAGCAGTTTCACTTTTTCACAGTGAAACCTGGCGGGAACATCGATTTTGGTCCCAAATGATCACGTGCATACGCTTTCGGGTTGGACTCGCCGTACCGTACACAGTGACCATGGTGACCCATACACATTTTGAAGAATGCACCACGTTTGGCACATTTTTCACAAAAATGTGCTCTGTTTCTGGAGTACCGTTTGGTTGGCATGAGGCTGCTCCATGTGCACCAGCTGTTCGATCTTCTTCTAGATCGTACCAACCAAACGCACCCTAAGTCTACAAATTTTCGGCGCGCTTGAATTTTGGCCTCCCAGGGTTAAAAGACATTTCGGCCGCACTAAAAATGTCAGCCTGTACTGCTGCTGCCTGCATACACTGTCACAGTGGCTGCGTTCGATTATGCACTTGAATCGATTCATGAATCCATTCGCGTGCATTCAAGTCGTTCGATTTTCATGTCCTGAGCCCTGGAATCCATTCACTCTATTCACATGGGGTGATGTGAATAGCGCGAATTGATTCATGAATCGATTCGCGTGCATAATCGAACGCACTCACTGAACATTGCAAAGCAAAATTTCGGCCCCAACAAATTTTAGGCCAAAATGCCCAGGCCGAAGATAGCCGAAGCTAAATATGCGCCGAATAGTTGTAGACTTACGGTATATGAACCTGCAACGCTGCTAGTTATAGACAGTCTGCTCTCGGCAAGTCCTGCCGTACTCACAGTCCTGAATTTCATGACTTATCGCGAGTGCATGGCTTACAGCGGCTATAGGTACTGTACTGAGGTGTACGCAGGTACATGTAGCGTATTTTCCCAAATAGAAGTCGCACTATTTTTAATACACTGAATTTCAGAGCCAACAAAGGTGTGACTTTCGATCCAGCATGGCTTACTACTAAAGTGAATATACTGAAACCAAGAGTACAAAACCCCCAAGAGTGCAACTCCAGCTATGGGGTCTGCGACGGCAGAACTTCACATCACGTGATGAACCTGTACACATTGCTTGCACTCCGTGCATGATAGATACAGGGTTGTACGCAACCCAGCTTTGGCTTCAACTCTCTTGTGGTCACTTTGCACTGTTTGCCGGCGTAACCTGTTGAACCATGTCACGTGATGTGAAGTTCTGCCGTCGCAGCGCTGTATAGAGGTTGTGCAGGCAGTTGCACACTCTTGGGGGGTTATGTACTTGTGCTGACACGATATGACATGAACCTGAAAATGGGGATGCGACTTGCAATCGAGTGCGACTTACAATCGGGGAAATATGGTACATGCTGCCTGGCTTGGAATAGTGCACGGCCAATCCCTATGACACTGAACAGTGAACCTGTGATATACAACTCCCAGTATACATCTAGTGGCAATCCAACAGGGGGGGGGGGGGGGTATCCTTAGGTATTTTGAAGTAATTTCATTGTGTCACTTGTGCAGATCTTCACATACTATGTGCCACTGGTGTTGCATGTACATACCGTGTACTCCAGTAGTATTAGGCAGGTGTCGCTCTACGTAATTACGTATGAAGATAACGTACTTCAAGTGGAAACTGCACGTGTTTTTCATACGTAAAAATCAGCGCTGTTGGGTTTTTCGCTCTGCGTGATTTCTCCACGACTGCTAAGCATGCGCATATGCCTTGTTGCTTTGGAGACGCAGCCCACCGCGTACGCCACAAACCGGAGCTGTGTTTTCCATTTTGTTTTCCACGTGGTGTGTACCTTGTGTTTCGCGCGGCTTGAATGTTGCCATGGCTAAATCTGGAATGCGAAAAAAATATTTCAAAAAGTCCTATAGATACGATTCGGTACGACCTGAAGGCAGCGGATCTCTCCGTGGAGAGCGCTCTCCAAGCTGCAGGAGATAGATTAACTTGGCTTGACACTGTTGACAGATGCGTCGACTCTGCTCCTGTCTAACAGGTTCAGGGAAGATGCGAGCTGTGTTGATGATTATTATTATTAGTATTTAATCGACGCGGAGACAACAATTTTATAATAGCTATAAAGAGAACAAATTCTGCTGTCATCGCCACACTACAACAAAGTCGTGAAGGTTTACCAAAATCGATTTGATGTCCTACCAACCCAACTCGCATCTAAATTGGTATACCAATTTGAGTGCCGACAATGCGGTAGTCGGTACGTTGGTAGGACTCTTCAACATCTGAACGCACGTATCAAGCAGCACGTCCCACTGCACATGCTGACTGGCTCGGCACGGGCACTGCGACCCAAACGCGGCAGGCCACCTAAGAACCCTCGATCAGAGCCATCGTTAGCACAATTGCCGTCGACGGCAATAGTGCCTCCATTACCCGTATCGAGAGCCGTGGAGATGGATAATGTGCACATTGTCACTAACGTTATAACACAATGCACCATAACAACACAAGAAAGTACACCACAACAACATCCAGCTCAAGACCAAAGTGGACGCTGCGGCGAGGTGATCATGGTGATGCCCCCATCGCCATCGTTGCCGTTGCCTCCCCCAGAACCGCCACCTGCATCTGCCATCGGCAGTGCTGGGGCTGAGTCTGTGGTGTCGCTGGAACGGGCAAATATGGATGAGGTAAGCACTGAACATGAACAAGAAGAAAGAAGGCTGAAGGAAACGGAATTCAACAGAGAAAACAACACGATCAACATTCAAAGACCTAGACGATCAACGGCTAATTCTTCAATGAATTATTACAGTACTGGATGTCAAGCACCGGCGAAGACACTGGGAACAGAAGATTTAGCAACAACAGGAACAACAACAATGACAACAACAACAACAATGGTAACAAATTACCATCAAGATCAAAGGAGGAGTCAACGAACAGAGGTTCAGCAACGTGAAGCGAGCCTGGGACCGATCGGTGGTGATGAGGAGAATGACACGGAGGACGACACTGAGGACGAGTTGGAAGATGAGACGGGGGACGAGGTTGCGGTTGGTGGAGACGAGGAATCGGATGGTGATTGTGATCGTAAGAAGTCTGCCGTTTTTCTTCATCTGTTGTCTCACCCTAAGTGTCTGCAGGTGTATGATGATTTTAGTTTTTCTGTTCTTTGTCGTGCACGGTACGCTAGTCAGTTGAAAGTACTTGAGGCTGTTTGTATTCGTTTGCATAAGCCTGATCTTTGTAAGCAGAAGACACATGTAGTTGCGTTAAGATTGTTTTCGTAGGTGCACAGCATGATTGTTTGTCTCACTACATAGTTCTAGCGTTGCAATTAGTTCCTCACCCCTGTTGCACTTAGCTCTCACTTTACTTCTATCGTCTCACCTTCCCTCATTCTATTTTTAGCACTTTGTTTTGTTCTCGTAACACATTATTGAATGTATATAAATTATTGATTTGGCATGGTTATTCTTCAGTCACGGCTTTCCACTGATGATTGTGACAAGAAAATCGATTTTGGTAAACCTTCATGACTTTGTTGTAGTGTGGCGATGACAGCAGAATTTGTTCTCTTTATAGCTATTATAAAATTATTAGTATTATTATTATTATGGAGGACCCAACGTGGGAAAGAGCTTCCCTACGGAAATCCGTAGAGAGATTTACGTATTGCCTGCTGCCCGTGTACACGCCCAGGTGCCTGGTGTCGACACTCCTGTCCCGTTTTCTAGCCCCCTGCCTCCGTGTGAACGCTCATGGGCGAAAGCATAGGCCCAGTGCACAGTGCAGTGCATGCACAGCTCCATGTGTATGTACGGTACTGTAGTGCAGTGCATGCACAGCTGCATGTGTATGTACGGTACTGTAGTGCAGTGCATGCACAGCTGCATGTGTATGTACGGTACTGTAGTGCAGTGCATGCACAGCTGCATGTGTATGTACGGTACTGTAGTGCAGTGCATGCACCGCTGCATGTGTATGTACGGTACTGTAGTGCAGTGCATGCACAGCTGCATGTGTATGTACGGTACTGTAGTGCAGTGCATGCACAGCTCCATGTGTATGTACGGTACTGTAGTGCAGTGCATGCACAGCTCCATGTGTATGTACGGTACTGTAGTGCAGTGCATGCACAGCTGCATGTGTATGTACGGTACTGTAGTGCAGTGTACGGTACTGTAGTGCAGTGCATGCACAGCTGCATGTGTATGTACGGTACTGTAGTGCAGTGCATGCACAGCTGCATGTGTATGTACGGTACTGTAGTGCACAGTGCATGCACAGCTGCATGTGTATGTACGGTACTGTAGTGCAGTGCATGCACAGGCACAGCTGCATGTGTATGTACGGTACTGTAGTGCAGTGCATGCACAGCTGCATGTGTATGTACGGTACTGTAGTATAACTCAGTGTCCATGCAGTAGTACGGCATGATGTCAAAATAAGTCTGATTTCACTGTTAATATCCAAAATAGCGCCAGGGGCCCAAATTGACGCCCATGTTCTGGACGTTCACTAACCTTTCCACTCTGGGCGTTATTACTGGCTTTTACCGTATGTGTATATGCACACCTGCCTAGTGGTGGATTGCTCAATGGCTTTGCCGGTCGGAGTTTGATTGCAGTTTTTCGTGCTGGAAATATTCTCATATCCTCTCTGTCTATCTCTGTCTCCCTGTCTCATTTAGCAATATGCCAATATTAATGACAGGCTGACGAGTAAGTCCTAATATTCGGGAACCATGCTGTGCGTGATTGGACGTACATAGTGTACACTTTAGACACGAGTCAAGTGCCGTGCTGGCCAGTGTCATGTGTGTGTGTGTGTGTGCGTGCGTGCGTGCGTGCGTGTGTGTTTGTTGAATGGTGTAATCCCAGCACAAGTTGCTATGTCTAACATAGCTGTTCGCTATCATCGCTTCCGCGATGGGCATGTCTGAGGTGTGTGTGTGTGTGTGTGTGTGTGTGTGTGTGTGTGTGTGTGTGTGTGTGTGTGTGTGTGTGTGTGTGTGTGTGTGTGTGTGTGTGTGTGTGTGTGTGTGTGTGTGTGTGTGTGTGTGTGTGTGTGTGTGTGTGTGTGTGTGTGTGTGTGTGTGTGTGTGTGTGTGTGTGTGTGTGTGTGTGTGTGTGTGTGTGTGTGTGTGTGTGTGTGTGTGTGTGTGTGTGTGTGTGTGTGTGTGTGTGTGTGTGTGTGTGTGTGTGTGTGTGTGTGTGTGTGTGTGTGTGTGTGTGTGTGTGTGTGTGTGTGTGTGTGTGTGTGTGTGTGTGTGTGTGTGTGTGTGTGTGTGTGTGTGTGTGTGTGTGTGTGTGTGTGTGTGTGTGTGTGTGTGTGTGTGTGTGTGTGTGTGTGTGTGTGTGTGTGTGTGTGTGTGTGTGTGTGTGTGTGTGTGTGTGTGTGTGTGTGTGTGTGTGTGTGTGTGTGTGTGTGTGTGTGTGTGTGTGTGTGTGTGTGTGTGTGTGTGTGTGTGTGTGTGTGTGTGTGTGTGTGTGTGTGTGTGTGTGTGTGTGTGTGTGTGTGTGTGTGTGTGTGCTCCTGATCCTCTTCTATGTGTCTGTGGACGCCCGTTTCGACGACCAGGAGACCTGAAACGACATGCCAAGTTCTGCGCTCGTGTCCTCACTTGAACTTTCCGATATTCGCTATCATTGCGTACGCAATGGGCAAGATCAAGGTCAATGTGTGTGTGTGTGTGTGTGTGTGTGTGTGTGTGTGTGTGTGTGTGTGTGTGTGTGTGTGTGTGTGTGTGTGTGTGTGTGTGTGTGTGCTGGCCTATGATTGTTGTTGCCCTACAAAACATTTTTTTGCTTTCTTCTGCTCCCGTTTCTTCTTCAGGTACATCGTGTCACGTGGGCCTTCAGGACTGCTTGAAAAAGTTCACCGACCCAGAAATCCTGCAGAAGGATCAGGAATGGTAATACATGTATGTTTTGCCCGCTTCACTGTGTAGAGTGCGGTAGACGCATCTCGATGTGTTGAATGTCTATTGCCAATGGACTTGTGACCCATCTCAATGTGATGTGTTCAGTGTCTATTGCCCATGCATGGACTTGCTTTGTAGATAGTGTGGCATTCACAGTACCTACCACTCCGCCTGTTTCCACTGTGATTGTGGAGTGATGGTACAGAGTACAGCCATGTCAAGTACATTGTTTGTTTGCTCTGTCTGTGATTGTGATTCTTGAATAGGCCAACGCCTTTCCGTATAGAGGTAGAATGGTGTAATGGTAGCCAGCTTGTGCGTGCGTGTGTGTGTGTGTGCGTGTGTATGTGTGTGTGCGTGTGCGTGTGTGTGTGTGTTTGCATGTGTGCGTTTGCATGTGTGCGTTTGCATGTGTGCGTTTGCATGTGTGCGTGTCTCTGGGTGTCTCTGGGTGTCTGTGGGTGGGTACGTGTATTGTCACGCCAGGTTTTGTCCCAAGTGCAAGGAGCATAAAGAAGCGACCAAGCAGATGTCAGTGTGGAAGTTGCCCGACACTCTTGTTGTGCACTTGAAACGCTTCGACAAGGTGTTCACTAAACTGCAGCACATGGTCACGTTTCCCATCAGGTGAGTCAGTTCATCTGTAATTGCACGGCTTGGTTCGCGCTGGCACTGCCAGCAACTCTTCCTGCCTCTCCCGGTGGTGTATGACAGTCCAGGCATGTACGTGGTTGTGTTACACGTCGCAAGGATATTGTCACTGGAACAGCCAACTACTAGCATGAACCAGCTCTTGCAGGCTGCATATTGCAATATTGCAGGCCCCACTCGGTGCTTCTCTTCCACTGTGTCATTGTCTTACGGAGTGATAGCTTGGTGCAGCCCCGTGCGGGTGCCACTGAATGCATAAACTGTTCTACATCAGAGCGATGTGAGCTGAAGCTAAGAGTATGCCCCCCCCCCCTTCTAGAGCGCTCTCCTTTCGTACCCTGTGTCACTGCTGCAGCTAACAGTGCAACACCCCTGCAGTACCCTGTGTCACTGCTGCAGCATGTAGTGCAACACCCCTGCAGTACCCTGTGTCACTGCTGCAGCTAACAGTGCAACACTCCTGCAGTACCCTGTGTCACTGCTGCAGCATGTAGTGCAACACCCCTGCAGTTGCATGCACTACATGCTGTACGGGGGCATGTCTGCGAGTGCGCACACAGACAGTACCGGCTCTGAAACGTGCCCTCCGGCTGTGTCCTGGCGCGTATCAGCCGGCAAACTACTGCACTTGTATGCACTATCAGGTGGGGGCTTTATACTCTTTATAGCCATTGTACATTCTTTCTTTTTAATTTGTAGGTGGCACGTAGAGCATTGGCATTGCAGTACCGGTGCGTAGTAATGTTTCCCCAGCCTGGCTGCAATTCTCACCACTTGCCCCCGGGGTCGCATTCAGATTTCACTGCATTTATTCATTTTTGTTTTCTATTTTTCTTGTGCGTGTCATGGCTGCTAGGGATTTGAACATGGCTTCGAGTTGTACACCAAATTCTCCAGAAGTTAGTCAGTCTCTGAGTAACACACAATACGAGCTATTTGCAGTCGCCAATCACCTGGGATATGTGCATGGTGGTCACTACACTGCTCTATGCAGAGAAGAGTCGGACGACCTGGAACTTGATGCTGATGATATGGGTGAGAGAGCAGCACAGTGTGATGTAGTGGGTTGTTTGCACCATTGATGGCCGATCAGGCGATCACCCTGCCATGTACTAGTCCACTGTACATGTAATAGGGTGTTTGCACAACATTCAAAACTGTGTCCGCGTGCTACCATGACGCATGGACATGTTTGCAACTTTGCATGCTGCTTGTCACACAGACCATCGCTTGAGTCGGGTGCTCTTGTCGCAAAGAGGATGAAAAAGATACAGAAAACGAAGATGAATAGAATCCTGATCAAAACCAAATCCTTGAACTGTCGTTTACTTGTGCGCAGAGTATTGTCATGGTCAGAAGGTTCATTCCCATGGTCCGCTAATCGTCCGTGTTTATCGTGCAGGAGTAGATGAAACTTCATTTCTGTAGAGGTAGTTGAAAAACGCAAGTACAGTAGCTACTTGTGTGAATCTTCCACAACGGATATTCTGTAAACCGCCCATAATTCGCGTCACTAAATTTTCGCGATTTCTTGGAACCAGCGAGTTAACGATGGCAAATGTTGTTGAAGTTTGATTTCACGTTGGTAAATATTCGCGTTGCACTCTTCTCGCAAAGATAGCGAATATCAATACGTCGCGAATATAAGCCGGTGTGCAGTACATGTACTGGTAGTATTTCATGTGTTTGCTGCTATACTTCAAGTGCACACGATATGCCGGTCTTGTCGTGGCCATTGGCATCATCGTGGTTGCCCACTACTTACTTATCTCTGTTGTGTGCGTGTGTGTGTGTGTGTGCGCGTGTGCGTGCGTGTGTGCATAGGGTCTTGGCTGCTGTGCAATGATAAGACTGTCTCGCCCACGCCGCCGTCACGGATCGTTTCACCCGAGGCCTACCTGTTGTTCTATCGCCGGCGGCAACGGCAGCGACAACAACAGCACGCACCTCTTACCACAGCTGTATCAAATATTAGTATCGAATAGCTGGTGCTGGTGCGTCGCAAACTGTTCATTACTGTGTGCATTCATAAAGAGTGCTCTGTGTAATGTAGTTGTAAATTATTATGTAGGGCCAAACTAAAGAAGGTGTGTGGTTCGACTCACCCGACCGACCGTACAATTTCAGCCCGACCGTAACTTTTTTTCGGCGGGCTGTCGTGTGACTGACGTACGTGGACTGAACACGTCCACGTCTACGTGCTGTGCGGCGTGAGTCTGCGGACGCAGGCGGCTCCTTTTGGACTTGACTTGTAGTTGTACTGCAGTGCAGTGCAGTGAGTGGTACGACTGCTGCCTTGTGCTGGTAGTAGAGTCTACTCGATACGCGTATACAGTGTATTTACATGTACTAAAAAATATATTAAAAAAAAAAAATCCGCCCGCCCGTAAAAAAAATGTCCATGTTAGTCGAACCACACACCTTCTTTAGTTTGGCCTAGTGAGAAAAAACTATTTCAGTGTGGTGGCGGGTTCTAGTTTCAATCGAAATATTTAAAACAGTAGTTGTCAGCACACACACTCATTTCTTGTCACACACCGTGTTGTACATGGCTGCCTGCCTTTGCACGCATTCTTTCTTCGTCTTCGTATGTTTCTCCAGTTCGTCATAAGCTTGACAACTGAGAACCCTTAGGCCTAGGCCATATAGGGTAGGTCTAGCCTCTAGTCTAGGTGTAGCAGCACTGCTGTCGTCACGGGAAACTACTGGACTGGGGGCCCGTCGCTCACTCATCATCCACTCCACTCATTGTCTTTCGTGTTTCTCTTCTGATCTCGTGCTGTACTGTTCTTGCTGTCACAGGCTCCAGTCCTTTCTGCTGTTGAGCAGTCTCTTCTCTTCATTGGACACGCACGCGCACACATCACCAAAGAGAGCTGTTGTTGTTTAGTTATCGCTCATAACACTGCAAGCTACACGCGAACACTATGTTTATTTGGGTCTTTCAAACGGAACTATACACTAGTGGGTGCGGCATGTTTCAGACCGGTACCCGCTTACGCAATCTGCACGTAGAACATTCATAACATTCATATCGGTATTTTTTAAATATTCAGTGCGCACCGGGCTTATCATTAATATTTTCGCTGCTGAACTGAGCAGTAGCAGGCCTCCTTCTGGGCAGTGAAATTCATGCTTTCTAGTTCTTCGACCAATGCTTCTCACTCTGTTCATGTCTGTGCAAGCTCTGCATGGCACTCACTGCGAGCAACCCCTGCACGTAGCTGCACCAAGCAAGCCATTCCATGCATACCGGCCGTTTGGTTCAACACCATTTTGGTTTGGAGAATTTCACTGGCACACCACCCTGGGAGGGACTGACACGCACACATCCTTTCCCTTGAGTTAGTCATTCAATTCCGTTCAATTAGTCGAACATATTGAGTTTGCTCAGCTGCAGAATAGCATTTATACAAAAGAATTGAAGAGATTCAAAAATTATTACCAGCTACTACTCGAGTGTGAAAAAAACATCATCCAGTGAAGAGGTGATCATGCGTTAGTTAGGTCCTTCACCAAAGATGGCTTGTACTATTGAGGCAGGTTGCGAGCATGAGCGCTCTAAACAGATAAACATGAGCAGCTACAAATCAGAAACATAAATGCTGCCAGCCAGTACAAGTTGCGGTGGAAGGAAATCATTACATGTAGCACAGTAAAGCTAGAAAATGAACAGTGGAAGTCGTTGCATTCAAGGATGCCTGTACAAAGTAGGAGACGCACTGCTCCTCGCTCTCATTTCCACTTGAACCCAACGGGGAAGAGCACAGTGCCTAGAAAGGTCACACACACACACACACACACACACACACACACACACACACACACACACACACGGCTAGAACGTGCATAGTACACGGCTAGAAAAGTAGAGTTCCCATTCCGCCCAGTTCCTGCTGTTCTTTGACGAAGATCTCAAAGTACTGGTAGATGATGGTGACGGCCAGAAGAATACCTGTTCCAGATCCAATGGCACCTGAATGTCAGCACAATGCAGCAAGTGTCACAAGAACAAAGCAAACAAAGGTTTAAAAAAAAGTACTTCCAAATGTCACTTCAGCTAGTCTTCCTTATTGCCATATTAAAAAAATTGTTGTCTCCTCGTCGAATATTTAGACAAAGGTTAGTAGAAAGAAACTTCAAGTGTTCACCTACAGTGCCAGGCAGTGAAGTTTGTCCTTGTGAATGCATGACCATGCACTACAGACACTGAGCTGTACATTCCAAAACACCGCCGCTACTCCATCCTTGAAGGCGAGTGCCGCTGGTAAGACAACTGCATCTCCCCGATTACTAGTATATGTCCCATCCAACTACTGTACAAGTCGTAGCGGCATTTTAAGCTCTACTGAAGTACATCATACAGCTTCAGTGGCTTCACTTGAGCAATGCGTCACGCTCGATGTATGTAGGTCGCACCCCTTCTTCAACCTTGGGGTTTATTAAAAAAAAAGAGGTGACTTGTATACCGGTAGGTAGAAATACGGTAATAATCATACTGCATCGTTCTATAAAAGAATAGGAAGCCTGCAGTAAGGGGCCGTCTGTAATTCTCGATCTTTTTCACGAAGAGAAAGTTTCGTTTTGAAAAATATAGATAGCTGAAACATCAATTTATTCTAGCTGTCAAGTCAATAATATTTTTCGTTCAAGAGGGTGGGTGGGTGGGTGGGAGAGGGTCATAACTAAACTTTTTTGTTCCGTGAAAATTATCGATATTGCCGGATGGCCCTCTAAGGGCGCGTTCAGACTGGCGTAAAAAAACAAGCGGAATGTGAAAGTTGTCAAGGTGAATAGCTCACGTGACGTTCCCGCCAGCGTAAACACGGAAAAGGTTTCCCACCACTGCAGGCCAGTGGAATGCAGATTCCGGCGGCACGCGGAGCGCTTTTGATATCCTTGCAGCACATGTTCCGTCTTTTCGTTTTATTTCAGCCTCTACTCTTGCAGACTGGCTGCTTGCTTTTGAGTTTTGACTTCTAGACTGCCAACTTCTCCCATCATGCCGAAATCTTTGTTCGACTCAGCAATGGAGAGGGAGTTCATGGAGCTGTACGTGGTGATTTTTGCGGGCCGCTCTGCAGGCAAAACGCTTACTGCGAACGAGAAGCATACTCTGATCGCGGAGCGGATGAATGCCACCCAAGCACCTAACACTCCGGACAAAGTATTCTTTCCGTCGACAAGCACAATGATCCAGTATCTCAACAGACTGAATTAGTTTATTTTGATATCCAACTCAAACTGAGTCAACTCAAATTTTTCAAATGTCGAAGCTTAACATGTACTGGCCATTTCAGCGGGATACACGTGCAGTGTGATTGGGATTCCCGGGATTACGCTGCAGCTTTCCGGCGGCTATTCACGCCAGTCTGAACGCGCCCTAAGCAGTAATGTAACTCAGGAAAAACCCTCACTGCATTCCATCAACGGTCATCCCCACAACACAAAAGTGTGCCGCAGCACCGCACAAACCATACTCACCAAGGAAATCAGCCAGCACAGACAATGCACCGATGCACAGACCACCAAATGCTGCTGCAGTCGGAATGTACCTATACGTAAGAAGACACAATCAACCATAATGTACAAACTATTATGCCAAATGCTGTTACATACTACAGCAAGATTAAAGCCAATGGCAGATGCTTGAGTGATGAAAAAGCATGTTCCACACATTTGATGGCCAAATGTCCATTACCTCTGCCATCACTGCTGCCACATTGCGCGCACTTTGGTACACACTTTCCACAACAATACATAATATTACGCAAGATGGATGATACCATTACACATATACACACGCACACACAATAATGGGAGATGGGAAGATGTGCTGGTGGGCAAGGGAAGCAAGGCACACACGGGCTAACACAGCAAGTCACATTAGTGGTATGTACACGTACCTGTTAAGCTCATGGACCATTGACTTCTCACGGTGGCCACGCATGACCATCTGCTGGTCCTTGAGTTGCTTGGCAACCTGCGACATGAGAGCACACCATTGAAATAAGGCACGGAAAACATCACCCATCGGCTACAGTGCAGATATTAACAGAGTGATAGACAAAGAGGACGGGAGACTAGGACTGGTAACGCAGGAGAAAGAAAGATCTGATTCATCTAAAGAGAATGAGCAAAGGATGGCCAGTGTGACTCACATCCTTGGCAGATGAACCAGACACATCAATCCAGGTCTTGGAGAAGTATGCACATGAGCCCAGCATGAAGGCAATGTAGGCAACAGCGTGTACGGGATCCTCAATGACGTGACTGATTGTCTCCGGAGGCGAGAGGTAGTAGCAGAGACCTGACGTTGGGAACGAGCGGGCGGAGCCATCGGCTGTCGACCACGTGCCTAGAATGCTGACTATGATATTACCAGCGAAGCGAGTGGACAGCATCTGTGAGATGACGTACAGGTTGCTGACCAGGGCACTCTGTAGGATGATGGGAATATTGGAGGTGTAGAACAGCTTGATAGGGTAGGTGGAATACTGGCCACGGTAGCGAGCAGACTTGATAGGCAGGTCCACACGGAATCCCTGATGGTACAAAAGAAAACAGAAAAAAGGCATGAACCAAAGCCAATCAAGCCGATTGCCTAGTTGGCAAAACAAGACACAGTGCATGAAAGTTGCACTATCGTCAGTCATCACCACCAGTATCATGTCAACTAGCACATGTACACAACACACAACACATGTGAGATGGCACAAGATCATCGCTTCTAAACACATGCTACTCGTACATGTACTAGTACTAACCTGGAAGTAGATAACAATGCCAAAGACAAAGATGGTGGAGAACAGGCTCATCAGGTTGGGCAGGTTCTGGCGGTAGAAGGCTTCGCGCAGTGCTCGCACTTTGTCGGACCGTGTGGCAAGCAAGTGGAACAGAGCAATGACTGCACCTTCAAACTCAGTGCCTGAGAAGTTTTAACACATGCCGACACGCACGTACACACGTCAAAAAACTGAGTCAGCATAAACGTATACTGTAAATCATGAATATGTAACGAACAAGTAAATCTAACGAGTTAACGAGCAAAGATTTGTCGTTATTTTAAAATTCGTTAGCAAAAGTCGTATGATTTGGGCCTCGCACGCTTGAAATCGATCATTTCACATTATGGCATGCAGCGCGTGTTCAACGGATCGTAACTCGGTCAATTCTCAACGGAATTCAACAATTGAAAGATCTAGATGATAGCAGAGACGCTCAGCAGTCGGCTCGAACAACTTCGAAGTCTCTCAGATGAATTTTGCCGAAGCGGCGGGAGATCGAAAAAATTTGAATTTTTGCGCTCTTACACTGGATAAATTTCATTTTCTTTATTCTCCTGACATCGAGGTATACTGTGCATGTGATGGACAACAATCATGAATGAATGTCCTTGACGAGCAGTCCTAGTATTATTGAATCTGTCTGAGAAAATTGTTAACTTTTCAAACCGTTTTAAAACCTTTAAAAATCAGAAAATCGTTAACTTTGCGGGTCGTTAAAATAATATGATTTACAGTAGTTGACAAAAGTCAATAACGGTTCCAGTACATGTGGTCTATAGCTGTTGGTGTTCTTGTCCAGCTTGTCAAGTGTGAGCGTGTACAGGATGTTCTTGTACAGTTCGCCAAGTATGAGTGCGGAGAGGACTGCATGGCTCAACCTCCTTACTTGTATTACCAACATTATTATCTTCACAAACACTGCTTCATCAACCAGAGACAGTGATATATAAACTACACGCTAGGTGGCCGGGGAAAAGGAAATAGACCACACAGAACTATAAACCAGCAGCACATACCACGTCCAGTGTTGATGGTGGTGGGGCTGAATGCCTTCCAGACAATAGTCTCGCAGATGTTGGTGGCAATGAAGAGAGAGATACCAGAACCCAGACCATAGCCCTTCTGCAGCAGCTCGTCAAGAAGTAGGACAATTAGACCGGAGCAGAACAGCTGGATGACGATCAGCACACAGATACCGGCACCAAGGTCTGATGGGTCACCATACATGCCTGTCATGACGTACACGGTTGCTTGACCAAACGTGATGATCATACCAAACACTGAACAGCGCAACAAAATATGTACAGAAAGAACAAGAACGTAAAAATGTCAGCACACAATTGATACGTGCACAACAAGACGAATGAAAATGACCAGACAATGCTCCATGCAACACTGACTGCATACACGTTGAGGAAGTACTTTTTAAACCTTTGCCCTGCATGAGCAGACCGTGACAATCCTAACACTACACCACTATGTGAGTTGTTGGCAAAGGATAGTGTAGTGCAGCACACTTCATACGTCACCAACAATGTGAGAGACTCAAGGCGAGAATCCTCTCTCACCACTATCACTACCACCAAGTTTTTAGCACATGCCATGCACTATGCGTGCAACAGTAACAACAATAAACAAAGAGATACATTTGCACCTGCAGAGCTCCATGTGTTTGCAACAGAATCATTGGCACAGGACAATCACAGCTCTGAGTGCACCTGCACCTTTTTCACATTTTCAATGGCCAGCACTACACCCAGTGTGACAGGTTCTCATGGACTGGGTACTGCGTCGAACGGACATGCAAACTCCCACGGCACTAGCCATATACTTACACTTTTGCGCTCCGTTGAAAATGGCACGATCCTTGGGGGAGTCGCCAACTTCCAACAGTTTGGCACCAGCCAGGAGCTACACAACAAAATAGGGCAGCAGCTGTCTCAACTTGCTGAAGACCAGTTGCACCAGTCTTGTACATATAGAGACGAATAGTGAGCGGCAGTGAGAGTGCATGTTTGAAAAAAGATACTAGTAGAGCACACAAGGCTTGGCTGCAACAGAACTCAACAACAGATGGCCCGTATCTACACAAACAGTGAACCTCACATCGTGATGCCCTACATCTATCTATCTTACCTGCATGATCAGACCAGATGTGACAATTGGGGAAATACCCAGCTCCATCAATGTACCTGAGCACAGGAGAAAGAGACAGAGAGAGGAGGTCAACGCCAATAACTTACATACCATTGTATTACGCCATACGCACTATTCGACTTTCAACCGGCTCTGTCTGCCCCGCAAACCATCAATCAAGAGACTCAAGGAGACATAATTATGTCTAACAGTAGTTCATATTATGAACTACTGTTGGCACTACAAAGGAGGTTCACAAGGTCATGTGCAACTAGACTTGACGGGGCATTGCAGAGTAGTTGTGCACCAAGTTCAAATTTGTACATGTACCTGAGACTTATGTGATGGGGCAGTGCACAGGAACCACCGTGTACACATCGTAGTGCTGTATATTTCGTATGCAACTAGTGCTCAATACCCTGCGGAGTCTAGTTGCTAATTATTGTGGCCTGATGAAGGGTCATGGCATAACTACCAATAGTAGTAAACGTGTGTAATCCAAATCACAAAATAGCCAGTGTTCTTTCCCCTTAGTGTAAATATACATGTAGATGCAGGCATCACTCTTGTGCTACTGCATGGTGCAAGTAACAGTGTGCATTGTGCCGGATAGTGGACAGCGCAATTGCTAAGCATACTAACCTCTGTTGGAAGCAATGATGACTCTTATCCAGTACAGAGGATCGGCTGAATCACTTGACATGATACCAAACAGTGGTACCTGCATAGCAACAAGAATACATGTAGCAGCAGCAACAACCAGTGACAACCAGCCATCAAAAGGATGTACATTTTATTCGTGTCAGTAGTTGTAACTTACAGGTGCATTGTACGGTATCGTGTTACATAGCAGTCATAGCAACCATTGACGTGCCACTAAGGATAGCACGTTCAATGAACACAACTCTGGAATGGAAAACGCAAGCAAATTTCGACTGCGTGTATTTTTAGATGCATAGACAACATGCTGTGTTGTTGCATGCGTGTGGGCATCTTCTATCACACTTCTGCGAACATGGTGCACAGACGACGATGTGGCCATATGCAAAAGACGCATGCAAAACAAAACCTTACCTGACAGCACACTAGGAAGATAAACAGAGTGATGGCCGTCCATAATACCTTCTCCTTGAAAGCGATCTGCAAGCAAGAATAGACAATTCCGTAACAGATACGTCGACATATAGCCACGCCACCAGCATCTACTGGCTCAGCACACCATGCCAGCATCACACCTGTTTTACACTGCGAACCAGACACTGCACAGTCTTCAATGCTGTCAGTGCAGGCTTTCAACTTGTACAACTGCCGTGCCTTAGTCACATCACTGGACAGTGAAACTCCAGTACATTGTATAGGGCTCTCTTCCCTTCCCTCGTTCCAACACAATTGTATAGGGCTCTCTTCCCTTCCCTCGTTCCAACACAATTGTATAGGGCTCTCTTCCCTTCCCTCGTTCCAACACAATTGTATAGGGCTCTCTTCCCTTCCCTCGTTCCAACACAATTGTATAGGGCTCTCTTCCCTTCCCTCGTTCCAACACAATTGTATAGGCGGTGGTAGCGCGGATGCGCGAACTTAATTTATTTTTAAATACTTTTAGATAGAAGCACTGGGAACACGTTGCCTCTCTGATCGCTGCACACTGATAGTAGCTGCCCTTGAGAACTAGCCTGCATCAATGTAGACGAGGATGGGTATAGAAGTTGATATGAATTTTCCACGGAGGGCATTAGTACATGGCAGGTGCTATTACGGCATTAGGTGTGGGTATTATATCTTGTACCAGATAACACATGCTGCAGTTACTGTGAACCGCCACATATTAGGGTTGCTAAATTTGCGAAATCTGAAAACCAACTTGTTTGCGATGACAGAATGCTTGCAGTGTACCGTGAACACACGCACACACACGCGCGCGCGTGCATGCACACATACACATGTGCGTGCGCACTGTTGAAGCTTGATTTCACGTTCGCTAGCATCAGCGATTACGACCTCGTGAAAACAGAACAATTTATACACTGTAAACTTTGCGGGAAGTTTGCAGTACACTCAAACGCCTCTTATCCGGACGCCTCAGATACGGGCACGTCTCTCTACCGGGCACCTTCAGCTTGAGTTCCTATAGCACAAATGCTTCGAATTTGGGGGTTTTGAACTTTTTTCCGTATGAGGAAGTGCTTATTTTTCGCTGCCAACCTATGTAATCCACACATTTTTATCAATGGGTTCCTTTTGTATCCTGAACATGTGCAATACGTTCCAAATAAACTTCTTCAAAAATGATATGATACATGGTAAATGTGTTATTCTGAGATACGGGCAAATCTGAGATACGGGCAGTGCCCGGTCCCAAGGTGCCCGGATAAGAGACGTCCGAGTGTACCATGTTTGTCATGCTTGTCAAACAATAGAAATGCTGTACGCATGTACAACAAAATGTAATACATAATTTCCCAACTAAACTGCTCACAAGACTTGACCATTCACAGCAGGCACAAGCCTACCTGGTAATTCCATGTGTGGATGCATAATGTACACGCACGGACATGCAAACGCGCACGTGTCTTTGGTAAGTTTACACATGTGGCAATACCATAATATACCCCTGGTGCAGTAATACCAGCATTCAGTTCAACAAAGAACCGGAGTGTGATTTTGTACTCCTGGTTCCCTCTAAAAATCGTGAAAGGACTGGGTGAACAGACTGTACAAGGTTCGATAAATTCACACAGGTCAGCAGACCACAGAGAGATAAGGAGTTGCACACATAGTAACCGTGGTCATATTTACCTTTCGCTCGGGTTTGGAGATTTCAGGCAATATTGACACAAACGGTGCGAGATAGTCGAGGAAGCGGACTGCAACAACAAAACAACGTATCTCCACGGTCAGCCAAATCTCCAGTTGTCTAATTCAGAGAGCAGGCAAACTCACCACCCATGGTTGCTCTTTGTCTACGACCATGTACCAACAAACCAGCAAATGAAGAAACAAAATGAGAAAGCTCACTGGCCTTTTCAAAATCAATGCCAACAATACAGTTTCCTCAACTCAACCAAACATGCTCCAAGATTTCCCACTACAGGCCACGTCACGCTGCGCACAATACGCGAATCTGTAGCAGTGCGCTACGTAATTCTATACAAAAGTCTGGATTCGTGAATTATTTAGAACTAACTTCGAACGATTGAATCTGGTGTCATAACTAATGTTACTTTGTAGATTACAGAGAGGACAGCAAACATAATTGTTCGGCTCACGAGAGAGAGAGAGAGAATGGAAGCCAGGCAAAAGGCAAGGAGCGGCGAATTCTGCTCACCTGCTGAATACGGTGTACGGTACAACTATACCAAAAGGGAAGGCCAGCGGCGCACTGGAATCTAGTTGTACACAGCTGTAGTACGCATGCAAATAAGGATAATACGGTGCGGAAGTGAATGGCGCATGCTGATACGGTAAAGCGGTCGTAATACATATAAGTGTGACCGCGAGACCGGAGAATTTCATGAAGCCAATAATTATGAGAATTTCATTGAAACCGAAGTAAATCAGGTCATGTGACCGAGAATCCGCTACATTACTCCCCTGCCAGTGTACAAGCCGGAGGCAGGAAACGATAACCTTGGAAAGGAGAGAAACGACAACCGCAACGTAGAAGAAGAAGCGTATAAAGGAAGAAAAAAAATGAAAACCGCACGGCAACCGGAAAAAGGTCCGACATAAACGGCCAACGGCGACAAAGAACGGAGGAACCCAGCTGATCAGGTAGCAAAGCGAACAGCACGTGCAGGGGGTGGGGCAGCAGCAGCAACCGGCGGGACAATCAGAGAAAGATCAGAAGCAGCAGCGGCTGTAACAGGCAGAGCATATGCGGGCTTCAAGCGGTCAATGCTTACCTGGTCGGACTTGCCCTTGACGTCGACCGTGAAATGCTTGTCAGCACGCTTGAGGACCCGGAACGGACCAGTGTACGGTGGTTGGAGCGGCTTGCGGACACTGTCGGTACGGATGTACACGAAGTCGCACGTTGACAGATCCTTAGGCACGTATACTGGGCGGTTGGACTGGCGAGGGCCGACGTCTGAGGGCCGGATGTTTTGCAATACATCCCGGAGGAACTGAACGTAAACGGGCACCGATGGCATAGACGGCGGTGGCTGGAAGAACTCAGATGGCAAGCGGAGAGTGGTGCCATAGACCAGCTCCGCGGAACTGCACTGGAACTCCTCGCGCAGGCTAGCGCGAATGCCCAGCAACACCAGGGGCATCATCGCATTCCAGGCACCAGGATGAGGGTGGCACTTCAGAGCAGCCTTTAGGTGGCGGTGGAAACGCTCGACGAGGCCATTGCATTGTGGACGGTAGGAAGTTGTCCGAGTCCGGCAGGTGCCTAGCAGGGCCAACAAGTGGCGGAAAAGCGCGGACTCAAACTGGGCGCCACGATCTGTGGTGACGACAGATGGGACGCCGAAGCGGGCAATCCACCCAGCGATGAAAGCGGTGGCAACTGTTTCCGCGGCGGCGTCCTTGATCGGAATGGCCTCTGGCCAGCGGGTAAAGCGATCCACGCAGGTCAGCAGATAGGTGCAACCACCGGAGGGAGGCAAAGGGCCGACCAAATCAATGTGGATGTGGTCAAAGCGCTCATCGGGTGGCAGAAACTGGCCAAGCGGAGCCTGGGTGTGGCGGCTCACTTTGCTCAGCTGACAGGAGGGGCAGCAGCGGGTCCATTCCCGGACGTCCTTTTGCATGCCGGGCCAGACGTAGCGTGCCGAAACCATACGCTGAGTGGCACGAATACCCGGATGTGCAAGGGAGTGCAGGCTGTTGAAGACGGTCTTGCGAAAGGACAACGGTACAAACGGGCGGGCAGTGCCGGTCGACATGTCGCACACCACAGGCTGGGTAGCGGAACCGTATGGGATTGGCTGAAGCTTCAGAGACGACTGCGTGTCTTGCTGAGCGGAGAGTAGCTCGGGATCAGACTGCTGGGCGGCTGCCAGAGCCTGAAAGTCCACCGCGGCCGGCGGCGCGGTTACTGCATCAACAGTGGCGCGAGACAGAGCGTCAGCAACAACATTGTCAGCCCCACGCAGGAAGCGGAGATCCGTCGTGAATTCAGCCACGTAGGACAGGTGCCGGAGCTCACGAGGTGAGTGGCTAGTACCAGCAGCTTGCATGGCGAACACTAACGGGCGATGGTCCGTCAGAATGTGGAAGCAGCGGCCTTCCAGGTGATGCCGGAAATGCTTTACTGCCAGGTACGCAGCTAGCAATTCTCGACCGAACGTACTGTAGCGGCTCTGAGCTGGTTGCATTCGTTTGGAAAAGAAAGCGAGCGGCTGCCATGCCCCCTCAACAAGCTGTTGAAGGGCCCCGCCCACTCCGACATCTGATGCATCCACAACGAGCTGGAGGGGTGCATCCGGGATGGGGTGGATGAGCAGCGTTGCTGCAGCAAGTGCGTCCTTGGCAGCATGGAATGCCGTGACAGCGGCAGTGCCAAGTTTCAGGGGACAGTTCTTCGGACGCTGAGGTCCACCAAGCAGATCCGTCAGTGGTTGGAGGATGTCGGATGCCTGGGGAATAAAGCGCCGGTAAAAGTTGACCATGCCCAGAAACTCGCGAAGCTGGCGGCGAGATGTTGGAAGGGAGTACTGAGCCACGCCGTCGACTCTTGCCGGTAGCGGGCTGATGCCCTGGGCGTTAACCAGATGGCCCAGAAACGTCAGGGACGGCTGGCCGAAAACGCACTTAGCGGGGTTGATCACCAAACCATGCTGCTGCAGGCGCTCAAACACCAGGCGCAGATGTTGCAGGTGCGTAGCGTGGTCGGAGCTGGCGATTAGGAGGTCATCGAGGTAGACGTAGCAGAAATCCAGGCCATGCAATACTGAATCGATAAACCGCTGGAATGACTGTGCCGCGTTCCGGAGACCGAAGGGCATCCTGATGAACTCAAATAACCCGAACGGAGTCGTGATGGCAGTCTTGGGAATGTCGGCCGGGGTTACAGGTATCTGGTGATACGCTCTGACCAGATCCAGTTTCGAAAACACTGTAGCACCATGGAGACTGCTGGTGAAATCCTGAATATGAGGAATCGGATACCGATCCGGTTCGGTGACTTTATTCAGGAGTCGGTAGTCTCCACATGGCCTCCAGTCTCCATTGGGTTTAGGAACCATGTGGAGAGGGCTGGACCAGGGCGAGGAGGATGGCCGAATGATGCCCAGGGACAGCATATGCTGGAACTCAGCTCTGGCCGTTGCCAGGCGGTCTGGAGCCAGCCGACGAGTGCGGGCATGCAGTGCCGGGCCGGTAGTCACAATATGGTGCTCCACCGAGTGCTTGACCGGCAGGTCATAACAGCATGGTTTGGTGAGGCTTGAGAACTCGGCAAGCAGGTCGGTGAATGCTGGTGCTGTGGCCACCGGGGCGGAAACCAAGGAGCAGCTGAGCGATGCGGTTTCGGCAGGAATGCAATTGACCTGGAGGTCAGTGGAGTTGTCACGGATGGTGCGTCCATGAAGGTCAACTTGGAGACTGAACCGATGGAGGAAATCAGCCCCCAGGATCGGCTCCTTCACGTCAGCAACGACAAATATCCAAGGGAATGTTCGTCTAAGACCAAGGTCAAGGGTCAAACACCTCTGCCCGAAAGCCGGAATAGCAGAGCCATTAGCAGCACGGAGCTGACACTGACCAGTCGGATCGACGTGGCGGCGGTGTTCAGAAGTGGCTGGCAGCAGGCTGACGTCAGCACCGGTATCCACTAGGAAACGGGTTCCGCTGGTGACGTCACGGACATAGAGGCGGCGGGAGGTAGGTGGGCCAGACACAGGAGCCGCTACTGGCTGGCCGGGGCATTTCCCGACGACCAGGAGCACGGGGCTTCACACCGCCGGGCTTGCACACCAAACTTGCGGTGAAAATGGCATAAACCACTGCTATGCGGTGAGACCGAGCGACTGCGGGGTTGGCCGCGGAAGCGAGGGCGGCCGTGCTGCTGTTTCAGCTCGGTTACGGTAGTCGTCAGGGCGGCAACTTGGTCCCGGAGAGCTGCAATGGCAGCCATTGTCTCTGACTCGCCAGTGTTGCGAACTGCATGTACTGCCGCACTGGGACCAGCTGCCTCCACTATTCTGTCAGCCATTTCTGCCAGATCCTGCAGCGGCAGTGATGCAGGGCAGGATGCTACTACTGACTTGGCCGATCGGGGCAACCGGCTGACAAACAGCTCTCGCAAAAGTTTTTCGGGCATGGCGTTCTCACCTACTAACTGCTGTAGCTTGCGTAATAGCTGCGTAGGTTTCTTGTCGCCCAGCTCCTCGTCCGAAAGCAGCAGGCGCAAACGTTGCTGTTCTGACATCTGCGTGCGGTGAATGAGACGCTCGCGGAGAGCGTCGTACGGCTGTTGAGCAGGAGGATCCAGGATGATGTCACGCACCTCTGCCGCATACTCTGGTGTCAGTGATCCCACCACGTACTGATATTTGGTCACCTGGCTGGTGATGCGACGGGTGGAAAACAGGGATTCAACCTGTGCGAACCAAACCTGGGGGTCAGCAGCCCAGTAAGGTGGCAGCTTGACGTTCAAGCTGACCGCGGCCACCTCACTGTCGCGGGCTGTACCGCCTGCTGCGGAAGCTCCAGCGCCCGTGATTCTGGACAGCAGTTGGCCACGACCTACGCTGCGGATAGGTGTGCTAGCTCCGGAGTTTGAGGTATTCATACTGTACTAGTGCGCGTAAAATACTAAAATTCAATGCTGCGTGCAGACCACTGAGCGATCGCGAGTGATCGAACACTAGACGGGGTCACCAATTGTAGCAGTGCGCTACGTAATTCTATACAAAAGTCTGGATTCGTGAATTATTTAGAACTAACTTCGAACGATTGAATCTGGTGTCATAACTAATGTTACTTTGTAGATTACAGAGAGGACAGCAAACATAATTGTTCGGCTCACGAGAGAGAGAGAGAGAATGGAAGCCAGGCAAAAGGCAAGGAGCGGCGAATTCTGCTCACCTGCTGAATACGGTGTACGGTACAACTATACCAAAAGGGAAG